GGCGATAGATACTTTTCAAAACCCTGGTAGCCAAGTCGGGTGAAAGACTTGAAGCTGCCAAGGTACTTGGCCTTGACCAAGGGGCTGCCTTCGGAGTCATCGCAGTTGACCAGTGCATGGGCAGTGGAACCACAGAAAACACAAGGAGCCTTGTCAGCTGCCCAGGAGGTTGAGGCATCCGAGGCACGGATTGTGGGTTTCTGCACAGTCTCAGTTGAGACAGGGCCGTCGGCAGGCTTCCTGGTGGAACGACCACGTCCCGCAACGTGAACGACGACTTTGTCAGGTTCAGGCGTGGAAGGCTCAGGTGGGGCGGAAGGCTCGACCCACATCCACACGTCTTCGAAAGATACCGTGTGCTGTCGCCATCTCAGAAGAGCCTCATCATTGAGATCGTCAAGTCGTTGGACATGTTGGGTGATCATCTTGGCGAGGGGCTGGATGAGCTCCGTGGCAACTTGATGGTCACGCTCAGGGTCGGAGTCCATGCCAAGGCTCAGCCAACGAGTGTTGTCACGAGGGATCTCGCGTCCGAGGGCGGTGCCCAGGTGAGTCGGAGCGAGCTTCTGCAACTGGAGACACCGAGAGAGAACCGGCAGAGGTGAGGAGGTCAGAGCGGTGCTCAGAGCAGAGAGGTACGCACGTAGTGTCTCGATAGAGAAAGCGGTGTGGTAATCTTTGAACCGGAAACGGAGTTCCTCCTCTTGTTCAGCAAAGGAGACAGCAGGTTCGTGGTCAAACCCGCGCTTTCGAAAAAGGTCCCGGAGGAGACGTTCGCAAGCGGTGTTCAGACGAGCGTGGGCACCTGGCTTGGTTGATTCATCAGCAGTCTCTGCTTCAAAGGTGCTTCGGAGTTGGAGGTACTGTTGATCGAAGAGGGGCTGCTTATCGTTGACACCGCACCAAAGGTGGAAAGCCCGAGCTCTGGTGCTCCAACGGATGTCATCCTGGAGTAGGATAAAGGTAGCCACCCGGGAATCAAAAGATTTGTAAGCGTACAACTGTTTTCGGAATTCTTCGCTGGACAAGGAGGGGTAAACCTCGTTCCGGATGATGGACTTGAGGGCGTCGGATTCTTTTCGATAGTCAACAGAACCCGTGTCACTGGCAGCAAAGTCCATGCCATGTAGGACAGAGTTACCCTTCTGGGGGGTGTCGGGTTCAAATTCGGAATCAGCCTTGCCAATACGGGAAATGCCTTCAAGGGAGCTGGTGCTCGGGGGTGAGTCGACACGCTTGCTGAGGTTCGCGATGGTTTCGTGCTGGGCCGACACCAACTGGTGCAACTTTTCAAACTCCCCAGCCTGATGTGTCTTGAAAGACTCATTTGACTGCTTGAGCTCGTCTAAGGCTGAGCGGAATTCCTTGGTATTAACCGCGGTAGCGAGAGTAGTGGTGATCTCCTGGTGGGAGAGCGTCAAGGCGTCCATCTTCGCGGTGAGAGCCTGGAACTCGTCTTTTGTTACTTTCGACATGGTGAAAACGAAAGAACGGAAAGGGAAGTAAAATACGCTGGTACGACAGTAAAGGCACAATAAATCTGGCAGGCTATCACTCGAAACAAAAACGAGGTGTCGTCCACCAGATGTGAGAAAATAAAGTGCTTTGTGCGTACCAGGGATAGGGTAGGTAGTGAAATCTGAGTTAGTACATCAACTCTAGACGATGGGCGTCGCCTGTGTAGAAGAACAATAACTCACCCGGTAACTAACACTATTTCTCGGTGGTCAATGCGTCAGAAGATATCAAGACGGTCCGTTTTGCGTTTAAGCCGAGTGAATGTTGCCTGCCGTTAGTAAATTTATTATGAAAAACCCCACTATGAATACATCAGCCTATACTGATATACCAAGAAGTGCAAGGGAGGTGGTCCTGTTCCACCTGAACGCGATTCCCGACAGGCGGCGGTACTGAAGGGCTTTGTGAGAGAGGTAACGCCGATTCTCTCTGCAGTCGTAAGACCCAGGTGGTGTGTCCGAGGCAGTATCGCTTTCCCAACTCTAGTAACCTCGGTAGTGTGAGACACACTACCCCTAACGGTAGGACAGCCGGACGACGATGGCGCAGCAATTGGCGAACGCTGTTATAAAACAATTCACTTACGTGCAATGAAAGTTGTTTGGGCAATAAACAATAAATGTATTAGAGCCAGACGATAGACAACAATCCAGCAGATGATGAGCAGGAAAATTGAGTAAGATCGACGTGGCAAGAAGAGTTACAGTTACGCAGAGTTAATAAGGTGTTGGGAGATTAGAGTTACCCTGTCGGATGACTAACTCTCCAGAGCGAGTGTTACACATCGAAGATCAGTGTCAGAGTGCATGGATGGCATTCGAATGTGACAATCATCCTTTTTTGGTGGAGCCCAACAGGGCTCCTGAAACACCTACGGATAATGGTTGTCGAGTAAATTTCCATGGAACGGAGGTTAGTACCCAGGTTCCGTTCCGTCGTATCGCTATTAATAATTAAATAATAATTAAATAATTAAATAATATTATAACTCTCTTGCTCCGTTTGCGATGTCAAGGAGCGTTTAATGTTTCGATATACCTGCACACAACGTTTGTATGTAATACTGTTACTTGAATTCTGTTCATGTAATTATGTTTGTGTATGTAAAATCATGAGTTAGGGCTACGGAACAGCTCAGCGCCATGTCTCTATGATACATGGTTGCATGCTATGGTGCTTTTCTTGCTGAGTTTCTCGCTTAATTCTTCGCTTAGGGTCTTGGCACCTCTTTGACTTGGTGATGTGTGTTTCTGACAGGTTCACACATCCTCTCAACCCACACAGATAGTGCACCCGTTGCCACCTACTGCAATGGCTTATACAAGTAGATGCTTGTCGAACTTTCAACGGCTAAGAAGCCAAAATGGAACTATCCCGGCACTATTCCGGAGAGCTAACACGCCATTAGCCCTGGGTCAAGGTTAATTTGCATTTGACAAGGACAAAGACAATACACACGTAGTGCGGATCCCTAGAGAGGGAAGATACAATCAGGGTCACAAGCACTCCTTCTCTTGGGGCTTTGAATTCACACTACTTGTACTAACCACCGTTGGACTACTTGTAGTGCTCTTTGGACCCAGCCTAGTGAAATAATATGCATTTTTTCGGTTCCACAATATGAAGGCAATGTACTCATCGAGCGACTTATCTCCGTCTGTGCGATAGGCTGGATACGTGCACGTCTCAATCAGGAACTATAGGCTACACAAACTACTTGTAGGGTAAGGCCCGACGGCACTGAGCAAGGATTAATTTTTAGAACAAAGGATAACAGGGGACATATGGTTCACCAGATGTCACGCTACTTGTAGGCATTATATGCCATTGTTGCTGTGCAGTATGTATAAACGAGGTGTGTTATTGGTGTTCTTAGTACTGGCTAAAGACACAGAGATCCAGATAGACGTAGAACGACGCCCCTAGAAACAATGATACACGAGGCATACAAGTCACTCTTCGTGTATATACTCATATTGTACATACCACATGCTATAATCCCACTACAACCGCTAAACCCTCACGGCACCGCTACAGAGATGCGCTCTTGCAGTAGATACTGGCGCAGCTTGCATCTGGCGGAGGCTCTCGTATAGACACACTAAGGCCTGGGGAATGGAGGACAGACGGCGCTATGTTGACTTCAGTTTCCGTCCTGAGACGCCACCCAAACGTAGCTGGCTTACTCACCTTGTTGATCGGATTTACTGTATCTCCGCATCTAATATCCGTGGAAATGACGATCGATTGTACGAAAAGTCTGCATGTCATGTGATATGAGAGAGGGATTACAAGTAGGTGGGACCATAATACTTGGAAACTGTCTGTGAGCCAGCCTTTGACAAACACATAATCATGTGGTGAAGTGCACGCGACGACTGCTATTCTTAGTACATACCCAAGTTTTAGAGCAGCTTTAACCGGCCGAATGACCGACTTTTATCCACTGCCGCAGGTTTTCTTATCACCGAGGTGTAACCACCACTCATGGCCATGAGATGGCTACGGTGTACTACTTCTCCACAATGGTCAACTCGAACTTAACTTTTTTATTTATATAATAACAAAACTTTACTGCAATAAGGAAGTAGAACTAAGCAATTGAGTTGGATACGATGAACTAAACAACTACTGCAGCTACTCACCAGGGTGGAGGAATCAGCGAAATATTTCTAAAGCAACTTTGTGAAACTGCCAACACCGACCTCTGTATTCTGTAGTCTCCACTCCAAAGACGTAGTTTTTACATGCATATCACGGAAATCCGGAAGCGGCCAGCTTCGCGTTAAGATTAGACGTAGCCAAAGTCCATACAGAGAAGACCTCGGAACCAAGAGAAGAGAGTGGATCATTGTAGTTTATCGGAAATACCTATTATACGGTATCGTTTTGGTCGGAGAGATATTACGTAGAGTTATATCCCGACAGCTGTGCTTCAACATGACTACCTTTCAGTATGGGCAGGCATATTATCCTAGTGCAACATCACCACCAAGAGTGCTCGTTTTTCCGTCTCAAGGAATATGGGATCTGAGCGCCAACTTTGGTAGTAGGTAAATATTCAGTACAGTACTTGTATGAATCTGCATCCGCTGACAGTTCTTTTAGAAGTATCGATACGACTTCCGATACTCGTTCATGTGTTTCACATCTCCTGGGGCGAGAGCCGCCCGAGTACTAAACAAAGTCTCCGAGTGTTTTCCCAACTAAAATCTCACTATTATAAGAACATTTCCCTAACAAAAATACCGACTATATATAATACTAACTACTCCCAAATTGTCAACTAAACAACCAACTCATTTGCATGCATAAAAAATTCACCCAAAGTCGACCCACTCAAAATAATTGTGGACACCAAAAATACAGCAAACAGGTGAAAATCACACTCTCTCACAGCAGCTACAAATCGTCAGTTAAATAAGCCTGGTAACCCAGACGTAAAATACATTTTTGTTATTTTGCTTGGCTAAACGAAACGCTTAGGCCTCAGCGAGCTCTCGCAGTCGTCGGATGGTAGATCGGACGGTGTTGGCGGTAGCAGTGGAGACGGTGTAAGCACCACCGGCAACGGTCTTCTTGCAGGCGGAACAGGTCCAGATACCAACGGCACCTCGTCGAACGGTGGTCTTACCGCAGAAGGTACAGTCGTATCGGGAGTGCTGCTGGATTTCGAGCTTCTTGCACTGTCTTCGGAGAGAAGAACCGTATCTGACACCGTACTTACCGGTGATTCCAACCTTCTTTGTTCGCTTAGTCCTGGAGTTAGTTATGTTCGGTGGCTTGGTGCTGGCATGTTTGTGTGTGTGTCGTGGTGATTGCGGTGATGATGGCTTGAAATCGGGTCCTCATGAGTCCTCCTCGAAATTCAAAGATTTCAGTCGAAAGTCGCCGTCTTCAGTCGAAAGTCGTTGTCGATATTATCGTCGTCACATCGTCTGTGTCGCCTATGCCACATCGTCGCTTTGTCACCTCGTCACACCATTGTACCAAGTACTCACATTGTGTCTGCTTTGCGTGCTGTCGTGAAAGAGAGAAATTCGAGAGTGTCAAAATATCAAGTTGGCTTGGGAAAGAGTGGGTGACTGTTTTTCCTAATCGGGACAAGTCATGTGATCAATTGGGACTTTGGCCAGCAGAAATTAACGTTGCCTCGTGGTATATATCAGAACGTCTTGAGAAGGACATATGTGGGAGTATGAAGTGAGTAATTGGAAATAATATTGAGACGAGCGAAGAGCTAGGGTGATTTGGTCTTGAAATATGTAAACAATGTCTTCACAAACCACGAGCAACTCGATTTATGAATATATCTTTACTATTACCCCGAAACCTTATTGTATATTTTCTTCCTGCTCCTCAATCAACGTCCGGGTAACGCTTTGAAGTCTGAGGAGAGATTATCTAATCAACCAGTCTTGATTTAGGTTGTCTGGGAGAGCCAGAAATATGGACCGCGAGTGCAAGTGGTATGTAACAAAAAAATAGTATGAAATCGGAACAAATATTATACAAGTATCTGGGGTTGATAGATAGAAGGTCATAATCTGTTGAAATTTGAGGGACAAAACAAAGTTTCATTGAAGCCAACCTCGGCTCTTCTGCTTCAAAACAAGACCCAAAGATGTGACACTTATACCTCTACAGACCTTAGCCTATGTTACAGCATTGCACTCTGGCGTGTGTATTACCAGCCGCACGTGCAAACAAGTGTAATGGTGTATGTATGACGTGTTTGTGTGGGTTATAGAGACGCGTAACAGGCGCGAAAGGTACAGTCTAAACACGTGTTTACTACTTGTAGGCGGAAAGAGTTGACCAAATCAATGGCCTGTTTTCTCGCCACAGTCGCCACCACCAGGGGCACTGCCCCCCCTAACCCTATAGACATGTACGTACGTGTTCCTCCAACATGCAAGTCTAAATTTATACCTGGAGCAGCAGACCATCACAAGACGACTGAACGGTGAGTACTAAAAGAGCATCTTGCGCCCCAAATATCCACTATCTCACACAGATGTCGTATCAGAACTTCAACCTGCTCGATGTTGACGACGACGACTTCGAGCCCAAAGGCCCTGGGGGCTCACAACACCAACACCAACCGGGTCCGTCTTCCAGCAGACCTACTCTGACGCCGTTTGACAGCATACAAGATGGCGACACATTTATCGAGGCCGACGACTACGATGCATACGGCGACAGTGGCAAGCGACCGATGGAAAAGCCGCCACAGCGAGGGAACAGCATGTATGGAAACATGAAGGCGCGTCTGGGGTTTGGAGACCCGGACTACTCGGAGATGGACCTGCCATTGAACGAACGCACTCCCTACGAGAGAGATGCTGAGTCGATCAATGCCGGAATCTCCGATGCTAGACCTTCGGGAACAATGAACCGAACGAAAATCAGATCAAAGGTCAAAAAAAGCACCATGAGTATGCCCGATTTCGACATTCGACGCATGTGGAACCGGATGCGAGGCCACCAGGAGGAGCGGGGCCCCGATGGACCGCGAGTTGTGCATCTCAATGACCCGGACGCCAACTCTGCGCTCAGATATGGTGATAACCACATTTCCACCACAAAGTACAACCTGTTTACGTTCCTGCCAAAGTTCTTCTTTGAGCAGTTCTCCAAGTATGCCAACCTGTTCTTTCTGGCCACCGCGTGCATCCAGCAGGTGCCCAACGTATCGCCTACAAACAGATGGACGACGATTCTGACGCTGCTGGTGGTGCTGATTGTGTCGGCTGTCAAGGAGCTGGTGGAGGACTTTAAGCGAGCGGCTGCCGACAAGGAGCTCAACTCATCAACGGCCTACGTGCTAGAAGGATCGTCGTTTGTGGCGAGGAAGTGGATCGATGTTGCAGTGGGAGACATTGTGCGGGTGGACTCTGAAGAGCCCATCCCTGCCGATGTGGTCCTCCTGGCATCTTCCGAACCCGAGGGTCTGTGTTACATTGAGACTGCCAACCTGGACGGAGAGACCAACCTGAAGATCAAACAGGCTCACGGAGATACGGCTCCGTACGTGTCTCCCAGTGAGCTTTCTCGAGTCAGAGGCCAGCTAGATTCCGAGCTACCCAACTCCTCTCTTTACACTTATGAGGCGACCCTGAAGATTGACGGACGGCCCCCGATTCCCATGTCTCCCGAGCAGATGTTGCTTCGAGGAGCCACTCTGCGAAACACCGGATGGATCCACGGTCTGGTTGTGTTCACTGGTCACGAAACAAAGCTCATGAGAAACGCCACAGCTGCTCCTATCAAGAGAACGGCCGTGGAACACATGCTGAACATCCAGATCATCTTTTTGTTTACAATTCTCATTGTTCTGGCCGTGGTTTCCTCTCTGGGTAATGTTATCATGATCAGAGTCAACACCAATCAGCTGAGTTATCTCATGTTGGCGGACCTGAATCTCGGAGCACAGTTCTTCCTCGATCTGCTCACTTACTGGATTCTCTTTTCTAACCTGGTGCCAATTTCTCTGTTTGTGACTGTCGAAATCATCAAGTTCTACCAGGCTTACCTAATTTCCTCTGATCTGGACATGTACTACCGACCCACAGACACTCCTGCCGTTTGCAGATCGTCTTCATTGGTTGAAGAGCTGGGCCAGATTGGCTACGTCTTCTCAGACAAGACAGGTACTCTGACTCGAAACATTATGGAGTTCAAGGCCTGTTCTATTGCCGGGCGAGCTTATGCAGAGGAGGTTCCCGAGGACCAACGAGCGACCGAGGACGACGATAACAACGCCGACGACCCTGACTCGTTCGGATTCCACGACTTCAACGAGCTCAAACGATCCACTACTCAGCATGCATCTGCAGGAGTCATCCAGGAGTTCCTCACTCTGCTGGCTACTTGTCACACTGTCATTCCTGAGATTCGAGACGATGGCTCAATCAAGTACCAGGCCGCTTCTCCCGATGAGGGTGCTCTTGTTGACGGTGCTGCTACCCTCGGATATGCCTTTGCTATGCGAAAACCCAAGACTATTGGAGTTGACGTGAAACACGATACAGATACCAACCCTGCCGAGAGCCGGGAGTACGAGCTTCTCAACGTCTGTGAGTTCAACTCGACCCGAAAGCGAATGTCTGCCATTCTGCGATGCCCTGATGGAAAGATCCGACTGTATTGCAAGGGTGCAGATACCGTTATTCTCGAGCGTATGGCGCCCAACAATCCCTACGTAGACGCCACTATGCGACATTTGGAGGGATTTGCCGCCGAAGGTCTCAGAACTCTTTGTTTGGCTGTCCGAGTTGTTCCTGACGAGGAATATGCTGCGTGGAACAAGCGTTTCGTGGAAGCTCAGACCACTCTCAACAACCGAGCCCAGAAACTCGACGATTGTGCTGAGGATATTGAGAAGAACCTGTTCCTCCTCGGAGCTACAGCCATTGAGGATAAGCTTCAGGATGGTGTTCCTGAGACTATCCACACTCTCCAGTCTGCTGGAATTAAGGTGTGGGTGCTCACCGGTGACCGACAGGAGACCGCCATCAACATTGGAATGTCTTGTAAGCTGCTGTCTGAGGACATGTCGCTTCTGATTATCAACGAGGAAGACTCGGCTTCTACTCTGGATAATATCCAGAAGAAACTGGCTGCCCTACAAGGGTTGCGAGAGAACGACAGTGACTCTCTGGCTCTGGTAATCGACGGCAAGTCTCTTGGATTCGCTCTTGAGGACGAGATGGAGGAAATATTCCTAGAACTGGCTCTGCTTTGTAAGGCTGTCATTTGTTGTCGAGTCTCGCCTCTTCAGAAGGCTCTTGTTGTCAAGCTGGTCAAGCGATACACCTCCGACTTGCTTCTGGCTATCGGAGACGGTGCCAATGATGTTTCTATGATTCAAGCTGCTCACGTGGGTGTTGGTATTTCTGGTATGGAGGGTATGCAGGCCGCCCGGTCTGCTGATGTGTCTATTGGCCAGTTCCGATACCTGCGAAAGCTGCTGCTTGTACATGGAGCCTGGTCCTACCAGCGACTGTCTAAGGCCATTTTGTACTCTTTCTACAAGAATATTGCTCTGTACATGACCCAGTTCTGGTACACCTTCTTCAACGGCTTTTCCGGTCAGTCGATTTATGAGTCGTGGACCATCACCTTCTACAATGTCTTTTTCACCGTTCTGCCTCCATTTGTCATTGGTATCTTTGACCAGTTCATTTCTGCTCGTTTACTTGATCGATACCCTCAGCTCTACCAGCTTGGTCAGCATCGAGCCTTCTTCAACGTTCGACAGTTCTGGGAATGGGTTGCCAACGGTTTCTACCACTCCATTATTCTGTATTTTGGTTCTTGCGGTGTATACATGACATCCAGAGAGTTGCCCAACGGTCTCACTACCGATCATTGGGTTTGGGGTACTGCTCTTTTCACCTCGTGTATCCTAACGACCCTCGGTAAGGCTGCTCTGGTGACCAATATGTGGACCAAGTTTACGCTGATTGCCATTCCCGGCTCGTTCCTGCTTTGGATCGGTATTTTCCCTGCATACGCCACTGTGGCTCCCATGATCAACGTGTCAAGAGAGTACCGAGGCGTTCTGGCTCACACTTATCCTACCATTGTGTACTGGGCCATGACCTTTTTGCTGCCTACCATCTGCCTGCTCAGAGACATGCTGTGGAAGTACTACCGGCGAATGTACGATCCCCAAGCCTACCATTACGTGCAGGAGATCCAAAAGTACAACATTGCCGATTACCGGCCACGAATGGAGCAGTTCCAGAAGGCCATCAGAAAGGTGCGACAGGTACAGCGAATGCGAAAGCAGCGAGGTTTTGCCTTCTCGCAGGCCGATGAAGGCCAGGAGAAGGTCATTCGAGCTTACGATACCACTCAACAGAGAGGTCGACACGGAGAGATGCGTCATGCAGACGAGTACCGTACTGACGAACACAGCGATGACGGCTACAACAACAACAACAACAACAACAATCCCTTCGACGATTCTGCGCATAAGAACTTGGCTCCCAATCCTTTTGAGCTAGAGTAACTGGAGGAGGAAAAATAGACATTAGGCTACATGGGTTGCAGTAGTCTGTTAAATGATTTGGTTATGATAAATACGGGAAGAGTAGACTACTATATTGTAGCTGTAGGACAAATGACTGTCTTGTTAGTGGCTGTTTCCATTTGCTATCTATTCACGATGTAGAACCAAACGTGCATACACATGCATGCACGATTATGAGCTGTTGTGCTTTGTGCTCTCGAAATTTGCCTCCCCTAACCCTGACTCCATCATAAGCTTCTGTAGTTCGACACTGGCGTCACCATACAACATCTAACACACATCATTTCAAAATGTCTATGGGACCTGGTAAGTATTTCTGTGGGATGTAATTACTTTCCCAGTGTTATGGGTGTGGATCAGACGTCTTTATCACGCAAAACTAACTCAGGTGGACCTGGAGCTGTCTCTCAGAAGACTACAGCACCAGATCGAGGATCTTTTCCTCTCGATCACGACCGAGAATGCTCTCATATTATGATTGACTATCTCAAATGCATGAAGCTAGCTCAGGGTCGAAATGCCGCAGGATGCCGACTGCTGGCCAAGGAGTATCTCCGATGCAGAATGGAGAACAACCTGATGACTCAGGACTCTTGGGACAATCTTGGTCTGCCCGACGATGATGAGACTACTGTCACTTACTCGGCAGCACTCAGTAAGATGGCAGCGAATAAGGATTCGCCTGAAAGGCCACCAACAGAATCTAAACCTGCCGATTCAAAGTCAGGCGCGGGTTCTGGGCCCTCCTCCACGGCATAATAAGTCCTCTTGTAAATAGTATTTTGTATATAGTAAACTGACTGATTTGTTTTGCATAGTGTATGTACAAATACAAATGCTGGTACAAGTACTTGTATCTTGTGTGACTATTTGGGTATCTTCCTTTACAGTGGCTAAATCGGAGGTGAATGCCATGATGCACTTGTGCGCTTGTACAAGTTCAAGTACAGGGTATGAGTTGTATGCTTATAAAATTACTTGGAAAAACCTGATCATGGACCCAACAGTCCACCCTACAACATGTCATCATCACTAATGGCCATGTTTAGAGTGACTGTGGGGGCCTCCCGCTTTTGTTCCACATCATGCAAAGACTTTAGGAACTTGGACGTGTTGGTGGTGGCAATGCCCTTCTCCTCCACCAAATTCTTCATACGCACAACCTGGTCCAGCAACTGCACCGTTTCCCGGGTGGGATCCTTGGAGCAGACGGTCTCAAACACAAATGCATCATTACTCTCGTCAATTCGGCCGTAGTTGGACAGAATCCGGGGACTGGCAGCAGACACGTCCTTGAGAGGCACACGAGAATATGCCTTATGCGACTCTCTCAGCTGACCATGCAAGAAACACAGACGCGCCGTGACAACCAGCTGCCACGTACCCTCATTTTTGAATGTCTCCATTTGTGCCTCTGTTGTCTGGACAAACTGTTTGGGGTCAGATGAATGAGCTGCCAATGCAAGTGCGTGGTATGGGTGGCAATCTCTGGCCAGCAGGTCATCTGAGGGCGACACTTCCGAGCTGTTGGGGTTCGGGATCTTTGGAAGAGGTGTGCCCATAATGAGAGAGAGCAGGATTCTTCGTGAGTAGGCGAATCTGACGATCCAGGGTCGAGTTGTGGTCTGGGTAGCTCCTGCTTCAATGGCAATGGCTAGAAAGTCGTCGGCCTTCTCCCACTCCTTGTAGGCAATGTAGACGAGAGCTCCGTAGAAGTGAAATAGAGCCAGGTCGTTTCGGGTCGCACATTTGTCCAGGGAGAGGAACTCCCGGTCGAGCACTTCCAGGCCAACGGAGCATTTGTTGGCTTCGAAAGAGAGACGCATCAGCTGCGCATGCATGGGGGTGATGGTGTTTTTGTCGGGCAATCTAGGCTGTAATAATGACAGGCCCAGAAGAGGTCGTTTGGCTCTGATGACATGGTGACTGAACTGGTCGAGTAGACTAGACAGAATATGGGGAAAGGCGCTGAGTCGCTGGATGCTGAATTGCTGCAAGAAGGTGTCCACATAGTAGAGGAAGATGGACGTATCCAGCTCGTTGCTCAGACGGACGAGCTCGTTGGCCCACACTACAGAGAAGCGGGTCACGTCTTTGAATGATTCCAGAACCTCGGTCGACTTGCCTTTGACCTTAAGTCGCTGTTCCAGAAGCGGTTCGAGTTTGGATCGGTTTTCGCCGGCTCGGATGACGTTCTGTATCCAATTGTCGGTTGCTGCTGTCATGAGGTTTGTGTGCGATAGTGAATGTCGTATAATATGATGGTGTGGAGTTGACACCCGCACTGCATCACCCAACTTAGTTCTGAGATAGCTTAATAAGCAATCTTCACGAATGGGGAGATGGTGCGTTAATGGGGTTATTATGGAAGTAAAACTACGATATTATAAGTATTTAAGCCATTGTGATATATTATTTCGACTTTTTGGCAATAAATATGGTACATTAATCAACTACTGCGTTGTTCACAGTAATATTCTAACTAACTTCCAACTATGCCAATGAACTCCCAATTATAAAGTTCCCACTCTCCAGCATTGATATATCGAATCACAGCGCAAATACGACCTTTCCGCACCTGACACGCAGTAACGGCCAATACTGAAGCTCACAAAGGTCACGGGTTAAAAAGAATAAATATATAATTTAACATACACCAGTTAAGTAGGTCTAGACCTCGTGAAATGCTCTCTTCTCAAGACAGACTTCTCAGCAAAGGTGAGAATTGTCGTATTAATAATGGATCTCAAAGCTTCTCCCCCGAGACAACAACTTATGGTATTGTTGCTAACATTTGGATTATTGTGGGTTCAGAAATAGCTGATGTCGTATATTTTTGCGTCAGATTCACAATGGTGATATTTATGCCTTCCACGAGACGGACTATAGCTACACCTCGCAATCTGCCAATGTCTGGTTCTACCTAATACGAGACTTGAAACGTGCAAAAGCAAACATTCAGTGCAGGGAGAAAGAAAAAGGAATATAAAAAGTAATTGTTAAAGTAGACATACCGGTTCAAAAGTACAAGTACAGTATATGTACAAGATACACTCATCTGTCTGTCGAGAACAGCAAGGATTCCGCTCTTGATTGAATAGCGAAGTCTTCCTCGCCCTTTAGTTTCGGCACCATAAGCTAATTACGAAACGCCCTGATCTCTTTTCTTTGTTCTTCACGGCTTGAGACAGAGTCCCTGGCTTGCCAAACAGCCTTGAGCTACCGGCCCCCTTGTCGTGTGTTTTCGTACTCGGTTACACAGCTGCAGCATATTGTCTTAAAAGAACCACACACGAGTCGACAAGGGTGCACCCTGCAGGCCGTGGAATGGACTTGTTGATATTAACAGGCATCCATACTGCAATGGTATAGAAATTTTTTTATCGATGAGCCCGATCTTCCCCACTCCCTTACGCCGTTAATCCTCCTAAAGGAGCTTGGCGAGTTTGCTGGGAAAAAAATTAGCGAAGATCTTTTGGTAGCGACGACTTTTCGTTCTTTGTCCGGGGTAGCAACCAGAGTCTGGGATGCCAAGATTGAGGTGAGGTGTTTCAAGTGGAGACTGTATGGGCGAGTATACTGGCTTGAGGTGAGATTTGTACCACCAGCGCAAGCATGATTTCACGTGTCATTCGCTGCATAGCAAAATACATCTACTTCCCTGCATATTAGTGGGCACGATACCATTGTTTACAGGTGGATAATATTTTGGGCGGTTACTTTCACGTTTCGTGTGTATACATACGTCAATGCAACCCTACATAATTAGTCTTCGCCTCCACTCTCCCAACGCATGGAACAGAGCCTAACAGTTGAGCTTGTCTTCCTATTCAGTTCACACTGTCACGCTGGCTACTAACGTACTGGGAGAGGGTCCACACAGCAAGCACGTCCCTTACAGACAGGGTGTAAGAGCCTGAGCAACAATGTTTGGTACGACAGAAAGCGACCGCGTTATTTTCGCGAACTTAATGTGACGACGATACGAGCAGTGGAATCAGCGTTTGGATGACGACATCATCTGTCATAATGCCTTCCTGCAACCTGACAATCACATATCGTCATCTCAGCCCTATAGCCGCCGCTCACCAGGCTATCATGACTCTCTCTCTTGACTCTTGAGGCTACATTGATCGGCGTTTTCGGTTCTTTTTCACCGCATCTTTACACTTTGTCTTTGCACATCTTTGGCCAGCGCTCTCAAAATTTCCCACAATAGGTTGGGAGGGCGTTGCTTTTGGATCAGATCGCTGGATCTACACATCCCTGGAATGCAGGGTGTGAAGAGTGTGTCGTGCTCAGACGACGACGCGTCATACACACCGGTGGGGGATGATTTCGCGATAACCGGTGCCAGTGTCCTTTTTCTGTGGTTGCCGCTTTTCTCCCTGTTATTTTCTGTGCCCTCGAATTTTCCCTGGCGGCAGCACTCCTACCTTTCTTACGCGCCTCATGCATGGGCACAAGCACAACAACTTAAAAAGCGATATTGTTATACAGTCTTTTGATGACGATCCCTCAGCAGGGGGTTTCACTATCAGATACAGAACGGCGATGACTTCGGGAGCATCAACAGCACCATATCGCCCCCCGTATGCGGACAGATCAGCCGGAAAGTACAAGCGTGCCTCTTTGTTTTCTTACTGAAAGAAGGCGCTACACATGCCAGAGTTCAGCTTCCTAAGCGCTGATTTCGACTCCTCTCGAAAGACTTTGGGATCGACATGTACAATGGGATCGCTTGGGAGGGGTACATATATATCCTAGGGCCGTTCCTCAAGACACGCCAACACCAGAAACCCCAAGATACCATCATGAGATTAGCCACCATTGCTTCGTTTGTTGGCTTGGTCACAGCCTCGCCCATTGGACTGCTTCCACCCGCGCTGTTGAACCCTTTTGGACCCAAGAAGCCCGATGGAACCGTGGCCACTGCTCCCCTTGACGTTGTGCACGAGATGGAGCACTACTGGAAGTACTGCTCCGTCTCCTACTGTGTTGGAATGGGTAAAAACAACCAGCTCTACTCTCAGGTCAAGTCGCCATTTGTCTGCAACAACATCCTGTGTGCCGACCAGGAGTTCTCTCAGACCGAGCTGCTGTACAGCTTTTACGGAATCAACGAGCATCAGACTGCCAACGGATACCTGGCTGCTGACCACAAGAGAAAGCAGCTGATCCTGGTGTTCCGAGGAACTCAGAGCGAGGCCGACTCTGCCGCTGACCTCAACACCTGGCAGGTCTCCAACGTCGACTTTGACGGCCTCAAAAACTCCACCGACACTAACGCTGAGAGCGATTGCCATGGCTGTTCTATCCATGCTGGATTCGTGGGTATTTTCAACAATTCTTTCAAGCAAATCGACAGCCGACTCAACCTTTACAAGTCTATGTACCCCGACTACAAGCTTGTTGTCACTGGTCACTCACTGGGAGGAGCTGTTGCTCTTCTCTACGGTGTTTCTCTCAGGATCAACGGTCGAGACCCTCTTGTTGTCACTTTTGGCCAACCCCGAGTTGGTAACGCTGCATTCGCCTCTTACGTCGACTCTCTCTTCTTCCCTACTGCTGGAGATCAGCTCTCCTCCTCTCCCTACAGAAAAATGTACCGGGTCACTCGATACGAAGACCCCGTAACCCAGGTCCCCTTCTGGGACGGTTACACTCAGCAGTCTGGAGAGGTGTTCATCAACCAGTTTAACGTGCCCACCAAGCCCGAGAACGTGGTCTTCTGCCAGGGCCAGAACAACGGCTTCTGCGCCAATGGTATCCCTTGGTACCAGTACGCCAACATCGACTCCGACAAGCAGGTCCACAGCTCATACTTTTTCCGAAGCCCTGGCTGTGGTGGATCGCAGTCCTTCACACCCTATGGTGGAAACCAAACTGAGCCTTCTGCTGTTTCTATTCCTCCAGGAGACTTGAAGGCCCGACTTAACCTGCCCTATGATACCAACTACTAATTTCGGCGCTTCAAAATTGCTATTTATTTTAATACTCTTCTTCTCTTCTCTTGTATTCATGCTGAGCGAATTGTAGCCGTTGTGAATCTCTGTTGTCAGCGTAGCATTGTATAAAGATTTTCAACACAAACCTGAATGATCGACTTCCAACCCCCACTAAATCGATCTCCGGAATGTATCTACAGGAAGAGGCTGAATAACCAGTATTATCGACATGGAACACAGCAAAATCTGCTTCTTGAACGCCCACATAGGTCATTTGGAAGGCTCAACCTCGACATGATATCCTGTTTGCTAGAATTAATACTAATAAATAATGTCTCATATCTCTTTTGCAGCGACACACACGACCATTGTGTCGAAAAGGTTCATAGTCAAGGTTATTTACAACTTAGTGTAGCAAAGAAACGAAAGTTCATCCATAACCTTGGATACCAACTGGGCGAAGATTTACATGACTAACATGCTTTCGCTTAACCTCTTCCGGCCATGTTGCGCAGACCCTCATTGCATTACGGCCGGTGGTGCATCAGATCTGCCAGGCACAGTCTGGGGCACTTTCACATTCCCGTGATGTGGAAGGCACGAGTAGTTGTTGTGCGTAGGAGTATGTATGTGTATGAATGTACGTATGTACTGTAGGGGTGGTGTTTACGTCTGTGACTTGCGCATTTGTAAACATTCATAAGCAAGCCACTGAAAGAAGTTATGAACTAGACCGTTTGACCAGATCTCAAACAGGGACATGGACTGTCCATCATCTTAGCAGAAGTGTTTGTGGCTTAGGCACAGAGAAAAAGTTCTGTTGGACCTTGCTTTCCAAACATGGACTGGAGTCAAAAATCAAAAATATGAAGATGAAGACTTCTTTGTGCGAATACGCCACGCCATGTATCTGTTGATATGCCCTAATGGTTTACGCTATCATGTCGATTCGATGCTTTAGGACTTTTGTTTGTGTTATTCTTGAGAGAGACGAGGGACGCTTTGAGGATAGCTTCTGACGCCTGGAAGCATATCCATATATAGCGAGTACGAATACGTCTTGATTGCTCACACAAGTGGGTAAACAAGAGCACCAACAAAGGCACTCCTAATGCATCTCCAAGGCGTCTCTATTGTAAACACTGGAGGTTGGGTTCTCCACACAACGCTCCAACAATATGCAAAGCGTCGATACATCAATAGCAAGAAGATCATAGAGTCTGAAGAGTATTCGGGAGTGACTGGGCGAGCTATAAATTGTTTTCTTTTTATCAGTTATATGAACAGCAGAGGTGGGATAGCCCTATCATGTCATGTCACAATGGATCTACCGCGATTTATGGGTCAATATTCCAGTATTTGGAGACAATAAATAAGAGAAACTCGAGAGGCTCGAAGACAAGAAGGACCGGATGAAGATTTTTCTCTTCCCCAAGGCTCCGTGACTATCAATCTACGATATGTCTTCAAGACATCGCAGCCAAGATCGAAGTTTGGGAGGAGGTGAAGCTACAGACAACACAAGCCAAAGCAATTCTCCGAAAAGTACATACTCTTAGAGAAGAAACACCCAAGAGTTAACAAACTTGATGAGAAAAATACCAATAGTATGTCCATATACATCTTCATGTTCTAACCAAGGTCCAATTTCATCCATTCAAGCCACTCGCCCTTCCACAAGTAGATTAGGTTGTCTTAGACTTGTCTTAGACACTTCCAGAAACGATTTTGGCTGTCAACGGGTCACGACCCCTACCGAAACAATCTAGAACCGATTATTTTACGGACTTTCAAAATGCTTGTATTTATACCCTCCAAGTCTGAATCGAACCCGCGACAGATTAAGTTCTCGTCTACCCTGAGTGACGCAGGTGAGACGGCGGACTTGGTGGACGCGTCTTTCAGGGTCTACAAGTAGTTTAGGCATGGTAGAGTTCAGATCAGTTCCTCATCAACAATACTCTGTGTAAGAATCATTAGAATTAAAAAACAAAAACAAAAAAACATCAGGTTTGTCTGATTGTGCTTAGTAAGAACAACACAACAATCAGTGAAAACGTCGCCGATTTTACAATACAAGACCCCTTTGATTATCCGACAACAGGTTAGGAATTGTAAGAGCTTGGTGACGGCGTGTTGTGCCCCCTAGGCTGGTCCAACAGACGCGTGCCTCAGAGAGCACTGACTAGGAGATCCTAGTCACTTGTAGAGAACAGTTCTAATCAATGATCCAGAGATATAAATCGTTATCCTCAGATCTTCCATCGACGCTGGAACACAGGTGAATATGAAGGTGTAAAGATTTGTACATACCAGTATGTACATACAAGGAGGTTTAATCATGAAACACGTTCAAAAGACCATGGATTTGAGGAAAAGGAGAAAGGATTTCGACTGATGAAACAAGTAATGCATTTAGCCACACCTGAGACCTTCCTCGGTCCACACTCACCTCGGTCTGCTTGAGCTGTATAGGTGTCTCAACGTTCCTGCCGAATAGCAACTCTCAGTGACGTCATTAGGCTTTCGGAGATTTGGAGCCGACAAACTTTGGCTTTTTGAAAAGATCGAGATGGCGTCGGTGTCGATCTTGAAAAATCAGGCAAGAGTGATAATTACTCCATGACTGATGATGACTGATATATGAGAGCTTAGCGCAACTATGCTAATTGTCACTCAAAGATAATGCAACTGAAGCAGATAGAGTGGTAACGAGCATAGACACTTCCGAGTAGCTACTGTCCGCAGACACAACAGTGTTCGTACTGGTCTATAGACACAAGCAATTGCTCTACATGCCATGTGCCGTATATTCTCCGCCTTCCGCACTTGTAGCAAAAATTACTTGGCGCACCTTCTTCATGGAGACGGTCAAATCAGAGGTCCCCATTTTCTTCACGAGGGTGTAACTGAGACAAGCTGCGGAGTTTGTGACGCGAAGAGGCTCACCATTGGCAATGGCTGCCTTTGCTAATAGCCGAATTAGGGGTTAAGCAGAGAGAGAGAGACAAGAGAGAAATGCAGGAACTTCCAGGTACACTCCAACGCACTCAGCAAGTCATGCAGAGCGCCAACAGCTAAGCAAGACCATGCATTGCCTTGGCAGGGGTCTGTAGTCTTGGTTGCATTCCTAGGAGGCGCCGTACGCCGTACCCGTGCAAAGCCAAGACTTGCGACGTTGAAACAATCGACGATATGACAGGGCTTGTACTGGTCAATGGGAAGCCTCGTCAAGGGGAAACCCCTCCAACCCTCCAACTCATTGAGAAGAAGAAATTACACCTCTCGGCCATAAGATTCAATGTCCCAGTTATAGGTCGTCAATATCCGTGGAAGCGAAGCTCCTCCGCTTTTCACCTTGCCATGACGCTTATTGCTATCATTATTGATAGCTCTCCATCACCACGTGGCTGGAGGAACAACGTTGTAGGGCCCAATCTCCCAAAATTCACAAGGTGTTTAGATTCAGAAGGTCGGATCTAAACCAACGTTATGCGCGCCATTACAAACTCAGTCTGCGCTAATGGTGCTAGTGAGAAACACCAGGGCACTGTCAAATGATCCATTTATGGATTTCGAAAGTGGCTAATTTGAACGTCAAAACAGGGGTGGTGTCCGACTCGACCGATTGGGTTTATTGTGGACAAAAAGCGGTGATATCCGTTCTTCAGGTGAGAAGATTGCACACCAGCCTGTAGCTCCGTGTGCGGATAAACGTCTAGATGCAAATCATTAATGCCGAAAAGACCGGTAGAAGCACGTCGTATAGCGTTTCAAACTTAGCCGGATGCTGTGAGTGCGGATGATACAGGTAGATGGAAAAAATGGCCAGCCGAGAAGAACAAAGATGAGATCACAATCCAACTATACCCTACAAGTAGCGGATCTAAAACAAAAATCACTTGACAGCTTGATCTAGTGTCAAAGTGGGCACAAGTCCCAGGCTAGAGGCCTCCTGACCAACTGGAAAAGATATGATGGAGAGCCTCGTGAGAGATCAATTCATCTCGGCTCAGGAGGATGATATGCTTTATTTTCCATGAACCCTCACGAGATAAATCCAAACTGTACGGCGAATTGACTGTTAGCTTCAACGGCTCACCACACGTGGTAGCAACACTCTACCATGACAGGGCGTGTCATTTCGTATCTCGTACGCTCATTGTTTTCAATCAGGTGGAGTAACTTGCACCAGTTCCCGACAAACCAGCTATATAACTCCCCACCCGACCCTCAGCCATGATTGAATCAATCAACTCGACATGGCTATCTCAGACATTATCACGGCTGCCTACAACGGCTTGAAGAGCGTGGCGAGCAAGAAGAACGAGGATCGGACTCCTGACACCCAGGTCCAGGTTCCCCAGAACATTCAGCTCGAGGTTTCCCAGAACCTGTCTCTGGACCCTCTCATCAAGTGGGCCGAGAATGAGCTGGTCAAGCTGGCAATGCTCCCCATCTGCGAGGCCGTTCTGCTGGGCCTGACTGTTCTCAAGGGTGTGGCTAAAGTCGACAAGCGAGCAGTCCCTCTGATCCTTGTAGGAGCCTGTGATCTGCTCCACCCTGTTATCGAAAAAGCTATCGGATACTCTTTCGACTGTGAATACATGCAGGGCGACTCCATTCAGCGTGGAAACACTGGAAAGTCTTTCACCAACGTTCTGACTCTCATGGACACTATGGGAGACGACGGAAAGGCCTTGCGATACTACCTCATGGGTCTCACGCAATGTGGAAAGCCCGACACTCCCTACATTGACACCTCTAAACTGGGCTGGTACCCTCCCAAGCCCGATAACATCACCATTGCTCCTTCTTCTAACGAAACTTTCAACGTCCTCCACATCTCCGACTTCCATCTCGATCTCAAGTACCAGATTGGAGCAGAGTCCCAGTGCGACTACTACATGTGCTGCACCGACCTCTCCAAGAACCAGACCGCCATCAACGCTGGTTTCCACGACCCTCTGATCCCTGCCCAGTCCATGGGAACTTACCAATGTGACTGTCCTCAGTCTCTGATGGAAGATTCCCTCCAGAACGTAGTTGACATCAACAAGGACAAGAAATTCGAGTTTGGAATATTCACTGGTGATATGGTTGCCCACGACCCCGATGAGTACTACAGCAAACAGAATGTCCAGGATAACGAGGAGCAGGCCTACAAGAACCTGAAGCAGTACCTTGGTGATCTCCCCATTTACGCCACTTTCGGAAATCACGACACCTATCCTAACTCCCAGTTTGCCCAGGACAAGTCTGGCTTTGGAGGTGAGTTCCAATGGAACACCGACCTTGTTACTGGGCTTTGGAAGGATTATGGCTGGATTGACGAGGCCGAGGCCAGCAATGCTGCACACACTGTTGGATCCTTCGCCGTCACCACCAAGAGAGGTCTGCGAGTCATCTCTCTCGACTCCAACTTTTGGTACAAGATGAACCTATACAACTACTGGAACATTGCCGACCCCGATCCCTCTGGTGTGTTCAAGTGGTTCGTTGACGAACTTGTGGAGTCCGAGAAGAAGGGAGAGCGAGTCTGGGTTGTCACCCATGTCCCCACTGGCGGAGCTGGAGATGGTCTCCCTTGGTCTTCTGAGGTTATGCGGCAGATCATCGTTCGATTCTCTCCTCATGTGATTGCCGCTGTATTCTACGGACATACTCATGCTGATCAGTTCACCGTCTACTATGACACTCCCCATGGATCTACTGACATGACTGACCCTCTTACCACTGGCTGGATTGTTCAGTCTATTACTCCTGTCGACTTCTACAACCCTTCCTGGAGATACTACGAGGTGGATTCCAAGACTTTTGAGATCATGGACTCCAAGAACTACTACACCCAGTTGGACCAGACCTTTGACTACGATCTGAGCAAGCCTTACCTCGCTAACGCCTCCTCTTCTTTCCCTCATGTTGGATATGAGCCTCAGACCCCTGCTAATGCCAAATGGGAGTTCCTGTACTCTGCTCGAGAAGCCTACGATCCCCACAACAACTGGCCCAAGGACGCTCCTCTGAACGCCACCTTCTGGGACCGAGTCATCAAGAACATCCAGAGCGACCCCCAGCAGCTCGAGACCTTCTACGATAACTGGTTCCGAAAGTCTCCTTACACCAAGCAATGCTCTGGCGGTGACTGTGCCAAGGATACTGCCTGTTTCCTTGCCGGTGGCTCTTGGGACTCCCTTTACAATTGCGAGGGCAAGTCTCCCATTCGTGGTGGAGAGTAAACCTGGCAAGATTCTACATCATTTGTTTAAAATACCTTTTGAAATGGGGACGACGACATGACATAGAAAACGATATATATTTTTTTGGGCTACATTAGCCTCCAGATCTGGAGTGTACTTGTAATTCTGAAAAAACACCGGTAAAAATGGTGGATATTGTTCTGATAATTTTGGTTACACACATATTCATGATTATATTCACCTCTCAGTAGTTATATTTCATGATACGTAATTGTCCTGAAATCTCGAAGCACAACTTTCTGAAATTGGAGCCCATCATGCGATGTTCATGCACTCCCTCGTCGATAAGGTTTATCTGTATTGATGTGGGGACATGATGTAAGAGAAAATAAGGCGTATTTGTTAGCGATACCGAGTCTCTGTGGCGTCCATACAAAGTAATGGCCAGCTTGACCCTCTTTTTTTCTCATAATCGACTCTGTAACTGTGCATGTTTCTATGATTGTTTATTCAGATTTGTTGAACAAGCTTATTATAGTTGTTAATAGTTGAAAGTACGGAAACGGGGTACCGATGCTATAGCACACGAAGATGAAACAAGAATGAAGGCACCTTTCGTCCCAACTTTGAAAGGTGATATATGGAGGAATATGAGTGGTTATAGAGAGATGGAGGATCGGTGTATGGTCTAGGAATAGCACCAGGAATAGTAGCTTAGTTACTCTAAAAGGATCTTTCGAATGAGCCAGTACAGGGACCTTCAATTACTTACGGATCAATGGACTTCACTTGACTTCAAGTTACAATATATCCAAAGGAGAGGAGATTGTACGGCAGCAATAATTTACTTCGGGATGATCCACGATCTGGACTCAGACAAGTTGCATGGCATCAGCGGCTAACTCGACAGAGGAGTAGAAGCCGTACGTTTTATCCCTATTACAGTATATATATATATATATATATATATATAAGATGGCTTGATCAGCTGGTAACACAAAGTATCTGAAGGGAATCTACAACAATGGACTGAGATGATTTGTCCATGTGTTTTACCGAATGTCCGAGATCAACGGAGTCCGAACCCCCCTATCTTGTGTTGCTAGATCGAAAGGCGCTAATTCAATCCCACGTGCAGAATCGTCCTCTTTCGTATATCTCGCTTCTCCAGGGAACAAAGAGGAGTCGTAAATATTTCCGTATGTAAACTAGGTATACACTATTATTAACAATGAGATGGAAAAAGAGGTGAATATCCAGTGGGGTATTCTAATCTTCTCGTTGGCTCGCGTTCATCAATCAATATTACGGCTCGTGCCACTAAGGAGACTTGTAACGCGCGTCGTCGTGCTCTCATACGAAACAACAGAGACGAAATAGGCGAGTGTAAGCACATAAAATTAATGTCCATGGACATAATACTGTACATCAGATTTTAGATCAACACCCGATTAGCTTTCTCTAAGTGTTGGTGGGCAATAAGACAACAGAAGCCTAGTTTTAGTTGCAGGACCGCCAAAATTTTCCTCGGGAGCTGGAGATGGATTTTAAAGCGAGACCCTACAGGACTCCTACATCGTCGACTTAGACACAATCTAGCGCGCATTCAATCTCTATTGGATCTAACAACTGACCGGATGGGAAGGAGCAGCCAGCTTTACTCCGCAATGTTATCCACCTACCCGCTAGCGTTGAAATAATTGTTATTATCTATTCCCTCAATAAACCATAGAAAATCTGTTTTTTCGGATTACTCTATCTATGACTTCTCACAGTATCTCTCCGGCTTAGCCCAAACCTGACACGAAGCCCACGTGTGGGAAACAATCCTGCACCTCAATGTAATTATGGCATGCTTTTAGAGGTGCTCATACTTCGTGAGGAGGTTTCCCGGGGTTGATGGCTCAGATAACTGAGGTTGCCAGGAAACAGTGAAATGTCTGCGATATAAAATATCCACCCCTCCTTGCTATACCAAGCAGCCAGTATGGTCTGAAAATTGCGCACGCGACCAAAAAACGCCCAGGCTATTGATACCCCCTGTCGAAATTTCGGACTTAAGCCGATGTTACGGTTTGGCGTATACCAAACTCAGTCTGTACTTAAAAAGTGCTGCTTAAAAGTGTGAGAGCCACGTGCAAGAGACTGCTCAGACTCTTAAACGGACGAGGACCTTCTAAAGGCAATCCACTTTCCTACCCAGAACCTGAACCAATTGGGCTACCTTGTTTATGTCCGATCTCCAGAGGTGCAGCTCTGCAGTCGTATTTTCATTAGAGTTTCAACGGTCGCTTGGCGAGGGATCTAGCGACACCTGCACGGCAGCGGGTGGCTTTCAGTCAATATGGAGTTTGCTAAGAAGGGGCGACGGGGGGGGGTCATTATTATCTCTGTCTGATTTACTCACGATTAACTCGCGATTTTCCGTTGAGCTAACTCACAACAAACAAGAACTGTGAGATCGAACAAATACTCGACAGCCGTCAATGCACACACGCAAAAGTTGAGTACAGTACAGTAAGTAACCAGCACTACTTGCATTGTATTTCTGATGTCACAAACGGGGTTTGTACGATGGGCTGCACGATATATGCCTTCACACGCAAAAAGCGACGAATGGGATTCGCTATTTGGCCCTGGTGGGTCAGCAAGGCGCTCACCTGTTTCGGAAAGATAGATGATTTAGCATGAAGATATTTCAGTAGTGCGATCTACCGCCGAAGTGTGTACTCTTTGTACAGTTGTATGCTAGTGAGGTAATACTATGCCATCGTGCCGACGTTCGAGATCTGTCCCCACATACAGCAATATGAATGATCTCAGTGGACAAGAAATTTAATAACTGAGTGAGAATTCCTACCAAAAATTCATCATGAATAACTCATCTAATATCAGAGTTGTGCTCTCAAACAAAGACTAGCCTAACCATAAAAAATTTAAAAAAATGCTGAAACTAGCGGATGGACTAACTGCAAGGAGGATCCTCTAAAGCAGGCCACCACGCTAGATAACTCATCTAGATACCCAGAACTACACAGTCAACACCCGCTAGTATCAACGGCGCCTACACGTGGCTGCTATTCCCCTCAATGACTGGACAGGTCTACAGCCGCCCATGGCAAAAGGCGCTTGTGTTTGTTCACGGTCAGGTTATATAACACCAGGGATTTCTAGAGATTTTGGACAACAAAACTCGACATGGTAATCCCAGGGATCCTCCAGTCAGGCTTTAACTTCGTCAAGGAGACCGGAGCCAAGCTCCTGCCTCGTCAATTTCTCAGCGATCTTGGAGGAGGAACCTCTGGAACAGGTTTCGCTGGACTTTTCGACGGTATTTTCTCAGATGATGGAAGTCTCGATCTCGGAGCGTTGTTGTCAGGCCCTTTGGGCTCTGGAATTGGAAAACTGATGCCTTACGTGCTAGGATTTTCAAACGTCAAGAAGCCTGCCTCTAATGACGATGCTGCTGGTCTTGCTGAGTGGGCTCTCCAGAACACCGTTCAAGAGCTGATTGCAGCTTTTACTGATAAGACAAAAACTACCTGTGACGTTGCCCTCGAAGGACTCTCTCTGCTTAAGGATCTTGCTAAGATGAACAAAAAGGCCCTTCCCATTCTTCTCGTCAACTTTTGTGATATGTTCCATGACCCTCTCCAGACTGCTATTGGTTTCAAGATTGATTGTCAGTTCCTGCAAGGTGAATCCATCGCCCGTGGAAACACCGGATCTGCTTTCGCTAACGTTCTCACTATCATGGATACTGAAGGCGATGATGGTAAAGCCCTACTCTATTATCTCTTCGGTACCGACATTTGTGGAAAGCCTGAAACTCCTCTAATCAATGTCGACAGTCTTGGCTGGTACCCTGAGAAGCCCACCAACCCCGTCATGCCTGTTTCCAAGGGAAACACCATGAACGTACTTCACATTTCCGACTTCCATCTTGATCTCAAGTACCAGATTGGAGCTGAGTCTCAGTGCGATTACTACATGTGCTGTACCGATCTTTCCCAGAACCTGACTGCTCTTGCCAATGGATTCACTGAGGTTCTCATCCCTGCCCAATCTCTCGGAACCTACCACTGCGATTGTCCCGACTCTCTCATGAAGGACTCTCTCCAGAACGTTGCTGATGTTCACAAAGACAAGAATTTCGAGTTCGGAATCTTCACTGGTGACATGGTTGCTCACGATCCCGATGAGTACTACAGCAAGCAGACCGTTGAGGATACCGAGACCCAGGCCTTCATGAACATGAAGCAGTATCTTGGAGACATGCCAGTCTACGCAACCTTTGGAAACCACGACACTTACCCGAACTCTCAGTTCGCCCCGGCCAAGTCTGGTTTCGGAGGTGAGTACCAGTGGAACACTGATCTTGTTACTGGGCTCTGGAAGGATTACGGCTGGATCGACGACGAGACTGCCACAAATGCCCGAAACACTGAGGGATCTTTTGCCGTCACTACCAAGCATGGTCTTCGTGTCATTTCTGTGGACTCCAACTTCTGGTACAACAAGAACGTCTACAACTACTGGAACATCAGCGATCCCGACCCATCCGGAATCTTCGAGTGGCTGTCCAAGGAACTGACAGAGTCTGAGGCTCGTGGAGAAAGAGTTTGGATCATCACTCACGTTCCTACTGGTGGTGCTGGTGACTCTCTGCCTTGGAGTTCCGAGATTATGCGACAGATCATTGTTCGATTCTCTCCTCACGTCATTGCTGCTGTTTTCTACGGACACACCCATGCAGACCAGTTCACCGTCTACTACGACTCTCCTCAGGGTTCCACAGAGTTGACCAATCCTCTTACCACAGGTTGGATTGTCCAGTCTATCACTCCTGCTGACTTCTACAACCCCTCTTGGAGATACTACGAGGTCGACTCTGACACCTTTGAGATCATGGACTCCATCAACTACTACACCCCTCTTGAGGAGACTTTTGACTACGATATCAAAAAGTCTGTCCTTGTCAACGAGACTTCTTCCTTCCCCCACATGGGCTATGAGAAGCAGATCCCGGCAGAGAACACCAACTGGCAAGAGCTCTACTCTGCCCGAGAGGCCTACGACCCCAAGAAGGAATGGCCAAAGAATGCTCCTCTCAATGCCACTTTCTGGGACCGTGTCATCAACAACCTGCGAACTGATGACGAGCAGCTTTCTCTCTTCTACGACAACTGGTGGCGAAAGTCTCCTAGCACCCGATTGTGTCTCAATGATGATGTCGATTGTATCAAGGAGACCACCTGTGCCCTCATTGGTGGTTCTTGGGACATTCTTCACAACTGTAAGACTGGTGATCTTCCTCCCGTGAAGGTACTGGCTGACATTCCTGTCGAGGCTGATGATGATGTATCTACTTCTTCCACTTCCGCTTCTTCTTCTGGTTCTTCAGCCATTGAAGTCTCCACTTCCGTTTCTTCTTCTTCTGCTGCTGATGTATCTGCCTCTGCCTCTGCCTCTGCCTCTGCCTCTGCTTCTGCTGCTGATGCCGATGTGTCTGACTTCTCTTCATCTGCTGAGGTCTCCACTTCTGCTGTTGCCACTTCTGCTTCTTCTGCTGAGTTCTCCTCTTCTGCCGCTGCTGAGCCCTCCAGTTCTGTTGAGACCTCCAGTTCTGTTGAGACCTCATCGCCTGCTGAGACCTCATCGTCTGCTGAGACCTCATCGTCTGCTGAGACCTCATCGTCTGCTGAGACCTCATCTTCTACTGAGACCTCATCGTCTGCTGAGACCTCATCTTCTACTGAGACCTCATCGTCTGCTGAGATCTCCTCTTCTGCTGTTGTTGAGACCTCCTCCTCTAGAGCTACCGAAACCTTTGCTCCTGCTTCACCTGCTGAGATTGAGGTGTCCTCTTCTACTTCTTCTGCTGCTGCCGATACCTCGGATTCCACTGCTGCTGCCGACGCACCCATTGCTTCCTCTGTTTCTGCCTCTGGTTCTCAAGAGCTTGCCGGATCTGTCTCCGTCTCCGTCTCTGCCTCCAACACAGCTGCTTATGCTCCTTCTAACTTTGCGACTGCTACTGGAAACACCACCACCTCTGTTGCACCTGGCTCTGCTTCTTCCACCTCTATAGTCTCTTCTTCTGGAGCTTCTGACAGCCAGGCCGCTGTTTCTGTTTCTGCCGGATCCAACTCTAACGCTGAGAGCAATGCCAACATTGTCACTGATCTGTCTGGATCCAATGGTTCTCAGGGTGCTGATGTCGAGTCTCAGAAGATCACTTCCACTCACACTGTCACTGCAACCTATTGCCCCCCTTGTGCTGCTGGCTCCAAGTGGCAGCATCCCACCGGCGCTCATATTCCTGGCGTTACTACTGCCACCGTCACCAGCGCTACCAAGACCGTCACAGTCTACTGTGAGACTTCTGGCTCTTCAACTCTGCTCTACGGCACCGAGAAGACCAAGGAAGAGGGTGTTGCCGTGGTTACAGTCACCAAGGACGCTAGAAAGGCTGCTGTTGGCGCCCAAGACATCACCAAGACAGTCACCGTCTCTTGCTTCTCTTCTGGCTCCTCTACTTGGTACGAGCCTGAGGTAACCGAGGCAGGTGTTCATGTTGTCACAGTTACTCCTGGTGTTTCTGCGAAGGCCAAGTCTTTTTCTGCCCCTGCCGACAAGCCCAAGACAGACTCCCCCAAGGCTTCTCCTGTTGCTTCCAACCTGGCTTCTGCGTCCGGATCTCCAAGAGCTGCCTCCAATGTTGAGTCTCCCAAGGTTGAGTCTCCTAAGGCAACTGGAACTCCTAAGAACACTGCTGCTACCAACGCTACCAATACCTCTCCAGTTGCTCCTGCGGCCTCTTCCAAGGCCGCTACTGCCTCTGCACCTGCTACTGGCTCTCCCGCTGCTACTCCTGCACAGGCCAGCGCCTCTGCACCCAAACAGGCCAGCGCTGGATCTATGGTTAAGCCCGCCATGGCTGCTATCGGTATCACTTTTGTCGCCTCTCTGCTGATCTAGAGGACATCAGGTGCCATTCAACTCTCAAATCTCATATAATATATATATTGTAATTATGTCAACCAAAGGGAGACTTGTAGAGCAGTTTCAGTGCTTGTAGCTGCGATTTGTACAAGTGCTGTATTGTAAATTTGGAGACTTTCCTGATGCGCGTCTCTCTGATAGAGAGAAGAGTCTGGTTATCGAAATGCCTCCCAACAAGTGATATGGAAGTCGTTAATGTATTTGTTATATAAAATTTCATTATATTCAACAATCCCTTGTCTGACGTCACAACACCAGAAAAAAGAAACCACTCCCTGTGCAAGCCCCACAAAAAAAAGAAAACCGTACGTCCTCTAAAAAACCCTCGCCATGCACCTTTCCTCATTTTCCAGTTCCTGTACAGGTAAAAAATACTTAGATGCATCAACTAAGTAAGATCAAGTACAACACCACCCAAATGGAACTTTACTGCACACAAAATTCAACTCTATTTAGGCTACATAAAAACTTGTAGGGAAGAGGGCGTTGTAGATGACGTAGCCGAGGTGATAGAGTCGACATATCATTGTGATAGGCAATACATATCTATTGAATCAAATTTTTAACGAAAAAGAGAAACACAAATCCTCGTTATTGCTCTTCTCTGTAATTAACGCGTCGTCGACCCGGTGACAACCGCACCAAGGTTCGCATAATCAGACCATCTGGTGTGCAGACTCGTAACTCTATTGAAACCTCAGCCATATATAACCCGAGTCGCGGGAAGACCGTAGTTTTCCATTTTCAACATCAATGACCAAAATGACCAAAGTACGAATGCCTACCGCCGACACTCCACTCGCAAAGCGAAAGAACCTCTTCTTTCTCGACACGTTCATCAACCACGAGGGCCACTATGACTGGCAGTGCTACACCAGACACTTTGCCTACGTAGTGCCCAACCAGTGGGACACATACTGGGAGTTTGAGGCTTTCTGCAAAGAGATCAATCCTGCTCTGAGCACCCAGTACCCTGGGGCTTGCTACGACTCCAAGAGATACAGGGTCTCCGACACAGAGAATTATTACGAGGCCCGAGAAGCATTGGTGCATGGAGACTTCCTCTACACTTGTGCCGACAACTGGTACATTTTCGAAGTGCCAAAGTACTCATCAGACTATGTCAAACCAGATAGTGTTGCCTCTCTTCAAGACTGGAAGGAGATGGTGATCCGACTCTCCAAGCTGGAGGCAGAAGTTCAAGACCTGAGGCAGATCTAACAGTGAAACTACTAGACTTTCAGCTATAGCGTCCACTCTCTGTCTCCTCCGTGTGCCACTATTTATATATTCCAATAGATTTACGATAATGATTGAACAATGAGTTACAGTAAGTCACCTTAGAGTAAATCTCCTTGGTGACGATGGCCCCAAGTTACACATAGCTTAGCAAAACACTCACTTGGAGTTCACCTTAAAAGAGCCTTGAACTTGGATGACGATGCACTGTGTCTTGTCACAAAAACAATGAATGAGTTCCAACAGAAAGTCCAGCAGTACAAAGAGTATAGCCACCTCTACCATCCTCGCCCTAAAGCACCTCAATTCAACAATCTCCCTTCTCACCATCCAACTCAAGGTCCTTTCTACTACACCGCAGGTGACACAAAAATCGACACTGCCCCTGTTGGCCATTATTTCCCTGCAAGTTTAGTAGATGGAACAAATGGTAAGCCAAGGGACTACCCCTGGGCTCCCTCGGGTCACGTGGATCCTCTTTATTACTGTTCTGATGAGGTAACTCAGGCCCAGGGATACGAAGTTGATCTGGGCTCGAATCAACCACCTGACTACTACAGGAACATGTCTCGATGTCTGGAAGCACCAAAAAACGTCTCTATCAACGACGGCACCCGCTTGCTTCTCTCTCAGCCTGTATACACTGATATCCTTCGGTATGCGGAAGACCTGAGCTACGAAAGAAGAGTAGTCTCGGCAGCGGTATACAACTCCTATCCTCAAAATACAAGTTATCCAATCACCCAAGCACTCTACTACCCAGTTCAGCAAGTCTACCTGTCAGCCTATCACTCATGGCCACCGGACACATCTAACAATCATGCAAAAAAGCCGCGGCTGCTCAACCCCAGAGTGAAGGCTCTAAAGCGAGAGCACAACCAGTCAGCATTTTGCTCTAGTGCTCCGGTTACCCAACAAGACAGACCTTTCCTGCCTTCGTTGCAAGACGAAGAAGACTTATCAGTTACACCTATAGCAGAGTATGACGATACTGACTCCTTTGACAAAGAGTTCGAGCTGCTCAACAGGGCAATCAGCTACTTCGTGCGGTACATTAAGAGAGCCCACATGGATCCCAATGACCATGGAGACTTCTCTTCAGACTCCTCCATGGGCAGTATATACACTGAAGAAAGTACTGATCCTGAACTTGAAGCAGGCTCATTTGAACAGACAGACACCAAAGAGTTCGCCGATCCATCGCCACGATCAACCAACACACTCCACTCCATGCTGGCACTTTTTAATCCCCCTCTTAGCTCATAGTTCTCTCTATAATTTATGTATTAACATCTATACAGCTTATTGCAACCCACAACGTCCTCTAGTTTAGCAGACGAAGAGAGTCCTGAGAGTAGATCTCCTCGAAAATGACACCGGCTCGCAGAATGTTCTGCTTATCGAACTTGAGGTTGTTCTGGACAATGATCTCGTCGTAGAAACCAACAAAGTCCTCGGAGTATTTGTCTTCGCCATTTTTCTCGGCCTCAATCAGAAACGGCAGAGCCTTCTCCTTGATATAGATCTGCAACTTCGTCAGCTTCTCGTTCCACTTCACCTCGGGGTACTGCAGCATCCAAGCAATAGTGAAGATGAAGAGCTCCTCAATGTCGATACCCTCAGCGAACACATCGGCGAAAGTGTCGGTCAGCTTCTCATTACCAGACTCCAGGACGTCCTGGTGGTTAATAGAAGGCATCTCAAGGATCTTGGGTTCCAGACCCTGAATCTCCTCCTGGATGGTAATGAGAGTCTCGGTGAGAATTCGGATCTGACCCTGCTTGTAGTAATGAATGAAGTTCTCAGGGGAGGTCTCAGGAGCAGGAGGCTCCTCATCCTCATCACCCTCTTCCTCATCCTCGTCTCCCATGAGTCGAGCGAGCTTGTCACTCAGAGTGGAGTACAGGAGGTAAAGGAGACGCTCTCGGCCAAGAGTAGACTTCTTAGCAATAGGCGAAGAGAAAATGACCTTGTCCAGAGCAGTAAGCAGCTTCTCAGGCAGACCAAGCTTGTATCCGATTCGGTCGAAGATGGTTTCTCCCTTGATAACAGCTTTGAGAGGCATAGTATCGAACTCGTTGTCCTTGAGAGCAAATCCGTAAGCTCCCAGAAGCTCTTCGTTGCCCTTGGAACCGTAGTTGTTGAAGACCTGGCTCCCCTTGACCACGTCCGAGCAAGCCTTGAAGGCAAAGGCGTCACCGGTGACGTTCCACTCAACGGCAGTTAGGGGTTTATGGTTAATGAGATCCAACACAGGGATGAGCATGGACAGATCCTCGTTCTTGGGGTCCATGAGCCGCTCGGGGAAGCTTCGAGATGTGAAAATTGTAGAGGCGTAAAGGTAGTCCTCAAGGGTGACAGAGGTCTTGACAAACTGCTGCAGCTTCTTGAACTCCTTCTCCCACAGCTCGGTCTTGTCGTTCTTATAGAATTCCAGATTGGTGCCCACAAGAGATTCCTGCTGCTCAGGTGTGAAATAGAGAGGAGTCGTCACCTTCTTGGGAAGCTGGCTGATGTAAGGGTGGAAAAAGGAGTCGGATCCCTTGTTCTTCTCTACAGCAAAAAAGTACTTGGTGAGCGATTGCTTGTCAGCGACAGTGCTGAAAGTGCTGGAGGCGGCTCCAAACTCCTTGACGGCCTTCTCGTGGTTGATGATGAGCTTAGTGGGGATGTTGATCAGCTCCTGGTCCTTGAGAGCGGCCTTGGCCACAATCGAGTCTCCAAAGTCCGGGAGATTCGAAACCTCGATTTCTTCAGAGATCTTGGCGCCATTGTCCTTAGCCCACGAGAATAATCCTTCCATTGTGTTGTTTTGTGTGGTGTTCTGGATGGTGAGATTTGGTCCCCTCTTAATTAAAAATTTCGTGGAAAGTATTCGATTGCATCAGTGACGCACACAAACTTTATCGTGCAGTGCGTTGCCTGGGAGACAGGTCACAGTTTACATGTTCCCAATTGGGACAAATCATATCTCTGTATGGGGTCAGCCACACACTCCACTGTACATATACTCTCTGCCGGCCATCTCTAGAACACACGCAGCCAGCGCAACCTCACAACACAACACAGAAACATGTCTATGAAGCAATTGGAGACTTCAATGTCGAGTGTCTCCCTGCAAGAGAAGAAGCCCACTCGAATAAAGATTGCTCTGCATCCTCAGTCCAAGAGCGAACAAAATGAGACTGATCGAGCATCAAAAATTCCAACCGGACGAATCAGCACCACACAACCACAGACATACTACCGGCCTACTAACCTTACCAAAACTCCCGCCAGCCAGGTGTCTCGACGGTCTTCATACACCACAGACCCCCCATCACCACTGACGGGCATCACGGGGTTCCGAAACTATTCTCTGGACGACTTTGAGATTGGCAAGGCTCTCGGTAAGGGCAAATTTGGAAAGGTGTACCTGGTGAAGGACAAGAAGACCGGGTTCGTATCCGCCCTCAAATGCATGGAGAAGAAGGAACTGGTGGAGGGCAACGTGGAGAAGCAGTTTCGACGAGAGGTGGAGATCCAGTCCAACCTGCGACACACAAACGTGCTGCGGTTGTTTGGCCACTTTCATGACAAGGACCGAGTCTACCTCATTCTCGAGTACGTCGTGCATGGCGAGCTGTATAAGTTGCTGCGCAACCAGAAACGATTCACCGAGAGCACAGCGTCGTCGTACATTTATCAGATGAGCGAGGCGCTGCTGTATTTGCATGGGAAGAACATCATCCACAGAGACATCAAGCCTGAAAACATTCTGTTACACTTCAACGACACAATCAAAATCAGTGACTTTGGCTGGTCCGTGCATGCTCCTTCCAACAGACGAAGCACCCTCTGTGGTACCATGGACTATCTTCCCCCGGAGATAGTTCAATCGCGGCCCTACGACAAGAATGTCGACGTGTGGTCTTTGGGAATTCTTATGTACGAATTCCTGTGCGGTGCCCCTCCCTTTGAGGAGCCCGGAGGAGCTCAGGCAACCTACCGACGAATTGTCAAGCTGGACCTGCGAATTCCTCCCTACGTGTCAGCAGACGCTGCCGATCTGATCAAGCGAATGCTCACTCTGGACCCTGCCAAGCGATTCAAGCTCAAGGACATGCATAAACACCCTTGGATTGTCCGACTTCGACCCACTTGGAAGTACAAGGTGCCCAAGACCGCCTCCCATGAGAGGTCAGCCTAAGGTACCGCACATTTTTATATATAATTTCTGCGTTACATAGATACCTTACATATTAACGATATTAACAATGCTCATGAATAAATTTATGTACAGTTTAGTGTGGCCCGTCTCTTCAGAGAAGGGCCGTTTTGGTGTGGTCCGTTCAGCTTACAAAGAAAGACCGTTTCTACTGGTATGCAAAAGTTGGTTAGTCTGGGCCTTCTTGTCCTGGTTGTCGGTGAACATGTAGACCTCTCCTTCTCGGCCAAATCTGCCAGTTCTTCCGACTCGATGGATGAAATCGGTCTTGTCAAATGGTACATCGTAGAGAACCACAAATCGAAGGTTTTTCATGTCCATGCCTCTGGAGGCGATATCGGTGGTCAACAGGACCCGAACGTTTCGAGCGTTCTCAGTCTGGTCAGCAGCATCTGGCATGTTGGTGTACTTCTCCACCACCTCGTTTCGCTCGTGGAGATCCTGCTTGCCGTGAAGAGTATCAACAGGGTAGCCGTTCTCCTCGAGGAACTTCTTGAGCTCGGGGATATGTTCCTTACGGTTTCGGAACACAACCACTCGTCGCACGTAGTTCTTTTGCTTCTGAGAGTGTGAGATGGCGTACAGAGCCTGCAGTAGAGCCACCTTCTTGTTGTTGTAGTAAGGAGCCTTGTTCACGTCGACCACAGAGAACCGAATGTGGTCGGGGATAGCGTGTAGCCGGGGGGCAGCAATTACAACAACATGGGGGTAGAAGCTTCGCAGTTTTCGCAGAAATGACTTGGATACAGTGGCAGCCACAAAGGCAGCACACTTGAGCTTGGGCATCTGGGAAATCACGTCGGTAGTTGAGTCAATGAAGTTGGTATCGAACAGAGTATCGGCCTCGTCAACGACAAGATGGGTGGCACCTCCCAGGTTCTTCTCTCGAGTCTGCTGGAGCTTTTGGGGGGTGGTCACTAGTACGTCCAGACGGTTGTTGAAGGCCTTGGCGATCTCCTGGTGGCTCTGTCCAAAGGCAGAGGCAAAAGTCTTGATTCCAAGAGGCTCCTCAAACTGCTTGAGCACCTGTCCAACCTGCTGAGACAGCTCCAGAGTAGGCACCAAGATGACACTTCGCACAGTCTTGTAGTGCTTCTCCAGCTGCCAAGAGGGGAACTTCTCCTGATCCTTGAGGTCAGAGAGAAGAGGCAACAAGTAAGCCAAAGTCTTTCCGGATCCAGTCTGGGCAGCCAGCACGAAGGTCTTTTGTCTATCCACAGGAATCTTCTCCACAGTAGGCTCCTCTCCCTCATTCTTGACTCGCTGCTTGTAGGTGTAGCTCTGTCGCATGATCTTGACAGCAAGACTCTGAATGATAGACGGTTTGATATCCTGATCCTGCTTGTGTTCAGGCAGCTGGATCACATCAGGCAGGACAGCTCTCACATCAGGGTGCAGCTTGAGTTCATTGAAAGACGAGATGTTGGCGGCAAATTTCGACTCGAGAAGCCGTCGTGCCGCATCGCCGTTGATAGCTATCGATGCTGGCTGCTGCTTCTGGGCCCCCGGTGGCTTTCGTCGTACTCCAGTGGAAGGTCTGGGCTTTCCCTTGCCTCCTCCTTCTCGCGAGTTGACCTTGACCTTGGGTTTTGGGCGCATGGCAATATGTCGCACGGCCATGTCTGGGACCCCCAGGCATGGTTTTGTGATTCTTCTCAACGAATTCGCAAACATATCGAGTATCGAGTGTCGTGTTTCGTTCGGAGGCGTGGGTGCAAATAATTTCAGATACACTTTTTCTGCAGCCCTGCACAGATTTCTGCACGCCCTCTGGACAAGTCTGTATGGTGGCGAATGGGGGCATTACAGTAGTGACCGGTGTAGAATGAAAGAGTGTAGAGTCAGTATGATGGATGAATGAGAACCAAGAGTGATACAAACAGTGGGTATTGCAAAAAAAGGCCTACGTCTCTCGTAATCCATCCCGATGACTAAGCTACATAACCCAACTTTACTCTATCGAGACAACACTTTACTACCAAAAGGAACAACGGCCAAAAATGATGTGGGCGTGGAAAACCGAGGTGATTGGGGCCATTTCAAAGAGGTTGAATGGTCGTCCTCATTTTATGTTCGTGTAACCCACTAATGAAAACACGATACTGCCTCTGACTCTCAACTCTCTCAACTTTAAATCCCGGAACTACTGTAGTGCCGTTACAGTATGTAGTCAGACAGACAGTCTGGGGGTGAGTGACGTCATTAGTACCGATACTCCTCTTAGACCCCGTGGATGTCAGCTGACAAGGCAAACGGCAGCGCCGTTATACGAGATGACACAAACGATATCTAGCAATCGCACTTCGAAACGAAAATCATACGAACTACACACACCAGCCCGTGGACCTAAGACGTGTCTGCCGCACCAACCGTAATTTTTTCAAGAATACGAATTTTTAACATTATCCACTTCTCCGTTTGGTGAGGTGTGAGGGTTATAGTCTAAAAAAATGGGCTGGATATGCCAAGGCAAAACGCACTATTATGGGTGCATTATAAGACCGGGTGTGACAGTCAGACGTTAGTGGACCAGTTGAACACATACACACACTTGCACGACATCAATTTCACCATCTTCCGACTGGTGAACCCGACCGCGCAGAAACTGACCCAACAGGACTATTCTTTCCATAGGGTTTTCCCTGCACTGCAGCTCGCTCGATATTGAACTTTTAGACCATCGGAACAAGACCCCTCTACATCTTCTCTACAGCACAAAAATGAAACCGCTGCTGCTGCTGCTGCTGCCGCTGTTGGTAGCGGCCTCGGTCCATTTCGATATGAGTGTGCGCCAACCCAACGCCTGGGACCTGGGAGAGGTCTGGGAACCCCAGGCGGTGGACCCAGATATGTACTTTCCGGATTCCGAGGAGGACTTTTTAGACGACTACAATGTGACACGGGCGGTGTCCTCGCCGCAACGACAGCTGAAAAAACGTGTGGTGACAGACGAAGGGTCCGTGACGGTATTTGACTACTACGTCGGTATCAAACTGCATGCTCCAGGAGCCGGTGGTCACGCTCTGGAGGTGCCTGTTCTCATATCGGAACCACACACCTGGTTCTTTGGCAGCGAAAATGGAAACAACTCTCAAAGCCTGGTGTACAACGGAACCGCCGGACGAAATCTGACTGATGTATTTGGTCATCAGATGATAAGCGACAATGTGGACGACTGGACGCTGTTTGCAGACTACTGGACAGACGAGGTGACATTTGGACCCGAAATCGGACCCAAGGACTTTGTGTTTGGACGAAGTACGCCCATGAACCCCGCTATGCACCCTGGACTTGGCCTGGGCCCTGCACACACTGAAAGTATCATGATAAACGGCTCAGAATTCTCAACCTCATTTTTGAGTGGTCTCATGAACGGAGGGTACATTGAGAGAAGACAGTTCTCCATGTATCTGGGAGGTAATTCCACGAAATCAAAGCCCAACATCATTTTCGGGGGAGTGGACGCCAACATGGTGCGTGGAAATTGGAGCACGTTTCCCATTTTGCATGAAGCCAATGCAACGTCACGCTCACAGGAGAGATTTTTCATTGCCATGACAGGTCTGTCTCTCACGCGCCAGGATAATACAGTCGACAGTGTCGGCATGTCAGGTGACGCTGCTGTTCTGCTTGATCCACAGTTCGCATTGTCTTACATTCCCGGCGACGCTATGGTGAACCTGGCTGTCATGTTGGGAGCTGTATTTTTCGACGGATTGGGGGGATGGATTTGTGACTGTCGACTGCGAGATGTCGGCGCATTCATTAACATTCAGCTGAGTAACATCACCTTCTCCATGTCTGTATACGATGTGCTGATGCCGCTCACAGACGGGTTTGGTAAGGCTGTGAATTTTACAGGGGGAGGAGAGGCTTGTGCAGTCACGTTTTCAACGTCGGAATTCACAGGATATAATGTTCTGGGATTCAACTTTCTCCAGAACCTATACACCTCATTTGATGTGGACTCCAAGGAGGTGTCTATTGCAAAACTCAGAAAGGGAGCTCTGCAGTCTCCTTCGTACGAGCCAAACATTATTCCACTGAGAGGACCTCTCGCCAGGCATATGAATGCCACTACCATCATCCAGCCTGACATTGAATACACTTACGGCATCCCACAATTCAACACCACAAAATACCCCACAGCCGGAGGAGATCGAATGACACGAGTAGTGTTATCGGACCCCACAGGAGTTGTTACATACGAAGGAATCACTGTTCCAGGTAGTTCAGGCAGCCAGAGCAGGATTCCGTTGGACTCAGAGCCATTCACGATCCAGGTCAGTGCCTCCCCGACATCTTCAAAGCCTGGAGCCCTGATCCAGTTGTATGGAACGCCGATTTCGGGTTCTCAGACTATTTTCAAAGACGCTCCAGCCACTGGAGTCAGTACTTCCAGACCACCTCAAATCCCTCCAACAGGGATGGGAGCTCCTCGGTCTGCAGGAGAGCGGGTAGCATTGGGTATGGGGGTGATGTCGCTGGCTCTAGGCCTTGCGGTATGCATGTAAAACACTACAAGTAGCATTATTTATTTATTTATGACCCATTACGACTCTACTACAACTACCAGTACATACTGTACTTGTGCTCCAGCGTAGGTGACAACAGTACACGCGATACGCCAGTGGCTTGATAGAGCCAGTGGCTTGATAGAGCCAGATAACTCAACAGGGAATGTCCTGTGCTATACATAGAACAGTAAACGATGGGTGTGCACTACAAGTAGTACTTTTAATAGCTAAATGCGACTCAGTGAGAAATGAGTGTGCAGCAACAAGTCGCCTATGGGTCGTAAAGTTTAGTTGGAATTACTTGACTACTAAATCCAGCTGGGGGTACAAATTCGAGGATCCTGATCTGGTAGAGATTTGGAAAATACACCTGCCGAAATATATAAAGGCACTGAATAAGACTACTTGCCATAAATACTACCTCATCACACATAATTTGAAATTATTGTCATCTCTGTAAAACCCAGCCATCGATTTTACTTAAGATTCTAGTTGAGGGAGCTGTTTTGTTATGCTCCACCAGATCCTGGATTTTGAGTGGAAAATAAAGTTGATGTATGTTAAGGCCACCTTGAGATTTGCGGTGGTTATACAGACTGCGGGGTAGCGATGAGAGTGTAGATTTGAGAAGAAAATAGGATGATCAAACACCCCCTCGAAGCAGATTCGGCCAGGTTGTTTTATCAGGTCGTATTTCCGTCCCTGTACATACTTTACGTCATGTAGTGAAATTTCCATACAGCACGTGAGTTAACTTTTAGGTCATCCCGAATTTCACTCCACCATCTCGACCACCAAACCATGGATCTCACGACTCTGATCGACAAGCTGAACGTGAGCAGTGCCGCCTCGGCCCACGACCAGGCGTACTCGTTCGCGTGCCAGGCCGAAAAATATGACCCCAAGGACCTCAACATCCAGCGACACAAGCTGGTGGCTCTGATCCATCTGGAAAAGTTTGACGAGGCCGAGCAGGTTCTCCAGGACAAGGGAACCACTGGCCTGGAATTTGAGGCCGCCTACATCTACTATCGCCAGGGCAAGCACGCTGAGCTCGCCAAGGTGCTGGAGACGGCCCAGAAGGATACACGGCTGATCCACATTGCTGCGCAGGCTGCGTACAAGGAGGAGGACTTTGACCGAGCCTACGAGCTCACACAGGAGCTGCTGGGCACCGGAATAGACGAGCTGGATCTGCTTGTCAATGAGTCCGCCATCGTTGCCCAACAGGCGCTGCACAGACAGGGAGTGTTCCCCCTGACCATGACATCCACAGCCAAGTCGTCACACGACTTCCTCTTCAACCGGGCCATCGCCGAGCTCAGTGAGGGCCGGTATGACTCAGCGCTCGATCTACTGTCGCAGGCCCAGGTCGCGTGCTCCGAGGCAGACATGCCCGCGGAGGAGATTGACACCGTCAAGATCCAGGCTGCATACATTCACCAACTCAAGGGCGACACTGCTGAGGCCAAGCGAATCCTAGACTCTGTTGCCGAGTCCGGCTCGCATCTCAGTGGTCTGACCGATCTCGTTGCCGCCAACAATGCCGTCACGCTGTCTCCCGATATCACTTTCAACCCCAACGTGGCTCTGCGAAAGCTGCAAGACCACGGCCTGGGTCTGTCTTCCACCGCCAAGGGCCCCACTGCCCCCAACGGACCCGCCATCCAGGCCCAGCGAAAGGTGTTTGCCCTCAACCGGCTGATTCTAGAGGGATCAGCTGGCAAGGACACTTCTAAGCTGGCTAAGAAGCTCACCCGAACCTACCCTGGTCTCGTGTCTGCCCAGGTGGTTGCTGCTACCAACGGAAACAGCGATCTCGAGGACCTCATAGAAACTCTGCGAAAGCGGGACCCCAAGTGCACCAACATTGGCTCTGTTCTTGCCATTGCACAGGCCTACGTTCTGACGGGTCGTCTGCAGGCAGCCTACGACGCTCTGACCACCTACATCAACTCCCTACCCGAAAACCTGGCTCCCTACCCTGGTCTGATTGCAGCTACGTCGTCCATCGCGCGTCTCATGGGTAAGAAAAAGCTGGCTCTCAAGCTCATCGAGAAGGCCAACACCCAATGGCAGAAGAACAGCGCCCCCTACTCTGCCTCCCTGGCATACGCTCTGTCGCTGCTCGAGAGCAATAAGCCCTCCAACCAGAAGAAGGCCAAGAACCTGCTACTCAAGCTGGTGGAGAAGAAGCCCCGAGACGAGATTCCCCGAATCGCTCTGTCTGGAGCTCTGGGCACCCAGGAGGTTCTTACCCGAGAGATTCCTGATCTCATTTCTGGTGTCGATGTAGACAACCTCGAGGAGGTCGGCGTCATTATCCCCCAGTCTAAGAAGCGATCTGCCGAGGTGTCTACTAAGACTTCCAAGAAGCGAAAGACCAAGATTCCTGCCAACGCCGACCCTGCCGTGACCCCCGACCCTGAGCGATGGCTCGCCAAGCGAGACAGATCCACCTACAAGCCCAAGAAGGTCAAGGGAAAGAAGGTGCAGAACACTCAGGGAGGAGCTGTGGACGACTCGCTGGAGCTGGGAAGCAACACTGCCGAGAAGACCACTGTGGTCAAATCCAAGGCCAAGGGCAAGAAGAAGAAGGGAAAGAAATAAGCGGTGAAGGCTCAAAAATGGTTACATGTATGAAATACAGGTGTATTATATTCGCTTTGGGTATAGTAGGTAATCATGTCTAAAGTCATGGAAAGCTGTTACGTATGTCCACGTATACGGTAGCTATAGCTGATTATTTTTAATCCTGTAGTAATGTGACATAGACACGAAATCTCGTCTATAGTAAATTCAAATCCATTCATTATTTTATTGACCGATAAAGACCGATCCATGGTAGATGCACAAAACGCACATTGAAGCCCGTTTGTGCTGATGCGTGTCAGTTTTTTTTGCCTCCATCTATAAAACAACCCCCAATTCCGTAGCGTACCTCTTTGCTTAGGCGAAAAGAGTGTCCTCCTCTCGCAGGTACTCGCCGACATCTCCCTGTCGGAAAGCAACCATACCAGTGGGGTCCAGACGTCGGACCTCCAGAGAAGACTTTGCACTGACGCCAAAGCCCAGAGGAGAATCGCTCATGGAGTAGACAATGACTCCGGCATGCTCGGGAATGTCGTCGCTCATCTTACCGATGTGGGCCTTGAGAACGTGGTTACCATAGAGGAAGGGCATCTCTCCGTTAGGCTTGATCCAGATCTTGTGTCGAGCATGTGCAGCGAGGAGAGGAAGAGCGGTGATATGAAGTCGGAACTTGCCGGTCTTGGTGAACTTGCCGAGACAGGTGCCAACGGAGAAGAGCTGGGCTCGAGACACACAGGTGGCATACTTGGCAATCTTCTCCTCAACGTAGTAGACTCGGTCCTTCTGGAGCCGGAACACGTGAGGGTCTTCGTTATTGATGAAGTGCGAGATGTTTCGTCCAACGTAGTTGGCGAGCTTCTCGAACACGGTTTTCGTTTCTTCTTCGGTCAGAGGTCTCATTGTGTGTGGTATGTGTTGATGCTGAGGGCTGAAAATATTTAGCCTTGCAGGAAACGCAGAAAAAATATTTCCGAGCCGCACAGATGTTTAGTCAGCGGGAAGAAAGGAGAATGTCGTCCAAGTATAGAAACGAAAGTAAATGAAATAGAAGCATAGAGTCACTGTTGATTACGTCACTGTTGGTATTGGAACGCAACACATCTCTGTACGGATCTACGTTATGCTCGTCGAAGACTGTGATCATCGATGAACTGTAAGCAGCGAAGGAGCATTGTACCCTAAACGAAACATATTGAGAATAAAAATAATTTAACGAAACAGGGTAGGAAAAATCGAAGAAAAATCCATAAAAAACTATCAAACCACAAGTGAAGCCCCATTGGCATTGAAACAACTAATAATGACAGGACATTGAAGATAAACCTACAACCTGCACAGCCCATCTACTGAATTCTGTAGCGATGGTGTGTGAAAGATACAGCTGTGCGTTATCTGGATTCTAGCTACAAGTGGAATACCGGGATCTGTCTGGAAACACAAGACCTCCTAGACCTATATTTCTAATCACATCAGATGCAGCAATGCACCAAAACTACCAGTACGTACGTGTACTCGTACAAGTACTGTAATTGCTTTAGTCACTCTAAGCTCGCCATCTGGAGTTTGTCTGTCTTGTCTCTGCTTTCTGTTATTGTCTCAACCTGACACTAATTACTTACTTGTGCTGTCATGGACTGATTATGGTTAAACCCACCAATAAAAGCATTCATATTAGCAAAAGTGCTCAGTGTCCGAGATAATGAGGGTTAGAAACGCCACCTGAGACGTGTAGTCCAATTACCGCTCTGACCCTTGTACTGTGCAAATACAGCGTCTCGTCTCGCACATGTCGGTGAATAGTAAATAGTGTTCAAGGCAGGCACGGCTCCTCTTGCCATCACCACATCATGTACTGTACAGTACGGACCACAGAAGGCTCGAAAAGCAGCATGGAGTGATGATTTCCGAAGCGACAGTGTGTTGCAATCCTTTTTGTGTCTGTGTCTCCTGACAAGTGCCCCAACCTCATTGGATGCTCTTTCTCTCTTCACCACCAGTTGAAGCTAAATCACATCCAGTTGGGGGTGTCTCGGGGCTGGCGTAACAAAATGCAGACGGATGCAGAGTGGATGCCTTGGTGGATGTGGGGGGTCTTTGTCCACGGAAGTGGGTAATCACTATCGAGCTACTTCTGGTGGTACTGTAGTACAAGTCGACTGTGTCCAGCACAAGTCACAACCGGTTTTGAGTGAGAAGCTTTGTTCCACCTTCCAAACTCGTTCGACACTTCTAATTGCAGCCTTTTCATCTCATCGCAGTCATCACAGACCTGCTTAAGCGAGCCTGTCTCCCTGTGCACAGTATGTACAAGTAGGGTTGCTAATTCTATTTGGGAGGTGACATCCATAAGCTCAGAACTGGTGCCTTGATGCCCAGTACTCGTAACCCGCGGGATACTCAACCTAGATGACGTGCGGCGGCTTCTGGCCTTTGTGTGTTGAAATTCTTGTACATATTGGAAGTGTAGTGTGGTGGTGGCGGCGGTGTACATCCAGGTGTACATCCAATCCTTATCCCTGGATCATTGCACTCCTCAGAGTCTACATGACCCGGCTGGTTGGTGTCTCCACTACGACACAATTCTATGCTGCAGACCCACACCCAAAAGCAGGCCTGTCGCACCTCATTGAACACGGTCACCTCCCTCCAAAGCACAGGATGCCGCCTGAATAGCAATACTTCTCCTCTCATTGGACCCCGGCTGCAATTGGCTTTACCGTTTGATCTGTAACGTTGTTCAGGGAACCGTGGCGCAGGTGGTCTGCAACCTAGATGATTGCTATCTGGCCATATTTGGGCGGCGGATCCGTATATAAAGCGGAGTGTAGCTGTAGTCAGCCCCCACGATCAATCCACCATGTCCAAAGAACTCTACGCCAACTCCAAGGACGACGCTGTCTACTCCTACTCCTTTGGAGTTCCTTACCCCCACCATCCCTACTCATCTCAGCGGGCCGGCCCTACCGGCCCTCTGCTGCTCCAGGACACCTATCTGATTGACGCTCTGGCCCATTTCGACCGAGAGCGAATCCCCGAGCGAGTCGTCCATGCCAACGGAGGAGGAGCCCATGGCTACTTTGAGGTGACCGATGACATCTCCGACATCACATACGCCGAGCCCTTCCAGAAGATTGGCTACAAATGCCCCACCACCGTGCGATTTTCTACCGTTGGTGGTGAGCGAGGCTCTCCCGACACTGCTCGAGACCCCCGAGGTTTCGCTGTCAAGCACAAGACCGACTGGGGTAACTGGGACATGGTTGGTCTCAACTCTCCTGTTTTCTTCATTCGAGATCCTGTCAAGTTCATCCATGTCAACCACTCTCAGAAGCGAGACCCCCAGACCAACCTGACTGCCGGAGATGATGCCTCTAACTACTGGAACTATCTGGTCCAGAACCCCGAGTCTCTGCATCAGGTGGTGTACATGTTTGGAGACCGAGGTACCCCCAATGGATGGCGACACATGAACTGCTTCTCCACTCATACTTACAAGATGATCAACAAGGAGGGCAAGCTGACCTACGTCCAGTTCCACTACAAGTCCGACCAGGGAGTCAAGAACTTCACCGGACCCGAGGCTGCTGAGATGGCTGGAAAGAGCCCGGACCACGACCAGAAGGATCTCTTCTTTGCCATCGATAACGGAGACTACCCCTCCTGGACCGTTTCCCTTCAGACCATGACTCCCGAGCAGGCCGAGGAATGGGAATACTCCATTCTGGATATGACCAAGACCTGGCCCTATGACAAGTTCCCTCTGCGAAAGGTCGGAAAGCTGGTGCTCAACAAGAACGCCGAGAACTTCTTTGAGGAGATTGAGCAGGCCGCCTTCTCTCCCTCCAACCTGATCCACGGTATCGAAGCCTCTGATGATCCTGTTCTCCAGGCCCGACTCTTCTCTTACCCCGATACTGCTCGACATCGACTGGGTCCCAACTTCAACCAGCTGCCTGTCAACCAGGCCCGAACCTTCCAAAAGGGATCTGGCTGCCCATTCATGGCCGGAAACTTCCAGCGAGACGGAAACATGGCCATCCACAACCAGGGCAACCGACCCAACTACCTGTCGACGATCCGACCCATCCAGTCCGTGTCCGTACCCAACGAGGACTTCAAGAACACTCACGATTACTGCGGAGTGGTCACCAAGGAGATGGAGGACGAATCCTTCAAGGTCCAGGCCGAGGCTGCCAAGAAGCACAACGAGAAGATCTGGGAGAGCTCGTCATACCTGTACTTGTCTGGTTTCCAGGAGAGCGATGCAGCCCAACCCCGAGACCTGTACGAGAGAGTGTACGACGATGCTGCCAAGCAGCGAATGATTGACAACGTTGTTGACCATGCCTCCACCATCAAGCAGCACGGTCTCAAGGAGCAGGTCGCCAAGTACTTTGGCCGAATCAGCGACGATCTTGGCAAGAAGATCGCCGAGGGTCTTGGTGTTCCTTACTAAGCGTAACACTTCCGTTTCTGCTCGGACTTACAATAAAAGACTGCGATAATCGCATATATAACTTAATCCTATCTATATTCATAACTCGCTATCGATAATGGCACTCGCATAAACCATGTGTATGAACGTTAGATTAGGCGAGGGGGTGAGGGAAAGGAAGATTATCAGATATTGGGGGATTGTGTTCAGGTGAACGAATTCGTTCCTGTACTCCTCCTACGAGTAATTGTACAGGTATGTACTTGTTTTTGTACCCTGAGATAGGACTTGCCAGAATGTCAATAGACAACAGGTAGTGTATTATCGTGTGAAGACGCAGAAGCAGCAGCAAACGCTAGCCAGTCTAAAAAACGACTATTAATGTCTTGGCTGTATATTTGTTGAAGCCACACCGCCTTCATTATTTTCACACGGCACTGCAATCCCGACAACCACGTTGTTTTTTTGGTTTTTTTGTTTTTTTTTTTCACTTTCAGCCAGCTTTGCCTCAGAGTTCCGTTCACGCAGAGTTTCTCATATTGAGAACTGCTACACTGTTTGTGGTGATGATGGAATGGGGGAAGGTGGAGAGTGAGCTTTTGGACCTTAGCAATGGTTAGAGAACTTGGGGATAATTGTAATAAACATTGCAATAGTACACAGCGTGGGTACACAAGGAGGTTACTTAGATACCAATACACAACCTTGTATCGGAACACCACCCCCCCTCGATCGTGAACCGCAGAGTTGCTAAAGTTCAGTCCCGCCAACTCCGACCTGATAACAAATATGCGGTCGATAGAAAGTCTATGTGTCTCGAGGAGCCACCGCAAAGCTGTGGAAGGCCCCATTATCTCTGCACGAGTAGGAGTAGTAGACTGCTAGCCGCTTACATCCGTTGCCTGTTATTACAGTGGCTAATTACTGGCACCAGCAGCTCTGGGTGTGTCGGTCAACATTTAATCGGAGTTAAACTGTGATCCATTCCCCCGGGCTGGAAATGTCAGCATGGTACTAATCCATGGAGAGACAGTGCATTTCGCACATTTCCTACTACGGAAACTGTTTCCTGAGACGTAGGTTTCGTAGTCCACGCTGTCCGCACAAGACACGTTTTCCGTCTCCTCCTAACTTCAAAATGTCTCCAGGCCTTGGAGAGGAGAAGGTACATATGCATGCACAAGATATGAGGATGTAGTTTCCTCTTTGGGAAAAGACCCTCGGCAAACAAGATAACTAAAACCCCCTTGTGTTTTGGTAGTTGCATGTGGGGAAATAGTCTGCCATTTATTCTGTGTGGAGGTGACACGTGTCCACGGTGAGGGCACACGACACGGAGCAACCCCCCCACGCTCCTCAGATGGGTTATATAGTAACGTCTTTTCCCGCTCCCTCCAAATGTCCCAACGCCATCGGACACCCAAAATCTAGACTTGTAGTGTAAAATGGACGTTACAACTAAGATAATGTTTAGAGTTTGGATAGAGGATGCGTTTAAAGTACGTGTGCCCTAACCCAGCTGATATCGGAATTTTAGCCGCCATTTTGGCCGGTGCATGAGAGCCCTGCCTACTTACTTATATCCTCCACTTTCGACCTACGCGATCTTCCAAACCTCCCCTAAGAACCTCACCCAACCCCATTTGCTTCACCTAATCCTCACCATGTCAATCAGAAAACTTACAGTTGAAGACTTTGAACCTGCCGTTAAATGCATCACAGCCTGCTTTGAGTCCGATGAGGTCGACCGGTATCTGTCGCATTGTGACGGCCGTACAGAGGCCGAGGCCCGCAAACTCGATGAAGAAATCTTCGGATATATCATATACGCCCATCTGATGAACGGACTGGTCATCACCATTGGCGACTTTGAAGGTATTGCCTGTTGGATGCCCCCCGGAAAGAACATGGACGACTGGTGGACCATTTTGCGAAGTGGTATGTGGCGTGTCAACTTCAAGTTTGGCGCCGAGGGCCGAGCCCGATACTTCAACGAATTCCTGCCCTTGCTCAACGAGACCAAGGCCCGGATTTTGGGCCCCGAACGAGACCAGAACTCGTGGTACCTGGTGTACCTTGGAACGTTACCTACTGCTCGAGGCAAGGGCTACTCTCGAAAGCTCGTCGAGTACGTTACCGCCATGGCTGACGCTGACTTCCTCTACTGCTATCTCGAGTCTTCTGCCTTTGAGAACCGGGCCATCTACGAACGATTTGGATTCACATACAAGGATACCATCCACCTGAAACGAAGTGAGGAGCCTATCCCTCTGGAGATTATGGTGCGAGAACCCAACCCCATCATTCCGGAGCGGGCTCTGCGAAAACCTGCCATCAAGGCCGACTCTCCCAAGCTCCAGGTCCAGCACGTGGAGGACATGGTAGAGCAGCGCAGTATGGCCACTGCTGCCAAGATCTAGTGAGCGAGACGACAGCATTTGTCGTGACTCGGAACTAGCTGCAGCTTTATTTATTGAGTGCATTCTGATGAGATCTGTATTGAACATTATATTTGAGACTGCCCTGTAGTTGTAAAACTCCGATTATGTGTCGCGGTTGCATGCCACTTGTTTTGAGTTGAGAGGTTGAAAAGATCTCACTACACTGTAGATAACATTGCTAACTGTGTCGAATTGTAGCATTTGTATGAAATTGTCTACTTCAGCTCAGCCATATCCCCCCACATTTCTGCACATGTAATGAGATGCCAGTACAAGGACGGTATTGTATTGTATCGTACATGACAATCACTTGTCTGTGCTTATCATCGGTTTCTAGAAGCGAAGCCTAATTTACGCTGCAGATTTCGGTGAGGCAGAACTATACGCACCAGAGATTGGGACCTATCTAAAATAAGAGCGGTTTTAAACACGACTTTTTAACGTAACGTGCAGAGCATGAGATGGGAATGGTTGGCAAGTCTCTCACCGTTGTTGTCACCAGGTTTTATAATATTTCAGGCCCAATTGTGCCTGTCTGAGATCCCTCGGGATCCCGATCAGGAAGCTGTTTCCGCTGAACTTAATCCAGGCTATTTATATATATTTTTCACGCCTCGCATACAATTGGACCTGATCCACCCAAAGTATATGTGATAATTGTCCGTTCGAGGCTGACCTCTTGGGGACTGGTTTTTGTTGAGCTGAAGAGGTCAGCCTCGGTCCAAAGAAGCATTATCTGCAAGTACAGTAACTTTCCACGCACTGCTACTTGTAGATTCTCCATTGACACTCATCTACAGTAAATACGCTCTGTTGTGGTGAATGACAATTAGCTGCTGCCATACTACCTCCCGAACTGTATGCCCGTATCCGAAACGTCGTACAGTATGTGTGAATGCCGTGATGGTGAAAATGAACCGTATGTAAAATCGCCTTGTTTGCCACCTGGTATGGCTGGTCTAGGCCTATACTTGTAGTTTCGTCTTGTTTCGCCACGAAGTCACTCATCACGTGCCCTGCATGGTTGGGGTATGGTACAGTACAGTACTTGAAGATCAAGTAGGAGGCGCCCCAGGGAGGCGATGTTTACGTCATTGTGTCACAATAGAGACGTCCACCAACAGCTACATGTCTTCAGTTGCAGTGGAGACGTTCCCCATTCGTCATAGCTATCACCTGTCTGAGACCGCCCCACCCATGTACGTAACTCCCATCACAACAATGTGATCTGTCACCTGTCTGAATGAAATTTTCTGGTAAACGGTGGCTGCGTAGTTTGCCACGGAGCTCCCCTCTACCACCCCTCTTATTTGTGGTGTTTCGTCGCTCTCCAAATTTTCACATCTTCATCATTCTTTGCCTAGCGCTGGTCATGCGCCACCAAACCGGCAAGTCGGCAAAAGTACAAATCTCCGACTTCTCCGGATGCAGATAACTGGATTAAATTCGTGGAAAATCGTAGAATTTCCTGAAAAAGAATGGTGTGACAATAATGTCCCTAGCCGGGGACTAATCCACATCTATTCCGGCGTCTAAACTCGGGTTTACTCCCGACATAGAGCAGATCCCCTCAGCGGCTATTCCTCGTGCTAAAGCTAGAGAATTAGAATGTGATCTCGAGGAATTCTAACCTAGGAAAAATTGAAAAATTCGGATTGAATGTTGGAGAAAATTGCAATAAATCAGTATGACTCTACTTGTAGCGCAACAGCCGTTGCATCATGTATCAAAACTACTGTTTCTCTCCAATTTTCCCGCACACAGAAACATTCTATCACGTGTTGTGTTCCATACCTGAGGGTAACATATTTGACATACTCATCCCTTTAACAACCATATAGCCGCTACATACTACACAGTAATAGGCTTTCATTAGTGTCGCGTATGAACCCGTATGTAACATTTCCCTGGCAAGATTTTTAAAGAACGACTTAATTATCGGATCCGAACGGGGAAAACGTCAGATCAACAAATATCGTCCGCTGTATATCAGAATGAATTTATCTTGAAAATTTCCATTTTACTCAAATTAATGCTCCATGTCAAGGTCCACCAATTACCACGTCTGTGTTTGCAGACTGCTGCTTACCCTGATGCCGTTTGACTTCCCCTCCACGTTAGCTCATGTAGGCCCAGATAACCTCCCGCCCTGTCTTTTGGTGATGCAAATAAACGCGGATTCACGAAGCACCCCGGACACGTGACCGGTCTCGAAAAAAGACGAAAATTCACATAGCCATTTCTTTTTTGTACAAAAGGACCCCCAGGGACCCCCCCCTTAACTCGCTTGGCTCTCGTGTAAAATCGTTTCAAAGGTCTGTTATCTATGTTTCTCTGCATCCCACATGTCCGCGTGATAACCCAAAGTGCCACCTAACGGATCGGCTTTCTTATTTGGGCAAGAGATAGTGCCTTGAACTTGATGAATGTCGGAATTTTGGGGAATTTTGGTACACCAATGGATTGCCTAACACGAGAGGAACACTTCTATGCAGTCGGATTTTTTATTGCACCATTATTGCACGTCCTGGAGACATTCCCATAAGCCCCAAAACACCGAATATGTGACCATGAACCTATTTAAAACCCTAATACTGATAGCGCACCCAATACCCACTACACACCCTCACACAAACCGCCTACGCCTCCTTCGTGCCGTTCCGAAGAGATAAAAGCAAAATATTTATACCTCCTCGGGCGCCCCGATCTCACCTCTTTTCTCTTCTCCATAAAGTACGACCCCAGGACATACACCTCTTTTGCCCACATTGTCGCACACTGGAATCTAAGTACAGTTTGTAAACAGTAGTGAAGAACAGGATGACTAACGCTATGAACGCCGAGACTATGATCGCTTCTTCTGCCCCCATTCACGCCCCGGGGGCCTCCAAAACCATGCCCGTTGACATCCCCAAGAAGGGAGTCATTTCCGTGGGCCCCATTCTGACCCCCAAGAACTCCTCCAACATGCCCAACTCCACAACTCCAAGACGATGTACCTTTACCGACTTTGATCGAATTGTTGAGTGTCTGTCTCTGTGTTTCTCTGGAGACCCCGTCGACGCCTACTACACCCAATGTGACGGCCAAACCGAGGAAGAGTCCCACAAACTCGATATCGAGATTTTCTCTTACGCAACCTATGTCTATCTTCTCAAGGGTCGAATCTACACCATTGGCGACTTTGAAGGTATTTCCTGTTGGTTGCCTCCCGGAGAAGAGGCTGACGATTGGTGGACAGCCCTCCGGTCTGGAGGTTGGACCCTTCCTTACAAGTTTGGTAAGGAGGGCCGAATCAGATACTTCAAGGAGTACCTGCCCAAGATTGACGAAGCCCGAGAACGTCACCTCAAGCCCGAAGACGCCTACAACGTGTGGTATCTCGGCTATCTCGGAACCCTGCCTTCAGCCCGAGGAAAGGGTTTGTCTCGAAAGCTCGTGGAGCACGTGACCAACATTGCCGACAAGCAGGGACTCTACTGCTACCTGGAGTCGACCAAACTGACCAACCAAGTCATTTATGAGCGATTTGGATTCGATCTGAGAGAAACCTTCTACCTGACTCGAGCAGAAACCCCTGTCCCAGTGCAGTTCATGATTCGTGCTCCTAAACCTAATCCCGTCAAGAATCGACGCTTACTGGAGGCCATGATGACTCCTCCTCACTCTCCTGAGCCCGAGTGCCAACTCATGCTCATGTGATAGAGACTGACGACAGTTATCATGGCCTAATACCGGTTCTGTAAAGGTAGAACCTCACACTCGTTACTAAGGGGAGAGGAAGACAGAGAAACTACAGAAAGCCACAAAAAAAAAGCGACAAAACAACAAAAACAACAAAAACAACAACCAGCTAACTCTTAAAACAATGTGTGTCAAGTAATTAATAAAAATGAGTGTGGAAATGCGTTTATATCTGTGGATTCGGACTGCAGTGTCACACAGCAATCTTGAAAACATAATGTTGATTAGGTTGTTATCGGAACTTAATGTTCTAAGACAAGGGACAGGCTTGAAGATGCCCTGTGTAGAGCGATATCGACATATAAGTTGGAGGTGTTTTGTCTTTTAAAGCGAATCACCAATGTAGTGTTTTCTGGGTACGTTTATGGTTGCGACTCTCGCATACTTAAGTTGTACAGAAATATACTTGGACAGTATGAAATTTACTTATGCAATAGTTGATACGAAATGAGGACAGCAATATGGCCAGAATTCAATAAAAAAAACTGTGACAACTACTGTATGTACTTGTACAGTATGTACTGTACCTACTCAATCTGTACGATATATCAGTCGATCATAAAGAGAGCATGTCGTCTTCAGAAACTGTCAATTTATAGTAAGTATATAAGGAAAATGCAATTTTAGTCTATTTATATGAGGGATCAAAGGGATCCAGGTTGGGATTCTGAGACTGGCTGTGAGGTTGATGGTCGAGTTGGAACGGAAGATGCGGTGATTGAGATCGAGAAGATAGATGACTGTCCTGTGCCCCAGACGCGCGTCTCTGGTATGATCGTTCAGATGGTCTTCTGTCGTAAGACTGTTCAGACGGTCTTCTGTCATAAGGCTCGGAAGGTCTTCTTGTAGACGACTGTTGCGATGGACGTCTTGAGTAAGCCTGTTCGGGTCTCTCGCGAACATCTGATGGTTGTCTACCCCCTCTGTACTCGGAAGGATCATATCTGGGAGGACTGTAACTGAACGATTGAGTCTCGGGCTCCAGGAATGTGCTGATGGAACCTCCCGAGGTGCTAATGTTGGGATTCTGGTACAAGCTCGAGCTGTTATCGCTGATATAAAGCCTGCTTGTAGAGCTGCTGTCGTTTTGGTAAAGAGATCCTGAGGCCTGTCTCACTGGAGTGGGCTTTCTGGGAACTTTATGAACACCATTGGAGAATCCAGAGACTGTCAAGTTTGATTGCTCAGTGTCACTTCGTTTGATGCTCGTGATGTCGCTAAATTCAGACTTGGAAAGCGGGTCTGAGGGCTCAGCGAGAGTGTTTCGAGAGTCATACGACTGTAGATCACTCAGAGAGTACTCCTTATTACTGTAAAACTCTTCAGCGACCTGGTCGGCTGCCAACAAGTTGGTTTTAGAGCCACCATAAGCTTCCAGGTGAGCATTGGAGTGGCCGTAACCAATATTTTCTTCTTCGGTACCCAGGAACTCGATGGTGGGCAGTGTGGGTTGTTTGGACATTCTCGAGTTCTCCAGAGCCAGGTTCTGCATGCCACGTTTGTGGTACTTCGCAACTAGGTGTGCCACTCGTTTGTCTATTCGGACACAGCAGTACTCTTCCAGCGAGTGACACCTGTGTCGTTTTACTTGGGTCCACACAGAGCATGAACAGAGCATTGCCAGAATGAACATGAACATGGAGATGACCCAGATGAGCAGCGAGAATGCCATGAAGGATACAACGACAGCCTCAATATGTGACTTCTCAGCCAGAGCTGTAACAGCCCCCACAAAGTCGTCGTCAATTTTGAGCACTGAATACAGAGTGAGAGCATTTAGAACCTGTCTCGGTCCCTCAGCTAACAGGAGGTTCGCCCAGCCCTTGAAAGTGAAGAAGACAAACAGGGCAACGTAGTCGGTGAACTCCTTAGACTTGGTGATCTTAGCAAACAAACAAAAGTAGTTGAAACCTTTGATGGAGTAGATTGTTCGACAGATGGGGTTTGTGTATGTGAGACAGATGTTATACCGTTTCCACACACGGTAAGCCTGGATGTAGTCGTAGATGAGAAGCACAAATGAGAAGAGAATGCAGCCTCCAAACAGCCATCGGGAGATGTGGAAGGGCACGTAGGGGGTGATGGAAGAGGCCCAGCGGTCGAACGCCAACAACATGATGGCTGTGTAAATATCTGAGGCATAAACTGCCAGAGTGATGATGATCTGGACATACATGAAGATGTACGAGATGATGATTCGGAAGGAAGTGCTGTGGAACTGGGTCATGTCCACCAGGTCGAACGACGACTGGCCGACTTGGCGTGCCCATTTCTCCCGGTTTTCAAAGCAGAAGAATGGGAACATGAGAATGGGTTGTATGCAGTTATGGTGATGAGATAGGAGTGAGATGACTTACTGATTCAACTCGTTTAGGTGGTGTGCAAGAGGAAATGATATGTTGCGTGAAAAGATGTATGCCGTCGTACTGAATATCTTTCGAGAGCCGTCTATCTTGTCTGTATTGTCCTCTTGTGAAGTTGTTTGTATCGCCAAGAGCAGTCTTACAAATAGTCACTCTCTCGTTGTCCGTTGTCAGTCCGATGATGTAATGCTGATGCAGAGTCGATGTCGACTTGTGTCTGAGTCGGTGTTGGAAGATGGACAGTCGAAGGGGTTGTTGTATGCAAAAATTATGCTCCGGGTGGTTCGGTTTGTCCTCTGTCCTCAAACAGCCCCAGCGATGAGGCTCCAAGTGGTTGGTCTCAACATCTCACCCACCTGTGCACCATAGTGCATACCCACCTACTACCCAAGGTTAAACTCGGCAGATAATTTCCCTGTGTTCACATAGTCCAGAGCCCCTAGGTAAGAAAAAGGGGGAGCGCGTGTAAAAGTGATACAAGTGGAAATGTGCCAATTTTACAGCGAGTTCTACTGTTACAAAGGGTTGAAATTGATTACAATAACCCAGAATTTCCCCAAACGGTCCCCCTCTGTCATTCTATCTCCACATCGAACCCTCCTTGTCGATCCAAGTGGGCACTGCTTCATAAAAACCTTAGCGCTCCCAAAGTTGTGTCTGTGTGGCTACGCGTGGATCTGAAACATGAAACGCATATCTGTACGAGTCGTACAATACGAGTACTTGTACTTATGTTATGGCTGTTGGGTGACGTTTGGAGCCGTAAAAATCTGAGAGGTATTTTCCAGACATATATATATAGAAGACTTTCCTGGGTCTTCCGTTGTTTTTATGGCTCTCCAACCCTCGTATTTAGTGTTCTTCGCTGTACACCATCTGGTAATTAGGCGTATGTTTGGTGTCACACGTAACAAGTGTTTTAGTATATACGCCACACTAGTCGTGGTCGGAGAATGAATATTGAGACTAACAAACATGATAGGTGAATTTTTCAGTATGTCAGAGTCAGTTTGGCGAAATAAATTCCTGGTAGCTCCTGTATCAATGACTTTAGCGGTCTTCTATATCGTCGTCTCCTCTCGAGTGTTTTCAGTTGTCTCCACTACAAGTAGTTCCTATTTATAGCCGTGTGAATGTGTTGCATGCAAATTACAAGAGCGAGAGAACCAAAAAAAAATAAAAAAATGGTTCGTGAAACTGAGACAGTGAACTGACTGTTGTGAAAGACGATACACATAGGTGTTATTGGTCTTTTAGCCGTGGAAAAACACACTTGTACCTACAAGAGCCGGTACACGTGGATAGGAAAAGTTTGATGGTTATAAAGATGAACAGCAGTACAAGTACGAGAGTATACTGAAGGCCGACATGGAAAAGCTACAAGTACATTTGAGGTATGGCGGGAGCAGTCTTTCTCCTTCAATACATGAGGCAGAGACCCTTCAGAGTTAAACTAAGAAGCCAACTGGGATACGCCAATACTTGGGTCAATCGTTAAAGGGTGAAGCTGGTGGGATACAAGTACAGTATACAGTATGTACGAAAAGTGAGATAGAAGGTCCTTTCCATGCATATAAATGCGTTAGATATGACAAACCAACAAAACTGCATTTTATGTCATACTTATCGAGCTCTCTCAGAGTGATACATGATCCGCCTAACTAACTGTAGAAACAGTAACCTCCATCTTCTCAAAGGGAATACAGTACACACAGTAGTGCAAAAAGACGTGTGCCATTATTATATTCACAGCTGACAAATTGCTACCAACTTGTGTGTATGGTGTATACTTTTCATACCGTTGAAAGTGGTGTATCCGTCATACTGTGTCTTTTGAGACCAACAGTCGTCGACCACCACCCAATTAGACCACTTGGGTATTAGAAGAATAATAAACATTTAATAAGTGTCATTCCAACTAAACTTTTTCACACCAAAGTAATCCTAACCAAGTCCCGTGGTCTTGGTGCCATGATTCAATCAATGTTCCAATCACACTAGGAACCAATTCAAGAGAAAAAAATACATCTTCCTGATTCCAGTGCTCCCCCTGATGACTTTCCTATCAACGTATACCTATTTTCCATCCCGGTGCTCAACCTGTGCGTTTCTATCTTGCGTCTCTATCGTGGATTATTAAGCGGTGGATCACCCCAGAAGCAACCATGGGTCAATCATAGACCATGAAGTACACAAAAAAAGCAATAAATTGACGACAGATCTTCTGAATGTCAACTATCACTCCTCCCTAGTTCACTTGAAAGCAATCACATGATATTTCGGACATGTCACTGCACCATATCAGACTGCACTAAACACGCATTATCTCCGGTCCTCCCACTTCGCACCGCACACCCAAATTACAGGTGGCCACTACCGGGTAACTCTATATGCCGCAACACTGCTTGTCAGTTACAGCACATACATCCCGACACCAGCCCTTGAGCATCATCTGCTAACAAAAAATCAATTGAGCAACAATGGCGCATCTGGGAACCCCTGCGGTTGTCATGGGTGAGTATCGCGTGACTGGATGGACACGGCAGGATTTTCAAGGGGACTCTACTAACTTCAGACAAGTGAGTAATTCAGTGGTTTATCTCCATTGAGACATTTTGGAGAGGTGATGAGGGTTATGCTGTGGGATGATGGTGATGATGAACAGAATGAGAATGAGAGAAATGAGAAGGAACAAGAGAGTGCTGACAGACGATGATGGCTGTTGTGGAATGTCATAACCAACTATGGTTCTTCAATCGATCTTTGGACACAGGCCGCATGTCGATATTGATACATCGACATCTACATCGACGAAGACACAACGACATAACGATACAGTCAGAAACATACAGCAACGGAAGCGATCAGTGGCTACACTAAGATTATGTTATCATATCATCAGAGAAAACATAACCCGTCATATTTGTTTCAAGTCCTCTTTGTATCATCTACGCAAACCCGATACCCCACATTGATATGTGATTGTGTGGTGTGAAAGGCAACATCAACACCATAGCCTGTCATTCATCCCAGCCCACCCACGACCAAACATATACTAACTACAGCGGTACCGGTTACACAAAACTCGGTTTTGCCGGTAACGATGCCCCCTCTTTCGTCTTCCCTACAGTGATTGCCACCGCCAAAGGATCTTCCGGCGGCAACATCAGTCGTAAGGGTACCGAAGACCTCGACTTTTACATTGGCGACGAGGCCCTCGCCGCCGCCAACGGCCCTGCCTACTCGGTCAACTATCCCATTCGACACGGTCAGATTGAAAACTGGGATCACATGGAGCGGTTCTGGGAGAACTCGATTTTCAAATACTTGCGATGCGAGCCCGAAGATCATCATTTCCTGCTAACTGAGCCTCCTCTCAATCCCCCCGAGAACCGAGAAAACACCGCCGAGATCATGTTTGAGTCTTTCAACTGTGCCGGTCTCTACATTGCCGTACAGGCTGTCCTGGCTCTGGCCGCATCTTGGACTTCCAACAAGGTGACTGATCGATCTCTGACCGGAACCGTCATCGACTCCGGAGACGGTGTCACCCACGTGATCCCTGTCGCCGAGGGTTACGTTATCGGCTCGGCCATCAAGTCCATCCCCATTGCGGGCCGAGACATCACCTACTTCATTCAGAACATGCTTCGAGACCGAAACGAGCCCGACACGTCGCTCAAGACCGCAGAGCAGATCAAGGAGAACTACTGTTATGTGTGTCCGGACATTGTCAAGGAGTTCAACCGATTCGACAACGACCCTGACCGATTCCAAAAGTACATGGCCGACCAGGGTCTGCATCGACGAGCCACCGTGGATGTTGGATACGAGCGATTTTTGGCCCCTGAGATCTTCTTCAATCCCGAAATTGCCTCGTCCGACTTCCTGACCCCTCTGTCCGAGGTGGTCGACACCGTGGTCCAGTCCTCGCCCATTGATGTGCGACGAGGTCTCTACAAGAACATTGTTCTGTCTGGAGGATCAACCATGTTCAAGGATTTCGGCCGACGTCTGCAGCGAGACATTCGAACTCTTGCTGACGATCGACTTGCTGCTAACCAGCGGGCGACCGGAGTCAAGTCTTCGGGAGTCGATGTGAAGGTCATCTCACACTCCAAGCAGCGAAACGCTGTATGGTATGGAGGATCTCTGCTGTCTTCTACTCCCGAGTTCAAGAACTACTGCTACACCAAGCAGGATTACGACGAGATGGGACCTGGTATTGTGCGAAACTTTTCTCTGTTTTCCATGGTCTAGGGATTGTATGTAGTGTACATTTATGATATAACGATTGATCCAGCCCAGTGTCATGATACACGAGGTGAGTTGGTAGAAATGTTGGGTGTACTATAGAAGGCTATGTGTACACTATGTTGATAATTAATTATAAGAATACTGATGAAAGAATTCTCGTCTCAAGAGCCAATGACCCTACGTATTACGTAGTGTCCTGTGCCAAGAGTGCGTAATATCCGAGATAATAGTGCAGTTGACGTTGGTGCACAAGCCAATGGCAGCACGTTGTGGTTATTGTGGCTTTTCCTACTCCGTTGCTCCTGTCTGCTGTTATTGCTACTGCTACTGGTCGCTACTTGAAGCTACTGTCTGTGTGTAATTATATCTAATAAATGTATTCAGAAAATGCTAAAGAATAAATAGAGATCTACCAATCGATAGACCGTGAAAGTCAGAGAAGAATGTGGTTGTGAAAAGTCGTGATTGTAGAGTCGTAAAGTGTTTTGAAGTGGCCCTAGCGATCTGCTTAAGATCGCATGTAGTTGAGCAGACCCTGAATACCAGCGTCGAAGCCCTGGTCCCACTCCCAGATGGCACCGGAGTTACCCTTAGCAGCAATGTGCTGGGCTCGTCGGGCGTCCTGCCAGGCGTTGATTCGGCCAATGGTGGAGCCGTGGAACTCGTAGAAGGCGGCAGCGTCCTGCCATCCCGAAACGTATCCATCGGCGTATCGCCAGTGCTCGTAGTTACCCTGATGCTGGTCCCAGTAGGCAGAGTGCTCCTCGGTAGCCTTGGTGGCTGCCTCCTTGATGCCGGCCTTGGGATCCTTGTTGGAGCCTCCGTTGGAGAAGGTCGGGAGGGCGCCCTTCTGGGTCATGGGTTTGAAGCCCCAATCGCCTCCATCGCCGTACTGGAACTTGTAAGTCCAGAAGAACCATCCGGCTCGGGCATTCTGGTTGAAGGACTCAATTTGAACCTGGCCGTACTTGATGGCAAGCTGCTCTCGGTCCTCACCGCCGGCCTTAGCCCAGGTCTCCTCGGAGAAGACACAGGAGAACTCGCCGACAATAGAATCAGCCTGGGCCTTTCCAACATTGAGGTAGGCGGGAACGTTGGCAATGTTCTGCTGGGGAGAGTTGCCCTTGTCCTGCTCGGAGAAGGCCTTGTAGACGTGCGAGTCGACAACAAAACCAGTGTTCTGACCGGCAGAAAGCTTCTGGTTCTGCTCCTGGACCCACTCGTTCCATTCGGTAGGAGCCCAGCCATCGGAGATGTAGACGGGAACGTCAGGGTTCACCTGTCGGATGGCCTCGAGAGCTCGCAGGTAGTAAGAGCCCTCCTTGGAAGTGGAAGCGTCGTAGACGGCCTCGTTGACGACCTCGATACCGAGAACGTTGTCGTATGAAAGCACGTCCTTGGCGACCCACTGGAGAGCGTCAATAGCAATCTTCTGGTCGCTTCGAGAGTCCCAGAACTCGACCTTACCGGAAGAGGTTCCAGAGTGAGCGTCTCCGTTGGCGCCGCCGGGAACGGCATGCAGATCAATCAGAACAGCAATGTTGGCGGCTCGGGCCTTGTCGAGAATGTTGGTCTTGAAAATGGACCAGGCGTTCTGGTAGACGGACTGGTACTGCTGGAAGGGGGTGCCCTGGGTGAAGGCGCCTCCGTTGATGGTCCAGTAGCCCATGGGCACTCGGATGGCGTTGGCTCCCACAGACTGCAGGTACGAGAAGTCGTCGTCGGTGATCCAGGTGTTCCAGTGGTCCTCAAACTTCTTCTGGGCGCCGCCGGCACCCTGTTCGGCAACGAGAGCGGTCACAGCGTCGAGCTCAGCGTCTCCCTTGGCGGAGTCGGGGAACATGCCAGGGGTCAGCCACTTCTCGAGAAGGAACATGGAGCCAATGTTGGGGCCATGGTTGTTTCGCGACTGGAAGATGGTTCGGTCATTGGGAGCCTGGTTGGGCTTGCTGAGGTCGGCAGCGGCCACGGGGCCAACGTTGTTGACCATGTCTCTGATTTTGGTTCCAAGTCCCATGTTGTGAGTGTCGGTGGTAGTGTCGGTGGTGGAGTCTTCCTGGTGAACGGGGATAAAGAGGGGGATGAGACTGGGGTTAGGCTCGGTCTCAATTGATGCGGTGGCAGGTTCGGGAATGGAAGAAGTAGAAGAAGAAACCTCAATGGTGTGGGTCTCGGAGCTAAGATTGCTACCAGAAGTTAAGGTTGCGGTATATGCTGCGGACGAGGTACCAGCTGAACTTTGCTCCCGGAGAGCAGCAGCAGAGGCAGAGGCCAGTCCGAGATTGCAGTCGACAGAAGTCTCGACGGTGTCTCGCTTGTTGTGGACAGTGCCGCTCAGGGCAACGCCGTTGAATGCAGGAAAGGGTTTGGGCAGAATGGTAACATATCTGACTGTGGGGGAGGGTTCGGGGGTTGCGGCGTCGGAAATTATCGTCTCAGAGGCTGTTTCGAACACGGTTTCTAGCACCGTAGAGTGAATCTCCACAGTGACGGCGGCAGACATGGCCACAGAGGCCATAGAAAGGAGAGTTGTGAACTTCATCGCAAATGAAAGTGAATAGCGTCAATTGACAATGTCGGATAGACAGTAATAAGAAAGTGTCGGATAGACAGTAGGTGTCGGATGGACAGTGGGTGTCGGATAGACAGTGAGTGTCGGATGGACAAGTGGTGGAGGTGTCGGATGGACAAGTGAGTGTCAAAAGACTGTAGAAGTTGTGAAAGAGAGTGTTGATGAGATTGTCTGATGAGAATACAAGTTTCGAGGATTGTTCACATCTATATATACTGAGTGCATCTTTATTTCCCCAGACTATTTCCCAGCCTTGCATTTTTTCATCTCCGCAGGGCTGCCACATAACCTCACCGAAGTATGCTGTGGCAACCAGCATCTCAACGTTCCCTGCATCTTACACGTCCAAACCATCGCTCGGGTGTGTCTACCGAAACCCAATCTGCAGTCTTGGTGTCAGACACACTCTGGTTTGGTCCATCTTCTCTAGCCGTAAAAGCTCTTTTTTCCCTCTTCTATCTTCCCTCAACCAGCCTCCCAACTACTGGTACAGCTCTCATGCACGATACCACAAGAGAGACCTTATCTGAAGGTGGCGATCCAGCCCCGAGGCACTTGCCACACGAACAATGGGCTGGAAGAGACAGGGGTCGTGTGTTTCATCGTTTGATTACAATGGTCTAAATGAGTCAAATCCGATCAGCTGTAACACACGTGGAGATGGGGGCACCTGGCGTGTGTGGAGATGAGATCCTTGACATGCTGATATGCAGGTCTCAATCTTCGCAAGCTCTGTCTAACAAAATATCACACATACCACTTCACTTCTACAGTATTATTATCCACCGTTGCCCACACTAGTTGTAATATTTCCGAACACTGACCCAATAATCAGACCCCAGGGTCCTCCAAAAGTTGTTTTCTTAGTGTACTGTTGAAGACCAGCGCTCAAAACAACCACCCTCAGAAAGGACGGTGGGCTACCAGCCTCATTGTGTTTGGGCCTAATGTGGCATAACCCTACCCCTGTTGATGCACTGGAAACGTTATCTGTTACCAGCAAAAACTTGTGCTGACGCGATTGCTAACGCCGTAGAAGTTGCACTAGCGGTTGAGCTATTCAGGGAGATGTAATAATGGAATATTCTGTGTTTTTCACACGATTTGAACCAATTTCAGCTATGCAAACCCCTAGATAGACATTTATGATAGACATTAAAAGACGTTCAAATACGATGAGGCACCTGAAACTCTATTTTGCAATGACCAGATGATCCTGTTTACCCTAACCCAACCTGACTGGAAATTAAGGGCCACAAACGCACAAACGCAGTCCACACGTGGGGAACATCATGTGTGACGTAATGTCAGATCGGTTATTACATTTCATTCTTTGTCCATGTGTTGGATTTGCTCTTTGTGGCGTTTCAGATTGTATTCTCCGTTGAAATTTGCAGATCTATGACGTCACAGCGTCTGTTTGAACTGTTGGAGAACAGTTGCAGCGGTACTTGTATGTAGACAGATATGAAGTCCAACTGTACCATGATGCTTTGGCTTATCAAGCCTCCCTTTTATGAGGTGGGTAACAATTGCTTGTTTATGCCCCCATTATAATGGTCCTATGTGGTACAATAAAAATGCATTCAGTTATATGTAGTGTGGATCAATGTCCATCTCTTTTATCCTTTTCTCACCTTCTCTTTTCGTATCGTTATTAGTGGTCGTCGTCGCTGCTGCTACTGCTGAAGTCGTAATCCTCATCTGGTCTCTGTTGAACGTACTCTCCGATGTCGAAAAGAGGACCCACAGTCTTGACCCAGGTCTGGTCCCAGGTGTTTCGAGACTCGATCATAGCTCCTCGCTTGATGTTGTCAAGTTTTCCACGGTTGGAAAACAAGGACATGAAAGTGTTGCCCATCTCCACGTGGCCCTTGACAGCCACACCGTTGGTGTTGGTCTTGACCAGCTCAGAAAGAGCAGCGTAGTCCACAGACACCACAGGAATGCCACATCCAAACATATCAACGACCTTCATGGGCAGATCATAGCCTGAAGAAGACTCATGGAGAGACACTCCGAGGTGGGCAGCGCCCAGAATTCGAGGGTAGTCGGCAAACTCGAGCCAGGCGGTTCGAATGGACACTCTCTTTAACTGCAGCTTTTCCACCTTGGCCAAGAACTCGGGCATCATGGGTCCCTTTCCAGTTATGATGACACGGAGAGGAGGGAGGTCGAGTTTGGATTCGTCGTAGAGAGCCAGAGCGTCGAGGAGAATGTTGAAGTTCTCGTCGGGAGTGTACGATGTACTGGACACGATAATCTTGTGATCAGCGGTCATGTCGTCATAGAGAGTCTCCTTAAAGTCTCTGAGCACATCGAGCTTCTCAGATTCGCTGAGAGGCTTGAAGTGGAAAGCAGGTCGGTCGTGCAAGGGCACAATTCGTCGTCCACTCATTCCAAATGTCTTTCGCATAGCCTGACCCATTAGAACAGTCACACACAGATGAACAAAGGCTCTACCTCCAAAGAAACCCTCGTAGAACTTAGCAAACTTGACCATTGGGTGAGTCTCGGGCAGCTTGAGAGCCAAGATGGTGTAGCCAAAGTTGTGCCAGTCCAGAACGACCTTGGTTCGAGTGCTTAGGAACAGGTTGTAGAACCTTACAACTCCAAGGGTAGGGATTGAGGGAGGGTTCTGCACGAGTAGGTAGTCAGCGCCTCGCAGTTTGTAGAGCAGAGAAATCAACAGCCAGTGCTGTCGGATAACCTTGAGAATGCCAAACACGACAAATGGCAGTTTGCGTGTGTTGAGGATCAAAGGAATGTGGTGGATCTTGATGAGATCATTGTTGAGGATCTCGTCGAAGGGCTTTGCGCCGTCGTATCCGCACAGGTCAACTTTGTGTCCGCTTCGTGCCAGAGACCGAGCGTGGTAGAGCATTCGAGGAGATCGACCTAGGTCTCCGAGGACCAGCACAATGGTTCTCTTCCGTTTTCGAATGTCACTGAGCGGTTTTCGGTCATCTTTTCGGGTGAGCAAATAGAGAATGACTGGAATTGCCAGGTAGATTACCACAAGGGTGACAGACCAGTGCCAGGCCTTCATATTTCGTTTAGGTGGACGTTTGGTGGATCTATTGTTGAGCTGTTGGCATGCACGCTTTCCAGGTATGTCATCTGCAAGACAAACTTTGTTTCGAGTGTCTTGCTCCAGTTCAGTACCCAGCGCTTGGGTGCTGTGGCATAACCCTAACGCTCCGCAGTTCGACTCCCAACCTGGCTCTATTTACTCTCCACCGTGGCGAACGCAAACTAAACTAACTCCCCGAATCCAAATTACTCTTTCTCTACACACCACAACACACCAAAGGTAAGTACGATGACGACGAGAAAAAGCAGGGGTAACCCTTACGTGATAATATTCTGCACTCGGAAGTGAGGGCCTGCTTTTATTGTGCCACGTGCTAGTGCGGGTCTCTCCCAAGAAACACCCTCTGACACGTGGCATACAAGCATCCCTTAAAAAGACGAGACAATCCGGTTGCGTCACGTTCATTCCCTCGATCGAAAATACCCTCGACCGAACCGCAATGCTAACCAAGATGTCTGACCAGCTGACCGAAGACCAGGTTGCCGAATTCCGAGAGGCTTTCTCCCTGTTTGACAAGAACAATGACGGTAAAATCACCACCAAGGAGCTTGGTACCGTGATGCGAAGTCTGGGCCAGAACCCCAGCGAGTCCGAGCTCGCCGACATGATCAACGAGGTCGACGCCAACAACGACGGCACCATTGACTTCGCCGAGTTCCTCACCATGATGGCTCGAAAGATGAAGGATACCGACTCCGAGGAGGAAATCAGAGAGGCATTCAAGGTCTTTGACCGGGATAACAACGGCTTCATCTCCGCCCAGGAGCTCCGACACGTCATGACCTCCATTGGTGAGAAGCTCACCGATGAGGAGGTTGATATGATGATCAAGGAGGCTGATGCCAACGGTGATGGCCGAATCGACTACAACGAGTTTGTTCAGCTGCTGGTGAGTTCTACTATTACATGATGTCGGGATAATTCTGGCTCATTCTCGCGCGCACGTGGGACCCTAAGGCGCTCACCCGTGCGCAGCGGGCCCTTCTTTGCTACCGGCTGTGTCCGTTTTTCCCTGCTGCTTGTTGTTTACACAGCCCGTGTGGTGCACATTTTGAGCGCGTTTCTGCACTGGCTGAGTCAATATTGTTATCAGTGGAAAAACGGTCCTGTAGCGCTACACGCGAGCTAATTATTTGTGTGCGTGTGTTACAGAGCAAAGGATCCGCCGTATCGCCTTTAATTGCACTTCCATACTAACCCAGTCTGCTAAATAAGCGCCCTTTGAGTCTTGAAATAGAGCATGTGATTTTTTTCTGTTGTACATATCTTGGCATTGCGTAGTTCTCTCTGTTTATCCGTTGTTGGTGTACAGAAATTCCCCTGCCTGCTGAGTGTTGTTGTGGGGTCTCACGGTGATGCAGTGTCTTTGTTTGGAGTGTGCATTCTAAAAATAACTCACCTGAACCCAAACCTCACTTTTATTTGTTCTTTCCGGAACATACGACATGTTTATACTCTTTTCGTGCCCAGTTATTCCGAATTCGAACACCGATCTATTTTCCCATCTACAATAACGTCATCCCTTTTTATATATATATTATAGTAGCCTTTCTATACCAGCTACGATACAGTAGCATAAAGTGCCGTCGTTCTTAAGGTATGGGTCATGTCTGTGCATTCGTCTTTCCAATGCCGTATAATTCTTGTCCAGGCAACTCAAACGAGAACGCAGTTTCAGACTTTCATACCGGAGTTAAGATATGCAAAATCGTAATCAGCCAGTAACCAAAACAGCTCAATTACATGGAGCAGTCAAGTTGGCCAGCCCACTCGGCCCCCACCACTCGGTAGGCCTTGAGCTCGCCGCTGGTCATGTCAGCCAGCTCAAGCTGGCCCTGCTGCACAATTTTGGAGCCACCAGTGTTCTGGTGCAGAATGTAGACTGTTCTCTGGCCCTCAGAAACTCCCACAACCACTGCAGTATGGTTGGGCACGCCGTAGGACGCGGAAGAGAAGCCACCAGCGGACCGAGATTCGAACTTGACCTCGTAAAACTGCAGAATGTCTCCTCGTCGAATAGCCTCCACGTTCTTGACAATGTTAGCTGGGTTATTGGTGGAGCCATTCTGCTGGTAGATCAGAGCGCCATGGGTGTAGGCTTGCGAAACCAGGGCAGTCTGGGAGCTCTGTTCAATGGCATTCTTGGCAAGAGTCCAGCACTCTCCGTCTCCAACCTGGGTTCCCACCATTGATTCGGCCCATCGAGCCACTCCATCTCCGTACTGCAGGTTGTACTCGTAGAGCTCTCCGGGAGTCAGCTCTCGAGGAGGAGGCACATCCTTTCGTTCGCAAGTAGCTGCAGCAGGATTGTTAGTAGGGTAGACGATGCGCAGTTTGATGATAGACAGATCCTCTGGGATTCTGAAGGCATAGATCTTCGTAGTGGTGCCTCCAGAAGATGAGAACTGCGAAGTCCAGCCCAGGCCCTGGAGATCCGGGGGTGGCTGGTCGTTGACGAACCACTGGGTGTGCATCTGGGTGTCCACAGGCTTTCCAGAAGGAGGAGGCACGAATGCAGGGGCCTTGGAGTACGACTGTGCACCCAGAGCAGCCTCAACTGCTGATGCCGCCTGTGAAGCAGGCACTGAAGCAACGGCAGCTGCGGCTGGAGCACCAAAAGCAGTGGGTTTGGCTCCAGGGACAGGTTTGCCTGCCAGACCGGGCTTCTTCTTGGGAAGAGGTGGCGGAGGCTTCTTCTTACCAATTGCAGTCTGGGCCATCCCCGAGGTGATGTCCGAGACGGAGGATGCTGCAGAGCTTCTTCGGCCAGCGATCTGGGCTGCAAAGTTGATTCCAGCGGGTGTGGAAGCGGCGGCAGCGGGTGTGGCAGCTACAGGGGCGGCAGGAGCCCCGTAGACATTAGGATCCGAGGCTGGTGGGGTATTTCCGTAGGGCTGTGTGGGCGCGCCAGGTCTAGCAGGCATGGGAGGGGGTCGGGAGGGAGTCTGGGGTGGGGCGAGGTTGTCGTATGAGGGAGGCTGATCTCGAGGAGGAGCAGCTGCAGGAGCCGCTGCTGGCTGGTACGCTGCTGGTTGTTGATACCCTGCCGCTGGAGGTGTGGGAACAGGTCTAGGAGGAGGAGGAGGGCCACCTGCTGCTGCACCAGGAGGAGCAGGCACTGCTCTTGGAGGAGGTGCAGGAGCAGCCTGATAAGCACCCGGTTGTGCGGCAGCTGGGGCAGCAGGCTGATAAGCAGCGGGAGCAGGAGGTTGGGCTGCGGCAGGAGCAGCTGGTTGAGGTCGAGCAGGTTGCTGGACATACTGTGCGTCTTTAGCGACGGCTAGTGATTGTTGGCTAACTTCGTCTCCGTACCATTCACGGTGTTTAGGAGGAGGAGCAAAGGTTTTGGGATCGGGAAGCGACGTGAGAGGTCGGCTAGTGATTTCAGCGGGAGGTTCATAACTGCCGGCAGATGACGAACTGTTGCCATTCCACTTTGCTCTGAAGCCGTCCATTTTTCCCTTGGCAGAGCCACTCTTGCTCCGCACGGAACTGACTCCGCTTTTGAACTTTTCCTTATCAAACGTGATGGGCATCGTTGGTGTGTTCGATCGATGGCTGCGAGGTTGGTCTTCTTGGTGAAGATTATGACAAAACCAGTCGAGGTTGTTCACCACCAAACTGTCAATATATTGCACGCTTATGCATGCACAGCCCAACTCTATGGCCACGAGGCGAGAGGCTGTAACCTGAGAGAGTAATATGATCACGTGACGGACAGAGAGAGAGAGGAAGAGAAAGAGAAAGAGATGGTAAGATTCGTTTGTTAATTTCTGGTCACATGACTGCATGACTCTTCTGGTCCTCTTAACTCGTCCTCTACTTTTCTGACGTCATCACTGCCTAATCACAGCTAGATACGTGTCGGGGCACATTACAGTGGAGACTCTGAAACACCTTGAGGTAAATTATGTACGGCTAATGGGATGGAAGGAGGTTGTAATTATGGTGGTTTAGGGTGTATATATTCGTATTTCATGTCTATAGTAGAAACGTGCACAGGCACTTGTTCTTGTGCTTGCACTGGTACAGTACAGTACATACAGTTGTGGCTGTCTTTTTGGAAGCCCCGTGTGCTTCCCGCACCCAATATCTCGATCGCCTCGATCTGCTCTGTTCCATGATCTTCATTGAGAACTTCAATGGACTGGGTATGGGTATGGGTGCAAAATGTTCGAGTATTATTCTGGCCAAATCGACTCGTCGACTCTATGTCAACAAACAATTGAAGCACCAAAACAAAACAGGACCATCGACCTGTCTTGTCTGATTGTCATGATTATGGAGACATTATATATCTGCTCCTCATTGACCCATGTCTTGTCGGGCTGGTGGTAATGTGGCCCTGTACACACTAAATCAAGCCAACAGAGCTGTAAATAGGTGAATTTGGGAGAGAGGTGTCGGGATTTGCACGGCACAGACAGTAATATTTGACATTAATATATAGGTAATGGACAGATAGGTAGCTATATTCTGGCCTACCTACCCAATACAGTGCCTCCAATGTCTTTCCAACACATCGAAGATCTGTCCGAGGACGAAATGGTTTAACGTTGCTGGGGCAACAGCCTCAACTCAACATCAGCCAAAACATAGCTCACCGGGGTTGTGGGGAAAACACGAAAGCTGAGAAGGTATGCAATAGGCGACGAATTTAACAAGAGCTGTTTTTGTACACCTATGCCCCTTCCATTACGTACAATCAACGCACGTCAGCCGTACGCGTCGCCCTCCTGAGGTGAAAATTTAGATTCGCACGAGCTGTCTAAAAGAGTAAATGTAAACATGATTATGCAGGAAGCACACCACAGCCAAGTTCACACTCTTGTCACTGTCAACCCCATAATTGGAGCCCCTTCCTAACGACGAGAGACGACCAGGAGCACCCAGCAGCTGCTGCTCGTAAACAACCAAGCCGCCCGTCATGGAATTTGAAGAATTGGAGCTCATTGGACGAGGATCCTTTGGCCAGATCCGAAAAGTGCGACGCATAAACGATGGACAGATTCTGGCCAGAAAGGAAATCTCATACCGAAGAATGACGCCCAAGGAGAAAGAGCAGCTTATTGCCGAGTTTCGCATCCTCAAAGGACTCCATCACACCAACATTGTTGGTTATCTGCACCACGAACACCTGCCAGACAAACACCTGGTCCATCTTTACATGGACTACTGTGGAGGAGGAGACTTGGCAGGGCTCATCCAGCAGTGCAAGGAGACAGATGAAAGGGTGCCCGAGCGAATTGTATGGAGCATCTTCACACAGCTGCTTCTGGCACTTTACAGATGCCATTTTGGACAAGATGCTCCTCCTCTAACCGATCTGTTTACCAACCAAGGAGAAGAGGATGAAGTCTATCCCAGCAACGTCATTCTACACCGAGATATCAAACCCGATAACATTTTTCTTGACGGTGACCATTGCGTCAAGCTGGGGGACTTTGGACTCGCCAAAATGCTGGATCAGAGCCATATGATGGCCAACACCTTTGTGGGCACCCCTTACTACATGTCTCCCGAGGTACTTCTCAACGATGTGTCTTCGCCGGCCTCAGACATATGGTCACTGGGATGCGTCATCTACGAGCTGTGCCAACTACATCCTCCCTTCCAGGCCAAAAACCATGTCCAACTCACACAAAGGGTCCAGGACGGTATGTACCCCGAGTTACCCCCACGATACTCGTCCACCCTGAAACGAACCATCCAGGCATGTCTGGATATCAACCCTCATAACCGACCGTCTACAGCAACCCTACTGAGACTTGACATCATTAAGCTGGTCCGAAAAGACCGTATGCTCTCTGAGCAGCACCAGCACCTGCTGGAGTATCAGGAGAACCTCAAACGCGAAGTCGAAATTTTCGAGGAACGCCGAGAAGAAGTCCTTCAAATTTCCCAAAACCTTGAACAGTACCGGGAGACAGTGGAACAGGAATACTTCAACAACATTCAGAGCGAACTGGAGTCTGTTGTTGAGCAAGAGGTGGAACGAAGGGTCCGGCAGGCCCTTGCAGACTTGCCCGCTCCAACCCCTCCGCCACCCATCTCTCCTACTGCCCACCGATCTTCTCCCCGAGACATCTCCATGTCTTTCTCTCCTTCTCAGCTTACACCAATCAAGCACGTCAAGGGTCCTCGAGGGCTGGCTATCTCTACCCCTCTCAAACGCACTCCTCTCAAGCCTCTTGAGGAGCTGCCTTTAACCAACGCCTCTAACCCATCATTGACCTCGTCTGGCTCGTCCCATGACTCGGACAAGTCTGCATCCAAGCAGCGTGCTGCCCCGCATTTCCACGCTGTCTACGCTGGATTCAAAACCCCAGCCGCCGTCAAACGACCAGCCAAGAGAACCTACATCGACCAATGGGACGAAGCTCCCAGTCCCTTTCTAAGACGACAGGCTGCCGCCAGTTATGACTAACCCGTTTCTGGTCGGACTACGACACGATACTATTTATAAACTCCAAGTAGACTAACAAATGATGAAGCATAGGTAATGATGTACATATTGCACCGTTTGTGCTCGAGTTCTGTAGGCGATAGCGGAAAGCGTATAGACTAGCTTGAACTAGGTACAGAATGTTGTATCGCATAGTCAGTTATAGATGTATTTACACTACTTGTAGCTACAAAGTAGTAACGTTAGGCTAGTTACTTGTAGATTGGAAATTCTCTTGGATATACTGTAGATATTAGCTTAGGTACATACTGTACTTGTATCGAGTACATACGGTAGTCACTCTACTTCAAGTACTTCTCGTAGAAGGGGAGGAGTTGAGAGACAGCCTCATCCACCTGCTTGGACTTGTCATAAAGATCAAAGTGGTTAGAACCCTCGACAATATAAGTCTGAGCGTCCTGGCTAACACCCTTCACATCCTTAACAAGGTCGACCGAGTAGAACTTGGTTCCGGCCTCGCTACCAGCAATCATGAGAAGGGGCTGAGTAAGAAAGTCCTTAGCGAGGTTGAAGGCGTCATAGGTGACAAGTTGGTTGATAGATCTAACAGTGAACTTGGAAGGACAATTAGTCTTCTGGGCTCGGGATGTTCGGTAGTAGTCATATGCATCTCGGAGTTCAGGGACAGGGGCGTCCTCAACCTTCTCGGGAGCAAAGGGCATGTAGGCAGTCTCTCCGCCATCGGCCTCGTCGGTTCTAGCCTGGTCACCCAGCTGAAGGGTAGCGAGAGCGACGCCAGAGGCATCCCCGGTCCATCCCGCTCGGTACATGTTTCCAATGTTCACACCAGACACGGTACCGACAGCCTTGATTCGCTTGTCGTTGATGGCAGCGTTCACGACGTAGCCACCAGAGGCACAGATACCAAGGACACCAATGTTCAGGTTGTCGATATAAGGCAGGGTCGTGAGGTAGTCGACTGCTGCAGAATTGTCTTCGGTTCGAATGTAAGGGTCTTCGAGGAATCGAGGCTCTCCTGTGGAGTCTCCCTGGTAGGAAGCATCGTAAGCAATGGTCACGAAACCACCTGCAGCAAGCTTTTCGGCGTATATGCTGGCAGTCTGTTCCTTGACACCTCCAGCGGGGTGGCCAACGATGATAGAAGAGTACTTCTGAGACTCCTGGAAGTTGGGAGGGAAGAAGACAATGGCTGACTGTGTGATTCCGTTGCCGTTGAGGTTCTTGTAGGTGACGTTCTTCTGAGTGGACATTTTTCTTGTTGTGAGTCGGTAGTGTAGTTTGTATTGATGGATTGAGTGAATGACAGGGGTTCCACTGTGGTCTTATGTATGAATTGACACATGGGGATGAACGAACATTTCTAACTCTTTCCCCGCCTGCCTTAATCGTTAATCACCTCACTACATAGAATTAACCCAACGGCTGCCTGTTATCGAAACCTTGTATTATAAGACTGTCTCGAGCGGATTTTGCAGTATACTGTAGCTACAGTACATACAAGTGCTGCTTATACAAGTGGTTCATTTGATATTTGTAGTAAGCCTTGTAAACTTGGGCTATCATTTATATGAAGGGCCTGCAGGTGACAATAGATCGAAGATGAAGATCACAAACGCCAGCGGTAGCATTCACCTACCACGAACCACTGAAACCTACGCCAAGAAACTAGCCGAGGATGGCCTTGGCACCATTGCCTTGGTCTCCTTCCAGGGCGAGTTTACCGGTGAGCGCCGATACCTCGAGAAGCCCTACAGCACTGTACTTGTTCGTTCGAACTGTCGAGATTAGGGCCATGTCGATTATCTTGTGAATCCTCTGTCGACGCTGAAAAGTTTGGTGCAAAGGATATCTGCGCCAGTGGGGATATCGCCATTGTTGCTAATATATATCCCCGAATCAATGCCATTGGTACCCAATGTACTGTTTCTACTGACAACATTGATCTGGGACAGCAAGATTAAAGACGCTGACTCTGCCTCTTACATATACTGACGCTCAAACTGTTCAAATCAAGAACGGCGACATTGATGGGCACCATTCTCTGGGTCCCAGAAGACGGAAGCCTCCCACAAGGAAGAGTGCGCTGCCTGGCGTTGCTACTGGAACAAGATCAAGGGTTCCAACAACATGGACATCTACGGCAAGGTTTTCGCCCTCAGGCCCCATGAGTTCTTCCAGAATCACATTTAATGATGTGAAAGTAGCTACCTGTCGCTAGTAATAATATATAGCTCATCTTACAAGTAGAGTTCTTAGACCCATCGCAGATAAGAACCTTACTACAGTATGTACATAGTGGATAGAGCCCAGAAGTACCGTAAAGGATACGTGTGTTCCTGTTGAGAGATTGCTACAAATCTTCACAACACACAATTCCTACAAGTACAACTAACTACTCTACAACCATACACACTACAAGTCTCAAATATAGGGGATGGGACTCGATGGTCCAATCGTATTAACCCCGGAGGTTCGGCTGAGTACCAGCGTACGTCCTCCTAATACTATCTAATGCGAGTTGAGTAGTTCCTATCCTACAACTATCTCTTCTGTGTTTCCGACAGGGCAACGGGCTCTTTGCTTTCCGGATTCGCGACTCCTCTGTATAAAAGCGGCACGGGCAGCGTCTCGATTCTCAATGATCTAACGGGCTCTGGCTCTTGGCTATATCAATTTTGGCGGCTCTGGTCTTCTGTATCGGACTCGGGCTCTTTTTCTCCCTCTGTACTTGTACGGTTCTGTAACTAATTGGGGCTCCCACGGGCACTCTCGGACTCGGCTTCTCAGGCTCATACACACACATGGCTCTCTCTCGCACGGACACTCGGGCTCTCGCAATGGGTCTTTGACTCAAAATATCTCTCTATAGCGGCTCTCGTTGCTGGTGGCTCTTTGCACATAATCACTTGATATGGCGTCTTTCTAGATCTTGGCTTCCTCTGACTGGCGGTCTCTCGACGACTTGGCTCCCTATGGCGGCACATTCATTTCCAAACGGCTCTCTGCTCGGTCATTGTTAAGCGGCACTCCCCTCTGTAAAAAGTTCCGGCTCCAGGGTTTAGCATAGCTGAACTTCCTCCCCCTTGGTAGTCGGTCGAGATCACAGGCTCGAAGACGCGTCGAGACACGGGCTCAAGGCATTCTCTCTCTGTCGGTCGGTGGCACTTCTGCTCTGGCTCACAGGGCTCAGGCATCATATCGCTCTTCGCTATGGTAAGGTCATTTTTTAGACACATTCCCTTAGGGGCTGCAACACAGCTCTTAACCGGTAAACTCCCAGAGCGCAGCTTCTTAGCGACTCCAGTTGGGCATGTTCCCAAAGCACTCTGCTGACCACACTCGGTCAGGTAGTATTACGTCAGGTACGGCGGCCAAGCTCGTTCCTGGAAAGGCCTTGACAGGAGCCTGGTGCTTTTCAGCGGGCTCAGCACTGTCACAGAAGGACCCGACAACCGGTACAGTTGCCAGTCTGGCGGCGGAGGGATCGACTTCTGAAGAAGAAAAAGAAGAAGAAGAAGACAGCAAGAGCGCGATTGGGCTTCCTTATATACTTTTGGGACGTGGCTAGTCAGTAGACCTGAAGCGACAAGTGGGGGGGACACACCCGCCCTGCCATGCACCTAATCAACATTAGAGTTGAGAATGACACGCCTACCTCTTTGTTGTCTGGTGTGGTATCATTATCAGTGGACACTCATGCAGGCAAGGGATAAGGACGCTGGCTGCAGTCGATCCAGAAGGCAAAGGTGGCAGATGAGGACGTTTGACACATACGAATTGAGCAAAATGACCATGGTGCTGTATTCTCTTCGAAATTACGAGCCGAATGAGTGGAGTCAACATTTTTTTCAGGTCACGTGCTTAGAACTTGTCCCAACACAGCGAACAGGGTTAGGGGAGACTTCCGCAAAACCTGCACACTGCATCCTCCCAAGCCCTCGGGCCATTAGCCAATAGAATAAGGACAAAATCCTGACCAGTGGAAATACACTTTGAGTGTAGAAAAGATCGCAGAGTGCACCAACTACTTACACAACACAGCAACCATGGCTTCAATCACCTCCGTCGTGAAGACTAGCGAGCTTATCCTCAAGTCTCCTCTCCTCAGCAAGATTGTTGTTCCTCTTGCCAAGACCTATGTCAAGTTCTCCGGATACCGACAGCTTGGTTTCAAGTGAGTATCAATGAAAACAACGCCCTCCAGCGACACACCCCAACGACAGTTGCGCAGCATCGACAGTACGAGTGAATGGGAAAGATTATGGACGATTTCGGCTTTTGCGACACCAGTTTCGAGGCGTTTCTGCGTTTCTACGACACGCGAAATGTGCCCTTAAACGCGACGACGTAAGAGATATTTCAGGGTCAAAACACCATTGATACGGAAGTGACACAGCGACACTGGAAGACCACAAAAACCGACTCAGAAAGGAATCCCCCGACGCTCAACTGTAGATATTGCTGGAATTGTTGATTGATGGGTGTGCATCAACTTGTGCGTGAGCAAATACTAACCCCAGGATGAACGATCTGATCATTGAGGAAACCCCCAACATGCAGCTCGCTCTCCGACGACTCCCTCCCACCGAGTCTTACGACCGAGTCTACCGACTCATCCGAGCCACTCAGTTCTCTCTGTCTCACAAGCTTGCCACTGGTAACGACATCACCAAGCCTGAGGAGGACGACCACTACCTCATTCCTTACATCCTCGACGTTGAGGCTGAGGCTTTTGAGAAGGATGCTCTTGACAACCTCGAGGTTGTTAAGCGAAAGTAGGCATAAAAGCTCTAACAATACATGATTATTAGGTACGAGAGGGTAGGTATGGATGTCAGTACTTGTAGTCCGTGTATTGTATCTGGCACATGTAGTGTTGAAGATTGTAAGGGGTTTAGAACACAGAACGATTGGTGCGTATTGAGAGTTCTGTTGGCATTGACGCATTAATCTCTCTAAAATTAATGCCCCCGTTTGTGCTGGCCAAATTGCTGTCTTTAGGGCCACTGTTGCGTGGTTGATTACTTATTACAAATGGGACGATTTTCACGCACTGTCCGAATCACCGATCATAATATTGGTCAATTTGTGTGAACAAAACTTAAATTTGTTTTAACCAAATTTCCAAACTAAGGATCACACAATTTAATGGAGAAATGACTTAGGAATAGGTAACTCGTTTTAGTCAGAGGATAGGAAATACGCCAGTTCCACACAATCATATCCTACTCCAACTACTTGTACTAGCTTGTAAATCGTTCACTTATCATCTAATGAATGTTAGCAGGCTATATAATTAATACCGTGGGGGAGTAAATGCTTAGAGTGATGAGAAGCCGTCCTCCATCACCTTGAGAGCGTCTCCAAAAGAGGTAAGCAGCTTCTCCAGCTCCCGAGTGACATCGGCGTGAGGAGCAGGGTCCAGCAGCACCGACAGATCAATTTTGGGAATGGGAGGGAACTGCAGAGTGGATTGAACGGGCGGCTGGGTTTGGGCAGCCCGAGAAGGACGACGCGACGAAGGCTGAGACGGAACATTAAGACTGGGCGTGTAGTCTTCTTTGCGGGCAGGGGTCATGAATGCATCGGGCATGGGCGGGGCTTGTGCCGGAGGCATTTTGATCTGCAGGTTGACGTTTCGCAGTTTGGCGGGCTTCTCGGTGTTGAACGCAGGGGACTTTCCATTAACGTCTGAGCGAGGCATAACCACGTCAGGAACAGAAGCTGACCGGGTAGCCAGCTGGGGGTTCTCGGAACGAGGTATCAACGGAGGAGAAGCATGGCCGCCGTCTTCAGAAGACACAGACGACTTGTGGCTCATCACAGGCGAAGCTGCAGAGGGAGAAGCTGCTGCTGATGAGATGGACGACACCGACGAGATAGAGGGTCTGTGGAACTGCGGAGGAGGGCTGGAAGGCCGTTTCACGGGTGGAGGACTGCCCCGAATGGGAGAGGGCGTTCTCTTGGGGTAAACCTGATGAGGGGCAGCCAGAGATGCCCCAGAAGAAGGGTTGGCCGAATTGATAGCTGACTTCGCAGCTGCTACCGCGGCCAGCGACGCGGAGGAGTGATGCATTGGTGTCGGGGGCGGCGGAGCCTGTGCCATTAAAGGTGGGGGAGCCAATGGCTGTTGTGGAGGCTGCTGCTGTGGGAGAGGCGGCATCTGAGAGGGAGGAGGTTGTGTGTGAGGCACAGGAGGCATTGTCTGATGCAATTGGGGCATCAGCGGTGGCTGTGGATGCTGTATTTGATGAGGGGGCTGTTTTATCTGAGGAGGAAGTTGTTGCTGTAGCTGAGGCGGCTGCTGCACTTGAGGCAAACCTCCTAGACCGGGGTGAATTGCCTGGCCTGAATGGGTGGTTTGATTGAGATTCTGACCTTGGCCTTGGGTCTGTGCGAAACTGTGTGAATGCTGAAGAGGAGGAGGTTGGGGATGATCTTTCTCGGGAGAAGCTCCCATCTTGGAACCCCGTCCAAGAGTCTTACGGCGAGACATGGCCATGGGAGGTACCCCTGGAGGCTCGCCTTCCTCTCTTAGATCGTTGAGAGTTGGAGCCATAGACGCCATTTGAGTCTTTTGAGTGGGAACCGTAGGTAGAGACATTGAGGAAGACAGCTCGGGACGAGCAGGCATAGGAGCATGGGCAGGAGGGGCAGGAGGGGCAGGAGGGGCAGGAGGTTCGTTTTCGTCCACAAACAGCTCCAGAAGTGGATGTGGCTCCTCTTCTTCCTGAGGCACAGTCATCGTGTTAGTAGCTGTCGTAAGATCGTGTAGTTGGCCTTGTTGTAGTCCCTGCTGCTGCTCATATCTCTGTTCCAAGACCTCAGAGGCAGAGACAGTGCTCTGCAACAGGACTTGGGTACCCATCTCGCCAATATCTCTGTAGGCATGTGTGGGTTCTGGCCTGAAGTCCATCTGGCCATTATGAACCTCCACACGAGCATCATCAGGCGCAGTGGATGTGTCGAAGTCCCACCGAAAGTCGTCCGAATGGTCCACAATATCCTCTTCAGACCCAATGGAATGCCGGTTATATACAGCCATCGAATCACGTGACTTGTTGTGTTCCCTCCAGTGCATATATCTTGAAATGAGGTCTTTGATGGTCGATGTTGGGATACCCTTTGAGCCTCTGACAAACTTGGTTTTTGACAGCTCCTCTGCTGAGGGTCGTTCGTCAGGCAGTTCGTCCAGACATAGTGCGACAATTTCCTTGAGGGCCGCTGAGTACTGGGATCCTTCCAATCTTGCGGGTTTGTTTCTGGGGATCAGAAAAATGGCCCTCATTGCCTCCTGGTCGGACAGGGGAGGGGAGCCTGTTGCAATTTCATAGAGCGTGATACCAAGCGACCAAATATCTGCCTTGACGTTGTATGATGCTCCTTCTGTGATAACTTCCGGAGCCATCCAATAGGGTGTTCCCACAATAGTGGACCGTTTAGTCTTGGAGGAGACTAATTGCGCGGCCACTCCGAAATCACACAGCTGAACACGTCCCTGTTGGGTGATGAGAATGTTGGCGGCCTTGATGTCTCTGTGGATGATTCCAGCCTTGTGCATGTACTGGATAGCGATGAGCAGTTCACGTGTGATGACGCTGAGGTGTCGTTCTTCGATACGGCCTGCCTTCATGAGAGTGCGCACACTGCCTCCAGCACAGTACTCCATGATGATCCACAAACGCGAGCCGTGGAGATACGAGCCATGGTAGCGGGTGATGTTTTCTGCGTCGGCGAGCTTGAGCTGGCTCAGCAATTGAATCTCATGCTGGACCTCCTTGACGTCGTCCTCTGCCGTGTCTAGGTTGAGTACCTTGATAGCCACCAGCTGCTTGGTCTTTTTGTGGTAGCCCTTGTAGACCACGCCAAAGTTGCCGCGACCGATGACCTCCTGGCGCTGGTAGATGGACGTGACGGGCGTGGATGTCTGCATATCCCAGTGTTGAGGAGGAGACGTGGACAGCTCGATGTTCTGTAGTAGTCTGTAAAGCGAGTTTATCATCACGTGAGTTGGGTGTTGGGGCGTATCGTAGAGACACGTTTCTTACTCTTCCAGTCCGATATATAATGTCTATCTTTATACACTTATTTTAACATCTCAAATGTGCCCCATTTTTGTCGCTTTTGACCCTCGTTTTTCCCTCACTCATTATTTTCCACGCCCCATTTCTCTCCCCAGCCCCATGTCTCCCTCCTTAGTGGGCCAAACCTTGACATGCATGAACATCACCGAAGGTCAAACGAACAGCCTTTGGGAAAAAAACCGAGGTGGATACATCGAAAAATCTGACAACAAAAAATGTCCTTTGGACGCCTGTTCCGACAGTCACGCATACCGGCGATGCACACGTCGGAGAACGTGTCACCACATGCGCCAACCACACAACTGGTCGGATCAATGCGGGGCAAAGGGAAGAAGCTGGAGTATGGACTCAAGCACAGCCGGAACCCCAAACAGCCGAAAATGGTGTCTGTGGCCGGCCAGGATTGGTTAGGACTCGGCACCGACTACCGACCCCAGGACATGGGCTTTGCACGCGCCCAGGAGCAGTTTTCCACCGCCGGAATCGCCCTGGAAGGACCTCCCTTAATACAAACTGCATCACAGTCCAACCTCAGTTACGCCTTCATCAAGTGGTGCAACGACCGAGGCGTCAAGCGCAGCGCTCTGGACGGCGAGTATCTCATCCAGCTTGCCAAAGAGTACGCTGCAACACAAAAATTCGGTCCGTGGGACTCAATATCCACGAAACCCGTGGCTGGACCGTCCTACTTCCCCAAGGGATCGCTACACACATCTCGTAACGGAGTCATGGCAAATCCCATGTTACCAGCACGTATTGTGGATGATCAGCGCACAAAAGCTGCTTGCATCGGCGTTGTGGCTACCTGTGAAGTGAACGACTCGTCTATCAAACACCACAGAGACAAGATTGTGATGATGGAGGTCCAGGGGGCCAAGCTGGACAATGACAAGTTGATTATGAAGCTGCAATCGACGACGAAAAAGGCGAGTGCCAACGTGTGGAAGGACTATACGGGATCTCAAAAGCTGCAAAGAATGCACGCGGATAGTAACAAACATTCGCAGCACAGAAAGTACGAAAAGCTGTTTGATTTGCTGCAGTGAACCAAACAGCACAGACGAATGAGGGAATGTATATATGTATATAGAAATTGCATGGTTGTTATATCGACGGTAATAATATTGAAAATCGTACTCGTAGTGTTCACGTTCAGTTCACGGTGAGCTTAAAACTATCTTCAAGAAGAGATTTGAGACCTGATTTATACTTGCAGCAATGTTTACTTCTTATCGCGATACACGAATGTGATACGGATCAAAGTAAGCAGGACTACGATAAGATAACGAATGCGGTGCAGTCCATGTCGATTAGGTATAGATACATTTATTTTGTGTTATGTTACATTTTGGGGGGATACTGTCCTACTTGTAGTACCTACTTGTAGTACTGTAGAGGGCTTATCTAAGAACACCCTTTGTGGAAGGAACCTCGTCTCCGAATGTGATGGAGGATGCCATACGCAGAGCCAGCGCAGTGGCCTTGAATGCAGACTCGATTCTGTGATGGTCGTTGGCACCTCGGATGACGTCGACGTGGATGGTGATGGCAGCGGAGTGAGCAAAAGACTCAAAGATGTGGGGGACCATCTCACAAGACAGCTGGCCCACTCGCTCCCGCTTGAGACCAAGCTCAGTCACACAGTATGCTCGGTTGGACAGATCCACAACGCATCGCGATAGTGCCTCGTCAAGAGGGGCATATGCGTATCCGTATCGTTTGATGCCTCGCAGGTGGCCCAGAGCCTCCTTGAAGCAGCCTCCAAGTGCGATAGCGGTGTCCTCCACGGTGTGATGGTCGTCCACATGGACGTCTCCGATGCACTCGACTAGCAGAGACCAGCCGGAGTGCTTGGCCAGAGCGTGCAGCATGTGGTCGAAGAAGGCGACGCCGGTCCACACGGAAATGTGCTGGGTATCGGTCTTCTGGTAGGCGTGAGAAACATCAGCTCCCTCGGGGAGCATGGTGGGGCCTGGCAGCTCGAGAGCTCCTCCATCTATGCTTATGGCGATCTGGATTTTGGTCTCCTTGGTCTCTCGTCGGATGCTGGCGATTCTTCGGGTCATTTTGTGTGTGTTTGTGCGACTGGTCGTGTAGTGAGTATCACAGGTAGAAAGTAATTTTCAGTGGGGCTGACAATCGATGACTCTTATCAACATTTAGCTTTGCTAGCAAACGGTCGGGTCTAGAATGTGCTGGATGGAAGAGTGAAAGGGAGGTGTGGCCGGCATCATTACACGGAGCCAGCTGCTTTTTTGTCATATAAATACCCCTATAACTCCCACATTATGTGCCTCCCTCTTCCTCTCTGACTCACAGAGCTTCTTGCTCTTTCTCTATCTACTCCAAGGTTAGTGAGTCAGGATTGTGTCTGGCTTAGGATATATAATTCCAGCCCAAAAGATAGCCTTTCGGCACTCTGGTTTCCGGCGGCTCTCCAAAATGGCGGTGGAAAAAAATATTGTGAGGAAAACATAACAGGTATTCTCACGCATTCTGATTGGCTGAATAAAGGAAAACAACAAAACGCACCAGCCAATGGAAACACATAAAGAGATAAATTTTCCACACTAAAGCAGGACCCTACTCGTAGACCAACGCCCCCACTTACAGGACGCATCTTTAGACCCGAACCCCCAACGTTCATTCCTCCGTTGCTGGACGAATTGGGTCTGCAGGTAAATAATGTCTAATGGCAGTTGAATTCCGATTACTAACTTACTGCAGCGTGGTACAAGTGCAGATAATCACGCCGAAGGTTCTTGTGTTTAGTATTTCCCGGTATAATGTCTATAAATCAATAATGGCCTTGCTCTACAAAGGCCGAGTCAGGCTGCTCTCAAAGACGGGCCTTGTTGTCAATCCAGTGCTTGACAACGGTCTTACCTTCATAGAAGGACGGGTCTGGATGACGCACAATGGCACCAGCATGGGCCTGTTTGGTGGCACGGATGTGGATGGCGGTCTTATCCCACTTGAGCTTACTGAGGTTCTCAATGATGGTCTTTTGGCTGTCCGATAGCACCAACTTGGTCTTGGTCAGATCCAACGTGTCCCCCTCCGTGGTCTTGTACTCCATGGCAGTGAACATGGAGTCCATCGTCTTGTCCACCTGATCCTCCAAGGCCGTACGGAACGCACCTTCCTCCAGGGAATGTGATCTGTGGTGTCCGTGCGACTGAGAAGAAGAAGAAGAAGAAGAAGACTCGGATGACTTGTCGCCAGGAGAGTGCACCTTGCCGTTGAAGAGAGCTCCAACAAAGTCATCAGAAGTATTGTTCTTCCAGTACTCGCCCTTGGCGTATTGCACTCGACGCCGGTTGGAAATGATGCCGTAGAAGATGGCAGACGCAATCCAAGTGACGGCGTACATGGGCATGGTGACGGCAATGTTGTAGATGACCTTTGCCCATCGGAACCGGCGTTCCAGCCATCCGGGAGGCTGTTTGATTGCCTCTGGCGGAGGAGCTAGGAGGTTGGAGGTGTCCGACTGTTGCAGCTTGATGTTGTTGAGACGCGAGGTATCGACAATGATCTCATTGGTGCCTTCCACTGTAGGCAGAGTAACAGACTCCATGTTGACACCCTTAAAGGGGTCGAAATCGTAGATTCCTGCAGTGTACCACGCCGTTCGCGAGTCATTGACCACGTTGGCGTACAGGTTTCTGTGCTGGAAGGCTGCGAGTCCCTTGGAGAAGGACGATTCGGCGTAGGACATGATTTCCAGCAAGGGCATGGGCTTGGAGAATTGTTCTCGGTTGGAGTCGGTCATTGCGGTTTCTCGTACTCGCACTCGGTCCTCCAGGAACAATTGCTTACCTGTCTTGCCCATGAGCGATCCTGCGAGGGAGTTGAAGGCGCTGGCCAGTCTGCTTTCTCCAAGCACTCGAACACCAACATGAGGTGTGCAAAAGGTGGTGAAAGAAGCAGGAGGAATTCGATTGAACACTCCACGCGTGTACAGCAGACCAACGGCGTATCGCGACATCAGACCCCCCAGGGAGTAGCCTGCCATTGAGAGACGATCCACCTTTCTGTCGGAGTTGTTTTCAATCAGCGAAATGAGAGTCTCGGCTTCCTCGGCCAGACGGGCGCCACAGACGTCGATTCCGTCGTAGGTGGAGTAGCCCTCGTTGCCTCGCGTTCGATAGATGACCACGACGTCTCCCTGGCGGGACTTGAGTTCAGCCAGCGAGTCCTCGATGCAGGTGGAGTCGTCCTGGTAGAACTCCATGGTCTTGGAGTTGGTCTCCAGCAGCTGCTCCACAATGTAATTGAAGTGGGCGCGGGTTCCCCACACGCCGTGGGTGCAAACAACAAGATGGGTGGACATGTCGATATGGGAGAGGACGGCGTTACTGGCCATAGGGCCAGCCTTAACTATACTTCCTCTCATGTTTCACGTGAATATGGTTTCCTGACGTGAGCGTAAATTTACTGCTTAGCATGCGTTGGGGATGGGGATTGGGGTCAGGGGATGCATGGTGGGGGGAGCAGGAGTGAATTTCCGTCATTTTTTTGAGTGGTATTTATCTGCTTTTTTGACTGGTCTGACTCTGGGTTCCCACGGCAACGTGTTTTCAACCTCCATCCAAGCCTCCCCCCCTCCTACCCCAAGTAGCCGCTTTTTTAGCGAGTGATAGACACGACAGCTCCTCAATAAGCTCCGAGCATGAAAGTAAGAAGGTGCAGTATCTTGTCCGCTTGAAGCTTGAGCAACACCGACAACGTGGGCCCAGATAATCATCAATTATATATGAGACAGGGAGGGAGATTGGCGTATATATAGCGTGCAAGTGTGTTTGTGTTGGTTATACCACTGGGCCCGTCTAGCATGTGCCCGTACAAGTCGGGTGCACACCCACATGCATGCGTGCCTGAAATTAATCGGCGAAAGCAGACTTTTGTTATGTTGACCTCTGGGGCCCGAAAACACAAAGAATGAAGTGGGGAAGACGAGACGGTCTATAAGTTGTTGAATAACAAGCGAGCGGTGGGTGGGAGCAAGCGCAAGGTCGCATTTTAGACATTGGGCCGAGGAGAAGACGTTATGCAACAACCATGGCCGTTCCGCCTGTCATATCTGTCACTATGCCATGGCTTTCAGTGACACAACGAGCGCTGTTATATACATTAGTCACGCATGTAGACTGGTGATCTTGACCATGCACTTTCGACACTAACCATCACCAACAGTAAACTTGTGCCAATATCCGCCCAGGAAAAAGATCATTTTCGGGACGCACTAACGACTCAATATTCCCCGGACAATCTAGACTCGAAAAGCTCGAAACGCCCGAATCGCACCAACCCACTCAATAATCCATAACGTCCAAAACAAGCCTTTCTATCTAGCCAGGTTCTCGGGCCATCTATGATAACTAACTGGACACGTTACACTTGTACTAAAGTGATTTATTACACCTATGGTATGATAATGTACAGTACACTGTACCTATATGTATCTCCCCGGCAACGGCACCCCTGGGTGTAACTCATACTCAAACTAACTGCCAAACAGTATCGTATCTGGCAAGTCAAAACCGTGAAAAGGGCCAGGCATGTCAATCACGTAAATCACGCCAACGCAAATGCAACTAAACTCCAATATCCAAGGCTACTGTTACGAGATTCTCTTATGCCAATATAATAATAATAATGCAATGCTATATAAATTACTTTCTCTTGACCCAGCCCCACATTCGCGCGGCGACATTTTTGTGGGACGAAGGGCTGTGCTGGTGGTGGCTGTGCTGGTGGTGACCGTGCTGTTGATGGTGGGATTGGTATCGAGACACGCTGTTTCGGTCCGAATGCACCTCACTGATATCGGACGTCCGGCTGCTCACAGCACTCACGTCCGCATGCTCCACGGGGCCGGGCTCTCCGAAATCATCGTTCCACTCGGATGTGAATGAGTAATGTGTAGAGAACCGCGGCTCCTCCTCGTAGGTATACCGGGGCAAGTCCTGAGACACCATACGAGAAGGAGAGCCGAGAAGTCGGGGAGCATCCATCTTTCGGACGGTTCGAAGAGGAGACTGCAGAGAGGAACAGGCACCAGTAGGAGCAGTGGGAGTCGCGTGCATAGAACCCGAGCCGGCTGGGGTAGTAGCAGCAAACGTAGACTCAAATGATTTTCCGGGAGTCTGGGCCTGGAGCTCAGCCTCCTGCTTCTCTCGCTTGTCCCGCTCGTCTCGCTCCTTGCGGTCCTTCATAGCCTGGGCCAGATCATTGTTGTAGGATCTATGGAACCGGGTTCGAGAGCGTGATCGGGTAGAGGACGACGAGACAGACACCAGAGAAGAGGCGGAGGCATTCGCAGAAACCAGCTGCGAACACGTGGATGATGCGGGGGTGAGGACGGGCTCAGAGAGCTCAGAAGGCTCACCCAGAGCCTCAGCGCTAGAGGGCTCCTCTTCCTCGATAATTGCATCATCAGCGGACGACCCATTGAGCGACAACAGGTCCTCGCCAACCAGGGCTCGGATCTTGCGCTTCATGCCACGGGTGGGGTCCAGCATGGCCTCCGGGGCGGACTCGGACCGACGGTGGAACCGGCTTGTAGTAGAAGGAGGCAGCGTTAGGGGGTAGAGGGCGGCATCGAGATCGATGGTCTCAAACTCCTTGGAAGAGGGAGAGGGGGACACCTCCGGTGAGCCAGCACCGGGGCAGTAGAAAGGGTCGTTGGTGGCAATGTACGACGACGAGTGCAGTGTGGGGGACGACAGGGTGGGTGAAGAAAGAGTCGTGTTTTCATCCGTCATACTGTTGGTGTTGTTGCCGTTGCCGTTGCCGTTGCCTGGGGTATTGTTCATGGGGCTCTTTCCCTTTCTGAGGGACGATGAGGACCGGAACTTGATGAGCGAGCCGGCCCAGGATCGCACCTTTTTGTGTCGGTTCTTTTTGGGTGACGAAGATTTCGACGGCGAGGCGGATCGCGACGAAATCTGCGACGTCGACAGCTGTGACGAAGACGACTGTTCCGACACAGAAGGAGACGCCATTCGGGGGGGAGAACCGAGCACTCGGGGAGGATCAATAAATGCCACGTCTCGTTTAGGCGACTGTGAAGCCGCAGGAATAGAGACGGGCTGAGGAGGCGCCAGAGTGGTGGTGCTGGTGCTAATGTTCTGCTTATGCGGGTTGGGGGGTAAGTAATCATGCTTGTTGAAAAGCACCTGGGCGTCGAAGTCACAGGACACGGCTGCTGATCGACGATGGGCGTGTTTGCGGGGCGATGCGGTGCGCGAAGACACGTCTGCGCCTAGCGAGGATGCCATGGTCGAGGTGGTGGATGCAGCAGAGGCCTCAGACGACTCGGAGGACTGTGAAGTGGTGCCTGAGTCGCCTCGTTCTATCGTGATGGCCGGCATCTGTCGAGGAGATGCGGGAAAGCTGTGGTCGAGCCGCGGGGGGAATGCAAAATCTAGGGAAGTCATGAAGCTGAAATGTTGTTAGTTGTCGGAATATTGGGTGTAAAAAAGGTCAAGTTGAAAAGTCGTACAGGAAAGAGGTTGAAAGTCTTAGTCACGGCACGTTGCCTTCAGCCAAATATTAACGAGGGGACTTGACTGGGGTGGGCAAGCGCAAGGCTCACGGGTTATGGGTTATCAAAGAGGGTGGCCAAAGGACCATGCAAAGATGTGGTGCGTGGAGTAGTGTGTGTGATGAGGATGATGGGAAGGTAATAACAGGTGTGGAAAAAGAGTATTTTTGAGCCATTAGACTTTGGGCATCAAAGGGGCAGCTGCAAGGTTTTGGTACCGTAGGAAAAGTAAAATGAAATGGTACATCAAAGGAATATGCAGTCTTGACACTAATCGGGTCGCGACATTGTCCCGAAATAGTAACCACAGCATCTACTGAAGACGCCTATTGCATGAAGTGACGACAAGACGCCTCATGGATGCAGATTCTGGGAGGGGTGGATAGATGTCAATGGCCGATGTCAAAAGGGAAAAAGCCAACAAGCACAAACAGAAAATGTAAAGTGGAAAAGGTGTGATTTGAGGTTGTCCTGCGGTTGTCTGGTAAAAAAGATGTCTGTTTTTTTTTTGCAATGTGGCATAGCACCCGTATATGTCATGAGCAAGTACAATACAAACTGGGATTGGCAGTAGCAGAGCTCCTCAAAAATCGTAACACGTCTGTGGAAAACATGGATCTGATACCATTGTTCTCCTCCACTCAGAGCCAGCCAGTCCAACACTTTAGTCTAAACCTGGAGCGTGTGTGTGTGGTGTGTGCCTTTCAGCCAATTTCGCACCATCACAGTTATAGTTCACCCCTGTGTTCGTATAATGACGCCAGGTTGCACCCCTCCAACCTTGACCCACGGGTATTTGCCTCACTGAGAGAGCGACCGAGAACTTTTTTTGTTCCCTCTGAGAGGAGCTCGGCGCTTACTGCTACGACAATACCACACTTCGGACCGCATCCTTCTCAAACCATGCCCTGAGAGCCGTTTATCCAGTTGGTAGGTATGCTCTGCGCCTCTTCCTCCATCATCTGTACAGTGTCCCATTGCAGGATATGCACCACTGGGGTTTGTGCATGTCTAGGAACAGCAAGTCCATTGTCTTTTTGCGACTATGTGAGATGCGTAGATGCAAGTATAGATGGCTGGAGAGATGGCCAAATAATGGGAATCTTTGATCTTTGCTTTTTCGGACGCCGCTCGCCTCCTTTTCAGACACTATCTAACCGTCCGCATTATTATAATAACCACCCGGGCCATCAATATTCTCTTGTCTGTGTCCCCTTGGTTTACTATTCTTGGTTAGTCTTCACCCTTGATCGGTGGGCCATGTTGGCTGGCAAGGTTAGGCTTATTTTTCTTGCACCGTGTGTGTGAGTGGCATGGCTGTGCTGTCGTTTACAGCATGACGTAGTTGTGTAGCACACTAGCACACAAGACTTTGGCACGCACTAGCAGCGTGGAGGAGAGTGCTTTCGAGCTGCTATAACTCGGCAGCTATGGTGGCCAAAATAGGCAAGTGGCATTCGGGCTGCAGATATCTCGCGCTCACTTTACTTTTTACGAGCAAGCGATTTGCCACCATCGCCGATGCTTCACTGTGTGCTGCTGCTTGACTTCCTGGCTTTGCACATAACAAGATTACAATAAAAATAAAATACAGTCCAATAGAATAACACAGTGTAGCTTCTTTATTCGCTGGTTCGCGACACCTGCCCCTAGCTCGGTCATTTATATGGGCTGGGAGGGAGAAAAAATATATCCTTAGTCCAGTGAAAAATATTTAGAGATAGCACGTTGTATGTGCCACCAGGTCCATTTGACTTTGTTTTTGTTTTTTTTTTGCCCCGTCTGCCCAGAGCAACATTGCCGAGTCCCAAAACAGCGCAAAAGATGCACGATGAAATAATCAATAGCAGGAAACAAGACGGGACGAAAATGCGGATCACGCGTGCCTCACCTCACGTACAGGAACCGGTTTGCTACATCCGGACAGAACCCGTATGTGGAGTACAGTTTGGTTCCAGAGGTGGCCAGCAATGACTCAGAGAACCTCCACCTTGCCTTATCTGGTCTGAAGATCTTTATGCGCTGCCACAGGTACTCGTACATACCCACCATGATGAAACCAACTACTGAAACATGTGCATCTGTGGAAAGGCAAATCGAGCCCAAGGGTGGACCTGTAGAATTGGACTACTGTAGTCAGTAGACTCTGGAAAAGTCAGCAGCGACGGTGCAGCTAGACACGCATGTGGATTTCCGCATTTGGCAACCTCACCGGCTTGACGCTCTAGTGCGGTGCCACCTGTGCTTCCATGCATCGTCAGGGCCGAGCCCCACCCGTAGACGACCAGATATACGTGTTTTGGCACAACCTGCTCTGTCGACAAGTCTCCTTGCGTCCCTGCTTAAACACAAGTGAACGTCTCATTAGCTCTTGGCGGAGCATCTCTAAAACAAATGTGCAAAACTGTTATACAATTGCATTTGTGAACCTTATCCCTGGAACCACTTGGTCTCAGGGACAACGGGTCGGTACCGGCTTTGCAAACAAGAAAAAGCATTCCGTGAGGGAGGAACTTGTAGTACACACTGTAGCAGACGAGATGATTGGAATTTGACGTGTTGATGGCAGCTGCTTGTGGCCACAAGGATGGGGACGTACAACGCATCCATTTCCTGCTTCAAACAATGGTACTCCATCGTATACAGCTATCCTAACGTCTGTCACCCTGTGGTAAATCAAAAATCGGACGGCGTTTACTTCAAACTAACGAGTGGCCCAAAACAACAAAGACAGTGGTTGGCACCAGCATACTGCTCACCCCAGGGCGCCATGTAACTGTCGCACGCACGGTTCCTGACGGCCCAGGGCGATCTGGGAGAAGGCTGGTATTTGCTTGCCCTAATACCGGCAGAGCTCCATGTCTCAACCCACATCAGCTCATATTGAATCTCCGATATGCGGATATTATTTACTTCCAAGGCAACCCCTGCTAAACCTCTGCGATTTTAGCTTTTTATTTTTTTCAGAACCCTTTAGACGAGTCTAAATCCTTTGGGTTAGGGAAACCACCATTACCGTCTGGTTTCTCCAGATTACTGTGCCTGACTGTGCGCACATAGCCAATCACATGCTGCAGTGAGATAGCAGGCGCCCCCGTAAATGAAATTAGTTGCAGATGCCTTGGATTTAGCGTTCCAACCTCAAGCCACACCTCGCCCATCTGTATAGAGATCATCTTCGGAACACACTGCGGACCCGACCGTGCATCTTATACCGTCGTATCTTTGGTTCCGTGGATAAGTCCCGTGAAAAGTTTACAGTGGATGTCAGTAAGTACAGCGGGCATGTTATTGAAGAGCGCTGCTGCTGCTGCTGCTGTTGCCGTCGCTGTTGTTGTAGCATCGGATGACGTATGACAGCTGGTGTTATGCCTACTGGATTGAGTCACCCATTGTTCGACCGATCCCGCTCGCTTCCTCGTAATATCTCAGCCATAATGTTTTCCACGGATGCACCAACCTCCTGTGGTTTCACGCCAAGAGTTACCATACCGAACTACTTGTAGGATACTCGTAATTACTCGTGTACATCTGGGAGGCCCTTTGGATCCCCCGCTCGTATGGCTAGAGGCAGCCAGATTGGTAGCCGCCAAGGACAAGTGCGGCTAGATAAGGCGGCAATGTCAACAAAGCAAGCTACTAATGTCCCGTTTGAGTGACAGATATCAGTGGGGCCTCTGGAGAGCTGGTTGCGCGCGTGTCCAAAGTCGCGATATAATAACGTGCAATAATTACGCACGGTGCGCTTGCTTCATTATCGAGTCAAATATTATTTCCACTTATTATGAAACCAGATGTGCCAAAGTGTATTCTGGAATGCCACCGAGAGGTTCGAGATGTATCGTGTGTGCCGTGGGTCTAAAGACCGGTCCGATAGCGGCGACTACCGGTAGGGTAGGAACTAATTGTTGGGGACCAAAAACTGCGCCTGCCTACAAAACGTGAACAGGAAACAAGCAAAGCTCTATCCATATAGCGCTGCTTCAGTATCGCCATTATTATGGGGCTGGCATCTCGTATCTACCAGTATAACACTGTACGGTATACTTGCGACACAGCCAGGGCCATTCTTTACAATAGTCTAAGGCATTTAATCCCACCGTGCCCGTTATTTTGCGCTACTGCAACTGAACGGGGTATCCCACTGTATGCGATCTGGCTACATGTAGGTTCTATTAGAGATATCTCCTGTTCTTATCACTGTTTAGTTTTCAAAGCTCTATACAGAGTCGGCTCGGCTGTACAATGGAGACGTCGGTGGTCGGATCATATCACGTCACGTCTGGGAAATGAGCAGATGCTCACTTTCTGTCATGTTACAAGTGCATTGTGCATCGTCGACAGCGCGCAATATATCGCATGTTTGTGACAGGAAGAAGCCATTAACTCGTTCGCACTGTGTGGCATGGGTTCCTGGGTCGGGCTGGCTGCTGATAACAACCAATAACCCCTACCCCTACGACGACCTCACGACCACTGGGGCACAATCACAACTCATATATCAATCATGATCAACACATGTCGGGCCCTGCAATAATATTCCACGGCAGAAATTATTATCGCTGCAGTGGATCGCGCAACTAAGCCACCATGAGCAGTAATAGACAAGGGCCAACTGCATGGGCCCGTAACCACAGCATGTACAGTATGGGTATGGAAAAACGGGCTGTTGGAAAGAATGAGAGAATATACTGTCTGGCTAATCTCCCCATGACCCCCTGTAACCTCTTGGCGTCGCGTGTGCAGTATTTGTTTGAACGACACCTGTCAACATCCAAGCACAACTACAGTCTGTCAATGTCAGATCTCTCTCGTCTGACTACCAAGGAGCGGTAACATTGTGTGCCCAGTGGAGATCACAATAAAAATAAATAAAAATTGTAGCTTTGGTCACTTGTACTTAATCTGACTGCTGGAAAAGGTGGACAACATCGTTGTGTTCTTGTAATCGTCTGCACATCAGTCGTCTGTAGGGAAGTCGTCATGTTTGCAACCTGATATGAACTTGTCCTGATATACTGTATCTTGATTTCTTTACATTACTAAGGTCAATCATGGCAATAGAGCACTTTAGGGGAGTAGTTAAGATAATGCTCAGTGTCCTGTAGCACTACAGTATTCCCCCTCATACAAAACCTGCTGCTGTCAGGACTACGCAACGCATCCATGTCGAGGCCGATTGTTTAGATGACCATTGAATTCAATATGGACTACTTGTAGTACATACTGTACAATTATATGTGTCAGTTCTGTACACTTATTCACACCAGATATTTTCCCAACACCACCTCCTTTGTAAGTTATCAATAACCGCAGTGCAGGGTCCTTATCGTGTGCAGATAACAACGCTGAGATAAGGCAAGGTGGTAATCTAACCTTTTTGATGCACTTAAAACGCCTCGAGATATTTCCAATCTGGACAGCGCAACACGGAGGTTGGAATTAGATAAAGGAGAGCTGATTATTACAGTTGGTTCCATAGTTTGGATCTGTTTCCTTTTGGCCCATTGTCTTATTACTAATGTGAACGGTTACAATCGGTATAATAGAATTGAGAAGTAATTGGATTATTTATAAATTAGAGGATATCAAAAGATCGCAAATTTAGAAGAGAGCGACACCGGCAGCGGCGACAACACCGGCAACGATCTGGGCACCGAGGGTGGCAGCACCGTTAGCCTGGGCAGGGCCGGCAGCGGGGGGCTGGGTCTGCTCGGGAGCCTGGATCTGGCCGTCGTGGATCTGAGTGACGACACCAGTGGCCTCAGCAGCGGGGTGCTCACCTCCAGCGGAGGGCTTAGCACCTGCACCAGCTCCAGGAGCACCGGGAGCAGAGCCAGAGGGCTTGGCACCCTCACCAGCACCAGGAGCACCGGGAGCAGAGCCAGAGGGCTTGGCACCCTCACCAGCGCCAGGAGCACCGGGAGCAGAGCCGGAGGGCTTGGCACCCTCACCAGCGCCAGGAGCACCGGGAGCAGAGCCGGAGGGCTTGGCACCCTCACCAGCGCCGGGGGCACCGGGGGCACCACCAGAGGGCTTAGCACCCTCACCAGCACCGGGAGCACCAGCGCCGGGGGCACCAGGGGCACCACCAGAGGGCTTAGCACCCTCGCCAGCACCAGGAGCGCCAGCACCGGGGGCACCGCCAGAAGGCTTAGCACCCTCACCAGCACCGGGAGCACCAGCGCCGGGGGCACCGGGGGCACCGCCAGAGGGCTTAGCACCCTCGCCAGCGCCAGGGGCACCAGCGCCGGGAGCACCAGCGCCGGGAGCACCAGCACCGGGGGCACCGGGGGCAGCTCCAGAAGGAGCAGGGGCGGGCTTGGCACCCTCACCACCAGCGGGAGGAGCCTGGATCTGGCCATCGTTGATCTGAGAGACAACGGCGTTGTCGGCAACGACAAGGGCGGCAAGGGCGAGGAGAGTAGCGGAGGTGAACTTCATTGTGAATGTGTGTGTGTGTTGGTATTAAGCGAGTGAAGAGATTAATATGATCTGATGAGGAGGAAAAAGGGGTGCAACCGGGGGACCTTTTATATCCTTTTGGATGCTCATAAAGATGAGCAATTCGTCGGCATGTCTACTGTCTCAAACTGTTGACTATACACTCAATGCCTCCACGCGTGGCTTAACCCGTCCGACATTAGCTTTAGGCTCGAGCGACCTTACCTTTCTTGGTTACGAGACACTTTCTCTCGGGCCTAGAAGAGAGCAGTGTTTCATTCCAGACGGTGACTAACTTCCTCGGTTAGGGTCTTGCTGCCCAATCTGTCCTTGGAGCTGCAATGGTCACAATAATGGCGCATTCGGTGATACGTGGGGTATACATGGCCATATCTTGGCATGTCTTCGTCGGTGCGTCTAGCCTCTGGGTTGATTCTTTTTTTTGCAGGCTAAAAGAGTCTGTAACTGTGACGGCTAGCTGGTTCATTGTTCCTGTCGCTCTTCAGGGGTCGGCAGCGATGGCGGTCGCACTGCCACGAGTAAACAATGCTTGTGGGGAAGAATGGATTGGCATCCCGGGCAGCTTAGGTGCAAGTTACCACGCAAAAGATGGTTTCATCATGGTCTGGATTAAGCTGGATTAGGCAAGGCCAAAAAAGCAAGTTCTGAGTCAACAAAGAATTCAAGCCTGAACGAAAATAAAGCTGGAAGAAAGACCTGAAAGGCAACACGTCCCGGGGGGGGTTATGAGGGTAAATTCCGTCCTCTAGTCACCGATGAATGGCCGAATCGGACCTGGCTTGTTCTCAAGATGCATAAAAAGTTGACAATGGGTGTCATACTAACTAGTTTGGAGCGTAACCCCACAAATGGAGTGATATTCACGCCAAGGCGCGGTGCCCTGACGTCCCATTGTACCTCTGCATGAGCCAAGTGGATAGCTCTCGAGTTTGAGTCTATCCGATGACGGCAGCAATGAAGCTTGCAATTTGTCGTCGTTCGGTCGACAAAGATGTGCGGGATGTGTCAAATTGCGCAAGTATCGTCTCCAAGGCGTTGGTGTTACCCCGGACATCGCGGGCTGTATGCGTGTGCGTTGATTTCTTCGTTCTAACACTGATCCTCGTACTCAATGTTACAGCTTTTTGGGATTTGCAGTAGGGACGCGAGCTCCTCGAGGCTGTGTTCACAGACAGTGCGCGAAAAAGGGGATGAGGTTTACACCACGCGTCTGTAACAGATCAGAGTCGTGGGAACACATGAGAGACACGGGAGAAGGTCCCATGTGACCATATTGCAATTTGTGGAGTGACCGTGCATGACAGACCCTTGGCTACACCATGCCACGCAGCAAGAAAATGGCAAGATCCCCATTGCAGCGTGAGTGATGTGGCTGCATTGGACAAAATCGATACATTTGCTCACCTCGTCAGTAAATGTCATCATGGCCTGTTTACCATCCTTCGCCTTTGTTGCCGTTCCAGGTCGCTTGAGTTTGAAACGCTCCAACCTAAAGAGCACGCCATCCTTAACTCCGGTTCCATCTTTTTTCGGGGTCCCTCCTTGTCGTGTGGGCACTGCTTTTGCTGTATATACGGCCCTGTCTTGCTATGTTTCGACCGTGTTCTGTGGCTGGGTGTGCTGGATAATTTACACTGGCTATGTGGTTGTGCATGTACAAGTACGAGTACGCGAGGTGAAGTAATTGCTAAGTCCTGCATTCTCGGTTAACACCATATTTGACAAGTCGGGTCAGACAATAAGCGTATTCTCCCAACAAGACTTACAGAAAAGGACATGTGTGGAAGAAGATAGAAACTTGTGCAGCTTAAATTCACCCCACATACCAAAATGGACGATTTCTGCTCGAGAAAAAAAAACTGGCTTCGAGGACTAGGCGATCATGGTTACCAGGCAACTGAGCAACCCACACCCTAAATGTCTCATAGGCGACGAGGGGGAGGTGGAGAAAACAAATAAATGCGGGAGGGGTATACCGACATTAAATTTCTTTGTTGCCAGGAGAATAATTGGATGCCCCCACCACAACAACCGATAGCCAATTACTGGCTTTCATATATCGCTCATCTCACTGCACCAATGCAAGAGTGGCATGGCTCTTTCCTTGGCCCTGTACATACCTACACTCGGGTTCCTGAAGACCCGAAGTCTGAAAGACCCAACCGACGTATCGGCGTGAGTTTAAGCAGGCAGCAATCTAAACCATCGGTTGGTGGTCGGGTCGAGAGTCAGGAATGTGACGACAAGTCGCTCAAAAAAAAAGAAACCGGCTAATTCCTCGGCACTAAAAAAGCCAAATCGACCCGATCAGAATGAGCACTCCTCCATAATACAATCGTCATGTCGTCGTCCTACTTAGCCTGTGGCTTGGCCAAGATTGGTTGCAAGGGTTTCGTTGCCTTGTTGGTGACTTACCAAACGGCCAGACCGGGAATCGAACTCACACTACCCCAGCAACTATCACAAGATGACCTGCACGTGATGGCGATACTACATTACGCAGCTCCAATGCAGCATTAATCGCCACTCAAATGTCCAACTACGAACAGGACCACAATATCACCAACGAGTCTGCCAACGGATCCACCGACCAAGACGGAAACCACCCTCGAAACACTCTCGGAGCCAACCTCCAGCAGTTTCTGAATGTCGAAAGAGATCGAGATCGGAGGGCTGGAGTGTCGGACACTAACCCCGGCCCAGAATACGTTCCTGCTTTCGAGCGGGCGATCCGCCAGCTAGACAGGAACGAAATCATCGACTTCTTCGTCCAGTTCATCGACGGACTGGATCTCCAGACAGGTGAAGCCCCCAAGCCCAAGGGGCTGGGTCAGGAGTATCTTGACACCCTGGATCGTGTCCCCAAGAAGCAGCTCAAGGAGTCAGACTCATGCGCCATCTGTTCCACGCCGTACCTGGAGGATGAGTTTCCACTGGTAGTGCGACTTCCATGCAACAGAAAGCACCACTTTGATCTGGAATGCATCGCTCCATGGCTCAAGCTGAATGCCACCTGCCCCATGTGTCGAAAGGATCTGGCAGCCAAGGCCGAGATCGAGCCTGACAGCGAGGAGGAGTTTGACGACACTTACGGTTAAGCAGAAGGTCAATGTTGGTATCATACCAGATAGACAAGATACAATCATAAACACCATGTACACTAACTATTTTATACAATGAAGAACAATTAACTGTGTGGTTGAATAAATAATAATTACATAGTGAGTACAAGTAGTCATTAACCAGCCCTACAACTCAATGTTGCCCTGACTCTGGTACTTGATACCCTGACCAGGAGGAGGGGGCGCAGCTTCATCTCGCCCAGCAGCTCCGTCCTTGTTAGAACTTCCGCCCTTACTTCGAAGATACTTTTTGATCATCTGGCCGAGCTTCCACTGCTCGTCTGAGGACGATCCCAGGTTTCGAGGCTTACCCCATGCAACACGAAGACGACAGCCGTTCAGGACTAGTCGTCCTCCACTTATGGCAGCAGCAGCTTTCTCTGCAGCAGCTCGAGTCTCAAACACCACATACCCACAATGAGCCCGATGTACAACCGTCAACAAAGAGATGGTTCCTCCAGTCTCCGTGAAATGCTTTCTGATCACGTGCTCTGGAAGATCGTCCTCTACACCCATGAAAAACAAGCTCTTGATAGAGGCGTCCTTGGGCACAGGTGTTGTACTGCCCGTCAGAGGAAGCTTGGATGCAATTTTGGTGACATCGGCCGTCAGAGCCTTACTGTCGCGGCTGTCAGCAGGCCGTTTATCCTTCTGGCCCTTTTCATAAAGCTCTTTTCTGTACGGCATGGCGTTAGCCAGCTGCTTCAACAGTCCCTTGGCTGCACTCTGAGCCTTGCCTGTACCAGTGACTGAGTTGTCCGTAAGAAGTCGTTGATCCTGCTTCAGTTGCTCCTCGTAGTTTTGAGCAATAAACTGCTTGGTGATGGTGTTGGAAGATGAGCTCAGAGAGAGTCCCCCGCCGCCTCCCTCCTGCTCCATTTTCAAAGCTGCATCTCGAATAGCCAACGGCAGTCCATATGTGAGATCGAGAGAACACGACTGGCAACAGTTCTTCTGTCGCGAACAAGTAAGACAAACGTTCGTCTTCAGCGGCTTTCCTCGAGAAGAGCCTTTTTGTGCACGTTCTGGTTGCCACCGGAACACTGTGAAAGGTCTTGTACACATTTTGCACTCGGCACCGTACTTTTCTTTAGTCATTCGAATGTAGGGGTTGGCACCAAGACACTGGGTGCACACTGCAGGCACCTCAGTGTCCTCCCACGTGATTTTGTTGGTGTCTGACTTGGTCGTTTGCATGGGGATGTGTGATGATGATGGTGAATTCACCGTCAAATATTTCCTAAACTACAAACTTTGATATTTCTGTCTGCATCCTGATATCGATATTCAGGTTTAGGGTTAGTAGATAGTGGGGAGGAAGCACAGCACTGAACAAAGCAGTAATTGGGCAACTACAGTACTTCTACATTACAACTACAAATAACACATGGTATGACATAATAATGAATATAAATTAAAGAGCTTCCTCCACATCAATACCTCAATCTCCTCCCGGTGTGCGACTTGTACAATGTACGCTTCAGATGACTCATTTCACTGTTGAGGTTGGAAGACCACTGAATAGATCCAGGCTCTGCTCGAATTCCAGGGCCATCAGGATCGTTGTTAGAGTACCGAACCACGTCGTCAATGAACTCGAGTGACTTTCTGAGCACCTCCTTGTTGCCAACGAGCTTGTCAATCTCATTGGGCAGAGCAGTGACGGGCTGACCGAGCTGACGGGTCAACATGGTAAGAATCCTGCGAGCATGCTCGACACCCATCGAGTCAACTAGATAGAGTTGCAGCCGGTTGTACTCGTCATCATGTGCAGCTCCCGTCATGGACCCGGCACACCTACGATACCGCTCGTTGGCCAGAAACATCTCGATCTTCTGACGAGCAAGAGACACCAGGGCAGGGTCCTTGCCTCCGTAACCACTGTCGGAGCCAATGTTGATGTTGACTCGAACGTTGTCGCCAGACTCTCGTCGTCTATGAGGCTCGTAGTCTCGATAAGAGTCTCGATAAGAGTCGTGACGAGACTCCGCATGCCGCTCGGTCTCCCGACGTCGTCCACGGGCCAGCTCGTTCTCGGAATCAAGACGCCGCTGTCTCTCGCTCTCGATCTCCAGCTTCAAACGTTCAATCTCACGGTCATGAGACAGCTGCAGCCGCTCCTTCTCCCGTTTGAGAAGGTTCAGCTCAGCAGATCGAAGAGACTCGGAGGCATTGGAAGACTGGTGAAGACTCTCACGCTCCTGAAGAGCCTCCAGAGATCGACAACGCTCGGCGAGAACTCGCTCTGAAGACTCCAGCCGCGCACGGGCCCGAGTCGCCTCCAACAGCTTGGCAGCATTGGAAGCCTCAGCCTTGGAAAGATCGTCGTTCTCCTTCTGCAAAGTCTCAGACATGAGAACGTAGGAGTCGAGGTCGGACTTATGAGCCAGCCTCTCCCGCTCTCGGTCTTCTCTTTCGGCAGAAAGCTGGCTTTGCAGAGATTCGACACGGTTGCACTCCTCCTTGAACTTGGCGCTGACAGACGCTCGGGCCCTCTTCAGCTCTGCTTGAGTGGTCTTGAGAGTGTCGATGCTCTGCTGAAGTCCAGAGAGCAGAACTTCGATGGGGGTGTAGGCCGTGCACGTCAGCACCTGACCAGCAAGAGCCCGGATCTGCCCTTCAAGCTCCTTGCGACCGCTCTCGGCCGCCTCCTGCTCGCCGAGAAGCTGCGCGTGGTCCGTCTCCAATTGGGTCTTGAGCTGGTGGATCTGAGCTTTGGCCTCTGCGAGATTCTCGTCCCCAGTCGCCTTGAGACGGTTAGCAACGTTCAGTGCAATTTTGGTGTGGGTGTGGTTATTCTCGAGTTGCTTAAACTCCTTGTTAACCGCCTCAAGCTGACACTCCAGATCCCGGACCTTGCTGGAAGCCTGGCTGCCACCCAGCTTTACCTGGTTGGACAGAGCTAAGATCTCATCGTCCTTGTCCTTTACAGCAGACTCCAGTCGAGCCACGGTGGCCGTCAGCACGGAAATTTCCTCTTGACTGGAGGTAAGCGTGGAGCTAATCTGAGATTTTTCGATCTTAGCACTCTTGAGCTGAGACTCCAAAGAAGTGACACAGGCAGAAAGGTCCAACTGCTGGGCTGACTTCTCCGCCAGAACCTCCTGCTTCGCTTCAAGATCGGCCACCGCCCGTGTCCTCTCCTGCTGAGCCTGATCGAGAGCACCCAGCAGCTCATCCATCCTCTCCTTCGTTGTCTCCTGTGAATACTCGAGCTTCTCTTCGAGACCGGCAATCCTTTCCCGAAGAATCACTTCCGTGGCCTTGCTGTCCGCAATACGCTTGGTCGCGACCTTCTCGGCACGCTGAAGTTTCACGATCTGGGCTTCCAGCCTTTCGACAGACTGGCGCAGTGCATCTTTCTCATCATCAATAACATCATGTGGGCTTTTCTGTACAGGATCTCCCGACACGACAATGTTATCGACAACGCTGGCAGGCTCCTGGACGCCAGGCTTCTGAACACCATCTACCACGCCCTGGTCTTTAAGATTATCACTGTGGGTAAAGGAATCCTTGATATTGCATTGAAGCGCCTCCAGCTCCCCTGCCTGCTCGTTCTTCTCATCTGTCAGCTTAAAAATTCGCAAGGTCAGCTTGTTCGCCTCGTCGACAGTCTCGTTGATCTTGATCTCCTGTCGTTCAAGCTCGCATGACAAAGAGCTCGGCACTCCATCTTTATCGTCCCACAATCCATCATCATGGCTCTGGGCATCTTGCACTCCACGATGCAATGCTTCAAGGCGGTCAGCCAATCCTGTCATGGTCGACAGCAAATCCTTCTTACTGCTATTCAGCTTGCAACGGAGTTTTGTATTGGCTTCCTTCAACATGGCGTAGGTATCAGAGGCAGTCACGAGATCCTGTTTAGGCACAGTGGTAGATTCCAGGCGCGTAATGGTCTGATTCAAGTTCGCAACATCGGTCTTTAGAGCATCGACCTTGTTACACTCAGCAGTCAGCGCAGTGAAGAGACGTCTACACCTTTCGGAGAGAGATGAGTAGCGCGTAACAACAGGGTTGGGTCGATGACGATACCCCTCATGCTGCTCTCGAGTCGAGCGCTCGAACGTGTCAGAGTGGCGTCGCAACTCCTGTTCATCCAGTGATGGAGGCTCCTCTGTCGGGTGGGATTCCTCGGTTGAGCAAGAATCCTCCATAGGAAGATGCTCCTCTGGCGAATGAAATTCCTCTACCGCAGGCTCATTTTCTTCTGCCACTTGCGGTGGCTGCTCTTGTTCCACTCGAGGTTCTTGCACATGCGGTTCTTGCGCTGACGGCTCTTGCATTGGCGGCTCTGGCACTGGAGGCTCTTGCACTTGAGATTCTGGTACTAGCGTCTCTTGCACTGGCGGCTCTTGCGCTGGCGGTCCTGGCACTGGAGGCTCTTGCGCTGGCGGCTCTGGCACTGGTGGCTCTGGCACTGGCGGCTCTGGCACTGGAGATTCTGGCACTAGCATCTCTTGCACTGGAGGCTCTTGCGCTGGCGGCTCTTGGCCGTAGACGACCACCGCGGAAGTGACTGGCGTCCTCTCAGCCGCCGAAGAAACAAGGGCAGACCTGGCTACCGGTGTAGAAGTAGCGGGTGCGGGTGCAGTGGATGGAGCAGAAACAGGGGTAGCCGGCTCAGTAGAAGCAGCAGATGTACGAGCACGGGATTGGTTAAGATCACCAGGGGTATTCCGCTGTTCCTGTAGAGACGATGGCGTGGAAGGAAGAGGCTCTGGGGGGGTAGCAGCGGTATGAACAGGTATTCTGGCAAAAGAAACCCTTTTAGAAATGGTCACTCGGTTCGGAGCATCCGCCGATGAGGATGCAACAGGACCGGGAGCAGAAGCCGACCTGAGAGACGTGGGGTGCAAAGAGAACTCGCCAGCAGCGCTCGTCTGCACAGTATCAGCTGGCCCGGAAGACGTACCGGCCTCAGCGGGCGAGGGGGAAGTAGATCTCATATCAACAGACGACGAAGCGACAGGGGCATTATTGTCAATTGGGTGGTTTTCAGTCCCCCCACGCACCGGTGACTCTGAAGGGTTCCAGGACTTTCTTCTCTTTCGAGGGTTGGGTCTATTGGAAATGTTATCCAGCGCTTGTCGGTTCGAGCTTGTCGTGGATCCACTCATGGTTGGTGACAATGTCAGGCTGTGGCGGTGTCTGATGGCAGAAGTGTTTGTGGGAGTGGTAGCGCAACTGGAGAGATCACTTCCGGAGTCGCTAGCGTAGTCGAAGTAGGCTTGTTGGGGATCAGGAATGTCTTGGGGGATGTGGGACGCTTCCTGGTGTGCTCCGAGAGTGGTGGGGGCAGCTGTAGGGGGGTCTTTGGTATAAAGAGGAGAGGTCGAGGGAAATCTGTGGACGTCTTTATCAATGGTCGTGTTCATGGAGCTGTGTGGCAGGCTGTCTGAATCTGAATTCTCAAATGCAGACTCTCCGACAGCCTCAAAAGGGGGCCTTACAAACACATGGGGAGCTGACGCCAGAACGGCGCTGAACTGGCTGCCAGTCAGCGAGTCGCCGTCGTCGCTGCTGAAGATGCTCTGGTAGCTGTAATCTTCCACTCGTCCGTTCCAGCCGCTGAGAAAAAACTGGTCTCCGCTCTCGCTGGTCGGACTGTCATCAGCCCCAATAAATGCACTTCGGTCGGGGGTTGCCACATGGAAAGAGATGTCGCGTCTCAGATCTTTTTGTGTCGCAGTCGGCGGCTTGGGCGAGTCCATGGCACCCAATGAAGATGTGTCGCTCCAGCGTGAGTTGTTGGCCAACACTGGCGTGGACCTGTGTCGAGCCAGATGCTTCTTCCTAGTGCCACGAGTGTAAGACATTGTCAAGACAGCTCCGTGACTGAAGAAGACTTTCTTTTTTGTAGTAGCCGAGTTGCTAGCGCTCGTAGCAAGTAGCAGATAGTGTGTCTGTCGTTAGCTGGTGATCTTCAGCGACCTGTTGCAATGTCAAGTTGTGTTGTTTGGTAAAGTACGATACGAGTAACACTATTCACTATTGTTTGTTTGGGACTCACGTCCGAGTCACGAAACCTTGTTCGTTTTAGACACAAAAGGCAGCTGGAGCGCAGTTGAGATGCACTCTACTACCAGTACCACACACTCAGTTTAAGGTGCTCCCAGCCCCAACTTTTGTGTGCCCTCACTCAGTACGAGTACTTGTACTACAAAGCAGCTACCTTGAGATATCACTAAAGCAACGCAGATACCATGGACGAGCCGTCTCGAAACGCTTACCAGGCTATCCACTTTGCAGTGGACGCACGATACCGGCTAGTAAAGCGACTGGGCCAGGGCACTTATGGCACAGTGTGCTCAGCACAGGACCTCAAGAGCGAAGACCAGCACCTGATTGCAGTCAAGAAGGTCAACAACATCTTCAATCGCGAGGTGCTTGTGCGACGGGCTCTAAGAGAGCTCCGGTTGATGCGCTGCTTGCGTGGCCACCGAAACGTGAGATTTCACCCTTGATGTGATACCCTGCATTATGAAACCCCACTAACACAGATTGTCAGCCTCATAGACCTCGACTACGTGACCAAGACGCCATATGATGGTCTCTATTGTTACCAAGGTGAGTGTTGATGCAACACAAGCAGCCCCAAGCAGTCAATTAACACAGAACTGATGGACTTTGACCTCATTAACGTCATCAGAGGACCCATCGAGCTCACAAACCTCCACCTCCAAAGCTTCATGTACCAGCTGTTGTGTGGAGTCAAGTATATCCACTCCGGCAGGGTCATCCACCGTGATCTCAAGCCTGGAAACCTCCTCGTCAGCCGAGATGGAGTTGTCAAGATCTGCGACTTTGGCCTGGCCCGAGGAATGAACTATGACCTCAATGACAAGACACAAATCACAGCCTACGTCGCCACGAGATGGTACCGTGCTCCGGAGCTGATCATGAGCTACCGAAACTACACGGAGGCCATCGACATATGGGCTGTCGGCTGCATATTTGGAGAGCTACTGGGTAGACACCCGCTCTTCCAAGGCCAGAACCCTATGGATCAGCTCAAGAAGATCTGCAAAGTGGTAGGGATCCCTTCCAAGCCAGTCTTGGAGCGCATGGGCATCAAGAAGACCTGGGAGGTGCTGGAATCCAACATGCCTCAGTATACGGGCATCCCATACTCCAAGTTGTTCCCCGATGCAGATTTTGCAGCGTTGGACCTGATTGGAAAGCTGCTTCGGTTCGACCCCACCAAGCGTGTGAGCGCTGTTGGAGCTCTGCGCCACAAGTACCTTGCCAATTTTCAAAACTCTTCCAGTGAGGCCATCATGACCAGCCCCGTCGATTTCAACTTTGAGTCGCTTAGTTTTGAGAACTTGAAAGCTGAACTGGAGGAGGAAGTCCGGGGTTTCCGTCGTGAGGTTCGCGGAATCCCTCCAGGAGGTCCCATTCATCCCCACCGTCTCTATCACCAAGACTACATTCACACACGGTAAATAGCGCGAATATATATTTATAGCTGACGTAAGGAAGACGGGCTATTATTGTAGAATTTCAAGATTGGAGACAAGTTGCGTCTTCAGTTGCCTTCTTGACTTCAGTTGTGTGTATCGTTATGCCATCACGTGATTCAACTTAGTTCCGCATGTCACCTTTATCGTGCATGATGTGGGTGCTGTGGTCTAGAGGGGCGTTCTATACATCAACCTATCAACAACATCACAGCATAGAAACGGGTTCCTACTTGTTCTACCATGGGAGCACAGATATCGTTGGTATCGACGTCTGCTGCCACAGTCAGTATCGAGGCCTATGTGGCAGAGCTCAACGACATTCTCTATGAAAAGAAGCTTGGCAACTCTCGGTTTCTCAAGACCATCCAAGGCTCGAGGATAGACAGCAATGAGAGCGTGATTGTCAAGGTATTCATTAAGCCCAGTCCACGGGTGGATCTGAGCAGCTACGGAAAGCAGCTTGAAAGTGAGTATATCGTATTGTGGCGATTGAATGGTTGACCGCCGTTACTAACTCAGACCAACGGAAGCTATTGGCAGATGTGCCCAATGCAGCACCTTACCAGCGACTATTGGAGACGGAGCGAGCAGGATATCTGGTGAGGCAGAATTTTAAGACCAATCTTTACGACCGAATCAGCACCCGACCGTTTCTGGATCTCACCGAGAAGAAGTGGATTGCATTTCAACTGCTCAAGGGCCTAGAGCAGTGTCACGCCCGAGGCGTGTTCCATGGTGACATCAAGAGTGAAAACACGCTTGTGACGTCGTGGAACTGGGCTTTGTTATCGGATTTTGCACCCTTTAAGCCAGTTAGCTTGCCGTCAGACGACCCTTCGTTCTTCTCCTTTTTCTTCGACACCTCATTACGGCGAACATGTTATCTTGCGCCTGAGCGCTTCGCAGACGTCAATTCTTCCAGTCCCCAGAGCGCGCCCCAGGAGATGGAGCTTACCGGAGCTCATGATGTGTTCAGTTTGGGATGCGTGATTGCAGAGCTGTTCTGTGAAGGTACCCCTATTTTCTCCCTGTCACAACTCTACAAGTATCGCCAAGGCGAGTACGAGCCGCAGCTGGATGGAATCGAGGACGAAGGAACACGGGATATGGTACGAAGCATGATATCTCTCAAGCCTGAAGACCGGCTTAGTGCATCTGAATATCTGAACCAGTTCAAGGGATCTGCATTTCCTCCAGAGTTCTACGACTTTGTGTACGACTTCATTTCGTCATTGACGTACATGAAGGGCCCCACGGCGTGCGACGACCGAATTGAAAGCATTCACCTCAACTTCAAAATGACACCCGAGTGGGGTGTGCCAAAGAAGTCGGACTTGGCATTTGCTCTGCCACCCACAGAGGAGAGCGTCACAATCAACCTACCAGGTGTCAAGGATTGGGTTATCAGAGACCTTCAGCACGAAGCAGATGAACTTCCCTTAATTTATTTATCGGTCATTTTCACGGCCCTTAAACACACTACCTCCTCCATCAGTCGAATAAAGGCCTGTGACCTCATTCTCATGTTCTCGCAATTTGTCAACGATGAGGTTCGACTCGACAGAACTTTACCTTATCTGGTTTCTCTTCTCAACGACTCAGTGGCTGTTGTTCAGGTAGCTGCCATCCGCAGTGTGGCTCATCTCATGAAAATGGTCCAAGCTATCACTCCTTTGAACAAGACTGTCTTCTCCGAGTACCTGGTACCTAGATTATTGCCACTAATCAATTCTAATGAGGTGATTGTAAGAGAAGCTCTGGCTCTTTATCTCCCCTTGTTTGCCAAGACTGCTGGCCGTCTGGCTAACATGACTACAACCATAAACGGCAACAAGACACAGAACGTTAATACTGAGAGGGAGGAGTTGGTGGAGTCTTTTGAAGACTGTGCGGTTGGACTGATCACAGACACAGAGCCAGTCGTCAAGGTAGCACTACTGAAGAACATCCTGGACCTTGCTGTTTTCTTTGGCAAGCGAAGAACCAATGATGTGCTTCTCAGTCATCTCATCACATATCTCAATGACCGAAATTACGCCTTGAGATTGGCATTTTTCGATGCCATGCTAGAATTGGCTCCTTTTATCGGTGCAGTGTCGTTGGAGCGATACATACTCCCACTCATGATTCAGACTCTCGCTGACAGCGAAGAGGCCGTTGTGCATAAGATCATGAGCGTGTTGTGTGTGTTCGCCGAGCTGGGGCTAATTCGAAAGGCAGTCATTTGGGAGACTACTGGAATTGCTCTCAAGCTCACTCTGAGTCCCAACAACTGGATCCGGTTGGCTGCCTTCAAGTTTGTCCATGTCTGTTCGCTGTGGCTGAACACTGCTGAGAAGTTCTGTCTCTTGTTTCCCGCTGTTCGTCCATACCTGGCAAACGATGTGACAGATTTCGATCTTGAGACTCTGTACTTCAATTCCAAGAAGCCGCTCAGCCGAGCAGTGTTTTCTCTGGCTATCACGTGGGCTGGAAAGAAGAGCTCCAACTCACTTTTCTGGGATATGGATTCAAAACCCACGCCCCATGAGTCCCTTGCTCAAAGTCTTGTTCTTTCTCAACTTCCCGGTCAAATGAGCAACTTTGCTGTGAGCACTGTCAAGATGGACGCCAGCAACATGACGTACGACTCTATTCCTCGGTCCCCAGAAGACGATATCTGGATTGGAAAACTGCAAAATATTGGTTTCGATACAGCAGATCTCTGGAAGCTTGCAACCATGAGACCATACATCTTGCAATTGGCAGGTCAGATTGCACAAACCAGGGAGGAGAACGACGCTGGAGCTCTGGATCTCGATGGAGTTCCACTTAACAACATCTTCTTGAAAGAGGGCGTGACCTTCCCTGATGAAACCAAACCTGCCACATTCTCCAGTTATGACGGCAAGGACGTCTATGTTCAGCAGATGCTTCACCAAGCTTACCTGGAAGCCTCCGAGTCTATCAGAGAGAACCCCGAGGGCGCTGTTGAGACTCAGACTATGAACTCGAAGCGATGGAAGCCTACTGGTACACTGGTCGCCATCTCCAACGAACACACGGCTCAGATTAACCGAATAGTCGTTAGCCACAATCAGCAGGTGTTTGCTACTGGCTCTGACGACGGCACTGTCAGGATATGGGAGAGTGACAAGCTCGAGAAGAACGTAATCTTCAAGAGCTGTCTTACTATTGACCTCCAATCAAAGGTCAAGGCACTTGCATTCGCCACAACCAATATCCTTGTTGCAGCCACCGAGTCCTCAAAGTTGGTGTTAATCAAACTTGTATTCGAAAAGGAGAGATGCAAGCGATACGAGATCATGTATACCCACAAGCTCCCTAGTGGCTACTGCACCTGGCTGGAGCTGCATAGACAAACCATGGTCATGTGCACTACCAGAGGCCGTGTTGAGGCTCTGGATATCAGAGGTATCGAGGAAGGCTCTGTATCTCTTACCTTGCTTTATTCTCTCGAGAACCCCCCTCACTACGGTGTCCCCACAACCTTTGCAGTTGATAAGAGAGGCAATTGGCTTGTTGTTGGAACGTCTCGAGGTATTCTTACTCTCTGGGACCTTCGATTCCAGTTGCTGGTCAAGTCTTGGGGCATTCCAGGTCGAAAGACCATACATCGTATCTGTCTGCAACCCAGAGGTCGTGGAAAGCGCATCTTCGTCTCTGGCGGCTCTTCTGGCGGTTTGGTGACCGTATGGGATATCGAACGAGGCACCTGCAGCGAGATTTATCAACCATACAACTCCACCGTCGACACCATGAACTTCGAGCCTGTCCAGGTAGACAGTGAAGAGTTCCAGAGCTTCTATGGTGAGGCTGTAGCCGATGAAGGTATTCTAGAGGAGGATATTCAAGACGGAGAGGACTCCAAGTCGCTAATTGCCACTTCTCTCACTCTCACTGACGATGGCAAGTATGCTTACTTTGTCTATTCAACCTCCGACAGAATTGTCCGTCTCTGCGACATAAGCTCGCCTGAGAACTCGTGCGTTGTGTGTGGACTAGACGAGGATGGCTGCCGAGTGCAATACTCGCGGTTCCAGTCTCATCCCAAGATGGTTACTATCAGTGAGAAGCTAGTGTCTCCCGTGGTGAACAAGAAACGCGTTGGAAAACCCTCTCGATTCTCCATCATTTCTGCTGAGCAACAACGGAGCTTCAAGAACCACCAGGATCTTATCACCGACACAGCTATTCTTTTGCGACCATACGAGATGATCCTGTCTGTGGATCGAAGTGGTTACCTCAGGGTCTTCTCCTAACCTCATAATTTCCTATATATTAATGCATTTTTCTATTAGTAATCACTCAAATTGGTTGTTGGAGAGTTAAGTAATAACCAAGTAATTACTTATATAATTAACATCTCCGGGTTAAATCCGTGAGTGAAAAAACCTTGCTGGTATGCGACCACTTTAAACATCTCAAATCAATTACATATTAGCAGATCTCCTGAGCATCCCAGAAATGGAAGTACCATATGGCATGGATCACTCCAGAAAATACTTTATGACATGTTTCATCTCGACCAACCGACCTGTATGTATTCGACGCCCTTGTGCTTACTGCATAGAGAGGTGGAGCTTGTGCTAGGGACAATGCATGAGTTATCTCCAGTGAAATATAGATCTTGAGGGGTCTTTAAAATGGCGACGGCAAAGAGTATCCAAGGAGGAAAAAGTCAGAGTTGAAAAGAGACCATTACTTTAACACAATTGGTCTGAAACTCCCTCTGTTCCTGTCCTTCCGTCCTTCCTGTCCTCCTGCCAATATTTCGACAGAGTTCGGGGCCAAATTCCGCTAAGTCCAGCTGCAGGATAGAGTTCACCTCCACGCCAGCAACGAGTGAATATATCCATCACCAGACAGAAGGACACCTAGTCGCACACCAATGAGCTACCTGGGTCTGCCCGACAACCACCGCACGACCAGACGACTGTCTGTGGCTCCTCGAGACCACTCGGACCATGCGCCGTCACCCGTGACACGTAAGATCGATGAGCTGTGTCGAAAGGTGGACTACGAGTGGCCCGAGCTGGGTCGAGACAATGCCAACATCCTCGAGGTGTCGCTTTCGTTGATGGACACGTCTTCAATTGGAAAGGCCCGTTTCTCCAAGGACTACGAAAAACTCACCTCGGACATCAGCAACGTGCTCAAGGACGTGGTGAACGATAACTATCAGGGGTTCAACTCCTCGGTAGGCTCCTACAGATCTATCGCGCAGAGCATCGCCGAGTCGCATGACAATGTGCGGCAGCTCAAACAGCAGCTAGTGGAGAGCAAAAGTGCGCTGTCCCGAAACAAGCCCATTCTCAAGGAGTTGGGCGCTACGTCACAGCGATACAAGCAGATGATTCAGATTCTGGAAAAGATCAAGGATCTCAAGGCTGTTCCCGACAAGCTCGACACAGAAATCTCCAAGAAGCAGTTTCTCTCGGCACAAGAAACCCTCCACAGCGCCCTCAGATTCCTCGATGACGACGGACTAGCGTCAATCTCCTCATTGGAGGGTCTCAAAACCTACCTTCTTGCCCAGGAGTCGACCATCTTTGCACACCTCGTCGAGGAGCTGCATTCTCATCTGTATCTCAAATCTCCCTACTGCGACCGACGATGGGTGGGCAACATTTCAAACCTCAGTTCACAATCTCTGACAGGAGCAAGATCCGTTGGCGATATCGAACAGGTCATCATGGACAAGTTGGATCACGAAATCAGCAAGGGTGGAAAGGCAACCATGACTTTCTCTGGCTCCGAGGAACTGCGTGACTTCCTGTCTGACCTGGCAGAACACAAAGACCAACCTTTTGAAGAGAGCACAACTTCTCAGATGGCTAACCCCGAGCAAAACTCGTTCATCTACATCCAACTGATTCTCGAGACAGTCAATAACCTCAATCGTCTTCCGTCACTGTTTGAAATTGTTGACCAACGTCTGCCTATCGAGATCCACAAGCTCGTCGACAAGACAGTGCAGGAAGTTGCCGCGCGATTCCCCAAATCGTTACGTGACTTGCAAGAGTATGGCGGTGACAACACGGAGGAGCGAGGCAACTCCAACAACCCTTCTGCCACAGGCTACCTGTCTGACTTCTTTGGCCCTATCAATGGTGATATCGGGCTGAATGTGCTCAAGGACCTGGTCTGGACGCTGTATTCTAAGCTCTCCGCATGCCTTGAGGGTCACCGTGCATTCTACGAGGTGTCCAAGGCCATTACTAACAGACACGATGGACACAAAAAGACTCTGGAGTACAATTTTCTCGGAGTGTGGCAGACTATGGAATCCGAGGTCAAGATGCTACTCCGATCTTACATCACAGATGCATCCAACATCTCCGCACCAAACAGATTGGACTTTGACATTCCGGCGCCATTTAGACCCATGACCAAGCGAAGCAGTAGCACTCGAAAGCCCCTGTTCAAGCTTGATAACCCCGGAGGAATCCCTGATGAGTTCAATCAGGAGAATGATATTCTGAGAGGCGTCCTGGAACACTCTGTGCCTGGTTTGGCATCTGCATCTGGCAATGCCCTGCATTCTACATCTCGAAATGCAGGCTCTCCATTCGTCACTGTGGACACTGCTCTCAGTCACGAGATGCTCACTCCACCCAACGTCTTCAACGTTCGTGCTTTCCTTGATCCCACTCTTCTTTTCATGCAGAAAGTGCAGAACATCTTCCCCGACCCCAAGGTCACTGGAATCAGCCATCCTCGACAGTTTCTGGACGAGTTCCTCAGCTCAGTGTTCCTGCCTCAACTCGAGGACTCGTTGGAGAACGCCTTTTCAGCCACTGTGGAGTCGAACGAGGCTTTCCAGATCACGGATGGCCTCTCTTCGAAGCTGGCTGCCCCCATTTTCAAGTCGGCTGAGGCATTCTCTACGTTGGTCTTCCAGCTCTGTCGACTTCTCAACACCTCTTCTCTGTACCGTGAGAAGTATACGTCGTTAATCCTGTCCCTGATCTCCAAGTTTGTCGCAAGATACAAAATCTACTTCCAGACCCTAATCTCATGGGCTGACTCCGATAAGGACCAGAGCAAGATCCGTCTATGTGCCAGATGGGCGGAAGAGCCCAAGCTGCGAACCATTTCCACTGAGATTGTTCGAAATTCGCTCGACACTAATCAGCTCATCGACGAGGAGACCACCATACTGCTCAAATTGCAGGGCGGACTCCGAAAGATCCAGATCCCTATCACTAAACAGGACACTCTGGATCCCAAGTCCTTCCGTGCAATGTGCACCCTGGTGTCTTCCCTGGAATGGTCTCTTGAGCAGCTCGAGTCTCTACGAAACGTCGTCACCGAAACTCCCCCTACTTCTGCTTCTGGCGACTCTATGGCTGCTTCTGGTGAGCTTCGAAAGCGATGGACCCTTACAGATGCATCAAAGCTTGTATCTTCGTCCAGCGAGTCTGTTTCTGGACTCGTCAAGCTCACTTTGGCTGGTCAGGCAGTTGACGAGTTCGACAGGACGATGAAGGAGTACAAGTCTCTCTCATCTCAGTGTCTTGTCACTCTCCGGTGTGACATTCGTGTCCGAGTCATGCACTACATTGAGCAGGCTATGATCAACGGAGACTACTACCTAGACCATCCACTTGATGAGCGAGACACGTTTGTCAGCCAATTGGATGCTGACATTCTGCAGTGCGACGAGTGCATGTCTGGTCTTCTTAACCCTAACTTCAGACACGCGGTTCTCAAGGGAGTGTCCAAGTACATTGACAATGTCTTTGTGGCGTCCACTCAGTCCCTGCATGCTCTCAACGCCAATGGTGTGGCTAAGCTGCTCTACAACATCCACATTATCCAGCAGATGCTCAAGTCCATCATGGAGTCTCCACAGCAGATCACGTTCTCGTCGTCTCTCAAATACTATGAGCTGTTTGATCTCGATGCAGACACCATTCTGGCCGAGGTGAAGGAAGGAAAGTTGAAACAGTTCTCTACCGAGGATCTGCGAACGCTCATCAAGCTCAAGTTTAACGATGTCATTCATCAGCACGAGCGGCTTGACCGGCACGAGGCTGTTTCTTCGGCTCGAACACAGCTTCAGTCTGCTCTGACCAAGCTGAACGAAACCAAGTTCAACGACGCCAAGAAACAGGCTGTTCCTTCTCTTCCCCCTCGACAAGAGCCCTCTGCATGATGCTAATACGAGACAATTTGTATATGTAACGAATAATGATATTATAGATCTGATGGCATGTAAACATAGTCACAGGTACATACTGTTCGTACTCGTACGTTATTATGTACATACTGTACTGGTACAAGCACAACACATTTTAGATGTATTGTTTTTTTTTAACAAGTGCGCGTGGTCAGCTACTGTATCACATGGTTGCAAATTAATCGAACTCCTTTCATCTTGAGAAGTTATTTTTTTTGTCCAGATTTTCCTGTAAGGAATGAACAAGAAAAGTAGCGTGGTCCGTATTTCGGAGACGTACCACATGAGTACGATACTGTACAGTACATTAATGTAAGCAGGGTTATATACTGTTGTTCGCTAACCAAAATCACCTTTTAATCACCTCAATACAATACAACACCGACACCCGTACAGTATGTATTACAGTAAGTATCGCAAGTGTAGGTTTCTCCATCCGGCACCCATTACGTAACACACTTACGGCACGCGTACATGCATATCGCGTCTGGGACGCACAAACGCGGTCTACTAAAAGAGGAACTCAATCATCACGCGTGCAAAAGACAGATATTTTCAGTCTAGACAGCGCACCCATGAAGCCGACAGACAAAGCCACCAACGCCAAATCGTCGGTGTTTTCAGACGATGGGCCTTCCAGCTCGCCCACCACGCCATCAGAGGCTGGACTCAGCAGAACCAAGCGACGTGCGCCTGACTCCAAATCCAGTCCAAAAGCCAAGAGACAGGTATCGAACTCCATGGGCGACGAGTTTGATCTAGAAATGAGCCTCTCTTCTGACGACGATATGAGCACATTCAAGCGGCCTCCTCCAAAGCCCAAGTTCTCGCGGTCCACGAACTCAGTATCAGAACCCAAGAAGATCACAAAGGTCCATGGAGGCATCGCAAAGTCGCTGTCTGAGTTCATCATGGGTCCCAATTTCAAGATGCCTGAACCCAAGAAACAAACCCCCGAGCCCAAACCAGCTGAAAAGACCAAGTCGGCTCCTACATCCTCATTGTCAAAAGCTGCACCTTCGTCGAAGGCTCCAGCTGTTGACACTGCCCCAATGGAATCTTCTTCTTCAAAGTCTGCTGTGCTTCCTACCCCTCCAGTGTTTGTTGCAGCTAAGACAGGAAAGGTCCAGAACAAACCCAGGCCTTCGGAGATGGCCAAGTTGGCCAAACGCCGTACAAAGTCCGAAATCATAGCGAGGAGACTGGGTAAATCTAGAGAGGAGGCGGCAAAAATGATGGAAACATGGCAAGCAGCAAAGTCAGCAGAGTCAACACAGACTACTGTTGGCCAGTCAGCTCAACCTAGTCTTGCCACTGCTTCCAAGGCCGCATCTTCTGCCCAGCAAACTTCTACAGCCAAGCCGAGCCATGTGTCTTCTTCAAAGAACGCCGCGCATAAGACGCCTGCTGTTGGCACACCTGCGGAGACACTCTCTATGGCTACACAGAAGACATCTGTTGCACAACGGACACCTGCTGCACAAAGGACACCAGCTGCGAGGAGACCTTCCCCACACACAGCGCGAGCAACACCAACATCTGTGAGAAAATAAAGTGCTTTGTGCGTACCAGGGATAGGGTAGGTAGTGAAATCTGAGTTAGTACATCAACTCTAGACGATGGGCGTCGCCTGTGTAGAAGAACAATAACTCACCCGGTAACTAACACTATTTCTCGGTGGTCAATGCGTCAGAAGATATCAAGACGGTCCGTTTTGCGTTTAAGCCGAGTGAATGTTGCCTGCCGTTAGTAAATTTATTATGAAAAACCCCACTATGAATACATCAGCCTATACTGATATACCAAGAAGTGCAAGGGAGGTGGTCCTGTTCCACCTGAACGCGGTTCCCGACAGGCGGCGGTACTGAAGGGCTTTGTGAGAGAGGTAACGCCGATTCTCTCTGCAGTCGTAAGACCCAGGTGGTGTGTCCGAGGCAGTATCGCTTTCCCAACTCTAGTAACCTCGGTAGTGTGAGACACACTACCCCTAACGGTAGGACAGCCGGACGACGATGGCGCAGCAATTGGCGAACGCTGTTATAAAACAATTCACTTACGTGCAATGAAAGTTGTTTGGGCAATAAACAATAAATGTATTAGAGCCAGACGATAGACAACAATCCAGCAGATGATGAGCAGGAAAATTGAGTAAGATCGACGTGGCAAGAAGAGTTACAGTTACGCAGAGTTAATAAGGTGTTGGGAGATTAGAGTTACCCTGTCGGATGACTAACTCTCCAGAGCGAGTGTTACACATCCCAGGCGAGCGATGATGTCAAGGAAAGAGCTAGAATCGAGACAGAGAGACAGATCCAGATGCAATTGAAGTCTCTTTTATCTGAGGAGCAGTGGGCCCAGCATCAAGCCAACCTCCGGAAGGCCAAGGCGAACATGGAGAAGGAATACGGGACCTCAAACGTGGTTATCCTGGACTCACCTCCTCGGGCACCTGTATCTCGACAAACTGCTGCTCCTCGAGCTCCCACCCCAAAAATGGCAACACCAAACACAGCTCCTCGCACAGCTCCTCCCTCACGCCACACTGCTGCACCCAGTTATACCTCTCCAGCTCCTCCACATACCCCCCATCACGTAGCCCCCGGATATATGACTGGATATGGACCTGGTGCCCCTGGTTACTGTCCTCCTACTACCGCTTGGTCTCCCTCACCTGAATTCCAGGGAAACTACCAGAGTACAGTCAAGTCACATCCCTTCCCAGGCTACTGTGGCAATACACCAACTAATGTACATCGACCTCAGTCCAATTCACCTCTTCTGCATACTCACTTGCCCTATGGACAGTCTCAAATGCCACATGGGAATCCTCCAGCATCACTTGTGGGATCTTCAGCATCTAAGATGCACACTCCAGCGCCACTGGTTGCTGCGTCCCCTGTTATCATCATTGACGACTCGCCGCCTCTGAAGAATGCACCATTGCCTCAGAATACCACCCCCACACCTGTTGGGAAGCCAGACCAGAAGCTAGCGGAGGAATCGCCACCTAAGCCTACTTCCAAGACTTCTGAAGAGTCCACTGTTAAGTCTTCTGAGGGGTCCACCGAGAAGCCCATTGAGTCGACTAAAGAGAAGCACGCCGAGAAGGCTGCTGAGGAGTCAGAACCTCCTGTTGGTGCTGCTACTCCCTCATCAGCAGCTTCGTCCACATGTTCTTCTCCAGTTGCAGTCACCGCTCCATCTTCACCAATTGTGACAACAACTACAGATGCTTCTTCACCAGCGGTCACGACAGCAACCCCATTACTTTCCTCCTCAGCCACACTCCCAGTTACTGCAACCGTTGCAGACTCAGCATCACCTCCTTCTGTCGAATCGTCCTCCCCTTTTGGACCCCTATCCCCTGACATGGCTACTCCGGTGCATGCGTCTCCTGCCATGGCTTTGTCGTCACCTCCCGTTGTCCCGGTTTCCCCTGTTCAAGAGGCACCAGCAAACTCTTCACCTGTGCGAGAAAATGCACCCATGGCAACATGTCCTGTCGAGATCTCGTCTCCTGTCGACATGGTTTCTCCAGAGACATCCGCCGCCCGTTTCGTTGGGTTGTTGTTCGCAAGAAACAGTGGTAATGATCTAGCGAACTTTGCGAAGTCTAAGGCAACGACATTCGGCAGGAATCACCAACCGCGCATGCCTAAATTCGTCGTGGCTGGCTCACCTTCAACGGCTACACCAAAGACGACAACCAACAAGAAGGAGCTCAAGGACGCCAACAGGAAGAGATCAAGTCACAAGGACACCAAACATGAGCTGACCACCTTATTGGACGAGCGCCTCAAGCAAAACAAGAAGCTCTTTCAGGTTCTCGAGACTCAGAGAAAGGAGCTTGACGTCCCCGAGTTCAAATTTCATTCCCCGACTCCCGTGGCAGGATGCGAATACAGTCAGATCGTGTATGACCGTCACTACACGTGTGTCTACGACCAGGAGAAGGATGTGTATAACCCAGTTACCCCAGGAACCAAGAGAGAGGACTTTGCACTTATTGTCTTCACAGCTAAGGAGCTTATGCGACTGGCTGAGCTTGAGAATGGAATGGAGACGATGTCTGAGATCAGGAAGAGTCCAGCTCTGTGTGGATGCAAGATTGCTGTGCTTCTAACCCAAGGACTGGAAAAGGCTCTTCAAAGTCTTTTTCACGCAGTGGAGGCAGACAAGCACAAGAAGCAACTGGGCGGGACTGGATACCTTCCCAAGAAGGATATCAGTGGCAACGAGGAGAAGGTCCATCGGGTCCGTCATTTTGTTAACACTCTGTACTTGACGCTCAGCTACAAGCCAGTGGACTTCAACACCGATAAGGAGCTCGCCGAGTACATTTGTCAGATGCATCTGGGTCGTTCTCTGCAACCCTATCGCCAGAAGCTCGAGCTTTACAGCTCTGAAACCAAGTCCTATAAGACCAAGAAGGAGTGTCTGAGATCTATGATAGAACAGCAGAAGCGAGTCACTCTCCAGGCTGCCAAGAACATCAGCGACCAGTTTGAATCTGCACAGGCCTTGGCCAAGGCATTCGACGAGAAGGGACCAAAGCTTCTGGTTGGTACTGGCCTTTCAGCTGGCAAGAAATTGGGTCCAATTACTTCTGACTACATCTACCAACTCTTCACTTGCAAGGATCCCACTAAGGAGATCTTCTCCCAGCTGTAACACTTTTTACTAAATTATTATTGTCATTTTCATTAGCGTAAATAGTCATATGGGATTATTCATTGTCATTATCTAGTCATTACATCTATCTATGTTACATGAAATGTAATTAGTGTGTTTGTTGTGGTGTCTATTCCTGAACCAGCTCAGCGAGGTTCTCAAACTCCTCCTCGTCGTCAATCTCGATGAACTTGCTGACACCAGCCTTGCCTCGGACAAGCTCAACAGCTCCAGCGTACAGCATTCGAGCCTCCTGAGTAGAAGTGGCAGGTCTGTAATAGATCATTGCTAGCACAGAGGATTTTCGTCCGTCAGGCTTGTCGATAGGGTGACTAAGCACAATGTATCGGGGGGTGTTGTCGGGAAGGTTCTCAACGAGCTCCTCAGAAGAAGAGAAGGGGTAGTCATCGTCAGTATCGGCAATCTGGATGGAGTAGTCGTTCTTGTTGATTTCCACTTGTGTTAGTTGAATGTCGCGAGCCATGTCGTCACTGATACTCACAGATCATAGCCTGGGGTTTGTCCACTCGGGCACTAGCGAATCGGAACTTGTTAAGATCCTTGAGAGTAGAGTCGGGGAAGGTGTAAAGAGACTGTGTTAGGTCTGTATGGCGGGTGTCGCAACGTCGAATACTCACCATTGTGGTTCCTGGTGTGTTTAGAAGATGCTGATGTGATGTGATGTTAACAGTCTGAACTTTATGTACGATTGTGTGTATGAGCGGTTAATGGGTCTGCAAGCATATCTACTGTGTGCTACAAAACAGAACTGAGCCTTTGGACACAGAACGATGTTCTGGAATGAACAAAGCCGTGCTCGATTTTGATTCACTAGTACGGCTACTTCTCGGGTACAAAGTTGACCCAGCAACCTACAATCTCAAGATGAATTTTATTGTATAAATAAACACGACAGTTCAGTGTCAGAGTGTTAATGGGCCTGGGTCACCAATTCTGAAATGGCATGATCCAGGGGTGTTTTTCGGGTGTCACTAATTACAGCTGGCCGGTTTCGGCAGGCTCAGCGTTGGGCTTGAGCTGGATATAATGGGTGCAGCTGGGGAGCTCTTCGTCCAGATGAGCAACGGCAATCACAGAGCCAGGCCAAGACTCCATCATCTCCTTACAGAGATCGACAGCGTCGTCGTCCATACCAGAAAGAGCCTCATCGAGAATCAGAATGTCTGGGTTTTTGATGACAGCTCTGATGAAGAGAACCACCTTCTGCTGGCTAACAGTCAGGTCGTTGAAGGGCGTGTCTCGCTCAGCGTCAAGCTCAAAGTGCGAAATAAGACTATCTCGCTTCTCTTTCTGCTCGGGAGTGAGGTTCTTGGGAGGAATGTTACTTCCAACAATGTACCCCGTGTCAATAGCTTCAGTCACGGTCTGAGTCTTGGGGAACAGAGCGTGGATTTCGGGAGAGGTATGGCCAATTCTATTATTGATAGAGAAGTAAGAGTGGTTTCCAACTTCTCGAGGAGTTCCGCACATGACAATCTTCTCGTTCCAGGACTGAGGGTGGTCAGCTGTGATCAGAGATAGGAGAGTAGATTTTCCAGCTCCATTGACTCCTCGCAGATGCCACTTTTGTCCAGGCTTGACGTCCCACGACAGGCTGGAGAGAACAGGCTTTCCGGAGTAAGTTACATCCACGGAGTTCATGGTCAGTACAGAGGGGGCGTCCTGATCAGAGGCCAGTTTCTCCCGGGCCTGTTTGGCTCGTTCTCCTCGGAGAAAGATCTTTTCGTCATGCTTAGTCTTTGCCTTCTCGAGAAGCTCACCAGAAAGAGATTTCTCTCCTGCAACCACGATTCCAGACTTATCGGCGTAAGCCACGTGGGTGATCCAGTCGGGGACCGTCTCGTGGGATCTCAGACCCAGAATGGCGTGTGTACCTCTGGTCTCAGGCAATTCCTTGCAGACATTGCTGACAAGGTCAGCGGCACCGGGATCGAGACCAAGGAAGGGGTCGTCGATGAGCAGAAGCTCGGGATGCTTCATGAGAGCCTTGGCGATTCGAGATCGCCGGGTCTGCCCGTTGGAAAGAGCTCCAAACCATCGATCACCAATTTGGTCCAGCTCCAACATCTTCAGCAACTGGGGAATGTCGTCCATCGCGGTTGCGGGATCACGGGAGGCTCGCTTGAGCTCCTCGATGAGAGTCATGTCGAACTCGTCCTTGAAGAACTCATATCGAGCTGACAAGTGACCCATGTTGATTGATCCTCGGAACTCCAGCGTCTGGATGACTTGGCTGGGAACCCGTTTTTTCTTGAGGAAAGGGTACTGCCGGCCCAGAGGTGGATCTGATACATGTTTGGCGGCCAGAATGGACATCAATTGCGACTTTCGAGGTCCACTGATGACCCATTTCTCATCCGGGTTGATTGTCAGCGAAATGGGATTGGGGAAAATGTAAGGGTTGGATCCTGACGAGGCCAGGGCCCCAATCATGCGGAACTTCGCGTCTTTTATCGATATCAGCGGCAATCGAGTCATTTCACTGTCGTTGTGATGTTTCGAGAAGGATGAATTTGACTCTTACTTATCACTGGTCTAGAGCCGTATAAGGTTGCCTAAACATGTACTCAATAATCTGGTGTGGGGGGTTGAATGTGGGGGTACTGGATGTGGGGGTGGAGAAGACAAAAGCACTCGGCATCGAAGAGTCAGCTTGAAATCGGTGTTATTCATATCCAATCGTCGCATGTAGTTTCCTAAATAGGACCTCTAAAGCCGCAGTACATATCCATCAGAACGGTGGAACGTTACTTTTTTCTGATCAAAAGTGAAAATTCAGAGGGAAATGATTCTCAAGCCATGGTTAAGGCAGGTTATGAGAAATTTATCTGGAGAGAGGGAAGAACAAAAACAATAGGAACGCCATAGTTTCTAGCAATTGTCCCACTCTTTCCCTATCGTTATGTGCTCTATATCGACTCTGCTCGCCTCGTATCAATACAGTACAAGTACCTGCAATGGTATCGTACTCGTATGGCTAAAATTACGAGGATACGATCATGATGATGGTAACCGCAGCAACAACTCAGCTCCCAGGAGACACACATGAGTACTGCTGAGAATATGCACGTGCTGTTACGATGGCCACGCAATCATCAATAAACGATATGAACGTATACAACTTATCAATTCACCCAGATAAACACTCAATTGTCTCACTGATCACAGGCTAACTCTTTCAGTCGCACTGCCGCACTCACACCTCCAAGCCTTGTGTGGCTATTAACATCCCTGATTCTGCATGACGGGTGTCCCAACCGTGCAACCATGCATGGCCACGTAGCGATATGGCGAATCTAGAGATGAGTCGCTACACTATGATGAGAGCTGGGGAGGCGGGTACCTGTCATGATTAAACGACAACTGACTCTACCTCCCTACCATAGCTTGTACTTTATAGTGTCACCTTCCACGGAAAGACCTAACCCAGATTGCACTAGTAACCAAATCCGGGTAACGCAACCCTAATCAACCACGTCCCTTAAGCAACACCTTACGCTAGCCTTCGTGGAACCTCTCTCTTGAACCCTTCTTATACAACAACCCACATATCATCATGGACGAAAAATACGACGTCATTGTGCTCGGCACGGGCCTTACCGAGTGCATTCTCTCCGGTATCCTATCCGTCGAGGGCAAGAAGGTGTTGCACATTGACCGGCAGGACCACTACGGTGGAGAGTCTGCTTCTCTCAACCTTACCCAGCTCTACAAGAAGTTCAGACCTGGCAAGGAGGACACCAAGCCCGACGGACTGGGCCGAGACCGAGACTGGAACGTGGATCTGATCCCTAAATTCCTCATGGCCAATGGAGAGCTTTCCAACATTCTGGTGCACACCAACGTGACCCGATACATCGACTTTAAGCAGATTTCCGGCTCCTTCGTTTTCCGATCTGGAAAGATCGCCAAGGTGCCCTCCAACCGATCGGAGGCCATTAACTCTTCTCTCATGGGTATGTTTGAGAAGCGACGACTTGCCAAGTTCCTCGAGTTCGTCGGAGGCTACAAGGAGGACGATCTCGCCACCCACCAGGGCCTCAAGCTCGACACCAACACCATGTCCGAGGTCTACCTCAAGTTTGGTCTTGAGACCGGCACTCGGGACTTTGTGGGCCACTCTATGGCTCTGTGGACCAACGACGACTACCTCAAGCAGCCTGCTCGAGAGACCGTGGAGCGAATCGCCCTCTACCTCAACTCCATGGCCCGATACGGAAAGTCTCCTTACATCTACCCCGTCTACGGTCTGGGTGAGCTGCCCCAGGGTTTTGCCCGTCTCTCCGCCATCTACGGAGGTACCTTCATGCTTAACAAGCCCGTTGACGAGATTGTCTACGGTGAGGACGGCAAGGTGACTGGTGTCAAGTCTGAGGGCGAGGTTGCTTCCGCTCCCATTGTCATCGGTGATCCCACCTACTTCCCTGAGAAGGTCAAGAAGACTGGCCAGAAGGTTATCCGAGCCATGTGCATTTTGGACCACCCCGTGCCCAACACTGGCAACCTGGACTCTGTTCAGATCATCATCCCCCAGAACCAGGTCCAGCGAAAGAACGACATTTATATTGCTGTCATGTCTTCTGCCCACAACGTCTGCGCCAAGGACCACTACCTGGCCATTGTCTCCACCATCATCGAGACCGACAAGCCCCACATTGAGCTTGAGCCTGCCTTCAACCTGCTGGGTCCCCGAAAGGAGACCCTGATGGGCATTGCCGACATCTACGAGCCCATCGAGGATGGCACCAAGGACGGAGTCTTCATCTCCAAGTCCTACGACTCGTCTTCGCATTTCGAGTCGACCACTGACGATGTCAAGGACATTTATTTCCGCCTGACTGGCCAGCCCCTGGTGGTCAAGCCCCGACCCGAGAACGAGGAGGATGAGAGCGCTATTAGAGCCGAGTAAGCTGCATGTCTGTAATGATAATATATTGAAATGAGTGATTATGCATGATATTATGTAATCTTACTTAGGGAATTGCAGAGTAGATAACTGCGAATATAAGATAAATTGATGACTCGTTAATGTTAAGTAAACGCATACGCAACCCAGACCCCATCCTACACACTCGCACAGTGTTAACCAACCAAATAAATTAATTACAACGCCTAGAATAAAAAGTATTAACCAGGCTCTAGAGTGCCTGATTAAGTTGTTCATCTCATGCTGTATGGTCCGGTATCTCGGCCCATTAAGCTAGCAGGAGACATGCCGGGTCGACCGCCGCGACCAGGTTTTCGCCGAGTTTGAGGCTGGAACTGGGAGTCGGGGTTGCCCGAAAGCAAGAGATCGTGCTTATTGCCATGACCAGGTCCCCCGCCACCATAAGGAGGTCGAGGACCCATATTGGGAGGAGGACCACCCATGTTGTGGCCACCCATGTTGTGGCCACCCATGTTGGGACCACCCATTCCCATATGAGGTGGGGGTCCTCGCATATGAGGAGGAGGAGGAGCTCCTTGGTGGAGGCCTCCTGGAGGTCCATCAGCCCCGAAGTATCGGGGGTTGATACCCCGCTGGGACACTGATGTGAAATTGGACGAGATGGACTCGGAGGGCGATACTGGAGCGTCAGGAATGAAAGAGTTTCGGAACTGCTCGTCCACGGGAGGAGAGTACCAAGGAGAGTCCTTGTTGTTGAGAGCTCCAGAGTTGGAGGGAGTCACGGTGGTAGGAACAGGCTGATGCAAAGTGCCAAGGTTATCGTCGGTACCTTGAGACTGGGCTCGAGATCCAGGTGCAGAAGGTGTCTCACTTCTGTAGGGATTGTATGTGTCGTAAGAGTGGTTTCGCTGAAGAGGTTGGGGTCCGGGAGCAGGCGCAGTAGCGTTGCTTTCCTCAGTGGTGAGGTTCCACTGCTGTCGAGCAGGAACATACTCGTAGTTCTGAGCGCCTCCGGGGGGAGGGTTCGGCTGAGCGTTAGGAGGAGTCTGTGCACTCGCCTCACTACCTCGCCGGCTGTAGTTTCCTCTGTAGGGTCTAGACACACCGCTCTCGGAAGTCTCAGTGGGGGGAGAGTTGCCGGACACGGGAGGAGGAGTGGGAGAAGCACCAGGCACCTTGCTCTCACGTCTGATTTCCGGAATTGGTATCACACCAGGACCATATGTGTCAGGAGAGTTGGCAGGCTCTTCACCAGGCAGGTAAGTGCCTGCAGGAAGCTGCATGGGGCCTGTGGTCGCAGTTTGCAAATTGTGGGGAGGTGTGAGGCCAGGGCCGTTTCTAGCTCCCAGAAAGGGACTGGAGTTGTTAGAGCCAGGAGGTCCCCGGGGTCGAGGAAGTCTGTTGTTATAACCACCGTTGTAATTGGGATTGTTGTTTCGGCCATAAGCTCCGGTGGGGGAAGGACCCTGACCAGGAGGAGTGGGTCCGTTAGAAGGACGTCTGGGAGGCACACCTCGACTTCCGTTTGGAGGTCGGCCGGGTCCACCCTGGTCGTATCTGTCGGGGCTGGGACCGTATCGGTCAGGGGTGTATCTGTCCTGTCTCTGATCTTTAAAGGGCGACTCTCGTTTGGGTGCCTGGGGCTCCTCCGATGTGAGGAGGTTGACTCGAGAGTTGTTAGTGCCCTGAGAAGCGTAAGACGTATCTCCAACGTGATGGCCAGGCTCCTCGTAGACATGGGAGGTAAGAGGCAGAACTTCCTCGTCCTTGGAGGTGTCGTGGGAGGTCTCGTATCGCAGCTCGCTGAACTGAGGAACATTTTCCTTGGACGAATAGGTAAACGAGTTGAGGTGTTTGTGTGACGAGAAGGCCGACAGCTCGTTGGTGGTATCCAGCTGGTGTTTCTTCATGGCCTTCTTGGAGGAGAGTGTTCGTCGCATAACACAGAGTACCACTCCAGAAATAGCCACGAGAATGGTGGCGGCCAGCACGATCCATCCTCCCCAGTCGAGGTGGGGCACAAACAGTAGAATATCCACCAGGAAGGACAGCAGAACCAGTAAGAATGTGGGCAGCGAAAATACCAGGCAGAAGAGCAGGTATCTTGAGGACGAGGCCGGTCCCTGGATGTGAGCCAGCATAGCCAGCACTGTGAGGATCAGGGTGAACCCGGTGGCGATGGGATGGACGATGAGCAGGTTACTCAGGGTGTGTCGTGCGTTGGAGGGCAGCGAGAAGCCTGCGTTGTCGGAGTCCACGAGGTTGTATCCTACTCCTGCCGGCGAGCAGGTTCCATCCTTGACGTTGCAGTATCCAAATACTCCAAACTTGTGGTCTTGGTACGAGCCCAGCGAGATGGTTTTGGTGACGGGTACCGACAGTACGGCCACCAGCTGGAGCGCGAAGGCGATCAGGAGAATGACCAGCAAGCCTGTTGCCGATTTCATGCGAAGACCCATGAGCGATTATGGGGGGGACTGTTAGCTGAGAGTGGGGCAAAGGAGTGACTGAGGGGTGAGTGTTTTCTTGTTGCAGGATTGCCGACGAGATGTTTGGTGTGGGTTTGAGTAAAACGGCGACACAGGAGGTGCAGCCTAAGGCAGAGTAATTAGTTTTGGTGCAGCGTGGTGCAGCCCGTTGAGTGCTGTAATGAGGTTAATAGAAGCTAGGTAGGCAACTTGGAGAGGCTTAGGTTGCAAGCGAGAGATTTGGGTCGAGTGGAGGAGCAACGGGCAAGTGGTGAGAAGCGCAAAGCGAAATTCTGCGAAGGACGACATGGACTAGCTTGTTCGATGCTGCTGCTTAATCTACTCCAAGATAGCATTCGTGTTGGTGCGCCACACGCTGCGTTCTTGGAACGGTACGCGCAGAAAAATCATAGTTTCATATCGACGCACTGACTGCACTGTGGGAGGGGGAACCTTTGAGGTGTGCTAGCCTACAGCTAACAGGGCTCATTTGTTTACAAAGCCCGGTTTGTAAAAAAACAATTGACTGCTTGGAGCCCTGGTATTGACGAGTCATAGTTATCGAGCTCCAAGCGCTCGGAATTTTCGCTTATGCGGTGCCACCTAACCAAGACCAGTTTGGCAGTCTAACTGGATCCGCCAGGGGGTGCACTTTTTTTGAGTTTAAATACCGGGAAAAATGCAAATCTGACGGAAGATCAAGGAGGTGTTACAGAGTGAAACTTACGATGGTTGAGAAGGGTAGAGATTCGGGGGCGTTGTTGTGATTAAACCCGAAGGCATCTGTCGTGTTATGTTTGTCTTATTATTCTCCCCTCTTAATCTAGAGCCGTATAACGTGATTTTTTTTGGTTCTTAGACTGTGCTATTTTTACATGCTAAAGCCGTGTCTGATAGCGTCCCCGAACCTTACAGGTCTATAGAGTCTTGTACAGCCCCATGCTCTGACAGACGTGCATCTTTTGGTTGAAGAAGAGCAAAGGCCTCCGGTGTGACCCCGTAGCCTGATATGATCTCAGCTACTTGTAGGGATAATTATGTCTAGGCCCTGTTAATAGACGTTATTTTTACACTCTTTTGAACCATTAATCGATTTAATGAAGCGTCCCCAGCCATTCTCTTCAGGAATGAAAGTGGTTTCCTTCTCCACACATGCGGCGCTATCAACGCGCACGCTGTGCTCTGCACAATGAGTGGTCCCACCTACATTCCAGTTGCTCCAACCAGACAGAGAAAGAGGCGGAGGTTACCCCAGATGGCACGGCTGTGTGCAACCCATGTCTTGATTAGGCAAGAATTGGACGTGCCGTGTGCCGTTTATACACGGTATCCCACACTCTCGTATCAGAAGTGCAAGTCCGCCAGCTGATAAGATATGATAATAGCTGTCAGATACGCATCATCACTTGGCTCCGTGTTACTGTAACCTGCTGGGGCAGTCCAATTGTGCAATTTCGCAACCTCCTTTTCTGACGAAAAACTTTTGGATAATAAATTGGAGACTGTGCATAACCGGACCGTCTGTCTTGCACAGAACCACATCTGAGACCGTCGTGTGGCAGTACTGTCGCTACTTGCAATTGTCATACTAATTATAGCTGAGTGACGACTGCATGAATAATAATTACAGTATTTGTAGTTCATGAAGGGTCTTGTTCTGGCGAGTCGTTGAACGCGGAACTGAACGGTGGAGAAACGACCTTCCAACCAATACCAGGTGAATGGATTGTTGGGGATGAGGGGTAGACAATCTGCATAATACCAATACAATGTCTGAGCATGCAGATTGTCATTGGCTGATTAGGAGTCGGCTTGTGTCCACCAATTGGGCCATTTGAGGCCACAAGTAGTCGAGTCCCCCCCCCCCCCCCCCCCTTATGTATTTTGAGAGCGTTATTCGAATCTCGGCCTTATCCGAGAGCGCGTCAAACACTCACAGGCGCGTATCAGGAGATCAAGAGTCAAGATTACGTATCATCAGTTTGGTAGGCTGTATTGGAATGGCATTTACTTGTACAACGTCTGACAAACAGATAGTGGATCGTTTCTTGTAGATAGAAGAGCCTGACTTACACTGGACGTCCAATATCATACAATTGTAGTGACTACAAGTATCGTAACTAGCTGTCACCACTAAAATTACGTAATCGTGCTAACACCTGCCGTACATTCATTTAGAAATATTTCCCAATAAATTTGGGCCCATTGTTACGTTATATCTATCCTCATAATATGTGTTATCCATACTAAGCGACCACTTCTTCGTGGTACCGTACAGTAGCTTCTTCCCTCTTGTATCTCTTAATTTTCACAACCCCCGAATTACACATCACCCAGAGTGCATGAGGGTGCATGAAATATTCACGACAATAAAATCACTGCATAAAACACAAACAGCGACACACACCTGATGTATCGACCTGACCCAGACTCACGAGTCAAGCGACCTACCAACAACATGGAGGGCGATGCTCGTAGACAGCTGTTCCAGCGCCCTGCTGAGAGCTCCCGCGCCTCGCCGTCGCAAGGACCACAAGCTCAAAGTACCCCTCTCGCCCACAGATTTACATCCGCCCACAGGTCACAGAAGCCATGCAAATCTGATCAACCAGATATCGATATGAGAAGCGTTCGACCTATGCTTGAGAGCGCAACATCCATGGCGCGGCGGAAACAGAAGGAGCTGCTACGAAAGGCATACTCCATCATTGAAGGCGATCCTCAGGACTCTGTCATGCCTGAGACATCAGTTGAGCTTCCTGAGGATGTTCTTGAGGAGGAACAGAGAGAATACGAGCTACAAAAGGTGTTGGATAGAGCTATGAGCATGGATGTCCACGCTGTCCAACATGATCCTCAAATTGTTGAGGTGGTGAAGATCTCTCTTATTGAAGAGGTTAAGAAACTCGACGAGCAACGATGGCTGGACGAGCAATGTGAAGAGTGATTTCTGCGCGTAAGACTCTCTTGCCGACCAATGAAGATATGGATAATATCAGACGCCTTCGGTGGCTTGCCCTTCTAGAAACCTGGTCTATTATCGTGGCACACCCTTGCACTTACTCTCGGCAGCAACATGGCTCCGGTGTGGCTTCATTGACAGCGTCTCAGAGTCAATTGAAACAGATCTAAGGGCCTCTTTCCATTCGCCATCTGCACCTAACCGCGTTACACGTGCTACTAGGGCCAGCCACAGCGTTGCTGAGCTTTGTGGCACATCCTTCTCCGGATATTCGTGCCCGGCCTTATACTGCTTAACCACAATAAGCCACCTCTTTTATGGTTGCAAGTACCCGTCCATTGGTGTGTGGCTTATTCGCATAGTGATGGACTTGTCACACTGCAAGCATCAAAAAACCCCTCCAAGAGCAGCAAAAAAAGTAGAGGTCACATATAGAGTCTCTTACTATTATTCCTACACACAACTTGTACCTCTTCCGTTTCTGCCAGTGCTCTTTAGATCTGTCTTACTAACCCCTCATGCAGGGACATCATTGCGTAAGGGGACGCCACAAACTTTTTCCCGTTATCGCTTTCTTGTTGGGCTAAGAAAGGCTAGATACGGTTGGTACTGGATACCGGGTAGCATTTACGCTCAGCGTCAGCTTTGGTCATATGTGGCTACGTCCGCTATTTCCGAATTGCGTGATGCATGCGATCCCCAGAAATCCCCGGATCTTCCTGTGATAACGTACCACCGTATATATACTCAATTGACTCCGTTCTAGATGATCTGATCATATCGCTCTATCGCTATGCCGTTCTCAGAAGCACCACCTCTCCCCCAGGGTGCCGGTTACGGTATTCTTGTGGGTGTCGGAGCCCTCTTCGCCGTGTTCATTGTCTTCACTCTGAGAGTGTCGCTAAACTACCTAGGCGAGAAAGCCAACAAGTCTGAGATGTTCATGGTGGCCAACCGAGCTGTTGGAGTCGGTCTAACTGCCTCGGCAGTCTTTTCATCCTGGATGTGGGCCAACGAAACTCTCTATGGAGCTGTTGTCGGCTACAACTTTGGCATGTCTGGCCCGTTTTGGTTTGCAGCTGGTCTGTCTTTCCATATCGCCCTGATGACTGTTGTGGGTATCCAAGTCAAGTTGAAGGTTCCTAATGGACACACTCTGTTGGAAATTATCAAGTTCAGATACGGAGTTCCGGGACACATTGTCTACATGGTGTTCTGTCTCATCAACAACATTCTCTCGTGTAGTACCATGATCCTGGCAGCTGCTGGAGCTATCTCAGCCATCACCGGCATGCACTCTGCTGCTGCCAGTATGCTGATTCCCGTCGGTGTTATTCTCTACACTGCAGCTGGAGGTCTAAAAGCCACTTTCCTCACTGACTACGTTCATACCACCGTGGCCCTCGTTTTGCTCATGTACTTTTGTATTGGCATTCTCACGAATGAACACATTGGTGGTGTCTATGGTCTCTACGAGAAGGTCCTAGCCTATTCCGACAACGCTGACCACTACATCAAGGGCAACTACCAGGGATCCTTGCTCACTTTCAAGTCCCAAGGTGGAGCTCTCTTCAGTATCTGCCACAACATTGCCAACCTTGGTTTGGTCATCATGGACACCGCCTTCTGGCAAAAGTCCATGGCAGCTGACCTCAAGGCTACTGTCCCTGGATACATGATTGGTAGTGTCCTCATCTTCTGTGTCCCCTGGGCTCTGGGAACCATCAGTGGTCTCGGTGCTCGAGTCCTGGAGCAATCTGGAATCATTGATCCCATCTCTGCACACGCCCTGGATGTCGGTAACGTGTTTCCCATTGTTACCCATGCCCTTCTCGGAAAGGGTGCTTCTGTTGGTATCGTTCTGATGCTCTTCATGTCCGTCACCTCTACTGTCTCTGCCGAGATGATTGCTGTCTCCAGTATCATCTCTTTCGACATCTTCCGAACTTACATCAAACCCAATGCTTCCGACCGAGTTCTCATTTTCGTCTCCCACGCAGGCGTCGTCTTCTTTGGCCTTCTCTCTGGAGCTATAGCTGTCGCCTTTTACTTTGGCGGCATCGATCTTAACTGGATGTCTTACTTCCTGGGTATCGCGATTACTCCCGGTGTTTTCCCTGTCATTCTCACCATTCTGTGGAAGCGGCAATCGCGGCTGGCTGCCCTTGTCTCTCCTATTCTCGGACTGGCCACTGGACTTGGTGTTTGGTTGGGTACTGCTCAAGTCTATTTTGGAGAGATTAGTGTCAAGTCAACCGGCGCTCCCCTCCCGAACGTCTGGGGAAACATTGCCACTCTCATGTCTTCTTTGCTCTTCTCTGTCATCATCACCTTGATTCGACCTGAGGACTTTGACTGGCTCATCTTCCACAACATCTCCAAGGTCAACGAGGATGATGAGAAGCCAGAAGACCTTGAGGCTATCCATGAGAACCCCACTGACCCCTTTTTTATCTCTGACAGTGACGCGCCTTCTACCTCAAAGACAAACGAAGTTTCTGAAGTTATCATAAACCATGAGATCGCCAGCAGTGAAAACGACTCTGAGAACGAGTCTGATCACGGTGACCCCACAAAACAGACCCACGACTCCTCCACACACTCTCTTTCTAGCGGAAGCTACCATGTGGCGGTTGTGAGGGAGGCTGCGACCTCAAACGGTCTCTTCCAGCCCAGACTCGTCATCCCCCAAAATATATCTACTTGGAGGAAATTCCTGTACTACATTGGATGGGACACCGCTCACACCGATTACAGTAACCATCCTCTTGGAGCTGATTCTATCCCCATCATGTTGTACTGGTACAAAGTGGCCAAGATCTTTGCTGTTGTTATCTGTCTCATCACCTGGATCATCTGGCCTTACTCCCTCTATCGACACTACATTTTTTCCAAATCCTTCTTCTCTGGCTGGGTCATTGTCGCCATCATCTGGGTGTTCCTGGCCTTCATCTTCGTGGTCATCTTCCCCCTGTACGACGGCAGAAAGTCACTGTACCGAGTCTACGATGGTCTACGAACTGACTGGAAGAAGTGGCGACACAGAAAGGATGGGCAAGCAGAAGAAGAAAAAGAGTAGCCACTTCTTTAGACAGTGCATTTATTTATTACTTAGTAGTTGAAGCAGATAATAGATTCTAAGATTTAGTAAGCTCTCGGTGTTAAGCAGTATCATCGTGTGGCCTGTAGGGTGCTGCGCCTCGGTGTCACTTTTGGTGTATCTGTTGTGTCTGGGTAGTCGGAGACTGGGTCACGGTCGTAAGGAGTGGGATTGGAAGGTTTCGGGCGGTCCACTTCCACCAGGTACTTGGCCAAATCACCCTTGGCCACAATGTCTTCTAGCGATTCATCAGCTTCGTTGGCGTTGCAGTCGTAAGCGAGAGGCGACCACCATTGTGTATCTATTTTTTTGAGGCCTGAGAAGTCCAGGGGGGGGATTAGAGTGACCACATCTGTGGTATCGATGCTACAGAAGCCGATGATGTCGGTGCCGTTGTTACCAGAGGACTTGGGACGTGCAAACTTGCCATGACTCACGGGTCGGGGGTATCCAGGGCAGCTGTTTTCGTTTTTGTTGTCACCTTCCATGTGGGTATCGCGTATGTGGTATGTACTGAATGTTATAAAGAGAAGAGAGCACGCGAACTGGCTACTTATAGCTTAAATATGTATTCGATGAGAGCGTGCCGTGTAGTCGCACGAAGGTTGTACTCGTAGTTTGCACCATGTCAGTGGTGAGCTTATGTAATCTGGAATTGGGAGGGAGCTAATTAAACATCGATAGAGAGAAGGAGGCCCACTATCGTATGTACGATGCAGTTAATTGACACAGCCACAAACTGTCCCAAACTGCCCCAAACTACCCCAATTCTGGTCTTTATGCTAGCCTCCTTCTTGTGGTCCAAATAACAAGGAATTATTTACCCCTGTTTGATTAGTAGGGAGTACCCCCGCCTGATGCATTTACCCGCCGCTTACAGCAGATGGGCCGATGAGGCAAGCATCAACCAGCCATGTGAATGCTCATACACACAACAATCAAAGGCAGCATTCTAGCAACAATAGGAACGATTGCAAAAGGTGGTGGAATCAAAATAAAAACAACCAAACCGTTTGCTTCGGCGCCCTTCTTTCCACGCGGCTAATTACAGCATTAAACAGTAAATTGTCCGCCTCAACTCTCCCACCTAAACACGTCGTTGCTGCACTCCCCCCAGACACATTCCAACTGGTGTGCAGCACAGCAGAACCTAGACGCACTCAGGCTAAAGGAGATTGGGAAAATACACGTGGTCGGAAATATGGATTAGCATGGTCTGAGAGGCTGCAGTCTATTGTAGGAGACACACCAAAAATGGCCCCATATTTTGTGGTCCCGTAATTCACGACTAGCTGTAACCACACGCCAGACACACACGCGATCCATAGAATCGCGAAAAAGTAGCCATTCTTGTTTACAGTTGTGTCTTAGCCCAGACAATGGGAATAGTCTCATTTTATTGATAGCCTTCCAAAAGCAATTTCCCCCCCCAAAGTTTGCGTTGTTTGTTTACACAGAGCAAACAACACAAGAAAAGTCGCGATCAGAAAATCGGATTACAACGTCACAATACATTCACAACACATTCTCAAATTTGCATAATTTCACTCTATTTGATTTTATAATACACAGTAATATTTTGAATATAGCAAGAAGAGCTATATAACTTACCTATAAAGAATCTAAAACATCATAAATACCCTGAGACCTTTTAGTAAAGGTGGAAGGCAGCAACACCGCCGGTAACAGCAACAGTGCAACCGTTGGAGTCACCACCGTTGTACTTACCGTTCTCGTAGACACACTTACCGTTGACAGTAGCACCGTTAGTAGCGATGATCTCAACGTTGAAGTTAGCGGAGTTTCGGTTGTTGGGGTTAGGAATGATGGAAAGGTAAGAGATACCGCCGGCAGCGCCAGCACCGAAGTTCAGAGGAGCCCAGTTACCGACATCACCGGAAGAAGTACCCCAGAGACAGCCATCCTGGTAAGAAACACCAGCGTTGTTGACGTAGTACTGAGCGGAGGTAGGCTTGCCCATCCAGGTGTAGTAAGCATCCTGGTTGACGACGGCAAGAGGAACACCGGAGGAACCGGCCTCAACGACAGTGGGGATAACCATGTTCTCGGTACCGGGGTAATCGGTTCGGCAGATAGCAACCTCCTTATCGAGAGAAGAGGTCACAATGGCGGACTGGGTGCCCCACTCGCAGAGGTAGTCAGACTGCTGGTTGGATCGGTAAAGCTTACCGCCCTTGCAGAGAAGACCACCAACGGAAACACCGTTGGCGGGCTGCTCATCAGGCCACTGGGTCTTGGACATACCAGACTGGCAAGCGTAAGAGCAGTAAGCACCCTCGGCACAGTTGCCACCGGTGGCAGTGGAACCGGGGTGGTAGATACCGGACCAGCCGCCGAAGCCAAGCTGGTTCAGGGCAATGACACCCTGGCCGGAGGGGAAATCTCCACAGTCAATGGTACCGTCCTGGAACTTCTCGGAAGGACCAGAGAAGGCAGCGAGGTCACCAGTGATGCCTCCGGAGCCTCCGTTGGAAGGCTTGGAAGGAGCAGAAGAAGACTTAGGGGCAGAGGTGGAGGAAGGAGCGGCGGAAGAAGCGGCAGAAGAAGCCTCCTGGGTGACGGGCTCCTTGGCGGCAAAAGCAGCAACAAGGGTGCTGGAAGGAGCGGGAGCAGCCTCCTGGGTGGAGGTAGCGGGAGCAGGGGAGGGAGCCTCCTGGAGCTCGGTGGTGGCAATCTGCTGCTGCTCAATGGTGTTTCCGTTACCGTCAACAAGGACAGTGACGTAGACGTACTCGACCTGCACAGCTCGCTTGTGCTGGTGGTGAGCGTGGAAGTCTCGGACCTCCTTCTCCTCGTTGCAGTCAGCGTCGGGAGTGGCGGGGGCGGCAAAGCCAATGGCGGCCATTGCGGCCAGAGCAAGAGTGGAAAACTTCATGGCTGAGGTGTTAGGTGGGGTTGTTTAATGTATATCGAAGGCTCACCTGGAGCAGTTGTTGCAAGTTTTGGTTGTGTGAGGGGAAAGGAATGGACAGTAAGAATCGACCAGCGAGACGTTACCAGTTGTGTGTTGTTGAAGGAGTGACGGTGTTGTGGTGTTGCAACAGACTATACAGAAAGAAGGATTTCAGGAGGTGGGAGGTGAGGCAATATAACTGCGCCGGCAAAGTTTGGGAGATGTAAAAGAAGGACGAAATTTTCCCCCCCAAAACTTTATGGCTATTAACCGTAATACCAAAAGAGTTCAGATGTCAACTGCACGCCGTAAACAATAACGTTGCCCGAAAAGAAGCTCTCAACCCAGCCGAAGATTGGCACACAAACAACAGATGGACAGACAGGCCTACAGAAATCAGGCAGACTGGAAAAGTGCAGGAAAAAAAGGGAGCGAGAGGAAAGGAGGTCAGGGAGAGCATACGGATGGATCTGCAGGGGTGCTGGATCAACTGACGGGAACATGGTAAGGGGTCATCAAGAGAGGCGTCCCTTATTGCTCACGTTACCATCTATCCGTTCATTCTTTCAGAGACATATCAAACCATCACGATCGCAGCCACGGCTCTCGTGCAACTTTGCTGATTCTCGATGATCGCTCAACCCAGTGTTAACTCTGCTCTCTCTCTCTCTCTCTCTCCCTCTTGAACCAGTGAGCTCCTGTCGAGCTAAGCACAACTCAAATCCGAGCTGGAACTTAGACTCCATGTGTATAACCCTAGTCCCAGAGTCCGCGTCTGCGCCTCGAAATAAGATTCGAAGCCTGTTGTCTAGACAACGGGCAGTGACCATGCACACGTAGACCCAAAAAAATGAAAAAAAAAGGACGACAGTAGCCACGGAGCGTGAGTTAAATCGCCACTCGGTGGAACATTCGGACCTTCTTCCATTTGGTCACGGAAGTAATGATATCACGTCGAGCTCACTGGTGTCCGTTTTGTTTTTCTGTCGTCTGTTTTGCAAGCCTCCATGACACTCTGCTCTTTTGGGTGGTTCTGTGCTCATTCCACACAGCCCATGTCCCAACACGAAACCAACACACATCACGCAGGGAGTTCCAAGAATAGCGTCCTCATAATAACAGCAAAGAAACTGGCCGATTTCACTGGAGAAAACGTAGGGGCTCGTCGTGGAACGCGTCGTAGTCGGAAAAACAGCTGTCGATTTTCCTTCCCTCTCAATTTCAATCAAAATCCAGCGTCCAACAAATACACGCTTCATCAGCCGTGTAGTGTGTATACTCACTTAAAGGAATGTGTCTGGGGTTAGAACAACGTTGCGATTGCAAGGTGTAGGGGGTATAAGTTGCTCGGGGATGAGATAGAGAAGGCGCCTGTCGGTCTCTAGGTCAATGGAAAAAGGAGTGTAGGGTGGTCGAACGTGTGGATACCGAGATATTCGAAGAAGAGGCGTTTGTGCGGACGCTTTTGTTTTATACCATGCTACCCATCTCAAACCGAGCTTATTCATGGTGTCCCAAACATTGTAGCCTGGAAGAATGCGCAACGCAATGGTAACGTTAATGGATGGGGGAAGGAAGAGATTGAGTGCTACGGCCTGGAATATTCGATCTTCCAGGCTGGAGGAAGATTTCGCCGGTGCGGTTTCGCAAGGCGATTCACCCCGTGTTATATTCGGACCCATTGTGTGTGTACAGGCGCGTGGATCAGTTCATTCCGGGCTTTTTGGGGGTACATGGACCATGTACACACGCACATATTTACTTACTCAGCCTCTCGAACCACGGTCCCAATGTCAACAAGAATTGTCAGGGCAACGGGAAATGAAACAGGTGCCAGTGGATTAATTTCGGAAGGACTCATACGTCTCGCATCGCTGGTAACGCGTTTCATCCTCCCTTACATCTCTAGTGTATCCACCGGTACCATTTGTCTCATCTCCATCCCTTTGATAAGCAATCTCTGCCTCACACCTCCTACTTTCAATAGTGCACCTATTTTTAACAGTCTCACAGTGTACACCTCACAGCACACCATACAGTGCCCCCTCGATGTTCTGAAACAAGGCAACGCATGGGGAGCAACAGATTTGGCTGGGAGAAGCGGGTGACATGAATTAAGTAGCTCCTTGTAGGCGACAGTAAACATCTGAAATGACAAGAATAGAACCAGTCGGTATTTTATCGTAATTAGCTGTCTAATTAAGCAGCTCTTCTCGTACGAGTATCCGTAATACGTGGAACTAACTCATCCTTTGGCCATTGGATAACTCCGCTAAAAGAGTTTAGGTGTTAAGACCTTCGTACAAGTACCCCGACCCACAAGCTTCAACTCTCACCTCCCAGACTCTTGTTCCGGCGTTGGTACCTTTTTTTACTGCTCACAGCCCTGACCATCCTTGCATGCTCGTACTGTGCTGGGAGCCACTGTTACCCTGTCAACAACATCTATGCCTCTCCTGACGGAGGTGCTCCGCGTCCATCCCTGCACAGCTTATGTGTGACGTTATCGGCACTAGTAGCGTGTGATATTCTGCGTCTCTACTGTCGCCTCGAACAGCATGTTTCGCCGGGGCACTATAGCTGTTGTCTTAGTCACGATGTAACACGTTCAGACCAGTTTCGCGCGGCCAGCTCTATTGGGTCTTGGCTAGATTATGGTTGAGAGAGCCAAAAAAAAAAAAAAAAAAAGAAAGAAACAGGTGGGACAACATCAACCCGAGGGTTCGTACTGTAGCCTGACCAATATATACACTCGGGAACTACGATAACTGCAAGTAGCGAGTGATAAATCAACTTTGGGCTAATTAATATCGCGCAGGGTTTGTCAATATCTGTCTTGGTCATAGGTAGCTGTGTGTGCTATCACACACCACGCTGAATAACTATGGTACCCCTTTGTTCGGCTTCGTCGTTCTCTATACTGAGGTGAGGCATGGTACAGCCACTGTCAGACAGTGATCTACGCCAAGAAACAAACTTCGCTGGGTACATGTAGGCACGCTCGAGAAGTCAAAGCGAAAAAATATCGACGAGAAAAGAGGGTTTCAATAAGTGAAAAAGCAAAAGCTGTCCGCTGAGAAACTTTTCACCGCGCCACGGAAACATCAATGCGGAAGTCCTTGACGAGAACGCCCCTGGTTTCTTCGGTGATGCGGAGTTACCGGCGTAACTAGGTGCGTCTAATTAGCCTGCTTGCCGCATGTCAAGTAATTTAGTTGGAGTTGGTTAGTGCATAGCACACACAAGAGAAACAAACTTGACGAGCCGAAAAACCCAAGGAAGCCCAGGAAAACTGCATTGACAACCCGATGGACCCCCAGGTAAACCAATACAACCGTACACAAGACAAGAAACCGACTAAAGTGTGGTCGGTGTATAGTTATATGTCGTCTTCCCAATACGGGAAAAGTCGTCCTGATTGGAAACTAAAGTCGTAGCTTATTAGGCTGCCGTTTGAAAAATCGCCGTCCATCATGTCTCAGATGTGTTGTAGCACAACACCATGGTCCTACTACAAGTAGTAGCATGATCAGGAGACAGCCGGAACCTCCGGTCTGGAAGGCGCTTAGTTGCCTCTGTCTTCTCTCCAGTCTCCCCAGCTCACCACACAGCAACGTGCTGTACGCACATGTCAGCCAATGCATATGCTTCTAATCACCTGTAAACGGCACTCTAAGTGGTTATCCTGGGTGGTGCATATGTGCCATCTAATACCTGGACCTCACATGATATTGGACGTTATCCACATGGCCTTAAAGCTCCCTTACGAGCCTGGCTTTGAACAAAGCTTCGGCATTGTCTGCTTGTGGCCGGCACAAGGGCTGTATCTTTGATGTTACACCCGAACGTAAGCGACGGCACGCCAACCTAGACCTCTGGAGACTTTGTCAAATCTCGTCCTTTTTCAGTCATACTTTGGTTTTCTAAGACAACCAAGACCCACTTAGCGCGGCTTTGTCACAGTAACCAAGGGACCAAGATATAGTTGAGCACAGTTAGCGGAAAGAAAGACTAAAACCAAGCCGGTATTTCTGTTGGACCGCTTGTCAGATGCAAGATACCACTGGCCAGACGGTCCGATAGGATGCGCTAGTGGGTAGAACCAAGTCCGTTGCGACGGTGAGTTTGAAAAACTGCCAGTTGTGCTCTGCAAGGCCTCTTCAACATTGATTGTACCCTTGTTGTATGTACATCTGTGCAGATGTCGTTTGATACGTTCGTTTCTCTGTACGGCCAAGAGTATAACTCAGAATGATACAATATCGTACAGCGTAGATTATACCACCAACGGTGGGTTGGGATGTTGCTCACAGTGGACGATTGAGAAGTTTTGGACAATCTACAGTAATTTGTGGCCTCCTTGTGTTTCGAAATGCACGAAAGAGTCCCAATGGATGATGATTTATTAGTTGGTGCTATAGTCGAAATACTGGCTGTTTCTGGGCCCCCACTGACTAAACACACTGTGCAAACCTTGGCTGAAAAAACTGTGCGACGCCAAGAATATGACCCATAGCCACCTACAGTAACTTGTGGACACACAGTACAGTACTGTGAAAATTGTCAATGCCTCTCTCATGTGCTTTTCTCAAGTACAACCGTGGAAGACAAAGCTTTGGCGTGTCGGATATCACTACCGAAGAGAGAGAAAGAACCCCACTACCCCCACACACTTGCCACAGGATCCACCAACCGAGGCTGTGGCTATAGAGTACTAGCTACTAATAAGTAGCCACCGAGGCGGTGTTCAACATAGATACAGCACATCTGTTGTATCGTACACTTGGTACTGTTGAGGCGGGGAAGAAGCAGGGATATTGCACGTGCTGCAGCGCTTCCACAGGGAATTATTACAGTGAGTAGCAGAATAGTACGTAGCAGGGTGCCTGATCGTCCTTGTCGCAAGACCAACCGTTGAGACAACTGTATACTGAACTGAACTGTGAGCTCCAGTAAGCCTCTACAAACCAAATCTCGCATAACTCTCACTGTGTTTCACCCTTGCGGAACTGATGAGAGTAACGGTGCTCCGCCCTACTATTGTAGTACGAGCCTGCACCTATAACTCGCAGCAGTATACCTCATAGCTGTTTGCGATCACAAGACGTTGAGCAGATATCAAACCCTCAATACAAATTTTTGATTAGTCTTCGGTCAATGTCTGCACGTACGTTTCATCACTGACTGTACATTTACTGTAATATTTTTCACTGCGATACCTTGATCTGGAGTAGATTAGTGAACGCCGAGTCCAAGTTGTAGAACCGAGAAATAATGTCGGCTCCGCGGAGCAATGATCCCCGAGACAAACAAAGTCCGATTAGTCGGTATTAGTCTGTGAGTCGGCAGTCATACCGGGCTACTGGGGTGGCACATGATAGTGCTGGTCGCTTGTTAGATGTATAGTCACCATGTGCTCTGAGGCATGTTACTTGGCCTATCTTACTGGGCATATTATGTCATCCATACTGAACAGTGTGCTTGTACGGGTACTTGTATGCAGATTATGTCGGAACGACAAGAGCGAGATGAGATTCTACCACTCTACCTGCACAACCAGATCTCATCGATCGTAGGGACCTGCACAGGCAAGATCCAGTTTCAGCTCCAAGCTCAGGCCTATTTTTAGCCAGCCAACTAAATGTCTCTATTGCGGTGACAGCAAAGCATATGGCAGTCGCAGCTCTCGAGCACACGCAGCCAATCTCCACCGGCCCAATTGCTAAGCTCGCCCCGCAATGATGATCGCGTGACAGTGGCAAAAATCTACATAGCAATAAACAAGTCCCGCCCCTGGCTTTGATTCCTGTTGAGCGACTGAAGCAAAAAGCAAAACCAAGCTAATCCAACTGTACGTGCTGTACCAGTGATATCGGAGACCGTCTCTCTTCAGACTGTGATTATTCAGTGAAGTTCAAAGCTTGTGGTCCTCGAAGCAAGCTAAATGGAGTCCAAACACAATTTTCTGGCTTATGGTTTAATTACTTCTCCTGTTTCAAGGGCTAGTCTCATAGGTACAGCCCCATGGGAAGACCCGAGCATTGTCAGAGCTACTTGTAGCTGTGTTTTTAGCTGTAGATAATGTCTGCTCCAATTAACCACTCTCCAAAGTCTACACAGTAGGATTACCTATGGTAAACGTACGCTCTATTGTTACAGTAGTCTGCTTACTGGTACCGATACCAGTCGAATTTACTGTTTATATTACAGTCATGGTAAACATGGGCTACATCGACAGCGACATTGCTTGTAGCTGCTAATATGGCTCTGACTTTTCGCAGTTTCTCATAGTCTACAACCTCTTGTCTCTCCAGTCCTATATTTCACATTTATTGTACAATATATCTCCTCTGTTCCGTTACAAAATGGGCTGAATACACCGAAGTCACTCGCTACAATAATACATACTTTTTGTTCTCAGTTCATACACTTCAACAAGCGTTTCATATACAATTAAATGACATTCATAAGGGTGAACAGACCACTTAGGCCTTATCCTCCTGCTGGAAAGCCTGCTTCAGAAGAGCCTCCTCCTCAGCAAGATGCAGCTTCTTAGTACCGGCAGCAACAGATGCAGAAGGCTTTCGGCCAGCGTATCTAATGTGGGCATGCTTGTGGTTCTTGGTAGCCTGGAAGGTGGTGTACATTCGAGGCTGGATGTGGACCCAGGCACCAGCGTTAAGAGGCTCCTCCTGAGCCCAGCAGATATCCTTAAGGTTGGGGTAAGAGTCCAGAAGCTCTCGGACCTGCTCCCAAGGGAAGGGGTGCAGCTGCTCGATTCGGATGATAGCAGTCTTCTTGTCAGCAAGATCCTCTCGTCGCTTGAAGAGAGCAGTCCAGACCTGGCCGGAACAGAAGAGAACTCGCTCGATGCCCTCCTTGTTGTTGATGGTCTTGCCATGCTGGTCGTCCTCAATGACCCACTGGAAGTGAGACTCACCAACAAACTCAGAGAGGTCGGACTTGGCCATGGGGTTTCGCAGCAGGTTCTTAGAGAAGAAGCAGGCCAGAGGCTTTCGGAAAGCTCGGTGCATCTGTCGTCGGTACAGATGGAAGATGTTGGCGGGGGTAGTGGGGTAAGCAATCTGGATGTTGCAGTCCTGGTGCTGTCGCTCAAGCTTATCGGGAGAGGGGAAGTGGAGAGGATCCTCGTTTCCGAGCAGCAGGTATCGCTCAATTCGTCCGGAAGAATGCTCGGGACCCTGTCCATCGTATCCGTGGGGCAGAGACAGAACCAAGCCGGATCGCTGAGACCACTTGGTCTCGGCGGAGGCAATGAACTGATCAATGATGACCTGGGCAGTGTTGGCGAAGTCACCAAACTGAGCCTCCCAGATGACAAGGGCCTCAGGAGAAGCCAGGGAGTAACCGTACTCAAAGCCCATGACACCGTACTCGGAAAGATGGGAGTTGGAGACGGTGAAGTCGGCCTGATCCTTGGTCAGGTGGTTCAGAGGAACATATGTGGTCTCGTTAACCTGGTCGTGGACAACAGCGTGTCGCTGAGAGAAGGTACCTCGCTCGACATCCTGACCGGAAAGTCGGACGTGGTGGCCCTCCTCAAGCAGAGTACCGAAGGCAAGAGCCTCACCAGTGGACCAGTCAATGCCATGGCCCTCCTCAACGGACTTGCCTCGGTTGGACAAGATTCGCTTGAGGTTTCGGTGAAGGGTGAATCCCTCCGGAACAGAGGAGATGACCTTTCCAATCTCCTTGAGCTTCTTCTCCTCAACAGATGTGGGGAGATGGGGCAGGATCTCGGTGGCAAGCTCCTTGGGGGTCTTGAAGTCGTCCCAAGGAGAAGCGAGCCACTCCTTCTGATGGGGCACGTAGTCCTTGGACTTCTTGAAAGACTCCTCGAGCATTCCCCAGACCCACTGCTTGTGCTCCTCAATGTCCTCCTTGGTAAAAGTCTTCTCCTTGAGAAGCTTGTCGACATAGATGTCAAGAGGGTTGGGCTTGTCGGCAATCTTCTTGTACATGAGAGGCTGAGTGAACGAGGGCTGATCGGTCTCGTTGTGACCGAACTTTCGGTAGCAGACAAGATCGATGATGACATCGGACTTGAAGGTAGCTCGCCAGTCAGCAGCCAGGTTGAAGATGAAGTCGACGGCCTCCATATCGTCAGCGTTGACGTGGAAGATGGGGGCATCGATGGATTTAGCCAGATCGGAGGGGTAGGGGGTAGATCGGGAGAATCGAGGATCGGTGGTGAAACCAATCTGGTTGTTAACGATGATGTGGATGGTTCCACCGGTAGAGTAGGCAGGCAGAGAGTGCATGCCCATGGTCTCGTAGACAACACCCTGGCCGGCAAAGGCAGCGTCACCGTGCATGAGCACACCCATGGCCTTGTCGAAGGTGCCGACGTCATGCTTCATGTGCTGGATAGCTCGGGTCTTACCCAGGACAACGGGGTCCTCAGCCTCAAGATGTGAGGGGTTAGCGACAAGAGAGAGGTTGACCTTCTTTCCAGAGGGGGTGGGTCGCTGGTAGTTGGCACCCAGATGGTACTTGACATCTCCAGAACCCTCGTCGAAGACAGCAGATCCCTGGAACTCAGCGAAAATGGACTCGTTGGGCTTTCGCACAACGTTGGAAAGCATGTTGAGTCGACCTCGATGGGGCATACCGATAACAATGTCCTCGATTCCGGCATCGACGGATCGGTCGATCAGAGTCTTCATACCGACAACGACAGTCTCGGCACCCTCAAGACCGAATCGCTTGTCGTTGGGGAACTTGGAGGCAAGGAAGGTCTCGAAGAGGTTAGCCCAGATAAGTCGGTCGAGCATTCGTCGCTTCTGGTCAGGGGTGTAGTTGTAAGGCTTGGGGGTCTCGACTCGGTCTCGGATCCACTCACACTCCTCTCGAGAGGGAATATGGATGTACTCAACACCGTAGGAGCCACAGTAGATTCGTTCACAGTCCATGATAATCTCACGGAGAGTTCGCTTGTTCTTACCGTTCTCGACGAATCGGGGGAGGATACCGGGGCCGAGAGTGATCTCGGTGTCGAGATCCTTGTCGGTCCATCCGTAGAACTCGAGGGTCAGCTCCTTAGGGGGCTTCTTGTTCTTGTCGGAGCCAAAGGAGATTCCAAGAGGATCAATCTTGGCCTTGGTGTGACCTCGGACCTGGTAGGCTCGAACCAGCAGCTGGGCCTTCATGTGGTTGGTGATGTCAGAAGGAGCGCCGGAGGGGGCAGCGGGGGTGGGAACACCTCCAGAGGGAGAGGGCACAATAGTGGGAGGGGCAGAGAATGCCTTGTCGGCAGGAAGGCCACCATCCAGGTTCTTGAAGTAAGACTGAGTTAGTATAGGTCAATTGCGGCCGTGCTTCTGGTTGATACATTTGCTGGGTAGGTTTAGTTGGGATTTAGTTAAGTCAGGGAGGCCTAAATTAAGGTGCAGTTGGGACTTGCTGGGGCAGGAGTTAGAGATAAACACCAAGCATGTGCAAAAAGTAATGAAACTAAAATCCAAAAAGCCCAGGAATGGACAATTGAGGAATAGTCAGGTGGGGTATGTCAAAAACACGTCCAGAACCTTTACTAATCACACACGCCGGGATCTCTCTCGGCGCATACACCTGTTAGTCCGTTCCGACCAACAATTCTGCGTCCTGCATGCACGTTTTTCCATGCTCCGGCTCAACCCGTAACTCCCAATGCGGGAAGACACCCTGAGTCTAGTGGTGGCAACCGCAAACGAAGGGCAGGTCTAGTGTGCAGAGATGCAGAGGTACTGAGCCAATCGAGAGACATACAAATTGCTACAGGCAGGCGCAGAAAAATGCAACAGCAGGTCTCTCAATTGTGCTAGCTAGTGCATTCTGGAGCAAGGAGGAAGGGGTCAACCATTCGTAGGTGTCGTGTCAACAAAACGACTTATCTGTACACTCTCACTGTATCCGTGATACAGTTCGGTTGCAAATAAGCCACTTGCCTCCATGACCTTGGGCCCAACTCCATCACTTCACACGCCAAGTGTCGAATGTCCACCAAAACAACCAAAAATAACCATCACAAGTCGTAGTACAAGCCATCAGCTTCCGATTCCTCCACTATCACTCACCTGCCAAGAGACGTGGACACTCTTGGGGTCGTCCTTCCATGCGGCATACATCTCATCGATGTAGTTTGCGGCGTTGGTGGTAAGGAAGACGTCATCAGAGTACTTTCGTTTCTGGATCAATGGCACGAAGGCCTTGCGACTTGTGAGTCGCGGGAGGACGGGGGTCCTTTTCAATAAAGCGTGTCTGAGCATCTATTTGTTAGCGGGATTTAATCATGGGTTCCAGACCCTCTCAAATCGAAACAAACGAATCGCAAGCGATTTTTTCCATCAATTCCACTCCAGCGGCCACAAATGTCGTAATTGGCCGTCTCCGCAGGTATCGTTTCGACCGTAAGTACACCCATTGTACTACTCACGTTAACTCGTTATGGGGTAAGTTGTGGAGAGCGTCAAATATTTATATAAACCGGAAGAACCGGCCCCAGTTTTACAGTTTCTTGTGAAACTCTATTTTTCCAGCGGCCAGCACCCGGGATAACTCTGCAGAATTTTCCGGACCAGACCCGTTGAGCGCTGTGAGGGCATAGCTGTCTAACTGACCCCTCTAGCCTTCTCCCGAGCCCCACTTGGCGATATTCCGACGGTTTCCGCCGACTTTGCTTCACTCCCTGTTATGCAATGGCAGTGTGTCTCCTTCAAACATGGTAACAAGGTTGCGCCCATAACTATACTATAGAGCAAGTTGCGGAGATAGCCATTGGCCAGCTTTGTGTATTTCAGGTGGTTTAGGAAGAGTACCAACGCGTGTGCGATGGGAAAGATAACGCCCACGGTGTGGATTGTGTTACCAGGTGCTACCCCACAGTTGTGCAATGCAATTGTGCGGCGAAGGATTATCTTGTACAAGTGTATTGCAGCACGGCTTTGTATCATGGGATGTAACGGCACGCAGCATGGAAGCGCAGCGGTGTTCTCTTTGGCCCGACCAGTAAGGACAATGTAAGATATGTAAGTTGAGATGTGGGAGTTTCTGGTCACGTGATGCGGAGAAGTTCGGAACTATGCAGTCTATGCCCCAACCAGAGGCTTGGCTACAGCTAAAAGGGAATATTAAAACTCGTCCAGGCTGTAAGGGGGGGCGGTTAGGTGGAGTATCGTCGGGTTTTTGGGACTCTTCTACGGTGAAATCTGTATCCCATCCTGTAGTTGCTATTCCGAGGTTTGCTATAGTGCGAAGAGAGTAATACGTGATTTTGAGACAGACTCGTTAGAAGAGAACTATGATCACCCGTGGACAGATGACACGTACATGCAAGATAGCTTTGAGGATAGAATTTCGGAAAGATGCGGGGGGACCAGTTGACGACAAACTACACCCAACGATCTTTTAGCCACAAGTAGACGGTGGCATTAGCTACATATTCTACGGGGGGGGAGCAATTGACCTGTCCCCCTGCTATTTTCACACTACAGTACGTTGCTATAAGTTTTTTATAGCGTTACTACGAGTACATACTGCAGCGGAGATAACGGCAGTAATTTTGTTCGTATTTTAAATGAGCACTGCACAACTGGACCAAGTACTTGTAGGAGATCCGAAAATATCCCTCAAACGGACGTTATCCCCTCGGAAACAATTTCTCCAAAAAACTTACCGTCATTAGTCAACAGTATTTCCGGTTGTTATTATTGTTATTTACCCCAGATGTCAGAAATTCAACATTTCAAACACACTATTTTCGACTCCTTATTACCCGATTTCAGTTAACAGCTGTCTGTGCTTCGATAGAAACTCTCTTCGGCTCTGAGGCTCTGAATAGCACACTTCCATCATGTACGATCACATTCGAAACTCGTGTCTGAAAGCATATTACCCTAACCCTTGACATACAGCGAGCCTGTCTGTCTGGGACGTGATAGTTTTAGATCTTGTTGCCCCCCAACTACTTGTACTTCAACAACCCCTAGTCCAAGTATCTAAAAAAACACACAATGGACGAAGACTCCCCCGCCCCCTCTCTCCAGAACATCATTGACCAGGACTCTCTCCGATGGATCTTTGTCGGTGGTAAGGGAGGTGTTGGTAAGACCACCACCTCCTGTTCCCTTGCCATCCAGCTGGCCAAGAACCGAGAGTCCGTTCTGCTCATCTCCACTGATCCCGCACACAACCTTTCTGACGCCTTTGGCCAGAAGTTCGGCAAGGACGCCCGACCTGTGAATGGTATCGACAACCTGCACTGCATGGAGATTGACCCCAGTGGGTCCATTCAGGAGATGATCGAGCAGGCCCAGAGCGCAGGAGGCGCTGGAGCCGGCATGACTAACATGATGCAGGACATTGCCTTCTCTATCCCCGGTGTTGACGAGGCCATGTCCTTTGCCGAGGTCCTCAAGCAGGTCAAGAGCACATCCTACTCCGTCATCATCTTCGATACTGCTCCCACCGGCCACACTCTGCGATTCCTGACCTTCCCCACCGTTCTGGAGAAGGCTCTGGGCAAGATCTCCGAGCTTTCCGGCCGATTTGGCCCCATGCTTGGCTCTCTGATGGGAGGCCAGGGGGGTCCCTCTGCTGACGACATGTTCGCAAAGCTCAACGAGACCCGAGCCACCATCTCTGAGGTCAACACCCAGTTCAAGAACCCCGACCTCACCACCTTTGTGTGTGTTTGCATTCCCGAGTTCCTGTCTCTGTACGAGACAGAGCGAATGGTCCAGGACCTGACCTCTTTTGACATTGACACCCACAACATTGTCGTCAACCAGCTGCTGTACCCCAAGAAGGGAGACGACTGCGAGCTCTGCTCCTCTCGATACAAGATGCAGCAGAAGTACCTGGAGCAGATTCTCGATCTGTACGAGGACTTCCACATTGTGCGACTTCCTCAGCAGACCCAGGAGGTTCGAGGAGTCCAGGCCCTTGAGAAGTTCAGCAACCTGCTTGTTCACCCTTACCAGCATATCGAGAACTAGAGCGTGAGGAATTGAGGGAATGTCATAGTTCCACTGGTGGTGTAATTACTGTAAGTAGTGGTAGATTAATAAAGATTTACAGATTGGGCTTGCATTGTAACCTCTGAGGTGTGTCACGTGGATTAAGAGTACAAGTACGCGTATGTACTGTTACAAGGGGGGTGGTGGAGGTGGAGGCGTGTGTATACGGAGGATGGTCACGTGACTGTCGTCGATCGGGTTTTTGTGGCGTTGCACATAAAAGAACCTCATGTTATTTCCGGCGTGAATTTAACGAGTATTCAATGCCCATGTCGTTTAACGTGCAGAATAGAATTTTGGTGGGGTTGGTGGGATATCTTGAACACAACATATCACTGTCTGAAATCGGATGAAAACGAGCCAGAGAAGCCGGAGACATACCCGAACCACTCACGAAGCGTTCAGATTCGTATACTACTTGTCAAATCCCCAAATATCACATTTACTAATCCCCTACTTGTACACACACCCCTTTGCTCCATTAATAGACACTTCAGAGTTCAGATTCATGCAGGGTGTGAATGTGAATGAGCCGAGGTGAGATCGGAGTGTGTCATATAGAGTGGTAGAGAATTCTGCTAGCGAAGAAGTAGTTACTCGAATCAATTCTGACAGCTCTCATGACTACAGCGCAGTCAAAACTTTTACTCCTAATCACATACCTTTCCTCAATCCTAAGATTACTCTCCATGCGTGATCCTGCCAACTGCTACGTGTAACAACCTTGAGACGCGTCAGGTAGTGGCTCGATACTTCCAAGAGAGGGCCAACCAGAGAATAAACGAGTGAAATTTCAAACAGAATAAAAGAATGGCTCGATACGAGCTCACATACACGAAACGAGCCCACAACCCTGAAACGAACCTCCCCACACCTCTCCACATACACGTTTGCACCGTAACTCACCACCACTTAACTTCTCCACGTCAACCCTATATCACCATGTAGCTACCTGTAGAGTTTAGCCAACTTTTGCAGTGTCTGACGCTCTCCATCCCTCAATCATGTCGAAAGAAAAGAACTGGAAAGGCACCACGCCGACCACCAAGTCGGACGCCCTCAACAAGCCGGGCACTTCTCTGCTCAGCGTCAACGGCAAGTATGTTGGCTGGGCCCACACCATTGTCGCCATGTCTGCATTTCTGGGAGCCCTCATCATCGGCTGCGCTCTGCACTACAAGAAGATTGTCCAGAACGAGCACTTTGGCTACCCCGACGAGTGGTTCCCCAGTGTTTCAGCGGCCATTGGTGACCGATACCCCGAGCGATCTGTGTTCCAGGTCTTCATTGCCATCACTTCTGGCCCTCGATTTGCCCTTGTCATTCTCTGGTTCCTGCTGACTGTCGCTCACCGACCCCGTCTCTCCATGATGATCCTCATCTCCGGTCTGATGCGAACCCTTACTTGTGGCGGTTGGACCTATGTCACCTCCACCGACGACCACGACTGGCACGACATCTTCATGATCTCCTACATGGTTCTGACCATCCCCTGGACCGTGGGATGCACTCTTTGCACTCGAGACGCCAATGCTCGAAAGTGGAGAAAGATCGTCGCTACCTGCTTCTTCGGATCAATCCCCCCCCTCATCTACTTCTTCATCCAGCACAAGGTCCACCATATTGCCGGTGCCTACACCACCTACGCCTTCCTGGAGTGGGCCCTCGTCATCTTCGACGTGATGTTTGACGCCGTCACCGTTCTTGACTTCTCTGCTCTGGAGCTTAAGGTTATCGATGCCAAGGGAGTCACCGCCGTGACCGAGCCCAAGAAGGTCCTGGCCACCGCTGGCTTCAACTTCTTCCGATTCTCAATCGACGTTGCCAACGCTACCATTTTCTGGTCTGTGCTCACCGCCCTGCCCCTGCTTATCTGGTACTTCCCCCTGTGGTTCATGGGCATCTCCGGCTACGAGGCTCTACTGGTTTCCATCTGCGCACCCGTCATCCTCTACATTTCTCCCCTCCGAAAGTTCTTCAACCTCGTCCCCCAGCTGCCCCTGCTGCTCGGTGTCACCGGAATTGCTGCGTGGTGGATTCCCGGTCCTATCCCTCGACTCGAGGCTGTTGGCTTCGGCGCTGGTTTCTGCTGCATCGCCATGGCTAACACCTTTGCCAACTCTGCCTCTCGACCTCTGCTCGGCACCTACAAGGGATCTGCCTTCATCCTGGGTCTGATCATCACCTCTCTTCTCAAGTTTGCCCACTGGACCAACAACCCCATCTGGCCCATCATGCACGAGGCTAACGGAGGCTGGAATACCGCCGGTGTCATCGTGGGCGTCGCGGCTGCCCTCCTGGTGTCCAAGCCCCAGAAGAACTCTGCCCAGGTTCCCGTCCATCCCTCAGAGACCTCCATTGGCGCCGCTTTCGGTGTCGGTGGTATCATCTTCGCCCTGCACTCTCTACTCTCCGATACCTCAACCATCATTCTCTGGGTATGGGACGGCTACCCCGTTAAGGGTCCCGTTCCCGTTCCGTACGGAGTTGTCACCATCCTGGCCATGTGCCTCGGTGTCTGGCTCGGAACAAAGAAGCTTGCCAATGGCTGGATCCCCTTCCTGGCTTCTTGCGTCGGAACAACTATCCTGTACAGTTTCCACGGATGGATCGGGTACGCTGGAGGTCTCACCCTGACCGTCTACCTGTGTGCAGTGGCTCCCGCTTTCCTTGAGAACCTCGGCCGATACAACTCCGGTACCTGGGGTCTCGCCATGCTCGTAACCACGCTGCTGTACCTGGCCCATGTCTGGATCGTTGCCTATGCCTTTGTTCCCGGAGGACCTGCTCTCCGAGAACGAACCGACTACGTTCTCATTGCCCAGCAGCTCTCCATTGGTCTCGGTGTACTTGCCCAGTCCAAGATCAGCAACACCAAGAACAACACCAAGTCCAACGCTTCCACAGACGCTTCTCTGCTGAAGAAGATCCGAGCCCACGTTATGCTAGCTATCATCTTCATTGCCACTGCCACCGTTGCTGTCGGCTACAAGCGATTCGACCAGCCTGCCCCTGTTCCTTACCACCCCGAGGAGAAGCTCATGACGGCTGGTATCTGGACTGTCCACTTTGGTCTCGATAACGACATGTGGGCCTCCGAGGTGCGAATGCGGAACGTCATTGAGGAGCTTGAGGTTGACGTGATTGGTTTCCTCGAGTCCGACACCCAGCGTGTCATTATGGGTAACCGAGATCTCGGCCAGCGAATCGCTGAGGAGCTCGGCTACTACTACGACTTTGGCCCCGGACCCAACAAGCATACTTGGGGCTGCTGCTTGCTCTCCAAGTTCCCCATTGTTAAGTCTACTCACCATCTGCTTCCCTCTCCCGTCGGTGAGCTGGCCCCTGCCATCCATGCTACTCTGGACGTGTACGGTGAGCTTGTTGACGTTGTTGTCTTCCACTCTGGACAGGAGGAGGATGTTGAGGATCGACGACTGCAGTCTCTCGGCATCTCCGAGATCATGAAGTCCGCTCCCGAGGGTCGACCTCTGATTCTGCTGTCCTATCTGGTCACCAAGCCTCTGCAGGACAACTACCTCACCTATGTTGATGCCTCTGGCATGACCGATATCGATCCTTCCGACTGGGACCGATGGTGCGAGTACATTCTGTACAAGAACATCAAGCGAACCGGCTACGCTCGAATCTCTCGAGGAACCATCACTGATACAGAGATCCAGCTTGGTAAGTTTGTTCTTGACGACAAGACTCCCTCAACCAACAACCGAATCCAGGACGAGAACCAGGTTCCCGCTGGCCGACGATTCCCCGATCTGTTCCGAGGCCAGGGTGTCCGTGGCCATCGATTCCATGTCCTTGACGAGCCTGAGACTGGCAGCGGCTCTCCCCGATACTTTGAGTAAGAAAGTATGGAATAGATAAAATAAGGGAATATACCCACTGTTCAATAAATGATATGATATATTTATGAGCGGGTAGCTAATAGTTGTAGTTCTGTATTCTAGAGTGCTAGACTATAACTATAGTATGTACTTCTACGTAGCTACCTGTACAGTGCGAGCACTTGTACATGTTGTCACTACAGTTGGACACGCTGATAAGCAAATTTAAGACCTTTGTTCGTATTGCCTTTGTCAAGTACAAGTAGCTAACATATCGTAGGAGTCGCCACCCACTAAAAGAAACCTACGGACAACACATGTGGTGGCTTTAGTTGACAGTTTCCTGTCTTTTGTTTGTTTGTATTGGCCTCAAAATCAATACAAGTACCAGTATGTATCAGTCATGTTGTCATATTTATGCCTTGGTAATTCTGACCTGCATGTTTCTTGCTATGCTTGTTTGGAGTGTGTTGGAAGACACCAACTGAGCTGCGATTGAGGTCACGTGATTATAAATGCTCTAACAAAATTGGACGATCGGAATAGGCTAATTCAGGACTAAATATTGCGCTTCAGTACAGCCTGAGCTGCAGTTAAACGGTTTCAGGGCTTAGGAATCGCAAACTCAGATTACGATTATGATAAGATGGTGACTAAATAAACTGGATGGGTTGTCTACAGTATATGAGAGTACGGAGCAATTGGTTGAGAGCGAAGAGTCATATTATTATTCTTCACTGGTTAACAAACACCCCATTAACGTGTACACCCAGCCCCTCACATAACCACACACCAGACCCAATACAGTCCTTAGTAAGCACCTCCTGCGGCTAGGCTAGCAGAAGCGTAAATATTACCACTGGTCAGCACAACAAACCACACTTCACAGTTAATAACAACACACAGCAAGCGACACACAATCCACCACAAAAGCCATGGATCCGTCAATTATATCCATGGGGCCCAGCTCCAAGGGCAGTCTGAAAATCGACGATCTTTTTGCCGCAAAAAAAAACGAATCCGTCGCAATCCCCACTCAGCGCTATTCTCCGCTGTTTATGATCAATCTGAGAGAAAGTCCCCAGGTGCCCGACTACCAGAATGAGGAGTGGGCTATGGAGCTTCAATCATCGGTCATATCCAACCGGTCTGAACGCAACAAGGATGGCCGCAACGGCCACGAGACCTTCACAGCTACGTCGTCAAAGTACACGTGGAAGTCGGGAATGGGCTCAGGTAACAAGCGAGATAGAGGCGAGTTTGGCGCGGGACGACGGCAGCGAGGCGACTTCAATCGAGATCTGCGTGATTCCACGCTGGACGAAAGCAACCCCGAGTGGATGAGCGAACCGCTGGAGGACCACAAGAGCGGAATGAGTATGCCTGGCTCGGTGGCCGAGTTTGAGCAATGGAAGGCAAAAATGCGACGAGAAGAGAACCGAAAGAAGGGTATCCAAGAAGAGGAGCCCACCGCCACAGAAGACGTGCCGGCAACAGCGTCAGGAGGTAACTCTCGCTTCTTCAACCAACCCTCGTCCAACTCGGTCGATCGAATGTTTGACATGTGGAGCGAGCCCAAAAAGGAAGAGGCTCTGGCTTCAGGAGATGGAGGACGAGGCGGCGGAGGAGGTTCCGGAGCTTCCAAGTTCTCTACCTTTTTCAGAGGACCCGAACCCCAACAGCACGTGTCCACTCCTCCGCCCATGCCTCCACAGCAGCAGCAGCCCCAGGCGCCACCTGCACCTAACGCTACGTCGTCGTTTTTCCCTCCTGGCATGGTCCACCAGCCCGACGAACCTGAAAACAAAAACAGCAACGACTCGTTCTTCATGAGTCTGCTCAACAAGAAGGAGGGCCATGGCGGCGAGGAAGACACCAGCGAGACACAATCAACACCACAGTCACAGGCACAATCCAAGGTCGCCAGTCCTCAGGTGCAGCATGGAAACCCACATCCCTCTGGCCCAAGAGGGGGCGTCCAAGGAGGTCCTCCTACCTCGCAATCGGGGGGTGGACTTGGCCACCCACAGGGCCATCCCCAAGGTCACCCTCAACCACAAGGCCACCCACGCCATCCCCAAGGCCACCCTCAGGGAACGCCTCAGGCACCTCCTCAGGGACACCCACAAGGGCCTCCTCCTCCTCAAGGACCCCATGGCCGTGGTCCTCTTCCACCTGGTCTCAACATGAATGGACCCAACGGACCCAATGGACCCAATGGACCCAATGGACCCAACTCCCCTGGCCCCAACTCTCCAGGCCCCAACTCCCCCGGCCCCAACGGTATGCCTGATTGGGCTCGAATGCAGCAGATGCCTCCTGGCTTTCCCCCTGGAGCAAGACCTCCTCCCGGTCACTTTATGCCTCCCCCCGGCCATCCTGCCCACCGGGGGCCTCCTCCGGGTTTCCCTCCCATGTATATGATGCCTCCACACATGCAGAATATGCACATGCCCCCCAACTTTGGTCCCGGTGGCCCGCAATCTCCTGGCGGACCTCCTCCTAATGGCTCTATGGGTCCTGGAGGACCTGGCGGGCCTCCTGGGGGTCCCGGTGGCCCAGGCGGTCCCCCACCCCACATGCACGGACCTCCTCCTGGATTCCCTCCTTTTATGCGAGGTCCTAACGGCGAGATGATTCCCACAGATCCAAGCATGTTCCAACAGCGACGACAGGGACAGTAATGTATGATGAGTATGATGATACAAGGGTTAGTGTGAATGTGACAGAGATTGCACAGTGGTTAATGTAGCTATCTGTATGTTCTTAACTGCCTGTAGTTACGGTATTCGAAGGTGTATATTACGTATGTACCGGAATTTCTTTTTACGATAATGTCATGATAATTTAGTTACTTAGACTTGTCCAAGTCTGACGACTTCGATGGGTTGGGCGTAGCTCTGATCTCTGTCGAGATATTGGATCCACTATAATCTCCCACAATCTCAGGGAATCGTTCCTTGGCCTTGGCCTTAACTTCAGTTAGAGCTGGGCTAGCCAGAACCACCTCCATAGCCTTTTCAACCACGCGGGACATGGGTTGAAGCTGGGGTCTGTAGATGCACTCAGGTGTCAATTGGGGACCCTCATTAGAGAGTCTATCTCCAACAGGCTCCGTCCAGTTGATGTTCAAGATACGACTCTTGACCAATGCATTGACGTGCTCTGTACCATAGAGAGCACATGAGTCGAAGTAGTTAATTGAGCCTCGAGTTCGCTGGGGGTCTTCGGAGTTGTACTTGTTTCTCAGAATCTGGACACAGACTGAGAGAAGCACTTCAGGGTCCATGTCCACTGTAAAGTCTATGCTCTCAGGTAGAGACGAGTATGTGTCAAAGGACTGGTGGGTTAGGAATAGGTTAAGTAGAGTGTAAGAATGCACAAAAGAAGAAGAGTTGTAGGGGTTGATTTCTCCCTGGGCGTTGATGAACTCGGCCACAAAATCGGTAATGTAGGCAAAACGGCCTCCAAAAAAGTCCCACACCACGTCGAAGTCAGGCAGCTTGTTCTTGAGCAGCCCGGGGCTCTGTGTTTTACTGACGGTGCTTGCCAATAAACTGTCGTGCCAGAACTTCCGGGTCTCCTCGTATGTGGCATCATCAATGGTGATAATCTTTGAATGCTGAGACACGTTTATGGCTCTAAGCCACAACATGTAGAATGCATCAGACGTGCACTGGATAACATGACACAGTCGATCTTGCTTTGTGAGAACAAGAAAAGAGTCTAACAGGGTCTTGAGACAGTCTTCGTCGTCAATAAGGGTGGGAAGCCGATGAGCCTCGTCGAAAATGAACACAGGCACTCGCTTGGAACCCATTGTGAGTCCTGAACGACGAGCTATTTCATCCTTGGTCTTTCTCAGCAACTCATCTTGGTCCAACATCTTGAGAGCAAGCTTCCCGCCGTTATCCTTCACCTGCTGCATAGCCTTATCCTGAATCTTCTCCCGCTCCTTGAGAATCTTGTGAGGGTCAAACTCCCAGTATGATAACATTGAGGACTGGAACATCTCCATCAACTTGGCAATATCTCCAGACAAGCAAGCCTCTTCACGCGTTCTACCCGAAGCGCTCTTGAAAGCGTCTTCCAACTTCTGCTCCATATCCTTTCTGGCGTGTTTGAATGTAAGAATGTGACCCTTGAAGTATTTTTCATACTCCTTCTTGGCTTCCTCTCCCACTCCATCTCGCTGGTACTCGTCTACTACTTCCTGGAAGAAGCCTTCCATTGCAGCAGCTAATCGAATGTACAGTCCGACTCGGTCACTAAAGCCAGCAATTCGTAAATCAAAATGGATCACCACAAACTTGTGTTGTTCATGTTCAGACATGCTGGGTCCCCCCACAGTGTTTCCTACTCCCCAGCCACCCATGATCATGTTCTGATCTGGCGACGTTTGTCCGCTAAGAACCTTTCTCAACAGAGCTGTCTTTCCCACTGAACTTCCACCAAACATGCAAACAAAAGCTGGGTCGGTAGACAGAGCTCTTTGAAGGGTCGCCATCTCGTTCTTACGCGGAAAGTATCCTGGAGGTGGAGAGAACGTGTGCACTCTGGGGATCTGTGTCTGCTCATAAGTGTCGAGCAATTCGTCCTTGGTTTGTTCAAGGAGGGTTTTCGTGTCCCTGAGGTTCTTGATCGCGTCCACTGGCGACATCAGCGAGCCCAGAAGGAACGAGAGGAACGGTCTGGATGCTGGGAGACCGGGGTGCTTGTGTTGAAAGGAGTTTGGGCCATTGAGAACACATGGTGCAAAACGCCTAGTATTACGGGGAGTCACCCGCGATACCGCTCTCAACATTGGGGGAATAATGAGGTTCCGATGCGTTATTAACTTCCCGTCAGTCTGAAGGTCTGTATGGTTGCTACTGTGGGCATGCGCTCGTATGTACAAGAACCTTGATTTGCCTGCATAACCATCTGGGGCATGCACTGTAATAAACTCGGAGCGGATGAGATGAGTATGTACAGTACGTACAGTATGTACTCGTACTTTTAATTAGTGTACAATAGCTACCAGATCCGATACAGAATTTACGATAATTAACTGGTCAATATCTCCCTCAAACATACGAAAATGAGAAAAGGTAGATCTCGCTTATTGTAAATAAATGAAAGCAGAAATAAACAGTAAGACCTCCATGTAGAGTCCTCCTGCACTCGCACATCTCACAACGTCCATTCATTTACGAGTACCCAGTTCTCATAACCTGGACATCCGCTTATTTGGCTTATCGCACTTCAATTGAAAGTACCACACCGGTATGAGGATATTTACTAGTACACACCATACTGTACTTGTACTGGTACTGTACTCGTACTTGTATTCGGCTCGTTTTTGATGCCGTATGTCTCATTAGTACCAATTTAGCGCACCGCCACTTTAAACACCATCAACAACATCACCAGTTTTGATGTTTACACACGCAGTCGGAAAAGAGAAAATGGAGGTCCATAACTGGCCCAAGGAAAAAACATTCTAGCATGATCTCTCTCACTTTTGCCACCTCTCAAGCCCATAAACCGGTGGCGAAGTTGTGTGTCGACATACACGTGCCAATCTTATTTGCGTGCGTCACACAAGCAGCAGAGTCGCACACCTATTCTGTCGCCGCACGAAATTAGTGTAACTTTCTCTCTTCTATTTCTTCTTTCACTTTCCCACCCAACATGGCGATATCAAAATGTGGGTACCTTCGATAATCTTACTGCTGCTGACTTGGATTCTGCGCCCCGTCTACACCCCCAACTCCTCCTATGCGGTGGTAGTGGACGCCGGTTCCACCGGTTCACGAGTGCATGTCTTCAAATTTAGACATGAGACAAACCAGTCTCTGCCTATTCTTGAAGACAAATACTTCGAGTTCACTCGTCCGGGGCTATCGTCATTCGCGACTGAGCCCCAGCTGGGCGCTGAGACTCTTCGAGGCATGCTTAACCGAGCTACAAACTGGATCCCAAGTAAACACCAAACCGAGACCCCCATCTGGGTCAAGTGCACCGCAGGCCTTCGAATGTTGACCCCCGAAGAACAGGTCGGCATTCTGACATCGGTGGATAATCTGCTTACAGAATATCCCTTCCAAAGGAGTGCCGAGGCTGTGGCCGTTTTGACCGGCGAGGAGGAAGGCTTCTTTGCCTGGATGACGCTAAACTATCTGCTTGGACGTCTCCAACACAATAGAACCGTTTCCGTGGCAGAACTGGGCGGTGGATCAACCCAGATCGTCTTTGAGATTGAGCGAAACAAGGGTGGATGCTCTTCCATGGCCGTGGGAGATGATGAGAGAAAGTTCGATCTGTACCAGTACTCTCATCTCGGCTATGGGCTAATGGAGGCCCGAAAGAAGATTTTCGAGCTCAACAATGGTCGAATAAACCCTTGCATCGGTAAGGGTATGAGCAAGGTGATCAACGGCAAGACAGAAGCAGGCTACGAACTGACTTCTGACGTTTTGAACGACCAGGAGTGTATCGCTTACATGGAGAAGATTCTCCACACCGAGCCTTGCACCCATTCGTCCTGCTCAATCAACAATGTCTACCAGCCTCCCATCGGCACCTACAATGGAGACTTGTATTTGATTTCGTATTTCTATGATCGTACCTCAAACCTGGGCCTCCAGAACGAGTTCTCTCTAAGAGATGTGAAAAGGCTTCAGGAGAAGGTGTGCCATGGGCAATGGACAGATATCTCTGGACTTTCTGAAATGGCTTTCAAAGAGCTTCAGGGACGTCCAGAATGGTGTCTCGATCTGTCGTTCATGTACACTCTTCTTCACTCAGGCTATGGTATTGCCTTAGACAGACCACTGAAGACGGTAAAGAGCCACGGAGGAAACGAGGTCTCCTGGGCACTCGGTGTCGCCCTCCAGAATGCCGCTGGATACTAGATAAACCCGCAAATAATAGATAATAGACACACAATATAATTAAAGATATGCCACATGAATGAGACTACAGTATGTAAGATTCGCCACCCTGCGAGTTAGTGAACCTATCGTACACTGCTGAAACAGGCTAGGCGTGAAAAACCACAGCAGCTACAGGGACGGTGTTGAATTTAGCTGAACCATCTCCTGTTAGTGCAATCTTGAAGAGACAGTTCAGTAAAGGCAGCACGATTATGTAGCTTATATTTGGTGAAGGGGAGGGGAAATGTGGTAAAAAAAAGGTAAGGGGGTCATTCAATTGCAAGCTGGCATTCGAAAGATATCAATTTCATATAAGAGACTCTCTTGTAGCTTCTATTGAAGCCCTACCGGAAAGTCCTCTCTGTTATCAACCAAAGCCTATTGGTATATGGCCCTGAGCAGGTAGGGGCCTAACCCATAGTCCTGAGCGATCCCCACTTGGAGTCTCTATATGATAAGGTGGCTTCCTATAGCTGTATTTGCCACCGGATATTGGTTCTGTTTCATCTTACGCAATGAGCACCAATTCGACTCTGGGGGGAACCAGAAAACAGATGTACTTCTACGACTCTGTGTTGAACCATGAAGGCGAATGGGAATGGGCTGGAGTTATGGCAGTGACTGTTTACGTCAGAACTAGTGAGTGGGACACCATTGAGCAGTTCAACGACTTTTGCAGGACCCTCTACCCTAACTACAAACAAGGAATGAGGCACAAGGTGTCTACAACTGCCGACTACGCCAATTCCCACGATCCTCTGCTGAGTGTGTGCTTGACAGTCAGTCATGAGTTCATGAATGCCACATCCTGGCATATATACGATGTTCCGGAGTCTTCTCGTGACTTTGATACTCTTTCGCGTATGTCTATCATGGAGGCCAAGTTAGTATCGCTTCGAGATGCTATTGAGTCGGTGGATGCGAGACTAGCTGTGGAGACATCGCAATCACTGGACGAGTTTGCAGATATCAAAAGACAGGTCACAATTCTAGAGAAGAAACTTGAAGAAGTGACAGAAAAGGAAGACCTCTCAGGATCTATCCAGACACTGAACCAAGGAAGCACGGCCAGCTCCAATCTCAAGGATCTCCCTTCTGACTTTGAGACCGACTCTGGAATCTCAGAAATCGACCCCGATAATGAGAAACAGATTGTTATCACTTTTGAGTCGGGCTCTGGAAGCCTTCCTCTCCATGTGGCCGCTATTCTCAAGACCCTGAAGACGCTTCCTAGGGTCAGGTGTGTTAATGATGACTCTGAAGCTGAGTGGCAGAAGATTGGAGAAAGGCTCGTCATCCAGACACCGCCCAAGAAGTGGAAGTTTGGCTACGGAGAAGCAGATATCCGAGATGCCAAGGAGCCGCAATTCTCGGATGGAGATCTGCTATCGCTAGAGTCATCAGACGCCTTCTCTTCAGATTGGAGTGCAGTAAGTGATGATAGCAAAGTGTAGTCTAACTAATTACGTAGTGAGTATAATCGTGAATGAAGACAGTGTTGATATATGTATTAGTTACAAGTAGCAGCAGCCAACCATAAGTAGACAAGTTGAGAATTAAATGAATGGAAATAATATATATTATCTAAAGACCCTCAAGAATGTTCTTCATGATAGGCCGGTTATCGATCAAGCGCTGGCTCAGGCCAACACGCTTTTGCTTCTTTCTAGGGGAAGTACCCTGTTTGACAATGCTGTACATCTTAGTACAGTCCTTTGGAAGCGAATACATCCATCCATTGTCATCGATCAGACGCAAGAACTCCTTGAGAAGATCAAACGACTCAAGGGTAGCTCGAGATCCAATGACAATGAGCTTGGATCGAGATCGCGTAAAGGCCACATTGAGCCGTCGCCAATCCTTGAGAAGATCACCGACTCGCTGCTCGTTGTTTGACCGCACGAGAGACACCACAATGCAGTCCTTGTCTCGGCCCTGGAACTTGTCTGCGGTCATAACTTCGATGCCACTTCGCAGGGCAAGCTCCTTGTTGATAAGTTTCAGCTGAGCTCTGTACTGCGAGATGCATCCAATCTGTGAGTCTTCAACGCCACACAGACAAAGAGCCTCCACAATCTGGCCCACTATGACAGCTTCAGTGGGGTTATGGATTCTATCGCCGGCAATAGTTTCCTGCGCAGGAACAAGATCCGTGTTGAGGAAGATAACCTTCCGCTTGGGATCCAGAACATGACCTAGATAGTCGCCATTGGGGAGTCCATCGGCGTACAAAGTACGCAGTTTGGAGAGCTGAGGAACAGCCAAAGATTGGTTGGCCACCTCGTCACTACCACACTTCAGCTTGCCATCATAGATCAGAGTGTTGGACAGCAACATGATATCAGCACACATTCGGTACTGAATACCCAGATTAACTACCTGGGTGGGATGTGCGTCACATAGCATCTTGAAAAGAGACTCTCGCAGTCCAGCAGCTTCCGGATTCTTGACAATGGGCGTCAGCTGGTAATGATCTCCAACAAGAACGAACTTGTCTGCATAGCGGATTGGACCGAGGCAGAAAGGAAGGGTGATTTGGGAGGCCTCATCAACAATGCAGTAATCGAAATGACGCTCCTGAAGAACCCAGTCTCCAATACCCAAGGCAGTTGCACCAACAACTGGAGGAGCAAGAAAAAGCTTCTCGAACTCTTCTCGGGTCTCGTAGTTCCGTCGGTTGTTGGCTGCGTAATGCTCCGCAACCTCAGGGTGAATTTTGGAGGTGCTTCCCAATCTCAGCATGTCGAAGTTACATGAAGGGTGCTGCATCAGCTTCAACAAAATGTTGTCGACAGCAGAATGAGTGAAACTACTCAGGAGAACAGTCTTTCCGTTCTTGACCAGCTCCATGATAATCTCAGCAATGGTGGTGGTCTTACCGGTTCCAGGCATTCCTAGTAGAAGACTGTAATCCTTTGAGTTCAGGATGTGGTGGACAGCCCTAGTCTGGTCGGAATTGAGTCGACCGAGTTTGACAGTGGGCTCTCCAGCAACAGGCTGAGGGGGTGCCAAATCAACAATCCATGAACGCAGTTGCTCGATCTTCTGGGGGCTCTCATCGGTACCGAGATGCTTGGCAAACAGAGAAAACAGGTTGTTACGGGCAACTCCCAGGCCAAAAGCGAAGTCGTCACGATCAACCCGAAACCTAAAATCTATGGGGGCTTCATGGCTCTGAGAACTGTGGGTCAGCATGCTCTGGAAAACCTGGTTGTCGTTGGATCTGAAACCCTGGAGTTTCTGCAGAGAGAACTCAAGTCGACGATCAAGAGCACATCGCACAGTCTCTGAAGACGAGCCAAGCAGAGTACCCATAGCCAAACAGTAATGACCAGCCTCATCAGAAATGACTACTCGGTCACCCGGCGAAATGTTGACAGATGCATAGGGGATCTCGCTTCCATCAGGAGACTTGAACGTGTACCACAATGAATTGGCATTCTTCTCCACGTTGTCAATAATAAGGCTTGAGAAACATCTCTGTTAGTAAAATTAAAGGCAGCATAATCTCATCAATACTCACCTCCCTTCCCTTTCTCTATCCTTGGACAGCATGGTCCACACCTCTCGTTTGAGCACTGCAGTATCACTTCCTTCCTTGGCCAGCAAGGCATCCCAGTGGTTAAAGAATTGAGAGTCCTTCTCAGTCACATGTTCGGTCTCCTGCAAGAATCTGGCCTTGTTGGCGGTCGCTCCACCATCTTCACCCATATACTCCTTCAAATACGTATCGTAGAGTCGGTAATAGACCATACATTCCGACTTCTGGAAACACCGGTCACACTGGCCTTGATCGTAGATAACGTCAGGCATGTCTCGAGACCCTTGTCGCATGAAGCTAGCAACCTCGTTTCGAATAGCAAGCAGGTTATGAATTTCGTCCTTGACAGCTGGAATGACAAGGGTCTCAGAGGTGGCAGAGTAATACAAAACTCCAAAGTTGATGGGACAAGTGTACCGATCATGCAACATGAGAGTGTACAGCGCCGTTTGCGACCGGTGAGGAATATGAGTTGTAGATTTTCCCGTCTTGACTTCCAGAGGAACCAAGTATCGGTGGTTTCCCTCCCGGACTTCAATGGTGGCATCGATCTTACCCTTGATTCCGTATCGCGGAGACCAGATCTCTTCTTCAACATCGACAACTTTGGTGATAGCAAGAGTTCTCTTCTTACCTGTTCGATTCTCAATCGCCACTGCAGAGGGAGTCTGACGCATATACTCTCTAAACCACTCCACAATGTTCGGTAGTCGGTCCTTGATTTTGGCAAACACAGAGTCAAAACTCTCACCAGAGAGCATGATGCCATCCATGTTTGCTTTGGTAACGGTCTCAGCACATGACTCCACAAACTCGGCGTCGTATCTCACAGCTCCAAAGCACATCTGGATGGTCTCGTGGATAATGACACCCAAGAGTGCAAAAATAGACCCGATTCCTCTCGGTCCCTGCATTTTGTCTTTCAGAACCACGTTTCGAGTGCACTGGTGGGCCTCAGCAACGGCTGTACAGGTCACCAGAGTGTCAGGATTCAGAATAAAAAGCATATCGCCCTTCATGTCGTCCACAATGTAGTCGAAATCCATCTCGAAATCGAGATCCATGTCGTCATTTGATGACTCATCGATCAAATGACAAATGTCTCCCACACAAGGTATTGCTCGCATCCAGCAACCTCGCAAAGCAACACGGTGTTGCTGGGCCTTGCTGTCCTCCACAACTAGAGCGATCTGAGTCGAACTTTCCTCCACTTCGACGATTCTGAACCGCAGAACATCGTCTCGTTTGTAGTCAATCTCCACGGGTAAGGCGTTTTCCTTGTGAGTTCGTTGAGACATAACATGGTCAGTGACGAGCTTATATCTCGATGTCTGAAGGCGCGGCTTCTTCTTGGCCCGAACCTGTGTGAATTCGAGTTCCAAATCACTATCAAAGTCTTCGTCCTCCAGGTCGTCAATGAATGACTTGACATCAACCTTCTTGACTTCAGTCAGGGGCCTAATATTAGACCCCATTGATGCTTTTGAAAGCTTAATGGGAGACCCACGCGTTTTTTTTAGGTCCTCAATGTCCTTCAAAACGTGGATATCAGTTTCCTTTTTAATGGTAGGTTGTGTTAACTTGACTTCCTTCTTTTTCTGGGTATGTTGGGTCAATGCAAAATCAATATCGTCGTCATCCAAGTCATCAAGGATATCAAGCTGACTACTCAAACCCTCGATGCTGGTGGTTATGGAAGGCTTCTCAGCTGTGGCCTTTGGCGGTGAAGATGACAACTTGTAAGACTCTTCTGGCTTTGGAGCGGGTGGACCTCTTGTTGGTGTAGTCTCTTCAAAGCGTCCGCTAATGTCCCTTCCCTTGGGCGTAGAGCACACCGCCTCCACGAACGGATCGTCTGCAATGACTGTCGTGTTGAGATCCAGGTTGTTGGTGAAGTTGCTTGTGGCGTTGGCATCTGAACCAGCCGAAGAAGCCTTTACCGTTGTGGAATTTGCCGCTGAGCTGGCGGCAGAGTTGTTGAATGATTCGGGTCGGTAGCGTCTCAGAAGGATTTCGGTTGGATCAAGGACCACTGGAATCGGAGGCTCGTCGCTCTGGTCAGGGATCACAATGTTCCTGTCTAGCGGGGAGAGAATGCAAGAAATGTGGCCATCACTGGACTCGTACTGTTCCGAACTGGGGATGTTTTCCCTTGGCCTTATGGGTGTGGCTGCCGACCAGTCGGAGGACGGGTCTTCGTCCTCTTCAGCAGCCGGTGACGGATCATCTTGGGGCACAGACCCCAGAAAATATCTCGACATGTTGTTTGGTGGCGTGGATCAGATCAATGTTGTGAGGTGTGTATGTTTTTCAATTTGTGTGTCACTGCGTGTCTGACGCGTCACGTCGACACGGTTAAGGTGGCGTTGCTTCAGATCTGGTGGGTTTCACAGAAGTCACCGTGAGAACATATGGGATCTGGAAGATGGAGAGATCCCTCCGGTACTCAGGGGACGACGCCACCCTGGGACATGTCCAACAGGATTTGCTTCAATTCCTGAAGGAAGCCCAGATGTGTTTCTACGATGGACAACCGCCAGCACTTCACGATGAGAGAGAGTAGCGACAGTAGCAAGCGTAAAAGGCGGCCGAGGCCACCGAGAGAACAGCGTAGCAGGGCGCGTAGTCACCACAGGGGACGCAGAACCAAACCAATGACGAAGAAGAACCACAAGGAGACATTTTCAAAGGCAATGCAAACGAAGAGGGCAATGGAAGGATTGAGATTAGAGAACTGGAGACTGGAGTGGCGTTTTCCCGATGAACGAACAAACACGCGAAGCTATGTGGACCAACATACAACACGGACTGAACCAGGTTTTTTTATGATTTTTTTACTGGAAATAGGTACGTGCCAAGTTGGACCATGACACTAAACGTGTTTAATTAGTAATATTCGTGTAAGCGTACATTCATTTCAAAGGTTATTCTTTCACAGCAAAGTTATAATTAAATGAATGTATATGCAGAAAAAAAAAAAAAACACAGTGACACGTGCAGTAAGATAGCAAGTGTAAGGAAAGTACTGTAAGTGATAAGATAGGGTGTCTATATATATATAGATATTGTACTAAATGCAATAAAGGTGTAAAATGCGATATTTGCACTCGGGATCGTGTTTGAGAGATCCGTGCTAACCCTAACCACATGAGTGGTATTACGCGTCTAAATTTGAAATTTGGTGAACATTGATGCTGTAGAGAAACAGAAGTCAAGTACAGTATGTATGAGCACAAGATTGTTAATGTGTAGGGTGTTTTCACATCGGGTATCAACTAAACTCAACTAAAGTCATATGGAAATAAACGGAATCATAAAAAAAACGAAAGAAATCTGCTACACTCGATACAGCAGTAATAATAAACGCACTTAGGAAGTTTCAAATGGTGAACACGTTAATGAATGACTTTCTCGTTACGTATCTGGAACATGGGATTGCTGTCCCTATTTTAATGATACAGTACATGGTCTAATTATCTTTAACAAAAGCTACTTGTATCTGGAAGGGATTTGTCTCTCTCTGTTTCCAAACAAAACTTGTAGATGGAAGCACTTCAGTTGAAGTTCAATGATGTTTTTCAACCTCTCTTTGACGAGCAAGAAATGACATTCTTAAGGTATTTTTCTTCGGCGAACTGACAGAATGTATTAAAAAAAAAGAGAATTATAATGTATATTTGTTGTTTCAAAACCCATTCCATCTCAATAGACCTGTCTCAACTGCCTCTACCGTACAGTACTTGTAGTGGCAGTGCGGGCCGTGATGCAACATGCACAGGTTGCTTCCTTACCCGCAAACGGGTTTCTAGAGGAGCCAAATAATATGACCAAGACATTCCAAGACAGGGGTCCAGGTGAGACAAATCCGCACTTGGACAAACATGTGAGATTGGTTCATTCTTGGCTTGGAACAGGTAACATCATATCCTCATAGAACTCGTACAGTACACACGACAGCCAAATGAGACTGCGATGCTAATTCAAAACACGGTGCTCAAAATCTGAAACAAACTTGGACAGTATACATGCCTCGACTACCGCAATGGAATGAACCACAAAGGGGCGTAAAGCGAAATAAACGAAGGATTGAAAACCTGTCTCTAAGATATCCTGCTGAAACTGCGCGTTTTCTGTACAGCATGTGCGGTATTGGGGACAGCACAGATTGTGTCTGACTGACCAACAAACTCAACGGTGGATGGTCATGGGCAGTTGGAGATTCTTTGTTGATCTTCGAGGTCAAACAACCAATTAATGTACCCCATAAAGGTATGGTCGATGCCGTTTCTCCACCTGAAGTGTACCCCCTGGTGCCGTCCCCCATCATTCTTTCCACTGTACGAGTATTCCATTGTGTTTGTATTGTGTTTGTCTCACTTGTCAGGATCCGTACCTGGCATACATGTTAGATGCGTCGTTATATACCGATGAAACGAAAGAGTGGGGGGAGCGACCCAAGGGGCTGGTAACGAACTTTGTCTTGAATGTGTCCTCGCTAACTCATATCTTCAGCATATTCTCTACTTGTATCCACAATCACATCCCAAAATCTCATATCTGACGTCATGAAGTTGCTTTTCAGAGAGTTATCAACAAGCTGCATGCCGAGGCACTTTCAGGAACCGTTCCTGGGGGACCCTGCACATTTTACCGCCAAGGACCCAATCAAGACTTGGCACGGCACCAACCATGGCAACATGTACATACTTGTAGGCTTTCACTCTGAAACTGCAGACGTGATATTGGAACGGCATGCTTATCTGAGGCAGCATGCCCTTGGAGCGAAGAGCTCTCCGCCAATAGGCCGATTATTCTCGCATTACGGCCTACTTCCTCTAATATCGACAGAAGCGTCTCACCATCTAACGCTATCGGATAGGGTTTTTTTAGACTGCCTTTCTAAAACAGGGAAATTGATATGTAGCCCTCGAGAGTGATTTTAGACGTTCTCGAGTTAAGCAGGTCCTTAGGATGAGCAATCTTCGACAATGCTTACTCCCACATCTTTCCTCATGCCATTGCCCAACGAAGGAGACAACGTCTCCAACGTCTCTTATCTTCTCCCTGCATCATGGAGGCAAACCATTGAGACTCGAAGAAAGAGTGGGTGGAGAACTATTGTCTCGAGTCAGAGTTCGATTGTTCAGCACTACGCATCAGATACATGTGACAGCTGATACCCGCAATAATACGGCCCAGAGAGAGATATGAAGCTGAAACCAACGCTACTCCCTTCTGAACAGTCAAGATAACTGTCACCAGCATCAAGATAACAATAATGGCCACATTGTCACTATCCTATATCAGGGAGCAGTCATTAGCCAACCATCGCATACAGCCGTGCTTAAAGTTCTCAGCCCCGATCGACGCAATGATGAACATCTAGGCTAGCTGTCTACGAGCCATTTACTGTATCTCGCTGAAGATACAAGCCTAACCATATCTTTCACACCTATGATGCCGTGCTTCTCTTTGTGAAACCAGAGGATAGCTGGAAACCCCCTGTGACTCCTGCAGCACTTCGTAGAAGCCCACTCCATGTAACTCAAGATATGCAGTCGATCTTTGGAAACTATTCAGAAGATAAATAGAGTAGATCATCCCACTCTCTAGACGTCTTCACCAACAGGCTCCTCTCCCTCTTCTCCTACTCCACTATGCAGTTCTCTCTCGCCGCTGTTGCCTCTTTCGCTTGCCTCGCTCTGGCCGCTCCTGCCAACCCTGGCTTTCTGGCCGTCCCCATGTCTCGAGCCCCTGCCCCTGATGGCCAGAAGGGTATCTCTTTCGCTGCTGGAGGGGGTATCAATGTCGAAATGATCAACGAAGTCATGGCATACAACGTCGACATCAAGGTAGGTGGCCAGAAGGTGACTGTCCAGATTGATACCGGCTCTTCCGATCTCTGGGTCTTCTCCTCCGACTCCATATACTGCGAGAACGACCCTTCTCTGTGCACGAAGTACGGATCTTATAACCCCAAGAAGTCGCAGAACTCCAAGGACACCGGTGAGCACTTTGACATCCAGTATGGTATCGGAGATGCCTCCGGTAACTACTACAAAGATGACGCTTCTCTCGGAGAGGCCAAGGTTACCGACTTCCAGTTTGGTGTCAGCACTGGTGATAAGTCTTCTGGTGACGTTTCTGTCTTCGGTATCGGACCTCTCGCAGACGAGGCCACCCGAAGCCACTACCCCAACTTTCCTGCTCTTCTGAAGGAGCAGGGTGTCATCAAGAAGAACGTCTACGGCATGGCCTTTGGTCTCCCCGGTGACAAGCAGAACTCCGAGATCACCTTTGGTGCTTACAACTCTGGTCGATATTCCGGTTCTCTCAAGACTGTCCCCATCACCACCCAGGGCCACTTTGGCATCAAGTGTGACAAGGCTAAGATCGGCGACAAGACCATTCTGGAGGGCGAGGACGTTGTTCTCGACTCTGGAACCTCTCTCACTTACCTCACCAAGTCTAACTACGACGCTGTTATCAACCAAGTGCAGGCTGCTGGCATCAAGCTCACCGACGCGGGCCAGGGAATCTCTGCTCTTCCTTGCTCTGACATTGGCAAGCTCTCCATGGAGTACACCTTTTCTGGCAAGACCATCAAGGTCTCTGGTAAGGACATGACTATTCCTGCTACCTACCTCGACTCTTCTGATACCTCTGGTCTCTGTATCTTTGGTATCACCGAGTCTACCGGCCAGCTGTCCAACCTCAACCTGTTCGGAGACACCTTCCTCCGAGCCATCTACTCTGTCTATGACCTAGACAATAACCAGGTGTCTATTGCCCAGGCTGCCTCCGGACAGGAGGATAAGTACGTCGAGATCACCGGTCCTCTCCCCAACTAAGTCTGCTGGCAGACCCTCTCTTCTCTATAACCTGAATATTTATATATTTTGTGCCACTCCATCATCGTACACAGTAGCTACATGTAGTGTACAGTATTGTAAGCAACTTACTGTAGCATTGGGATAATGTGTATAACAAAAGGACCCGGCTATTGAAACATGCCAGGAAGGAACACTATCGGAGAATAGCTTCGCGTCAAGCAGAACTTTCGGAGAGTTTTTATTCGAGATCTTGGGGTTAATTTTCGATAATGTATTACAAGATTGTTCATTCAATATCAATTAAGTAAAGCCCTGTACTGTAGATGCTGTTATATGTACAGGAGTGAGCGTCTATGCCCTGGTCAGACAGGGCTCTATATTATATAATTCTGTGCTTGCGTGTAGTTTCATGTGGTTAGAATTTGCCTTCCTCCTTCTGGCGCTTCTCATCTCGGGACTGCTGTGTGTCTGGAGCCATCTTCTCCATAAGAATCATACCAAATACAGAGGCAGGGAGATGGTGGGCTAGTCGAACAGGGAGACCCTTGAACCAGGCCCGGAACAATCCATGGTCCTTGATGAGGTTTCGAGCCACCCTGAAGATACTCTGGTGATCGTCAGGTCGAAGAGCAGTCACTTCCTTGGCCATAGCAAGCTGCTGTCGAGTTTTGAGAACAGACAGCAGGTTGAGAGAAGCACACGATGTGATTGTTGCAGCAGCAGACGAAGCTCCGTAAGCAAAGGCTCCAATCTCCTCTCCTGGCTTCTCTCTGTTCTCAAACCACTTCTTGGATTCTTCGTAAGTCACCCACCACACAATTGTCTGCGGTAAGAAGACCGCCAGACCCATCCAGTAGCCTCGGAAGAATCCCCTCACTCCTTCGTTGTGATAAATGTCTTTTATGAGATCCATCGTCTTGTATCCCGATGGTGCCAGCTGCATTCTACCCTTGAGAACGTCCAGAGGCGTCCAGATACTGCAGGACAGCAGCTCTGCGATTCCTCCCGAGACGGCATAGTTCGCTAGTGTCGATTCACCGAGATAGGGGGTCAGGTAGTCCTTGCTCTGACGGTAGGCGACCATATAGATCATGAACCCCGGGGTGGTGAGCGCAATGGACGGTACCAGACCCTTCCAGTATGCACGCCATGGCAGAATGTATTTGTTGCCTGTGTTGGTTTGATGCAGAGTGAGCACCGTGTCCAGCGGGTGGAACACAATCTCAGTGAGCGTGGACGCCACGGCTGATGCTGTCAATGTTTGTAAGTCCATGGTCGCGGATAGTGCTGCATGTGGGAGGGCAAATTTGAAATTGCCAAAGGTTGCAAGGTTGAGCGGGAGAGGGTCCTTAATATTGCCAGTATTAATCAAAAGGATGGGGGATGTGCATTCTTTCTTAGCTTTTGTGTTTTGTCTCGAACCGCATTGCCCTAACATGCCTCTATGATGTACCCGTGTTATCAATGACTCCGAGTCATCCAGCAATCTTAGCGTCATAAAGAACACCTTGGAGCTCTGGACCTGCTACAGACCAACTACAATGTACTTGTAGACGACTTCAATTACTGCTGATTGCCTAGGGCGATCTACAGCTTTTGGCATTTTTATTTTTCTTGTATTGTACAGGTACTCGTGCCAGTATCGTACACTTGTAGCCCACGTGTTGTGTAGTTCGAGGCTTCTGTTAGGTGTATTTCCGTCAGAATTATTGGCTGTCATATTCCGTGGGTGAGAAAGCACACATTTCACGTGAGAGCTTGAACATTAAAAATAATGGGAAACAATTCGTAAATATGCCTGCATCATCGCCGTTAGCATTAGCGAATAGACAAGTCCAAGCACTTGGACCCCCCAGAAACTGTAATTCTCCGTAAAAATCTGCTCCAGTCTTTTCTGACGTACACCTGTTTTACAGGAAAACTATCTGACACTCATTCTGCACTCAAAACGCGCTGAAGACGATGTTCCCACCCATTACCCCCACTAATCACCTCACCTGCCTCGGCTCAGATTAGACTTCAGCTTACCCCCAGACAACTCCCCACATCTGAACAATTGGCAAAGAGACGCATCAAGGAGGTATTTGTTGCCAACATCACATCTGTCGCGAATCAACAACCGCAAACACACACGCAATGCACCCACCCCACGTTGAGAAGACGGAGCGTCTGGTGGCGTACTCCATCCGGTTCCTCATGTCGCCCAAGGAGTACAAGAACCTGGTGGCCAATCTGGAGGCCAAGAAAAACACGGAGATGCTCCATTACAACATGGTCGCACCCTCGGCCGTGGAAAAGAGCGCCGAAGAGCGTGGAGATTTTACCCAGGCCACTGCTCGAGCTGGTACTCGAACGTTTCTGCGTACCCACGCACTTGTAGTGGCCATTGTCGCCATTTCTCGGCTCATCAACAGACAGAAGCCCGATAGCATTATCAAGGACATCATCTTCAACAAAACTGGCCTGCGAATTGCCTCTTCCACAGCCTCAATTCTTGTGGCCTTCCGAATCTGCGACCGGCTACTCACATCTACGCGTGAATACATTCTGCAACCCCAGAGCCGCAAGTTCCGAAAGAAGCACCGACTCTTCACACGATGGATCGTCAGTGAGCGAACCCCCACTTTCTTCGCTGCCCTGGCAGGTGGCCTCTTCCTTGTCATCTACCCCAGAGACTTTGGCCGGTCCTACATTGCTCTCTACACGGCTTCCAAGGCATGTGAGTTCTTTTACAACTTCCTGGACGACCGGGGTTTCACAGCCAAGATTCCTAGATGGCTCGGATCCTGGGTCCTCTTCCCCTTCGCCTACGGACAACTCTTCTCTGCCTTCTTCTTTCACCCTGAGACCGTGTCCCCCACCTTCTCCAAATACTTCCTCAAGCTGTCGGAACCCTACCTCCCCCATCGACCTGCAGGATACTCTGGAAAGGTGCCGTGGCCCACTCCTCGACAGTTTGTTGACGGTGTTGCGCTTATCGCCAAGCAGCGGTACCCCAAGTTCAACTCTCCCATTGTGTACCCTGACTCGTACGCTCTCCCTGCTAACCTCACTGCCATTGAGCCTGTTGTATCTGGTGCTCACCCTGTTCTCCACACTCTGTCGGGAGCTCTGCTGCACCCCAATGAGGCCTCTGAGTTGCCCCACTACCTGAAATACATCTCGGAGCAGTTTGTGGAGGTCGGAAAGAAGGTCCTTGGTCTGCATCTTATCATGGGTCTTCTGCGACGAAAGGGCAAGTCTCTGTCTAGCATCCTCTCCTCCTCCGTGTCTGGTTCTATCCGAACTACCGCATTCCTGGTTCTTTTGGTCTCCAACTCGTGGGCTGGTATCGGACTGATGCAGAAGTTCCTCGGCAACAAGACTGCTCCTGTTGATCGATTCCGATTCATCGGTATCCTGTCTGGTCTTTGGGCTATGATCGACCAGTCTGCCGGCCGAGGCCGATGGATGTACACTGCCAGAATGGGTGTCATGTCTTACTGGAACGAGCTTGTCAAGCGAAAGGTTGTCAAGCCCATCCCCCACGGAGATGTCTACCTGTTCGCCGTGTCTCTCGCCGTCATTCTCTCTCTGCTGCAGAAGAGCCCCGAAAGCATTTCCGGACCGGGTCTGAGAAAGACCCTCAACTGGTTCCGGTCTAACGAGTACGCCGACCCCGTCAAGCTGGAGGATCTCAAGGAGAAGTCTGCTTAGAATATAAATGTGAATATATGAGAGACTAATCTGTCCTTGGATTTTTTTAAAAGGTATTCTCTAGACCATATGACACCTTCTACTTATACTGTACATACAATACTGGTATCGCAGTATCAGGTTGCAGACAAACCTTGATTGGGATTCTGATGCCTTCAGCAGCCTACTGTAAATCCAATTCTACCAATCACCCGTGACATAATATACTTTTCCATATTTCAGTTTTCTAGAAACATCAGTGACAGGTGGCTAATGGATGACTCCTGCGCGACTGATATTTCCCTGCATTCAATTGGTAAGCATTTTAAGCTATTCTATCGTCTACGCGATCGTTGTTCCATCTGCATCTTTTTCCCCATTATTCCTGCCACAGTAAGCCAGCTAAGAGATGACTTACATATTACGCTGCATCTCAGATGCGCAAGAACCTTACTGCGCAAGGCTGCTTATAGGGATCGAAGAAATATATAAACCCCTCTCTAAGGAGCTCCATTGGAATATCAGTCTCATTTTGAACATTCAAACGGAAACACACGCACAAACAACACAAACGATGCCTTTTACACCCCGAAAAGTAGCCCGAAAGTTCACTGCCATTGAGCAGTCTGAGGGAGTTGGAGCTCGAGTTCGACGAGCCGTTGGCAACATGCAAGTTCGAAACTTCTCTCCTTTCCTTCTTTTTGACCATTTCAAGGTCCCCTCTACCGCTGGTTTCCCAGACCATCCTCATAGAGGCCAGGAGACTATCACATACGTCATTGATGGTTCTGTTGATCATGAGGACTTCACTGGTAGCAAGGGTACTCTTAACGAGGGTGATTTGCAGTTCATGACAGCTGGAAAGGGAATTGTTCATGCTGAGATGCCTGCCCCTGGTCCTGATGGAGAAACCAAGATTGTTGAGGGTATCCAATTGTGGGTTGATCTCCCCAAGGAGCTCAAGAACTGTGATCCTCGATACCGGGATCTTCGAAAGGACGAGATCCCCGTGGCCGAGTCTCCAAACAAGGATGTTGTTGTCAAGGTCATTTCCGGAGAAAGCATGGGTGTGGATTCTGTAAAGGATCTTGCCTACACTCCCGTCTGGTACCTCGACTACAACATTGATGCCAGCAAGTACGACGGCCGAAAGCTTGAGCAGACCATGCCCCATGGCTTCAATGTTCTTCTTTACGTCATGAAGGGAGGTGCTACCGTTGACGGCCAGGTTCTCAAGACCAACGATGTGGCCATATTTGACACTGCCGGTGACGGAGTTGAGTTCCGAGCATCCGAAACCGAGGACTCTCGAATCATCGTCGTGGGTGGCCAGATTCTCGACCAACCCATTGTTCAGCACGGCCCTTTCGTTTCTACCACTCGGGAGGGTATCATGTCTGCCATGATCGATTACCAGAGCGGTAACAACGGCTTTGAGCGAGCTCCTACCTGGGTCAGTGAGATTGGTAAGCGAATGACTGGACGATAAACACCAAGGTCAGAGTATGTACAGTATGTACTAGACAGCACAAATCCACTAACTTTCCCACCAAACACAGCCAGCACGACATGGCAACGCCGTCTTATATAAAGTAAATAATTGCTACTTAATGAAATACAACATGAAATAACTTAGTTGATGTAGAAGCGTAGATCATAGTCCGTTTACGATGGAAAGTAGCTACCTTTCTTCGCAACCTCACGCCCAATACCTTACATAAAAGACACAGTCTCCTCAATAATGCGCTGTAGAATACCCTCTTCGGGATCGGGAAGAGTCTCAAATAGATACTCCCGATGCATTTTAAGGGCTTTGATGAACCCAACAGAGTCCGTGTCTCCTGAAACGAGCAAATGCCGTTTCCGGAACAGTTCCTCGGCAATCTCAATCTGGTGGTTGTCCATCAATTTACTGTTCACCACAACCACTGGATGTTTGCCTATTCTGAGTGCATCCAAAACAGATCCAGTTCCTGCATGCGAAATAACCAAATGTGCCCTCGACATTTCACCTGCGAGATCATCGGTGTACTCAAACCCCGTTATCGACATGACGCCTTCCTTGTGATGTTTTGTGAAGATATGGCGATTGCCCCGTCCGTATTGAACGCGCATTTTGGAGAATCCCAGCTGGGAAAGCGTAGTAATGGATTCATGTGAGAGTACCAGCTCGATGAGAGCCTCAAACGGCACCGTTCCACCTGTTGTTACCAAGACCAGCATGGTGGTGTAGATGTTGAGGATGATGAATACGACACTACAGTCCCAGTTGTACAACTTACTCAATGCACTGCTTTCATGCATGACCGATTGAGGTCCAGGACGACTAGGATTGGCACACTGTTAGGTGGGATATTCCAAACGACTGTGACAGAAATCATGTCTGCTACTGGGCTGATTCTACATCTTTTAAAGCCGAAAAACGCGTACTCTGGCTGCATCTGCTTTTGTGCTGAATTTGAGTGTAGAGTTCGTTCGATTTACGTGTCAGTATACATGGACAAGTTGACACGGCTATTAAGATGCCAGAACTTGTGTGTGGCAGTAGCTACAAGTAGTGTACTAGTACAGCACCTCAAAAGCACATAATGTGACACTTCAACCAACACAAATTACTAATTGTTACTTCATTAAATCATTATCTTATCATACATTTAGTAACCAGCGGCACCAGGGGCGTCGACGTCACCCTTGAGAGACAGAAGAATCTCTCGGAATCGAGTCTTGTCTCGAGAACCCTCCTTGGTTCCGGTGTCAGAGTCATCAATCAGCTTCAGAGCTCGGTCCCAGGTGGTGCCAGAGGAAGAGGAAGTATCATCTATGCTTGCAAGGAACTCCTTGGCGGCCTCCTGAGTGGACTTGACGCCCTCATCACGCTTGGAGTTGTAGTTCTCGTAAAAGTCGTCAATGGCCTTCTGGGCCTTCTCAATGGTCTCCTTTCGCTTAGCCTCGGCCTGCTGGTCTCGTCGCTCAATCTCCAGCTGCTGTCGCTCCTTCCACTCCTTGATAGCGGTGGACTCGGACAGGTTCAGGCTCTTGACGGAGGTCTCAAGGCCATCGACGGGAGAGGAATCCTCGGTAGCCTCAGCAGTAACAACGTTGCCGGTGGTAGCCTGTGTCTCCTCCTCGAGGGCGGGGAAGTCCTCCTTGAATGCGTTCTCGGTGAGATCGTTCTCCTCGTCCTCCAGGGAAGGGAACGACTTCTTGAAGTCATCCTCGTCGGCGTGGGTGTCCTTGATGTCGACATCGACTTCGACATCCTGAGGGAGATCGTCAATATCTTCGAGAGCGGGGAATTTGTCAGCCATTGTTGATGTGTGTGACGTTGCGTTATTTGGGTGATGAATCTTGGGAGGTGATGATGTGGAGCTTATTGACGTCACGTGTCATGAAAGTCTAAAATGTTGATAAGGTGGCTGTGGTTGTGCGAGGAGGAAAATCACGTATGGAAGTGAATTGTTTTTGTTTTTTTTGAAATTAATCCGATCAATGCGACCAATTCATTATCCCTACATTTCCAGTAGCCCCACACAATCTCTGGAGCCCCCGTTCTGACTGTACTCAGGCACAGTCAATGACCAGCCTTCTTTGGATTACTGTACGTACAAAATGTACAGTAGTCCCAATGGCAACATCGTACAAATATTTGTTGAAATTGTACTTTAATTAGTTGGTCAGACAAGGACTATGCAGAACAACGTAAATAAGTTACGAAAGGCCTAAAAACCGACTTGCAGTTTGCTGCAATTCTCCAGAACAATCATTTTAGCGACCGCTTTTACTGTCTGGAGACAACCAGAAAAGCGACACACCTGTTTTTACACCGTAACCGACAACAGGAACGTTACTGACACACACACACACACACAGATCCACAGGGGCTTTTAGCAAGCATCATCACTTCATATCTCATCCTATTCAACACAACACCACATGTCTTTCTCAGTGGACTCTTTCATGTCGAAGCTGTCGGCACTCAATGAGACCCAGGACTCAATTGTCTCGGTGTCTCAATGGATCCAGTTCCACCGACGAGCTTGCGGACCCATCGCACAGACCTGGTACGACTACATTCGAAACATTCCTCTCAAGCGAAAACTGGCTATGATCTACCTCGCTAACGATGTGGTCCAGCAGGCCAAGGCCAAGAAGAGAGACGAATTCATCGAGGCGTTTTCCACTGTCATTGTGGACGGAATAGTATCCACCTACCGCGAGGGCAACACCGATCTCCGGAACAAAATCAAGCGAGTGGTGGAGGTCTGGGAACAGCGACAGGTCTTCAGACCCGACGTAATCGAGGAGATCAATAGCAAGACAAGACAGCTTGACAGCAGCGAAGGGCCCACCGGATCAGATGCCCTTGGAGGCAGTTCAATTGGAGGTACAGGACTCGGAGGCATTGGTGGATCGGGACTTGGCGGTCTAGGGGGAATTGGGGGATCTGGCTTAGGAGGAATCGGAGGCTCAGGTCTTGGAGGAATCGGAGGGTCCGGATTGGGTGGCATTGGAGGAACTGGCTTTGCAGATCTGGGTGGCTCAACGGCAGCACCGTCAGTTCGATCCGAGTTGCAGGAGCTCAACACTCTGCTCGGAAAGGTGACTAAAACTACGACCGTCACTGAGACCAAGAGCAAGCTTGAGTCCAGTCAGAAGTCACGGGATTCGCAAGCTCTTGCTACTCTTCTTGAAACAGTAAACAAGACTATCACAGACATTTCTGCCAACCAGAAGCTGCGCAGCGAGATTGATAGTGCTCTGCTGACTCTCAAGAACAAGCAGGCGTCTCTCCTTGAAGAGGATAAACACAACATGACTATGTTCGAGAAGATGAAGAAGGAAATCCAAGATGCTCAAAAGGAGGTCTCCAGTCTTGTTCAAGATACTAACGGTGCGTCAGTTGAGCAGGCTCATCCTGAGGAGGAAGAGAACGACGATTACGTTCCTCAACCCGCTTCGGAACCTGCTCCAAGCGAGCCTGAGTCTACAAAGCTGCCATTCTCAATCGCAGACGAGGAGGATGAGTCAGACTCTTACGAGCCCCTTCCAGCTGTGGTTACTGCTGGTGAGTCGGGGTATGTGGCTCAGCCTCTTCCCAGCAACGATTTTTCTGTGCCTCAATACGAAGACGACTCTGATTCCGATGCCGACTCCGATGCTCCTGACTCCAAAAAGAGAAAGTTGGAGGGTGAGGAGTGAATAATCCAAACAGGACACAAGCACAAATGTAACATACAAACCAATTCTAATATAGCTACTTACTGTAAAAACCTGCACCATTAAATTATTTTGATTCTATCTATCTATCTATATACATACAACTACATCTGCTTAAGCTCCTCAGCAAGACGCCTAAGGTAAAACTCCTTGATATCAGCAGGAAGACCTGCAAACTTATCAGCAATCTTCTTGATACCTTCTCGACCACTTTCGTAGGACGCCAGATCCTTGTTCCCATAAATGTCTTTGGTCTTGGAGTACTTGTTTCCGTCAAGATCCTTCCAGAAACAGTTTACAGAGATGCTCTCTGTCTGGGGCTCGACAGCATGTAACCACATGGGAGGGATGAAGAGAATATCGCCAGGATTCATGACAACTTCATAAGCTTGCGCACAAGACTCATGGACGAAGATGTTTGGAATTTTGGAAGAAGACTCTCCAGCGGGGAAGCCCAGGTGAACCACATCCCGAGGATGGTACATACGGACTCGCTTGGAGCCAGTGACCTGACAGAGAACATTGGCAGTAACATCATAGTGCAGCCAGATCTGAGTCTTGGACGAAGAGATCCTCAGAGGAGTGGAGAAGACCTTGTTTCCAATAAAGTCGGCCATTTCCTTGGGTAGTTTAAAGTCACGTGCGATACCAGGGAAGTCCTTACACAGATCAGTAGCTTCAGACTTGGGGTTGTCCAGCGAGAGCGACCGGAGATAAGCGGACTTGGAAGATTCAGAGTCGGCTTCAATGTCAGAGATCAATTTCATCAACTCTCCAAACTGCAGAGTCTGGTAGGAGAAGTTTTTGCTCTGGAAGTTGAGGTTCTTGTTATCAGCGATGTGCACAGACACCTTTGTGTCCTCGCCAATATTTGACTTGAGGTAGTCATGAGACTTCCAGAGCTCCGAAGAAGGTCCAATATCACAGTTTCGGAAAATGGTAGGGGTGGCATTCACATAAGCAGCAGGGAAGCTCTCCAGAGTGCCCTCCTCGACACTGATAACCGTGCTGTTTATCTCGGTCTTCACCTCCTCACTGGGCCGTTGTTCCTTAATCACCTTTAGTTCTCTGTTGCCCACAACTTCGGGGTCAGAGTGGAAAACACCGAAAGAGAAGCACACAGCTCCACCACCAGCGACCACGAGACAGTTTCGAACAATGTTCACACTATGAGAGACAAGCAGAGGATATGACTCGAACGGGAGTTTCACGGGAATGGTATTACCCTTCTTGATATCTAGCTCGACAACCTGGTTATGTTCGTTGAAGAGAATATCGTAAGAAACACCCCCCACAAGAAGGTACCGATTGCCGTGGTACACACCCTGAGCGCCATAACGAGCGTAAATAAGAGGGCTCTTCATAGGTATGAGAGACAGAACAACAGTTTCACCCTCAGAAATAGTTACAGAGTACACCTCCTTGCCCAAGTTTCCCTTGGCATCCATACCACCCAGAAGAATACCTTCAATGGGAGACTTCATGATTAGGGTAGCACCGTAGGGTGTCAAGTAATGAAAATCACACTTGAGGGCCTTCCATCCAGCTGTGGGGCTGAAGTGAAGCCACTGATCTTTGCTCTCACTTCCGCCAAAAAGCAGGGTGCCCTGCATGCAATGTCTGAATCGTCCTTCAGGAAGATCAAAAGTAGGCTTCCACAAACCATTCTTGAGAATATGACAGTCTGAAAACTTCTTAGTGGGGGAAGATCGACCACCTGCAAGTAGGACAACGCCCGGCTCGATCTCAGACAAGGAATGATATTGACGCGCAATCATGTTGTTCTTATCGACGATGAACTCGTCCGTGGAGTCCAAAGAGAGCAAGAGAGAAGTAGATTCTCTGTTCTGGGCCTGACCGCCATTCAGGATGACACCATTCTGAAAGGAGCATGCGGCAGCACCAATGCGGTGGGCCTCAGAAGTGGGCTTCTCACACTGGAGCACAAACTCCTCGTGCTCAGGGTATTCGGATTTGGAGTTCTGAAAGATATCAGCACCTCCATAAATAATAGAGTAGTGGTTTAGGAACAGAAGGAATTCCTCCCACTCGTCAAAGGCCTCCACATTCTCAACAAACTCCTTCTTTTCATCAGGGACGTACGAGTCCCAAAACTGGGCCAAGGAGATTCCGCTGACTTCCTTCCATCCGAGACAGGTGAATCGCTCGTACTGGGCGGGGATGCTAGGGTATTTCTTGACACTCCAGAGAGTAGTCTGAAGGGAGTCAAAATGGGCCAACATGGTCTTGGCAAAGGGGTGCTCAGTGCCGGCAGGGATGATCTGCTCTAACAGAGCGAAACGAGAATTGGGTAGTGAAGCGCACCACTGCAAGAGATTGTCAGCATCTTTCTGGAACATGTAGGTCACAGAAACCTCTGCCGTGAAGAGAATCAGGGGGTTGTTATCTCCCTCGACGATGAGGTCCAGGTTTCGGAAAATGAACTCGAACTTCTCCAGATCTCGCAGATCACAAGAGAGTGCAATGTAATTGCCCGTCTGCATGAGCACAGACTTGTCTTTGATCTCAGCGGCGGGTTTCTCCTCCCCAACCAGCTTGGTCAGTTCGTCTGACCGTCGGATGGTGTCAACCTTGATCTGCATGAGATCAGGGTAGTCGACATCGACAAAGATCAAGTTCTCAGTCAAACCGTGCTTGTGGAGATGCTGGAACGGGTAAGGGTCGTAACCACAGCCAAGGTTGACAATCACATGCTTAGGTGCCTTCTCTGCAAGGGCAGCAGAGATGCAGTAGCCCATGGCCTCCATTCGAGTCCAGTATCCTCGGTTGATGATGGGCGATCTTCGCTGAGGCTTCTTAACAAAGTGCCGAAAAAACTCCAGATCATGCTTTTCCTTGTACAACCGCTCTACTGACCGCTTGGACACGATAGAAGAGTTGTTAGTACCCTGGATCTTCAGATCCACAGTGTAGGCCTTGGAAGCCGCATTATTTGGGTTCTTGACTTTCACAGGCTTGTCGGATTTGGGATTTTTTTTCTTGGGTGTGGATATTCCACTCTCAGGAGTGTTGGTGACATCGCTATGTCCCTTGTCGTTAGTCACCCCGTTCATTTTGCAGTGTCGTTATGGCGTCTGAAAGTTTTCAACGGTCCCTGAAATTTAGGAATTTCATTTGGGCATGCATGGTCTGCAGAACTTTGTTTGGACATCACGTATCACTTGTCAGATCAGAAGAGTACATACAACACTTTAGCGACCATGCTGCGAACGACATTGAGCCGGGCTCATGCTATCAATAAGGCTGCACCCTTGCTGAGAGCACATTGCAACATCCAACCCATCACATGCATTCAGAGATTTTACTCGGCTAAGGAGCCAGCGGCAAACGACCTCAAAGAGATCTCGACACCCGAGACAACACTGCGATCTCTCCACCCATTCCTGAGAGTCCATGACAGTACGAAATTTTCAGCCAACTTCCTGACTGTCGAGACCGAGTCGGGGAAGCGAGATTTCGAGGATCGAGAGAAATATCGAACCTCAGTGGCTCTTCGAAGATCAGAGACCCCTCGAGAGAAGATCAAGGATATCCAGAACCGAAAGCAATATGTGGAGGGGCTCGACAAGCTGTTTGGAAAGACCAAACCTGATAACCTAGTAAAACTGCACCAGGCGGTTAAGACAGCCTCGCTGGCAGAGCTCAAGGACATTTGCAACAAGATTGACTCGGATGCTGTTCTGGGAGACACATACGCTGCTCTGCCAAACTACCAACACGTGCGAAAGGGCGCTGCACTGTCTGTTGTTGCTCAGAACATCATTTTCAGATACCAGAAGTTGACTGAGGAGGCCGGTGAGCCTCTAGATGCGGATCCTCTGTTCAAACTGGTAGGATACATCTATGCTCGAGCCACTAATGACGTCAGCTTCTCTGCCGAGGCAGCTGATGCTCTTTTCTGGGCTACCTGCAAGTCTGGAACTATCGAGGATATCACTGCTGTGGCTACCATGCTTGCTGGGATGAACACTAGACCTTCTGATTATACTGTATCCGAGGTTCTGGCACCAGCACTGCGACCTCTTACTAAGATCCCTGACGTGAACGAGAAGACTGCTGAGGTTATCAGCTTATTTGCTCTGCGACCTGTCTTCTGCCAGGACATTCCTCCTAAGATGGCTACTATCATGTTTGGACTCTGCTCGCGAATGGATGAGTTTGTGTCTGCCTTCAACAATGTGAGGCGAGTGGAATCTTTCAAGAACCGACACGCTGTGTTTGAGGAGGCTGCTCCTGCCATGATCAAGGCTATCGTTCGATGTACCAAGAACGAAGTTACAGCTAAGGGACCTGAGCAGGATGATATTTTTGTTCGATTCGAGGTTACCCGGCCACACCACCAGGCTATGGCTAACATGTTTTCACTTGCACGACTTCTAAGACATTCCGAGAACTCTTCTTTTCCCCAGAAAGCCATTGAGACTGCATTGGTCCAGTGTGCCAAGGAGGGCAACATTGCGGGACTTAACAAGGTCCTCTCGTGGACTGACCAGATCAGCAAGCGTGCCACTGAGAGAGTGCTGGCATTGTTTCCCTACGCCCATGGCATGGCCGAAGAGCCTCTGACCCCTAGTATTGGCATCTCCAGCATGTTCCAGGAGACATCCTATGTTGGTCATGTGAAATTCCTGGAGTCCCTTAAGAAGAAGACCGAGGCCAAGGAGCTTATCTCTGAGATTGACGAGAAGCTCGAATCCATTGACTAATTTCTACAAGTGTAATTCTGACTACTGTAATCAATGCATGTAAATAGTATTATAAATATGTCATAGTCATAACAGGGCGTGAGAAACGACGGGTCTAGAATCTGCACCATCATCTTGGGGATTTTGAGAACCCTTCTCGGGCTCGTCTACAGGTCTATCATTATTGTTGTTCTTGTTGTCGCCTCCAGTAGCAGGCTTGTCATTAGCTGGAGGGGCTGGGGCCGGTTTGCCAGCCACAGGCTCCACGTAGACAGTATGGGATCTTGGTTTGGCAATTACCACGATCAAGAGACCCACAACCACAAGTGTAAGAAGCAGAATGATCTTGCACTTGTTGGATCGCTTCTGATACACCGCTCCCTGGACCAACTCCTTATCTGCCTGTTTCACGTTAACAGCCATGTTTTCAATGTTGTAATCGATTCGATCCAGCAGGGTTCCCTGGTCAATGACCATAGTCTGCAGGTCTTTGAAGATCTCTGCCAGCTCGATGATACCCTCTGCAATCTGCGCAATCTCCCGTTCTCGTTGTCGGATATGATGGTTCTGGGTGCTCTGGTCGTCCTCTTCAATGAGCTGTTGAGATTGCTGAAGTGCCTTCTGCGACAAGGAAACATCTTCGTCGTGGGTGTTACTGGAAGTGGTCGACTGGAAAATGGGGTCCATGCTGCCCTCGTTTCGTTTGAGAGCCTTGAGATAATTACTCTGCAGTTTTCGGAACACTGTGGACGCATCCTGAATCTTGGTGGCAAGGGCGATTTTGGCGTTCATTTGCATCTTGTCCTGGACAGGATCGCCGGATTGTCGGTCCAGCTTCTTCAGCATGCCCTGGCAGTGGTGCAGGTCCTGGGTGATGTCGTAGGTGATATCTGAGATGAGCTTTTCTTCACCACTTCGGTCATCGAAGCCAGGGAGCGAGTTTTTCCGGTGGAGAACCTCCAGTCGATTGACCTTGACCTTGATTTCGCTCAAAATGCCGTGGACGTCGTCTGAGATGGTTTTGGCCAGTGAGTTGCCCATATGGGCAAGCTCAATCTCATCGGCTCCACCGGTGTTGTCTGAGTTGGCGATTAGTCCCTGTTCCTCCTCATCGGACGCATGTGTTGCTAGAAGCTGTCGGGTCGACCTCGGGAACGATTGCCGATAGGAAATATACAGGTTTGTTCTGTCTCGAAACATGTGCCTTTGCCTTGCCTTTTGCAATGTGGTGATATGCTTGTCCTGACGTGGAGCTTGATATTACACTATAGGTTATGAGATGCGTCAGATGTGTCCATTTTTCAGAGATTGGGAGATGACCATTTTGGGGGCTACGAACACGACCCTGTTCTTGGAATTGGATTTCGAGGTATATAAGGGGCTCAAATGACGCCCTCAAGTCTCACCATTATTTTGTGATCACTCATCTTTTAATTCGCACATCACCTACGTCATTAAACTCACCATGCAGCGGTTCCAGTACCGATTCGGCAACCACTCGGCCGTTGACAGGCACACACTGTGCAGAGGCGCGGACTGAAAAGGTTGCGATTCCGACATTGGCCTGTACAGCATGCCGTTTGGCCGTTGAGTGAGTCAGATAGCGCGAGAAGATAGAGCGGCAGGTGTTTTAGACTAGACGTGTCCAGACAGGGGAAACTACGGGTATTGTAGCCTCCCACTATCTATGCTAGCTTGCATGTTTAGAGGCCTTGAAGCGGCTACCGGAGTATATATACGACAACAATCGCGGGCGGGTGAAATAGCACACATGCTCGCTTGTGGGCTTGGCTTGGCTCTCTCTTTTAATTTCTCGTCTCACCATGTGCAACCCACGCTCGGATTTTTCGCACATTGGATGTTTCCCCGAGCTTCTTTAGTTTGATAGCACATGAGGAAACAAGAGGCTAAAAAGCAACAAGGATGTGTTGCACCATGAAGCGAGAGCAGAGGTGCCGTATATTAGACAGGGTATGTGGCTGGTGGTGGCTAAACCAAATGACAGTGCTCATAAGGGATAACACGCGAAAAACATGTCCAAACAATTGCAAAAATAATGGCAGACGCACAACTGTTGTACGGTTGACGTGGCCATATTGAAGCGGTACTCCATTGACGTACCTACCCCGTTCCCTCCGCACACCTTCCACTGACTACAAGTAGCTACAGTTAGTCCCACTGAACCTGCATGACATAACAGTTGGTACAGTTTTTTGCGGTTAGAGTTTCTGAGCTCTCCCCCATTATATAAAAAGTGTTGCGACTACTTCGATCCAAGGCCATCTCCAGATCCGCCTTTTTCCACACACGAACAGCAATCATGACCGAGCTCACTCACCCTTCCATCGTCGACGGCTGGTTCCGAGAAATCAGTGACACCATGTGGCCTGGCCAGGCCATGGCCCTGCGTGTCAACCAGATTCTCCACGTTGAGAAGTCCAAGTACCAGGACGTTCTGGTTTTCGAGTCCACCGACTACGGCAACGTTCTCGTCCTTGACGGAGCCATCCAGGCCACCGAGCGAGACGAGTACGCCTACCAGGAGATGATTGCGCATCTTGCTCTCAACTCCCACCCCAACCCCAAGAAGGTGCTTGTTATTGGAGGTGGTGACGGTGGTGTCCTGCGAGAGATTGTCAAGCACGACTGTGTCGAGGAGGCTGTCCTCTGTGACATTGATGAGGCCGTGCCCCGTGTTTCCAAGCAGTACCTCCCCACCATGTCTGTCGGATTCAACCACCCCAAGACCAAGGTCCACATTGGTGACGGCTTCAAGTTCCTCCAGGAGTACCAGAACACCTTCGATGTCATCATCACCGACTCCTCCGACCCCGAGGGTCCCGCCGCCTCTCTCTTCCAGAAGCCCTACTTTGAGCTCCTCTCCGGTGCTCTGACCGAGAAGGGTGTTATCACCACTCAGGGAGAGTCCATCTGGCTGCACATGAAGATCATTAAGGAGCTGCGACAGGCTTGCAAGCAGGTCTTCCCCTCCGCCGACTACGCTTACTGCACCATCCCCACCTACCCCTCCGGCCAGATTGGTTTCATGGTCTGCTCCAAGGACAAGGACGCCAACCTCCGAAAGCCCCTTCGATCCGTCTCTCCCGAGGAGGAGTCCAAGCTCTACCGATACTACAACAAGGACATCCACTCTGCTTCCTTCGTTCTCCCCACCTGGGCTCGAGACGATCTTGCTTAAGTGCACCCTACTGGTAGGCTGGTCTTGATTAGTAAAATGTATTAACGTGTAACCGTTTGATTGTAGTTGTGAGTTTATTAGTTGGAACTTTAACAGATTGAAATTTTCACTCCGTATATAGTGGATGACTAAGCGAAAGTGAAACTGATGACATGAGCTCGTAAACGCCCCAGATAGATAATACACCAAGATGTGGACTGTAGTCTTATATCATATAAATGTCAAAAATCACTTATAGCATCTTCGGATCTTCCCTTGTTGAAGTGTACACCGGTATGAGTATGTACAAACTTTTACTTGCCCTGGCTACTCTACAATTAACTTGCCTCCCAACATGCAGCCTGAATTTATTTTATCATGCATATTTTGAAGGCCCATCTTGCCCAGCATACCACACGATACACACAATGATTTGCCTCCCAGGAGACCAGATTGATTTCCCTAAGCAGGACCTCACACTCGGCCCCGGATTTCTCGACGATCCTCTAGCCGCAGACCCCATCCCTATCGTTGCAGGTGAGGTGCATCGAACCGATCCCGAAGACAAGAAGACTAAAAATCAGAACCTCGTTTACATCGACAGTGACACTCGGCGGTACATTCCTGCCGTCAACGACAATGTCATCGGTACTGTGACCACTCGACACGCTGAGGGATACAAAGTGTCTGTTTCTGACCTCTCTCCGGGTGTCCAGCTTAACGCCATGGCCTTCCCCAACGCCTCCAAGAAGAACAGAGTCAACCTGGCTAACGATGCACTCGTCTACGCGCGAGTGTCTTCTGCATCTCGAGAAGTCGAAGCTGAGATCGAGTGTATTGATCCTCAGTCCGGCAAGGCCGGCGGGTACGGTGAACTTAAGGATGGTTTCTGCTTCGACGCACCGATAGCATTTACTCGACAGTTGCTTTTCAAAGGACACACCGTGCTCGATACCATTGGAGAGCTGGTTCCCTTTGAGATTGCCATTGGAGTCAACGGAAAGATCTGGGTCAAGAGCGAAGACGTTCCCACCACCCTCAAGATCTACCAGTGCATCGACAAGTGCCGGGAATGGCCTGAAGACCAGGTCCGGGAGAATGTGGAGCAGATTATGAGCGCACCATAGGTGCTATAATGGCAACAGCATAGACGGACGAGCCAGGTATGGCCCGTACATATTATTATTTAATACATTGTTCATATTTAATGTTTGTCAGCTTCCCACAGCCACTATGCCATAGCTTGTAGAGTGTATTTGTAGATTGTAATTACTGAATAATGTTATATAAATAATCGCCCGAGAGCCAGAGTGGTGGTTCACTGAGAACTCATCTCATTAAGCGTAGTGACTCTCGTAGAGACTCTCAGAGCCGTTGAGACCTGTCATGCCATACCATGACTTGTCGTCTGAATCCACTCGAGGGAGGACTGTAGAGTCCTGGATGTGTTGGTACAAAGGCTCATTAACATCAGGCTGAAGCTCATTGGCAATGTAAAATTCGAACTGTCGCTGGTCTGTAGGATGCACAGCGTGAGAGGTGGAGTCGCTGCTGAGATATTTACGGTAGACAGAGTCGTCGAGAGTTGGAGCTGAAAGACTGCTGACAAGTTCTTCCATTTCGCACTCACGAGGGTCATCTGGGATTTTGGACACCTCTTCAGGTACTTCCGATACCTTCTTGTCCTCTGTGATATCCTCCAGACCTTTAATTTCCTTTCTAGGTCTGAAAGGGTTGTCGTCAGAATTGTAACGGGATGTGGAGTTCATGTTGTAGGCAAACACCTTGTGAAAAGACGACAGCGAACGGGGCTTGTAACATTCGTTCCAGTAGTTGTCAAAGAAGCCAGGGTAAGGTGGAATGTATGATACAAGAGCATCTAGCTTATCCTCTAATACCTCCATGACAGGCTCCTTTTGATCCGAACCTGGAAAGTTGAGAGGCTCTGTGATCTCGCTGACAGGCATAATCTGCAGTTCTTTTTTTCTTCGGACATACTTCTCGTACTTCTTGACCAAGAGGTTGATCTCAGTCCACCAGAAGATGTATGATCGCCTCAGGTAGTAGTTATCAAAGTAGTAGTTGTTATGCAGAAAGTGGTCCGAAGGCAGGTCCCACAGACGAGGCTTATTCTGCTCGAACACGTGGTTACCAAGGAACAAGTTGATTGCCTCTTGTCTCTGAGAATCGACGAACGAGTTGGAGTAGAACCGTCGAATTGACTCAAGCATGTCTCGAGAATGGGATCTCCACTGGTTGATCTTTCTATACGTCTCCATTGTGTTGACCAGGTGGGAGCCACCATACTGCAGAGCGATGGTGTCTCCATGATCATGGTACATTTCTGTCAAGAGATTAACAGCGTCACAGTCATAGGACAAGTTGACGTCCGACACAATGCCAAGGGCACGCAACTGGTAACCTAGGGCCTTCTTAGCAATAACGAACTGTGCAGCGTTTGTTCGATCCAAGCAATCAATGCAGTTAGATCGGCAAATACCCTTCTGGATGCCCTTGGAGTTGTGAAAGAAGCCCGTTTTCTCCAGGACAGTGGTAGAGTATCGTTCAAGAAACTCAATGACCTCTAGGTTTCGAGACTTGGATGCTCTGGACATATCCCAATGTGTATACTGGAGCTTGTGCTTCTTTCCCCGTTGGACGAGAAATTGGTTCAAGTATTCAACACACTGAGAGAACTCTCGAAGCAGCTTTCCCTCTCTGGGAGTTCGCTCCTTGCTTTTTATGAGATTGAGAACCAGAATCGGAGCCTCGTAACGCTTGAATAAGTCGTCAAAATGTAAAGCAGCACTGGCAAAGAAGGGGTCTACCAGGTTGATCTCAATGGGAGGCTTGGGAGTCATGTTGCTAACATCCTGAGACCAATACAATGGTATTGAGCCTCTGTGTTGGACGTATGACGTGTATCTCGGCGAATTGAAGATACCTTCTCTCTTGTCATGGAACGATGAGGTGACTAAATCTGCCACAATCTGTTCAGTCTCAACTTCATTGGCAACATTGCCTCTATCATTGACGCCTCGCTTGAGGAATCTGGCACCAGCAAAGTAATGGGATCGTCGAGCAATGAGAGTCACGTAGACGCTTCGAGCACCACAAACGTTTATCTTCGCCTGGTCGATGAAACCGTGAATGATTGGAAGGAACCACTCAAACACATTATCCATAATTTCCTCGACTGGGCGGAGGAGGTGATGGTTCCAGATGAACATATGGTTGAAAGAATGGATCTCCTCGTCATCACTGTCGTCATCTCGTTTCTCTCTCTCCATATTCCGTTGCAGTGTGTTTGTGATATCGTAAGCATAGGAAAAGTAAAAGGTCTTTGATAAATCGAGACTCTGGAAGATGCTCATATAACGTGCCTCGTCTGCTGACTTGCTCTTTGTCTTGCCCTCATCTCCTCCTCTCGACAATGGGATCATCTCTGTTTTGTCGATATGGTAGACATAATGGCCTCCTAAAAGAGCAACAACGGACCGTTTAGTTACAACAACCATATAGTACCCATCTGTGAATCTGATGAAACCCAGTAGGCCCCAAGCTGTGAGTCTCTTGGTCAGATTGCCTCCTCCCTCCTCTTCCATGTGGCCCAGAACATCCATGACCTCTGCTCGAGTGTACACTGCCGGGTCGACAATGAGAGTCAAGTCCTGCTTGGGGCCGGTCATATCGATTTCCATCACCTTGAATTGAACTTCTCGGGCGTTGGACGCGACGATATACAGGCGTGTTTTCGTCTCGTACAGGGTGTATTTTTCAAGGGGCGCAGATAGTCGGGCGTGGACATCTGAATGGGACTGGGTCAGCCGCGGAGGTTCGGGTTCGGGCTCGGGAGCCGTTACGATATCCTCCATGTTGGGGATCTCCAAAAACTCCGAGTCCATTGATCGTGTGTATGGTTCTGCTGTGTTGCCCCGATAACGCAAGATGAATCCCAGCTGAAGCTTGTTGGCAACCCCCAACTGATATTTTTGTTGAACTGCCAACTAAATCTTGTCAAAATTAGTGTCAACTAACTTTGTTGGGAGGAACGAACTGAAGCTTGTTAAGGGCAGTCGCATTTGTCATCATCTGCAGAAGGTTAATAGAGTCTTGTGAACGGGACGAGTTCGAGAGCAACTTTGGATCTATTTACACTTGGATGAGAGCAACCACAACGAGCGAAGACCACTACTTATACGAGGCTTGACGCAGCGTGTGTTTTAACCTGCAAACAGCAACCGTTTTTAAGATATTTCTACCCGTTAAATTCACGTGACGCCCAATTAACCTTCCAATATCGCACTCCCAACCTCTAACATCCACCCACGACCTCCCCCACACAACAAAACTACGCCACACAATGTTCAGACGACTGTTACAAGCCAAGAGCTCGTTGCGGACTGTCCCCCGACTGGGCTCCCCGTCGCTACTGACACAAAGACACTTCACAGCATCCGCCCGACGTCTTTTCGAGTTTCCCGAGTCGGTCCCCCGAGAGAAAATCGAGGAAGATGCCGTCACCATTGTGAACCCCCAGAAGGACGACAAGGGACGACTCCTGCGTCTGTTTGTGTCCGACCGAGCGGCCACCAGACTCAACGCCATTTCCGAGGACGACAAGAACCCTTTGCTGGCTCTCCGAATTGAGGTGGAGTCCGGTGGATGCCATGGCTTCCAATACAAGCTGGAGCTGTCCGACGTGGAGGACGTCGATTTTGAGATGGACAGTGTGTTCGAGAAGAACGGCGCTCGAATTCTCATTGACAAGAGCTCTCTGGAGATTCTGCGAGAATCCAACATTGATTACACAACCGAGCTTATTGGCAGCCAGTTCAAGGTGGTGGACAGTCCCTACACTGTGAGTGCTTGTGGCTGCGGCTCCTCCTTCGACTTCGACGAAAGCAAGTTGGCCTAAAAGAACAAGACTGATCGAGTCACAATAACGTATACTTGAGTTCCTTTCCAAAGGGTCAAGTTGAATGCATGTAAATAAAGAATTAATTTGATTATGGGTTGAATAAATATCGTAGATGCAAGGGTGTAATTAGGGGGGGGGGGGGAACTTAGTGTCAACAACTTCTGGCGTAGTTAGTGAGTCGAATCAGAAGACTCTCGATCCAGAATAGCTCATCATGAGATGGTAGACCGGTTTTGATGATCTTGACTTTGCCTCTTTTGTCCATGACCATTTGGTTCGTTAGTAGAGACACTAGCTCGAACTGATCACTTGTTGAAACCTTCATACCCGTGGATTCATAAAGAAACTCTGTGACTCCAGCGTATAATCCGTCCTTGTGGGTGGCGAATGCTTCCAAGTCGTCGTAATGAATTCCAAGAGTTAGGTACTTCAATAGTCCTCCCAGATCCTTAACCTGGATCTTCAGGTGAGCGGTATAGGGCACCTCTCTGTCGAATTCGGACTTGAGAAAATCGTGCTTCAGCTCCAAGTCGCCTATCGTGACCTCGAATTTCTCTGTCATCCATGCCTTTATCACTCCGCTAATGTCAAAGAATGTGTTTTGCATTCTCATGAGAATCAAAGCGTGCGTCTCGAAGTCGTCCTTTCTGTCAGGACCGTTGACAATAATGACCTTGGATACATGACCACTCATGGAGATTTCCACCGTGTGTATCTCATATTCCCCTGACTGTAGCACGTGCCACTCACAGTTGACGGTCTTGATCTGGTCTGCTTCGGACGAGTCCTGCTCATAGTAGACGTTGTTGTTTCGTTCGCTGAAGACGCGTTTCCGTGATGCATTTTTGGCGTTTTCGACAATGTCTTTACTGAGTTCTTGGCGCACGGTCGCAAACTTGTCAAAGTTGAAGAGTTTGGTGCACTTGAGTACCGTGAACGACGTCCCCGACGCGGTGTTTACGAAATCGAACATGAGTGTAAGATCAACGCTTTGTTTGCACGGCGGCTCGCATGATATCTTCACCTTAATTGAAGGTGGTTGGGAGTTGGGAATATGGACAGAAATAGTAAATGCAACTATAAGCGAAGCAGTGGGTCTAACCAACCCATAGCATTGAACTACAAAAGTAGATAGACATGACTGTCAGCTTATTATTCATTTTAGGTCTATTGGTGTAGCCTGTACAAGCACTGAGATATGTTAATAAGCGATAACCAATGCCCCAAACTATCAAAATCTCCTTTATGACTGTACCATTCTTCGTACTCATAAACCACATGCACATTCTATCAAGGCTACAATAAATTTTAGCTGCTGGACTGTACATACTTGGTTAGCCTTCTATAACCGGACCCTGACCGATCCAGTGATTTTTTCTTGCAACACTATATAAAACCGCCCTCGCCCTGCAGTTTGCCCCCAGAAACTACGCTCTTTGGCTTCTCCCCACACATGTAGTCTGCGATCCATGACTCGGACCTGAGGCCCACCCAATGATAACATGAACTCTAAGCCCAATTAGCCCCACGACTCATTAAAATATATATCGATTTGACCTTTTGACATTTGACAGTACCGTCACACTCCTCCATTAGCAATGTCCGCCACCCCTCTTGCACTGACCGATCTCAAGGGCCATCTCCCTCTCGTGGCCCGAGGCAAGGTCCGAGACCTGTACGCCGTCAACGACAACCAGCTGCTGTTTGTCGCCACTGATCGAATCTCCGCCTACGATGTCATCATGACCAACGGTATCCCCGAGAAGGGCAAGATTCTGACCTCTATCTCCAAGTTCTGGTTCCAGCTGCTGGCCAAGGAGATTAAGAACCATGTGGCCGAAAGCGAGAACTCCCAGATCCTCGCCGCTCTGCCCAAGGCTGTGCAGGACGACCCCGAGCTCGTCGAGATGCTCAAGGATCGATGTCTGCTCGTCAACAAGTACAAAATTGTGCCCATTGAGGCCATTGTTCGAGGCTACATCACCGGCTCTGCCTGGAGCGAGTACAAGAAGTCCGGAACCGTCCATGGCATGTCCGTGGAGTCTGGTCTGCAGGAGTCCCAAAAGCTGCCCCAGGCCATCTACACTCCCTCTACCAAGGCCGAGCAGGGCGAGCACGACGAGAACATCTCGGTGGCCAAGGCTGCCGAGATCATCGGAGACAAGAACCTCGCCGACGAGATCGAGAAGCTGTCTGTCCAGCTGTACACCAAGGCTGCCGAGTACGCCGACAAGCACGGAATCATCATTGCCGATACCAAGTTCGAGTTTGGTATCGACGAGAACGGCAAACTTGTTCTGGTTGATGAGGTCCTCACGCCCGACTCCTCTCGATTCTGGAACGCCAAGACCTACGAGGTTGGTAAGCCCCAGGACTCCTACGATAAGCAGTACCTGCGAAACTGGCTTACTAACAGCGGTCTCAAGGGCCAGGAGGACGTTGCTATGACCCCTGAGGTTGTCATCAAGACCCGAGAAAAGTACATTGAGGCTTACGAGTCCATCACTGGCTGCAAATGGTGCACCCAGTAAGCGTGTGTTGGAAGATGTAGATACTAATATATATGATTTTGACTGTAATCCTAGTGACAATGGCAATAAAATTGCAAACTGTTCGCCATTGTTAGCTTGTACATACTGTACAGTAGGTAGTTTAGCTGATTGTATGTACTCCTGTTGTAGCCTGTAGTTCAATAGACTTGAATGCTACAACAGCTACTCAAGTGTACCTTAAGAGTGTACAATGCAATCACGAATCGAAGACCTGTTGAAAATGTATCGGACTACCCTTCATAAAGACTCCCCAACCACACCAAATCATTCCCAATTGTTGTTTGTGCTTACTAATCACAACAGCCTGATTGTGTTTGTTTCTCATCATGCGGCTCTCTTCATCATGATCATCCATACGGTGGGCGCATCAGGTTCAGGAACAACCACAACTGGGAAGGCTCTGGCAGAAAAGCTCGGTATTCCGTGCTATGATGGAGACGACTACTTTTGGCTAGAGGGCACAGCAGAGCCCTACTCAGTCAAGCGTGATGAAGAGGAACGAGACAACATGTTGTTGCGAGACATGGCCAAGCAGCCCGATTGTGTAGTTGCGGGAAGCATGCCAACATGGTCTAACAAGATCACGTCTCAATTCGACTGCATTGTTTTTCTGGAGCTTCCTTTGGATGTTAGAATGGCGAGATTGCGGAATCGAGAGGAACAGCGATATGGAGATACCTTGAGAACTGATCCTGCCATGGGACTCAAATCCGAGAACTTTCTATCTTGGGCTGAAAGTCTGAGCTATCCACATTGTACTTCTTCTAGAGGACATGACTACCATCTTCGATGGTTGGACAACTGTGGCGTTCCTGTACTGAAACTGGGAGATATGACCGTGGACGAACGGGTTGACGAGATTATCCGATTTACGAAAAGTACAAGTACAATTGCCTGAGCGCTGGTATAGCTAGTATGCACCAAAACTATTCTCTATATATATTGTGCCTATGTGTGTTGTGTAGATGTGCGATTGCTGTACCTTGTACTATAGTCGCAACAGCTCCAGGAGTTCTTCCTTAGACAAGTATGTAACCTCGTCGGTCTCCATGACAGCCTTTCTGTTCTGTCCAAAGAAGCTTTCCAATCTCTTCTTGAAGTAAGGGATCCGCCACAGTCTCACAAAGTCCTGAGGGATAGGCTCGAATTGAAGACACTCCTCCCAAAGTCCTGGAGGCAGGTGTGCGTTGGAATGCTTCTTACCGTTGATGGTGATGGGAATTGAGTTGAATCTTGCCAGCTCTAGGATGATTGTGGCGTTCAGCATCTGCTTGACGGGCTTTCCGTAGATAAAGTCAACAAGTACATCTACTGCCTGTGAGCCTGCCTCGATGTAGATAGTGATCTTCTCGTCGCTTCTGTTGTCGTCAAATCCGGGAAGCTTATCACTGATCCAAGGCCAATTGGTAGCGAGAATCACCAGATGGCTTTGGCGAGGAAACGATTCAGAGCATACAACAGTTGAATCGGAGAAACCGGGGGGGATAGAGCCCATTAGCGACAGCCTGTTCAGTCCGAAAGACTCGGTTGAAGCACTAAACGCTTGCTTCTCGGTAACCTGTTTCACCTTGCTCTGAATATCGCCCACCATCTTGAGAGCATCAAGAATGGAGGTCGCATCCTGAACTCCAGCCAAGTGGCTTCCATAAGACCAAAACTCGGGACACACCTTCTTCATGCTCTTCCATTGGATCTGACTAGTCTTGAGATCAAGGAACAACACGCTGGCTCGTCGGACCTGGTCCTTGGAGGACAGCACAACATAGGCTGATCCACCTAGAGGGTAGCACTGGAGAGGTTCCGAGGAAGGGACAAAAGGAACATCGTCATCCATGGGAAAAGTGAAGACGACATTGTCGACCTTGCATTGAACGCCGTCATCCTCAAGGGTGATCTCTGTGGGAGGCTTGGTTTCCAGCAGATAGAGAGACATGGAGTAGTAGTGATGAGAGTAAGATCATTGCGTACATGAAACCTGCATGGATACTTGCGATGTTGAGAGTTTATCTGTCATCAGCTCATATTTGGAGAGGTGTTTGATGGAGTGTTTGGGCAAGTTAACAGACAATATAAATGGCTATTCAACAGAGATGATACTTGTTTATTCCATTTTACTTTTGATTTTTCTAATATTCCAGTTCATTATCGTTTTACAGCTCCACAGTGTATCATGGTGTTGTCTACAAATGTGAAGTCTAGATGCATGGTTTATATAGGGCCTTCTCTAGGTCATGATTAAAGACACGGAAAACATCCTTACAATACTTGAACTTGTACAAATAGCATAACCTGGAACAAAAAAACACAACAAGTGTTTCCAATACTTGTAGATATACAGCCTGTACTTGGCCCTTCTCCTCATCTTATTAAGCCCTTATGTCCCGTTTTCATAATATCACACCATTTATTTAACAAAAATTGTAACTACAGTATATAAGAACATATAGCTACTTGATAAGTTAATCTCAACGGCGCGCTGGCTACTACAGCAGCTGAACTACTTCAGAACCAATGGTGGAATGGAATCGCGACAGAACCTATTCATGACAAAAAATCTACAAATATAGCAATGCCAGACCGACTTTGCTCTTGTTATGCTATAATTAATATGAGTTTGAACCCCACTGCATAATATCGGAGATCGTACCAGTGTACAGTATTGCTGGTAAAATTGTACATATTGTACTTGTATAACAACATATTGCAGTACATACGATACTCATACTCACACTCGTATTGAAAAAAAGCTGGCGAAATCAAAATTTGATTTGTACAAGTACGACAAACTCATCACGGTACGGCTTACCACCGTATTATTTAACTTGCCATCCAGCCCGGTCGAACTGTATCTCCGTGTAAAGCGCTTTTTTAGGTCGGCGCGAAAAATGTGAAGTCTAACACGTCTTTCTGTTAAGCTTGCACATGGCAGGTAGAGGCAATACGGGGATGTCAACCCCTGCTTTTGATGAAACATAGAAGCAATATCCCGGGATATTGCGCGTAATCATGGCGAGAGTGGTGAGATACAATAGGCGGACATGTGAGTCGAATGAGTGCCATCAAATGAATGTCATCAAATGAAGCATGGCGCTATAATGTAAGTCCTCTACATCCTGTACTACAAGTCAACACGAATCATTTCAAGAATAAATTAGGTATAAAATACATGCTGACCGTTCCTTTTTTGTTCCTTCACCACTGGCTTACAGAAGAGCAGCGACCAGAGGAAGAGCAAGAGCAGCGACCATGCCAGTGGCAGCCATGGGGTTGGCGCCGTTCTCCTTACCAGTAGAGGCAGCAGAAGCAGAGGCAGATCCAGAAGCAGAGGCGGCGGCCGAAGATGCGGATCGAGAAAGGGAAGATGCAGAGCCAGAAGCAGAGCCAGAAGCAGAGCCAGACGCAGAGCCAGAGGCGGAGCCAGAAGCACCAGAAGTGGCAACAGCAGAGCCGGACTCGGCGGTGGAGGCAGCAGAGGCGGCCGAAGAGAGAGCCTCAGAGGCAGAAGCAAGGGCGCTACCGGTGACAGAGGCGGAGATCTGGGCGTCCTCCATCTGCTTGGAGACAGAGGCAACAATGCCAGACCACGCGGATCCTCCAGTCTTGGCCTCGTCGTCAATCAGAGACTTGGCAACAGAAAACTGGGAGTTAGCGCCCTGGAGACCCTCGTTGATGTAGGACTTGGCGGCCTCGTTGGCCTTAGAAGCCTCGGAGGCACCAGCGGTCTTGGCAATCTCAAACTCGGAAGAGGCGGCCTGGAGACCTTCGTTGAGCTTGGTGTTGACCTGAGAAAGAGCATCATCGATTCGAGAGGGCACCTGGGTAACACCGGCCTTGATATCGGATCGCACACCGGAGGCAACGGCATCAACCTTGGTCTTAACTCCCTGCAGAGCAGTGTCAACATCGTGCCGGGCAGATTCAATGGCGGTCTTGGCGATGGAAATACCGTCTCCGGCGTAAGAAGTACCGTCCTTGACGTAGGACTCAGCGATGGAAGCTCCAACTCCGGCGTAAGAGCCGGCAATGCCAACAGCGGAGTTGACCTGGTTGCCAACCTCAGAGAAGAGGCCTCCAAGCACATCCTGGGCGGAAACGGCGGAGATCAGAAGAAGAGTGGTCTGAGTGAACTTCATTGTGTATGTTGTGTGTGTTTGTGAGAGAGGATTATTAGTGTCTGGGTCTTTTGGTTGCCTTCCTACCGGGCTATATATACTCTGGACTTGCACATGTTTACACTTTGCTAAAATAGAGAAAAGAGAGCCAAACGCGTCCAGCCCGAGACTGTTGAATTCTCAACTTTATTGGAGGATAGCAGATCATATAGATAGTGCAAGGGCATCTTACGGGTGTCATTGAAATTGTAGAAATATGGAGATTACAATTGTGATCTCATTTTTACAAAATAGTCACCTATTCCTCTTCAAACTGGGGTATTTTCCAGCCAGCAAGATTTCGTCCTGAAAATGCTACATGAAACAAAGTTCGAAAAAGGGGAGGAATGAAGGGCTTGCTGCTGTCAACGCAAGAACCCCACAGGGATGCCAGGGGTATCATCAGAATAGCCTAGTCCTGGAGAGAATAATTAAATACAACGTTTACCATTTATTTTGGTCAAAACGTCTCTGTAATCCATCTCCTTTCGCCATTCAACGCCCCCTACTGGCAAGGGAACTCTATCTAGAGCCAGGCGGAGAAAGAGGCTTAGACGCGCTGCAAGAACAAGCCATGGAAGCAAGTGGGGCAGCCCAGCAGTATCACTCATGCACGGAGCCTGGAGATAAAAATAGAATACGTCATACGGAAGAGGCGGAGTGGGAGACAGTGGGATAAATCACGTGAGCGAACAAGATGCGCCACAATGAAACATATTAGATGTCCCGTGAACCTGCTGCGCGTACAACGTGCCAATTAGCTAAACACTTTGGACTGCATATCCCACTCTCAACACATGTTGTGTGGCTACAGTCTGTACCGACTCTTAACCTTGAGAGTGACCATTGAGTCTGGACCGAGGAATGCGCGGGGCACTTCAACTTATTTAAATACCAATTGAAGAACATAAGTACAAGCACAACTACAAGTACAAGTATGTAGTTTACTAATATACCATTATTACCTCTCGCTTGGCACAGCCTCTAATCAAGCGTGTCAAGCTCAGTCTAATGGCGCTGACATGCGCTACTGGTGCTTGTAGCTAAGAAAAGTAATTGCGAAAGTCTTGGCAGGGTCCGGAAGCAGATCACCCCTGTTTCAACTTGATACACCCGCCTATGACACGAGCGGATGTGATCATCCTTGTACTGTAGCACGCTGCAACTCGGCAATCGGCACAATTTTGCTGTAAAAGTGGCCCCTGTAGCTTAACCATGTCCGTGCCATGTCTATACATTCCAGTGTACCTATAGATCAGCGAGTACAATTACACAAGGTATTTCGCGCATCACATAGACTAACAATGTGCAGCAGGTTCAGGTGCCTCAGATGAAGTACCAAATGCCCCATTTCTGGGCTTCTTGCATGATAGCAGACAGAACTCTTCCTGGCATGGGTACTGTTTCAGATGGCCTAGCTATAAAATACTCGTACTCGAACTGTAACGTTACTATTTTTTATAACCAACATGGCTGACCCAGTATTTACTGTAGTCCCAAAACAAACGGCTACGGACACGGCTTCTTGCACTTGTAGCTATGGTGTGCCTCTCTCGAACGGCTCATCCACACTATTTTTAGACCGACCATGAGATTGATTGGTTACTGGCAGATTAAATCACCCCTCGTAATGGCGCAGCAGCTTTAAGACATACGATATGATACACACCAATGGCCGTTGAGAGTTACAACGTCGACTGGATACACAGCCCAGTCATCTGACAGCGCAACGGAAGGGGGTGTGAACATGGTGGTACGCACAAGCATTAGCTGTTGACTTAAAGAAGGAGCTTCATGTGTTATTAATATCTACCGATGGGCTGTATTGAATATTTGACTGCTCCTTTGGCTACTTGTAGTACAGTACTCATTACCAGGCAATACGGTGATGCGTTTAAGCAGTGCTTTGGCCAGCTCTTGGCTGCATTTATCAAGTGTCTATCAGTGCTTGTATGAAAATCCCTCATGTGCGCACTAATTATCGGTAGTTTTGTTCATGCACGGCAAAACATTAGCCCATGACAAAAAAAATGAACAAAAAAGAGGACGACAGGACTCGAACCCGCAGCCTTTGGAGGACGTCGTTCAGAAGAACCGAAATCCAATGCGCTACCATTACGCCACGTCCTCAGATTTTCACGAACTTTTTAAAAACTTGCCACTACTATCAAAAAACTGATTTTTTGAATTTTTTTATTGAAAGCCGATAACCCGGCTTACTACAAGTAGGTATCTAGCTGTGATGAATCACTAGAATCAAAAACACCTCTTGAGTCCACTAAAGAGTCCCGGAGGTTGGCTGTAGCCACCTACAAGCCCTTCTACGAACAATGTGTGGAAACCCCCATAGCCCATGTCCGAAGCTCAGATCAACTATCTCTTGCTCCTGCTGTCGATGACGCTCTGTGAGGCCATGACCAACTGGCGTACTATACGTATTCCACGCTCATGAAGAACAAGCTTTGAATCAATTTAGTCATTCTTACGCGGTACAGAACGGAGAAGAAATATGGCTCTTACCAATCGTAACAAGCGTATATACGTAGTCACGAAAGACTCATTAATAGCTACATACTGTACAGTACATACATACTGTAATATCTTTGAGCTCGATTAACACAGATGAATTAAGACTAACTAATAAATTACTTGGACTCGTAGGGGGAGTCATATTGGGGAGGGTGAGAACCAGTGTACACGCCCTCAGGCTCAGCGACCTCTTCAACAAAGTTGTCCATCTGCTTGCCCTCTGAGTCGACTCGCTCAAGGTTCTCGAAGTCACCCTTCTCCTCGGCGTCCAGTCTGTGCTCCGCATCGACCATCATCTGAGCGTCCTCAGTAAGCATGGTGGCTCCTCGGTTCTCGGGCCCAACAAATGTTACAATAAGAACAAACCCGAACACGCAGCCCATGAAGATGGCCATAACCTTACCGTAATCATAGAAACCCTTCTCGAACTCCCCCTTCGCGTTCTTCAGAGGGAATCGTTCACCGATCTTAGACTCGATAGTGGAGGATGCAGAAGAAGCCAGGTTACCCATCTGGTAGGCAATACCAACCATGGAAGATCGAAGCTCAGGAGGAGACAACTCGGAAAGATGAATGGGAACAACACCCCAAGCACCCTGAACGAAAAATTGGAGGAAAAAAACGCCTGCATTTGTTCCTGCAGAGTTGCCAACAAAGGCCCAAGGGTAAATCAGAGCACCTCCAATAACACAAGAGATCATGATGGAGAGTCGTCGACCGAGAGCAGTAGAAAAGTGACCAATCAACATACCGCCGGCAATTGCACCAAAGTTGGCAACACAGTTGGTAACAGTGCTTCGGTCAGCGCTAAAATGACGCTGGTTCTTGAGCATAGTGGGGTAGAGGTCTTGAGAGCCGTGGGACATGAAGTTGAAGCCTGCCATGAGAATAACAAGGTAGATAAACATGAGCCAGTAGTTTTTGAAAGTAACCTTGATTCCATTCCAGAACTTCTTCTCGATTCCAGCTTCCTCCTGAGACGCCTTGGAAGCAAGGTAGGTTTCAGTTTCAGGCAGGAAGTATCGGAAGATAATGAAAAGAACTGGGGGTCCAGAGCCGAACCAGAAGAGAGCTCTCCATCCGTAAGGAGAAGTATCAGCAATAGCTCGAGTGAATACCACACAAAGCAAGTAACCCAGGGCGTATCCACTCTGAAGGAAACCTGAAATGATACCTCGTGCTTGAGGAGGACAATCTTCAAGAGCAGTAGCAGCGGCGTTACCGTAAAGACCACCCATAGCAATACCGTAGATGGCTCGGACACCAAGAAACTGTTTGTAAGTCTGAACAAACCCAGATCCCAGCTCGAGAGCAATGAAACACAGCAGGTTGACAATAAAGGGCCACTTTCGTCCGTAACGATCGGAAGCAATACCAAAAACAACAGCACCAATAGATCGAAGCATAAGAACCAAAGTGATACCCCAAGTAATATCGGTGACGGATCTGTTAAGAGATTTGGCAATTTCGGGAGCCACTAGACCTACCGAGAAGAAATCAAAAGCGTCCCAAGTCCAACCGCAGAAAGCGCATGCAATAAAGAGCCAAGTCTTCTTGTTGATAAGAGCCAGGGCAGGGAAGGGGTTGAGGAGCTTCTTCTCTTCAGGTGTGAGCTTTTGTGGGATGAGAGTAGGCAATCTTGTGGCGAAGTACCGCCGGATGGAAGCTGGCGAGAGATTAGGAGCTTCCATTTTGAGTCTGTAATGAGAGATCTGGACTAGTGAGTGCTTGCCACGAGACAGTAAGTGTATCAGACAGATGTAATGAATGCGATTGCCTCGTCTAGGTGAAGTTGATGGTTGTCAGGTCGTATCTCAGGACAGGCCCGAGGGTATATATACATCCTCCAGAGACTGAAACTCTTCATAAAGGTTGCCTCAACCCCACCGTGCTTCATATCAATTACATTTCGCATTGCCGCAACTCGGCACGGATCAATTAACTCCGTGTGGGGACAACTCTGTGGAAGAGAGACTTCTTAGTTCCAGGTGAGTTTCCGAGCCAAACAAAGACCAGTCGTAGTGACGTAATATTGTTGTGCAGAAAAGACATGTTCACTGCACGGGAATACAGAGGTATCAGTCAGTCTTTGCAGTTTTATATTTCAGGTTTCTGGGGTTCAAATTGACGATACCGAGGAACCGAAAAAGCTTGCTGATTGGGAACTGGGAGGGCCAAAACTGGTGAGTGAAGAAGTAGCCGCACCAATTTAGATCGATGAGTAGTTGGAAATTTGAGAATTGGAAAAAACCGTCAGAATCGCCTTGGAATGAAAAATCTGACAGTTTTGTTCTAGTTAAAATCACATGACTTTGAGTCTAGATCCTCCTGTGCCAACATTGGCTCAAAGTTTCCGCCCTTGCTCCTTTTTGCCCGACTCCAAAACAAAGGCGCGTCTAAATGAGGTAGCCGTGGGGTGGATAAAGAACTCTCTTCTAGTTTATTTCCTCTGAAGATCTTCCATTCCTTTGGTGTACATAAGAACCAGCATTCCTGTTTTGGGCTTATCATCTCTTTGTTGAGATGTCACATGTCGCCAAGCCAGTGAATTTCTTGGCCCGATGAGCTGGGCACGCGAGATTCTTTGACCCCCACGTCACATCTGCATGGGGTCAGAAGGCGGGGTAAACTCAGTTCCACCGCCTTTGTTTCGTGATACTTGGTAATTGCAGGTTTCTGCATGACAACAAAGACGTGTAAAACAACCTGATTTCGTTCTTCCGCCACTCACTATTGAATGGCCCGTGTCCTTGTTCAGGTTTTGAAACCGTTTCGGTCTTAGATCCGACACTTCACCCAAATGCTGCTTGCTTCTGATATTAGCTACTCCACCATGGTTATGTTTACTCTGACATACCCATGGAGATGACGATATAAGTTTTCGCCCCAGCTCCAGCTGTTAGGAAACCAAATACGGAATATAATCACCCCATTTGCATTTGGAAAACGCGGTCCAGGTCTGGGGCTTTAGACTCAAGATTTGGAACCAACTCAGACAGAACAAGGAACACCCTGGTTCGGGCCATTGCTTCAGTTCATAAATCGGTGTCATTGATAATCGCGCGTCTTTCACCAATTAATCCGAAGAAATGAACATTTTAATACGAACATCATGTGTGTACGTGTTCTACAAAGAGGCAGGTAACAACCTGGATGCATAGCACGGCTCAAATTACTATTAACCAAGTACGGCTTGGGCCCCACTCTATTTAATCAGCTACAAACCTGGGGCCTAATGGAAAAAACCACTGCATAATAGCTGCCAGTACAAGTAAGACGCGGCCGCTGGGCTCCTACCGGCATGGTCCTTTCGGCTTGCTTTTTCGGTGAATCCGCGGCTGAGACACTCCATATAAGTTATCCCCAACAGAAGACGTCTACTTGTAGAATTGCTATGCTGATCAGTGGGGCCATACGAGCCTGCTGTTTCTCGGCCGAGTTCACACAAGCTTGCTTATCAAAGAACAGGTGGGGAAGCCGAAAACAGCAGATGTGAACGACCTGCAGAAGATGTCCATACCTGCATGTTGCCAAGATCACATCCGAATATCCGATAACTACCTCCAGGAACATTCTGCTTGTGCACGTTGCAGCAACGACATGAGTGCGGAAATGGGTTCAGTTGAAATAGCTCGTATCTATGGGGTAATTTCTGTGCGGCTATTTACATTCCTTGCTGATCGACAAGGTTACAGATATTATTGTGGGGAAGGAGAGCCAAACTATGAAGGGTAATACAAACTGGTGACATCATAGTGTATCACGTATCTCCTTACTAAGATGAACCAATCAAATGTATGCACAGTTATTTGCTTGAGTTAGTAACTGGCTACTTGGACCGGGAATTATTAGCGCCGGATGATGGTAAGGCTTGATGAACCTCTCTTCTGATTTCTTCTGTCTCACTCAACGGCTATTGAAGGTAAACACGTAGATTTGGTTGCCAGTTACCCCAGAACAAGAGAGTCAACTTACCGGCTTGATCCGATTGGACTCGCAACCTCAGTTACTTACAGGTGTCATAGTACAAGTAACACTCAACAGATGTGTATGCATAGTGGCTCGGATTTGATCCGATGTATTGTGGCCGATGTTGCAGGCACAAATGAACTCATTCACAGTTGGTACATTATTGTGGGCCATCTTTACACGCACTCTACAAAGTACAAACACACTTTCATAAAATATCATCACTATATCGTTAGACTAATTAAACATTAGGTCGCTTCCAGGTCCAGATTCGTCCGTCCTTGCCTGCAGCAATCACTCGATCACTCAGGAACTCAAGATACGTCAGAGGTTCACACTCCTTATTTGCAGCCTTGACAGGGAGACTGACTACGGGCTGAGACAGCTGAGCAGAGGGCTCCAGACGGGACACGAAGGGATGAATCAATGTACCATACCGGTCAGCCTTGGGGGCGAGAGAAGTTGCGGCAGAGTTAGACCGAGATCGTCCCTTTCGAACCGTCGAAGTGTGGACATCAACGTCCCAGAGAAGCAAACAGCCGTCCTGACCAACAGAACCCAAACGGATAGATCGAGGGTCGCTGATGTAAGAATCAAAGGCAACATGGCTGACGTACGAGTTGTGGCCTTGAAGTCGAGCCATAATCTGAGCTGATTGGCCCGAAGAAGTACTGTCGACTCTGTACAACGAAACAAGGTCATCTTGGCCTCCAGTAGCCAAATAGCGGCCACAGGGCGAGAATGCACAGCACATGACGCCTCCAAAGTACGAGGGGAACACGTCAGTGGCCTGTTCAGTCATGAGGTTGATCAGCCGAGTGTATCCATCTCGTCCAGTGACTGCCAGAGTCCGGTGAGAGATGGGGGAGAAGGCGATAGAGGTCAAGGGCTTTGGCGAGACAGCAAAGAGAGCCATAGGGTTCTGCTTGCTCTGCTCAGTGTGAGATTTGATCACGTGACAGTGTTCAATGTCTACAACAGACCCCTGCTTATGTCGGTAATCCTTTTTGCTCTCGACGTAAGATTGGGCAACTTCGCAGATGCCTCCATCACGGTCCTTATCGTAGACAGCCACCCACCCGTTAGCATGGGCGGCCACAAATCGAGAGTCGGAGTTGGGAAGCCATTTGATGTCCACAACGGCGGCCTTGCACACCTCACCGTTCTTGTTGATTCGGTTGTACTTTCCAGTGACCAGATCGATCCACAGAATGTCTCCAGACGAGAAACCCACAATGAGATCGAAACCTGCAAGAGACTTTGTCTTTCGGTTAACATCGTGGCAGAGAGGATGGGCTCGGGTAAGGAGAATCTTGGTCAGAGCCTCGTGTCGTTGAGGATGTACATCTGACTGGTAGTCCTGCAAGTCCAGCCACTGTAGAGACCGATTGATGTTAGTGACCACAAATAGTTCTCCGAGAGGACGTTCACACAGCAGCTTAGTGAGACCTTCTCTGACAATGGTACGACTGAGATAGGACGAATTGTTCTTGACAAGCGAGTTTTTCGGCCGAGTTCGCTTGCTGTTTTTGTTGTTGGTGGCAGGGCTGGCACCCAGACCGGTGCTACTGGGAGGGGTACCGTAGTCATCTTCGAACGACGAGTCCTGGGCAGTTTGTACGCTTCCGACGTTGGTGCCCCATTCGGAAGAGACAGATTTTTTTCGGAGGAACATGCCCAGACTGGAGGCAGAAGGGTTAGTATTGTCAACGTTCACAGTGCTTCCGGGCACACTGATGGGTACGGACACGGCGTTAGTGGAGGCTTGCGCAGATGACGACTGCGCGTAGATGGATGTCGAGTTGCTGTTGTCACTTCCACGGGAGTCGACCTTGGAGAGTTCGGGGCCCAGGGAATGCGAGGGTCGACGGAGCCAACCTGATCCCGAGGCTGGGGAGAAGCTGAACAGCGATCCGCTGGATACTGGGGCGGCCTTTTGCGGGGTGTTTTTATCCTGGAACGCAAAAACGGTGAGTTTGACACCGTTCGAAAATGCCTGAGGAGAAGCTGTTGTGGGAGCCAGGGGGTTGACGACCACTGGTGGGGGATCAGAAGGATGGGGAGGTGGAGGGGCCAAATAAACACACTCCATAGGGGTGTATGTGCCCTCGGGGGCGGTGAAACCGACCGTTTCAGGGGTAGGCACACATGTAGCGTCGATGGGATCAATGTTGGGGTCTCTGTAGAGCTGGGCGGCGGTGGGAGAGGCAACCGTGGTGCCCATGGTGTAGAGACCGACATGTTGGCCTCGCATGGGCGGCGGGGGCGGTAATAGAAACATGTTGTTCCTGTGCAGTTGTTGGGGTTGTTCTGATGGTGGTTGGAAAAAGGCCGATGTTGTCCGAGTGATTCGAGGCTGTGTGCCAGTGCGCTGTATTGAGTTTTATGTATGATAAGGGCCCGTTGGGAGAGTTGGGATATTGGCAGGGGGACGAGGATGTGGAGAGCAGAGTGTATTTCAGCAGTTAGTTGATTTAACAGGGGAGGGGGGGATGAAGTAATATCCGGCAGGCACCTTATTGGTTTCGAAAGTATCCGGCTAGTAATTCTAGACCTTCCCTTCTCCCCTCGTTGACCTTAGGTCCGTTATCTGTCTTGTTCCTGCCAGATTATTGCCTAAAGTTCGTAAGGCACTAGTAAGTGGAAGCAACCGAGGAAAGAGGGATCAGGGGATGCCATGTGGGAGCTACAGGCCAAGGGAGAAGATTAACTAGCTACATCAGTTCCTTCCATGGTCTGAGGATCAGATATGTCTCAAATGACATCATTTTTCGCTTCCACCGTCCTGTCTACTGCAATAATTTAAGTTCATCAAATGTCAGCGGAAGTTTATTTTGCGGGGTTCAAAGAATACTGGCATCCCTAATAAATACAATTTCGAATCTCCCATCAGGTGAAGAGTATTACCACTGTACTGCACTCGACTTGATTGAACTGAACGCATAAACATCAACACGATCAACAGAATGCGAACCACTACACACATCAAAAGCAATCAATATGTACACAATAACCAACTCTGCTTCGGGTCGAGAACCGGATCAAGCCATGGATCTTTTGAATACCGAAGGTGCCGATGAACAATTGGAATTGTACTGGAGAAGATGGAGATCAGGACAAAATTCAGCACAGGTGTGAAGGAATTCGACGAAGTGAACAGATACATCCTTAGAATAGAGGACACAGAAGAAACTAAAGGTATCATGGACGAAACCCCAGACAAGGGCTCCGAGGAATCAGAGCAGTTGGAGGTGGGAAATGAAGGTGAGATGAGGGAGAATACGTAGAGTTCTTACCTAGCGCCATAAGTTAGTTCAAGAGCACGGGCGCATCCTGATGCTAGGAAGCGGAAGAAAGAAAGAACTCGCGGAGTTGCGAGGAAATCGTAAGGGGCTCACGAGCTTCCGGAGGATCTGACACCAAACGAGCAAGTCAACAAAAGCGGAATGCCAATGGCCGCCTACATCGCACTAAACTGTCAAAAAGCCAAAACCAAAGCCCGATGATGAGTCTACTGGTACTGTAGTTCAGACGAGGGGCATAATCAATTGCCACGAGATCACACCATGTTCTTCCATGACATGTGACAATCACAACCCGGGTCCGGGTCTGCTGACGAGGATGACGACAACAACGACGAGGGAGGGTGATGGTGGTTTTATGTGGTCTCTAATGTACTTGAATTTTTCTGGCTGATCCTTGATAAAAGAGTCGTTTTGTTGCCAAATGAACTTAATGTACTCTCCACTTGTAGAGGTGTAAATCAACAGCAAGAACGCAAAAGAATTGCAAAGCTCGTTTTTATATATGCAGACTAAGGGAATTAGCAGTCCGAACGAGTGGTTACAACCTCTTTATCTACAATACACAGTTACCCGCTCAATCCTTCCCGCGGTCCTTTCGCCAATTCAACTCCAATGCCGTCTGATGACTGCCTCTGTGAGATCTGATGAACAAGTGAGTAATTAAATGTACTCAACCGGTTGTGTTGAAATTCAGACAATTTCCAAAAAAACATATTATGACGTTTACTGGCAGTATTTACTGATATTTCAAGCACCAAGTAGTGCCCTGTTCATGTTGGGGTGTATGCTGCAGTTGCTACGGAAACGAGACTAATGCGTCAGTCATGTACACCTCCGCACAGGGCGATCGAAAACACGACACGTCGATACCACGCTCGAAAGGAATGGTATGGGAGACATTAACTGGTTAATATGGTATTATTTTAGAACAAAAGAGAGGTCTTACGAGAGAGTACCACGTGTATTTCAAAGCCTTCATTATTTAGAGATCTCCAACTTTCAAAATGTCAGGATTTATACATGAGAGAAGTACCAGTCGAGAGAGGAGAAAAACACCACCAAAACGACACCAGACAAAATGTATTTCTCTCGTCTTTTCACGTCGTCATACCCATAAATCTCACACACCCTCACGCGCATTCCGGGTACGTTAAAATTTAAGGTTGCAGTTACACCTAATCTCACGATTCACGAAAATAACACTCCTTACCTGCGCTCGGTAATCCACGAACACACATTACTGAGGGCCCTACATTGACATTCGATCACAATGTGAGTACTATGGACATGTCGGCGAGTCCCACAAACCGACTTTTTGAACCAAAACTTTACTAACTCAGGCCGGTATCACAGGACCAAGTCACGGCCCACGTGAAGAGTATCATTACTACTCTGCTATCGGCACAACCTGAGAACCTGACGCTCGATTTCACCTGTGAACTATTCACCCCAGGAGATGTGGCTGCTCAAGTTCTTTTTGTTTCTAACGGGAATGCTGAAGACAATTGTGAGTGTTAACAAAGATCAAGATGGAGGAAACCTGTGGCGAAATGAATACTAACCCAGACATCATTTCCCAACGCCCTGAATCGGGCTCGAGTTTGGTTTTGATTAAACCATATGGAGTCTTGGAATCGCTGTCTCATCTCCAGGTAATGAACATTGCGTCGTCTTCGCTTGATTCATCACGTGACAAGGGCCTTCAGTTCGTGCGCAAGAAACTAGCCGAGCTGGAAATGTCCTTTCATCACCTGGAGAACGACGTCACGATCCCAGACGTGGATTTGGAGATTCATCCCGCGATCGAGGATGCTATCGAGAAGAACCAGGGCGCAGATGATCTCACGGAGCTTGACGCTAAGACCCTAAACGAACTCCAAACTTGTGTAAACTCATGGATCAAGCAGATTCAGACAGTTACCAAGCTCGACCGAGATCCCGCCGAGCCTGGATCCTCCACTGCTAGTGAGATCAACTTCTGGCTCACCATGGAGGACAAGCTAGATTACATCAGCAAGCAGCTGGATGCCAAGCCTGTCACCCTGACTCTCGACGTTCTGAAGAATGCCAAGCGGTTTCATGCTACTGTCTCTTTCTTGTCCGATACAGGTCTGAAAGAGGCTCAGGACATGGTTTCCAAATACAATGTTCTGCTGCGCGACTTCCCTCTGGATGAACTCATGTCAGCTGATTCGTTGGATACCCTTACAACTTCGCTTGTGTCTGTGTTCAACCATGTGAACAAGAAGTTCCGACTGTCCACCTACCCGGTGTGGCGATGCCTGGCACTTGTGGGCTGTGTCAGTGGAGACTTTGACAAGCAGATCAAGGTGATTCTGAGCAGATTGGAGCTCAGCCTGATGCAACTACCCAGCACCGAGTTCAACCAGGTTATAGATTCTGTCAACAATGTCTTTAACGTGTGGAATGACCTAAACAAGGAATTCACCAATACTGCTCGAGACGTCTCTCGACGACGACAGGGAACCAGTCTGGGTGAAAAGTTCATTCCCATTCGGGTCAAAGTCAGACATTCCGAGACCCAGAACCGAATCGCTTACATCGCCAACTTCCGACAGGCTCACGAGGATCTCGTTGCTACTCTAGGAAAGGTTTCCGAGGCCGCGGGGGTTGATATCGATGAGATCACTACTGGCTACGAGTTGGTGAGAAACGTCCCTGATGTTCTGGACGTCTCTCATGAGGCTCTGGCTCACTGGAACAGACTAGAGGAGGGCTACAACAATGCTACTGTGTCCGTGGAGCGGTCTATCATCAGCATTCTTCGAGACCGACTTGCTTTGGCTAAGAACTCTGCTGAAATGTTCCGAGTTTTCGCAAAGTTCAACTCTCTGTTCATTCGACCCACTATTCGTGGCGCTATCCACGAGTACCAGTCTCGCCTCATTGAAAATGTGAAGCATGATCTCGTGGAGCTGCAGCAAAAGTTCAAAAGGAAGTATGGCAACTCTGAGACATTTGAGATGGCTAAACTTAGAGACTTACCCCCTATTGCAGGTGCTATAATCTGGATGAAGCAGCTGGAACGTCAGCTGGACCTTTACATGTCTCGTGTGGAGAGTGTGCTTGGTGCCGGATGGCAGCATTACGCCGACGGTAAAGTGCTCCATGAGGAGTCAGTGGTCTTCAGAAAGAGCCTGGACGCTAGAGTCGTGTACGAGGCTTGGATTCGAGGAGTCAAGTCTCGAGGCAGCGGAGGTCCGGTCTTCAAGATCTCCCGTGAGTCCCGTGAGTCGCAGGAGCTGGTTCTGTCAGTGTCCTTTTCACCCACCTCCATCACTCTGTTTAAGGAGGTCAGGAATTTGCTGAACATGAAGTTCCAGGTTCCTCATACCCTGGTTTCTATGGCGAACGACGCCAAGACCATTTACCCGTTTGCGGTCAGCCTGATGGACAGTGTCCAGGTGATGGATCGGACTCTGTCTGTGATAGATTCACGTGATCTTCCCCGTGAGCTGCTGTTTGGTTTTGAGAATGCCATTTACAATCTTGTGTCTCGTGGCATGTCTACCACTTGGGACGATTTGCTCCACATGGATACTTCTGGCAAGAACCAGCACCAGCGTTTTGTGTACAAACTTTCGGACGCTGTGCACACCCTGCTTACAAAGAGTGAGCGATTGAGCGAGGTCTGGGGGCATGTTATCAGCAATCATCTGATGGAGCTTGAGTCTTGTGACTTCTCACGTGACGAGTTTGCCAAGGTGCTCGCCGATCTGCAGGCTGCGTACGACTCTCTCGAGCACGACGGATTTGCCAACATGCAAGCCTTTGCCAGGACCCTCAACCTGAAGGTCAAGACTATCTTGGAAAAGAGACTGGGCCAGGAGTACGCCCAGTTCTTCGACAAGACCCAGTTTGGAAACCACGTTATGGTGCTCAAGAACAATGTCATCTGTGTTGAGCCTCCCCTGCAGGATTCTCGGGTCAAATTTGTTGGCCATGTCATGCAGTTGAAAAACACCGTTGCCGGTCTGACTCAGATTGAGGGTGTCTCTCGTGTCTTTGAGGGTGGGATTCAGACTTACGAGAGCTTGATGGACGACAGCAGGACTCTGACTTCGCGTGAAAAGTCTACTCGGGATCACGCCTCTTCGCGAGATCTCTACCTCACCTTTGACCATGCTTACTCTGCTGCATCCGCCTACATCGCCAAATGGACCCATTTCCAATCTCTTTGGACCCTTTCTCCTGATCATGTCATCTCCATTTTAGGCGATGATCTGAGCAAATGGCTAGCTGTGCTTCAGGAAATTCGAAAATCTCGAGCGTCTACGTTTGATTCCAACTCCAGCCATGTGTCCTTTGGCAACGGCGAGGTCTTTAAGCTCGATATCGGTCACGTGACTTCCCGAATTTCTTCCAAGTACGATGCCTGGCAGTCTTCCATTCTGCAAAAGTTTGCCGAGAAGCTCTCTACACAGTCTCGAGATCTTTGTGGCGAGATGGACCGTATCCGAGCAGACTTGGAGCCCTCTGGGATCGACTCCAGTGTCGAGAAGACTCTCGAATTTGTCACCTGTGTTGTAGACACACGGAATGAGAAGCTTCCCAATTGGGAGAGCAAGGTAGGTTTGCTCAAGACGTGCCAAAACACCCTGATTCGAAACAGATTTGTGTTCCCTCAGGATTGGCTTTACATTGATCACGTCGAGAGTCTATTTGAGACTCTGCAGGAGCTCATCGAGACCAAGGAGGGTATTATTGAGGGCCAGCGAGATGCTCTCAAAAGCAAGATCACAGTTGAGCTTGGTCGGTTTGGAGACCGAGTGGAGAGCCATGTCAGTACCTGGGCTGAGACCAAGGAGCAGGGTCTCGGTCAGACTGGCGACAAGTCTCGTGAGCAGTCTCGTGAGCTTCTCCATAAGCATCTTACCACTACCAACAAATTGCTGCATGACTTTACCGTTTTGGAGAGCGCTTCTCGAGCATTGGATATCCCTTGTGATGTAACATCTGCCAGCGAGATTCTCAATGTGGTTTCTGGCGAGATCCAGGACTTCATCACCGTCTTCGCCACTCTAGAGTCTGTTTGGAAAGGTGTTGATGAACTTCGAGAAATGTCCTGGCATGTTATTTCGGTTCGAAAACTGCGGTCTATCATTGATAGTTTGGTGATCAGCTCCAAGTCCATGCCTTCTCGAGTTCGCCAGTACGCTGCTTTTGATCACGTACAGCAGGAGCTGAAGTCGCTCCTGAAAACACTGCCCCTGATTAGCCAGCTCAAGTCCGACGCATTTAAGACAAGACATTGGGAGCAGTTGGCAAAGATGGTGAAGAAGCCCACTCTGCGGCTTAGCAACCACCTGACTCTTGGCAACGTGTGGGACTGTGGTCTGGAACTCTACGAGTCTCAGATCAAGGCTCTGATTGCCCAGGCGCAAGGTGAACTTGTCTTAGAGGAGTTCCTGGCAGGTGTTCGATCGACGTGGACCAACCTGACTCTCAATCTTGTCAACTTCAAGAACAAGGTGCGGCTCATCAAGAACTGGGACGAGATCTTCCTCACCTGTTCGGATCACATGACTGGATTACTTGGAATGCACAACTCACCCTACTTCAAGGTGTTTGAGGAGGAGTGCCATGGCTGGGAAAACAAGCTGTCTCGTGTTCAGACCTTGTTTGAAATTTGGATTAATGTCCAGAAACAGTGGGTCTATCTGGAGGGTCTTTTTGGAGCTGAGAATGGAAGTGAGGTCCGAGCTATCTTGCCTCTGGAGACGTCTCGATTTGGAAACATCAATGCCGAGTTCATGTTGCTGTGGAAGCAGGTGTACAAGAGTCCTCTGATTAGTGACGTCATCAACATTGCTCAGATTGACGAAACTCTTCCTCGATTGAACGACGCCCTTGCCAAGATTCAGAAGTCTCTTGGAGAGTTCCTAGAGCAGCAGCGACAGCTGTTCCCTCGATTTTACTTCGTCGGTGACGAGGATCTTTTGGAAATGATTGGTTCGCCCAACACTCTCAACAGTCATGTCAAGAAGATGTTTTCTGGTGTTTCTTCTGTCGACCAGGATGAAGATGGCCGCATTCTAGGCGTGGCTTCTCGGGAGAGTGAAATTGTGCCCCTGCTGGCTCCCATCACTACCCTTGGAGTCAAGATCGAGACCACCTTGAAACATCTTGAGAGCGGCATCAGGTCTTCTTTGAAGAACCTCCTTGGCCAGGCTCTGGAAGACTTTAGTACTGAATTTTCAGCCAAGCAGTTTATGATCTGGATCCAAAAGTACCCTGGTCAGATCGCACTATTGGCACTGCAGATCTGGTGGACTGCTGAAGGTGAGAAGGGCGAGTACGCTACAGCTCGCGACGCCTGTGTCAACATGCTGGGGCAACTTGCAGAGCACGTGTCACGTGAACTGACTGCTTTGGATCGACTCAAGTGTGAAAATCTGATCACTGAGTTAATCCACCTGCGAGACTCATGCGATGAGCCTACTAACTCTGACGGGGCTGCACGCGATGCTAGCAGCTATGACTGGCTCAAGCTGATGCGATTCTACCGGGACGGGGCTGGAGAGGTTACTGTCCGTCAAGACTTGGCCACTTTCTCCTACTCTTGGGAGTATCTTGGTGTTCCCCCTCGGCTCGTTTCTACGCCTCTTGTTGACGCCTGTTACCGGTGCATGACTTCTGCTCTTGCCTCCAAGCAGGGTGGTTCTCCTTTCGGACCGGCTGGTACCGGTAAGACAGAGTCTATCAAGAGTCTGGGTCAGAATCTAGGTGTGTTTGTGCTCGTGTTCAACTGTGACGAGTCTTTCAATTTCCAGGCCATTTCTAGAATTCTAGCAGGTATTTGTCAGGCGGGCGTGTGGGCTTGTTTCGACGAGTTCAATCGACTGGACGAAAGCAGTTTGAGTGCCGTCACCAGTTTGATTGAAGTGATTCAAGGTGGTTTGGCACGTGACGTGGATGCTTCCCGTGAACGCGTCTCACTTGGATCTCGAGATATCACTCTGCTACCCTCCACAGGTATTTTCATTACTCTCAACCCTGCCTATCTCGGTCGATCTACGCTTCCCGATAACCTCAAGAAGCTTTTCCGACCCTTCTCTATGGCCAAGCCCGACAAGGAGGAGATTTGTCAAGTAGTCCTGTACTCCCAGGGTTTTTCTGAGGCCCGAAGTTTGGCCCAAAAGGTAGTTCCCTTCTTTGAGAGGTGTGAGAAGGATCTGAGTGAGCAGAAGCATTACGACTGGGGCTTGCGAGCTGTCAAGTCTGTGCTGCGAGGTGCACGAACAAGAGAGCAACCTCATGACGAGTCTACATCCGAGGAGCTTGCTATGCAGACAGCTTCTATCACTCGGTCACTGCAGACTACAATCTGCCCCATGCTTGTGGAGGAAGACAGTGCCAAGTTTGGCACCATTTTGGAGGACATATTTGGAGCGGTGGAACCCGTGGAGATTTCGCAGGAGTTGGAGTTCCGACTGGTGGAGAGTGCAGCTCAACATGGATATACTCCCTCTCCACCTTGGGTCACCAAGTGTGCTCAGCTTAACGATCTCATTTCTAACCATCATGGAGTAATGCTCGTTGGTGCTGCTGGCTCTGGCAAGTCAGCCATTGTCCAGACTCTCGGAACCAGCCTGGGTGCCAAGATTAGCGTGATTGATCCAAAGGTGATGAGCAAAGAGGAGCTGTATGGTTCTCTGGACGCCACCACTCGAGATTGGAAGGATGGAGTATTCACCAGCATTTTGCGTAACGTGATCAACAATGTCACAGGCGAGAGCTCTCGTTCACCTCATTGGATTGTGTTCGACGGTGATGTTGATCCCGACTGGGTTGAAAACTTGAACTCCGTTCTCGACGACAACAAGGTGTTCACTCTGGCATCTGGAGAGCGATTGCAACTTCCTGACCACGTGACTATTCTGTTTGAAGTGGACTCTCTTCAATATGCTACTCCTGCCACTGTTTCTCGATGTGGAATGGTGTACGTGGGCGATAATGTGGTTGACAAGCGAGATTTAATCGATCACCACCTCAAAAAGTTTTCTGCCAAAAAACTGGATGTGGATGTTGCTCTGGAATTGTTGGAGTCTGGTCCCAGACTTCCTGTGTGGACTTCTTCGGCCGAGGCAGCTGCTGGTGTTGCCAGTCTGGACGGTGCCGTGGATGGAGCATTGACATCTGGTAGAGCCTCTTCTACTCCTCCTCCTGATACCCCGGAGACTATTGTCTCAGCTGCTATGGTGACTCTCACGGCTTGTGCCCTCACCCATATTGATGACATTCTGTCCCAGGCTCGGTCTTTTACGCACGTCATGGAGTTCACACCCATTAGAGCCATTTCTACACTCTTTGCCTTTGTGGAGGACGCGTGCAAGAGTCTGTTGGTCGCCCAGGTGACCCTGTCGCATGATCAGGTGAATGCCTACCTGACTCGCCGACTGGTATTGGCTCTCATCTGGTCGTTCTCTGGAGACTCACGAGATATGGAGCGTCATAATTTTTCCAAGTTCTTGTTTGAGAAGGTCTTCATGGGTGTTTCTGCCCTGTCTAGTGTCAACTATGCCGAGTTGTGTGTTGAGGAGACCCTGAATCACGAGGTGTCTTTTGAGGGTGCCTGGACTCGATACAAGGTGGCTGATACAGCCCTTCCTACACATGCCATTACCAACCCCAACACCATTATCCCCACCACCGACACAGTTAAACATGAGCATATCATCTATGGCTTGTTGAGTAGTCACAAGCCTGTACTTCTCTGTGGTCCTCCTGGTTCTGGTAAGACCATGACGCTGTTTGGAGCGTTGAGACGGTCTGACCGGTTTGACATGGTCGCTCTGAACTTCAGTAAGACCAGTGATCCAGGTCTGGTGTTGAAGACCCTGTTTCAGCGATGCCAGGTCACTACTGGAAGTCATGCATCTGGATCTCGTGGCCCAGTTCTCTCACCTCGAATCCCTGGCAAGTGGATCATTTTATTCTGCGATGAGATCAACTTGCCTTCACGTGATCAGTATGGCACCCAGCATGTGATTTCGTTCTTGCGACAGCTCATTGAGAAGAACGGCTTCTGGTACAACAACGAATGGACCACGCTGGAGCGAATCCAGGTTGTGGGTGCCTGTAACCCGCCAGAAGACGTTGGACGAAACGTTCTCAGTCAGCGGATCCTGCGACATGTGACTCTTGTCAACGTCGGATACCCTGGCAATGAGTCTCTGAACCAGATTTACGGCTCCTTCAACAAATCTCTGTTGAAGTGCATTCCTTCGTTGGCTGGCTATGGAGATCAACTGACAAAGACAATGATATCCTACTACCAGTCATTCAGCGATGTGTTCACCAGTGCTAGCCATGTCCACTACATTTACTCTCCACGTGAGTTGACCCGATGGTCTCGAGGTATTTATGAGGCTATCAGTCAGCTGGAGACCCTGTCTGTGGATGGCTTGGTGCAGGTTGTAGGACACGAGGGTATGCGGTTGTTCTTGGACCGGTTGGTTACCGATGAAGAGAAAGAAAAAGGTCTGGCTATGCTGGTCAATGTTCTGTCACGTGAGTTTACATTGGGTTCTGCTCACGTCTCGAGCCTTCTCACCGACCTTCTCTTCTCCAATTGGACCACGAAGCACTACCTGCCTATTTCCAAGGAGCTCATCACTTCCTACGTCACTTCACGTGTGCCTACCTTCTGCGAGGAAGAGCTGGATACCCCCTTTGTTCTCTCAGATGATGTCATTGAGCACATTTTGCGAATTGATCGTGTTCTTCGGCAGCCTCAGGGTCACATGATTCTGATCGGAGAAGCTGGAAGTGGCCGAACCACCATGACTCGATTTGTCGCATGGTTGGCTGGTGTCAAGTGTTTCCAGCTACGTGTGTCTCGAGACTACCAGGTGACTGACTTTGATTCCGATCTCCGAGCATTGCTTCTTAACTGTGTTTCTCAGAAGATGTGTTTCCTGCTGAATGAGGCCGATCTCACTCCTCTCTATCTTGAGCGAATGAACACTCTATTGGCTAATGCTGAGATCCCAGGTCTTTTCCAGGACGATGATTGGTCGATGCTCATGAGCCATGTCCGTCAGGAGAGTTCCAAGGCCGGCATTCTGCTCGATTCTGACCAGGAGGTCTACGAGTGGTTTACCCAAAAAGTCGTGGAGAATCTGCACGTGATTCTCGTGACCCAGAAGGGTATCGATCTGACCTCGTCTCCTGCCTTGCTCAACAGATGTGTGCTGAACTGGATGGGCAACTGGAGTGGCCAGGGAGTCACTCAGATGGCCGAGAAGATGTGCCAGCAGCTCGATGTCTCCGCCGAGACTCTACAGGTGTTTGGCTCTCTTCACGTGACTCCTGACTTGTCGCTCGCCTCTATCAAGCTCTTCATCAAGGTGTATCTCGAAAAGAAGGCCCAGCTGCAGCAGGAGCAGCGGCATCTAAACTCCGGTGTCGACAAGCTCAAGGAAACTGTCCTGGCAGTGCGGGAGATGGAGCTCACGCTGGAGAAGTCCAAGATCGAGCTGAATGCGAAGACAGAGGCTGCCCAGCGAACTCTGCAGCAGATGATCACCAATCAGAACGATGCTGAGAAGAAGAAGCAGGCCAGTTTGCAGATCCAGGAGTCCCTGGAAAGCCAGAAGGAGGAGATTGCTCGACGGCAGGAGGTCGTTGCCAAGGATCTTGCTCTGGCCGAGCCTGCAGTCATTTCTGCCAAGAAGTCTGTGTCCAACATCAAGAAGCAGCATCTCACTGAGCTGCGTTCCATGTTGAACCCACCCGAGACCATCAAGCTGTGTATGGAGAGTGTCTGTGTCATTCTTGGATACAAAACCTCTTCTTGGCGAGATGTTCAGGCCATTATTCGACGAGATGACTTCATTTCTTCCATTGTGAACTTTGATTCCTCTGAGATGGACTCTCGACTGCGGCTCACCATGGAACGTGAGTACCTGTCCCGTGAGAACTATACTTATGAGGCAGCGAACCGAGCTTCCAAGGCCTGTGGACCTTTGTTACAGTGGGTTGTGGCCCAGATTCAGTACTGCGAGATTCTAGAGCGTATTTCGCCTCTCAAGGAGGAGGTCGAAATGCTGCGTCACCAATCTCAACAGACCCAGGCTCAGGCTACCGCTATTTGTGATATGATTGACGAACTTGAGGGCAAGATTGAGGGCTACAGAACTGAGTACGCTGGTTTAATCGGTGAGAGTGAGCGACTCAAAGACGAGCTAGCTACTGTTGGAGAAAGAATCACTCGGTCTCGTGACCTGGTCACTTCCCTCAGTGACGAGAAACGGCGATGGGCCAAGTCCATTGTTGACTTTGACTCAAAGCTAGCTAACCTGGCTGGCAACTGTCTAATTTGTGGCTTTGCCTTGGCCCGATGGGGCGGACTGAGTCAGAAACAGCGAGGCGAACTCTTGCGAGCTGTCCTCACTCAGCTCGATAGTCGACACGTCAAGTACAACCTTCCAACTCAGGACGAAATCTTGGCATTCCTCGATACTCCCGACTTGTCTCATCTTCCGTCTCGAGACCCTCTGTCTGTGGAGAATGCTGTCATCGTGGAGTCTGCTTCCACTTACCCTCTGATCATTGACCCGACCGACCGAATCCGTCAGTTCCTGATCAAGCAGTACAAGCCAGTCATCACTTCGTTCCTTGACTCGGCATTTGTGAAGCATCTGGAGACAGCCCTTCGTTTTGGGCAGGTGATTCTCATCACCGATGCCGAGTATCTTGACCCTGTCATTAACCCTGTTCTCAATAAGGAGTACCACAAGACTGGAGGTCGAACTCTGATACAGCTTGGCAAGAGTTTGATTGATTTCAATTCCAACTTCAGACTGTTTTTGCTGTCTCGTGACTCGTCTCCTTCTAGCTTTTCTGCACACGTGACGTCTAGAACCACCCGAGTCAACTTCACTGTAACCGATGCTTCTCTGGAGCGACAGTTGAGTAGCCACGTATTGGCCAAGAAGCGCCCCGATGTGGACGAAAAGCGAAAGTCACTTATCAAGCTGCAAAACGAGTGCCAGGCCAACTTGCGTGCCTTGGAAGCTGATCTTTTGGCTTCTTTGGCCGAGTCTGAAGATATCCTCGGCAACAACGCTGTGATGGTGAAGCTGGAGAAGCTCAAACAGGAAGCTAGACATCTCACTCAGCAAGGAGAAGAGGCGCAGGAGGCCCTTGGCCATGTCGATCTGATCACCAAACAGTTCGACCCTCTGGCTCAGGCTGCTACACGTCTGTTTGCTGTCATGCAGAAGCTGAGTAGCGTCAACGTGGTGTACAAGTTCTCACTCGAGTTCTTCTTGCAAGTTTTTTTGGAGGTCATTTCTACCGACTGTGATGATGTGCAGATTCTGACTAAGCAGCTATTTATTGCTGTCTACAAGCAGGTGTCCTCGGCTCTGTTTTACAAAGACAGATACATTTTCTGCCTGTTGATTATTGAGGCCTTCACTGGTGAGCGTGACCATGTGACTGCTACTGAAGACCTCACTCAGATCATCAATTCGCTCGGTTCTCATCACTTTGGCGACCTTCAAAGTGAGAGTCTGGATGAAACAGTCACTGAGGGCAACCATCTCGTCATGATGGTTAGCCGGGGAGGAGCCGATGCTACTTATTTGGTCCGAGACATTGCCCAGAAGATTGGAATGACTACTCAGACCGTGTCCATGGGTTCCCTGGAGTCTCAGAACATGGCTGATAAGATGATCCAGGCTGCGTCTCAATCTGGCGAATGGGTTCTTGTGCAGAACGCTCATTTGGAACGGCAGTGGCTCACCAAGCTTGAAAAGTGGTTGCGTCTCAACGTTGGCCGACACCACACCTCGTTCAGGCTGTTCGTTTCGTTTGACGAAGCGTCCTGTGATGTAGTTCCCAGCACATTGCTGTTAATGAGTCGATTGGTAGCTTGTGAAACGAGCTCCGGCGTCAAAGCTGGTCTGGAAATGGCCTGGCGAGATACCCAGGACGCTAAGCCTGTGGAGCTTACCCGTCTCAACTTCCTGGCCAGTTGGCTGCATGTCTGCATTGTTGACCTGGCTCGTTTTGTGCCTCTGGGCTTTGCCAAGGATTATGGCTTCCATGAGGGAGACCTGGCTGCCAGTTTGCGAGCTATTGAAGGATGGGTTCGTCATGTGAGTGGTCAGAGAGACAATATTGCTCCCCATTCCATTCCTTGGCATGCTGTAGTCTCGGTGCTGTCTGACATTTACAGCGCCAAGATTGACATCGCTGCTGACCTGGCTCGATTACAAGAGATGGTCCAACAGGTGATGCAGGTGGATTATTTTGACAACGAGTCGCGTGCTCTCGGTCCATGCAAGCTGACTACTGGCTCGCGTGTGGCTGATTTCCAGACCTGGACAAATGAACTGCCTGTTCAGGACGCTACCTGGCTTGGTCTGCACGAGTCTGCAGATGAGGAGCTTAGAATTGTGGAGGCAGGACGCGTTGTGGGATTTGTGGAGGAGCTACGAGATTAGGTGTAAGGATTTTGTGTATGATTGATACGGATGATCATAATTCTAATTATGTTATTATGTTGGACTATATATTGTAGTAATTGCGTGCAAGATCAAGCAGCTGACAGTGCCATTAAGCCTTCAAATAATTGATTGCGCTGAGCTCTAATTATCGGTGAAGCCTTGAACGCCGTATGCTCTACGAATACAGTAGCCCTTGATGGTGTTGAGTGGTCTCGGCGATGTACAGTGCATGCACGTGTTCAGCCACTTGAGACTTACCACCCCTAAACGGAGGGGTCTTTCGACCCGGATCGTTGGTAATCAAGCCCAATAGGAACTAAACACCAATAACGGATGATATGGCAATAACATGTTCATTTCACTTTTCCTGCAGGCTTGAAAAGCGCTACACAAGACAATAATCATAAGACAATTACACAAATTCAACAACAAAATTCAAGATCTCCTTTACAGCAGAATACTCTACAAGAGCCCTCATCATTGCAAAGAATGTATCTCATAATTACTAACATCACTCATCGAGATCGCAAATTTCATCGTCCTCCTCTTCTCGGAACAAGAAGGGCTTGAGAGTCGACTCGTAGTAGGGAGGACGAGGGTTAGTAGCGGGGTTTTGCTGGTTGACCTTGGCAAAGTACTTTTCGTAAACATTACCATCGTAGGAGCCGATGGGAGCGTTAATGAAGAAGTCAGAGAGACCAAAGGCATCAGTGAGTCCAATTACCTGATCTCGAACTGCAACACAGAGCTCGTCCACAAGACTGTTGATCAGGTCAATGTCTCCAGGGGTGAGGATGTTCTCCCGCAGGAAGATTCCAGTGTCCTCCTCAATTGACCAGAGGGCAAACAGATTGGCCAGTTTCAGCAGATGGGGCTTGATATCGTCTTTGGCAGTGGCAATTCGGGCATAGAATGAAGAGATAAGATGCTGTCGTGTGTGGATTCGAGCACACTGGAATCTCTGCTGAGACAGCTCCTCAAAGGCCTGGTCGGGATTGAGAGTTTTGACAAGCTCTTGGTATTTATCGGTGGTTCTGAGAATGTTGTTTCGAGAAGCCGTTCTGAAAGCTTCTACTAGAAACTCGGGGGACAGAAGTTGCTCTCTGGGGGTACCCTGGCCGTTCTGGGAGATTTTAGACTTGTCTCCTACGTACTGAATAGAAGCACCGACGTGCTTTCCAGCCAAAATCTGTAGAGCTGACTGAACCAGCCCTCGGCCCATTGACAGACACAGAACGTTGTTGTCTCCTTCCCAGGTACACTGGACAACCCAGTCAGCGTAGCCCTGGCCAAATCCGTTATATCCAGAGTATCCATGACCTCCACAGGCCTGTCGGCACTCATCAATGATTTTGGCACATCCCCACGTGGTAAATGCCTTCATTCCTGCAGACGCAGCAAACAGCTCCTTTGTGTCGGTGACGGCCTTCTCCAGATCGTTCTTCTGGGCGGGGTCGTTGGGATTGAGAGCCAGAATTCGATCGGTGGTCTCAATCCAAGTCTTCTGAGCCTCATCAGCACCCATCTTCATAGCGTAGCAGTAGGCCAGAAGAGGCAGCAATCGTCGCTGGTGGTAAGGGTAGTCGATGATCTTGGTCTCCTTAGTGTCTCCAGAGGTTCCAAACTGTCGTCGGACACAAGCGTACCGAAGAGCAATTGTGAGGAATCGTTTGGAGACGTGGAACGAGTCGGCAATCATGGACACTCGACCTCGAATGAGGGCTCCATAAGTGAGTTGGTCAAGAGCGGGTTTGGTTACCACTCCAGTATCAGACACCTTGGCATATCTCATTAGCATGTTCTGTCTGGGGATTCGAACATTGGTGAACTGGATCCAGCCATTGTCAACACCATCTCTGCCCATCTTCTTTCCAATGTCTCCAATTGAAACACCGACCTTGAGACTGTGATCGTGGACATTTCGGAGAGGTACCACAAAGTTTCGAGTACCATAGTCCTTGCCATGCACAATCAGTTTCGCGAAACAAACACAATGGGTGGAAGTGTGGGCTGCACCGCCAATCCACCACTTGGTAGCACCAATATGAGGAGTGTTGATAATGAACTGGTCACTGTCCTGGTCATAAGTGGCGGTTGTCTCTAGTCCCTTGAGGTTGCTTCCATGGCCCAACTCTGTCATGGCAAAGCATCCATAGAACTGCTTAACAGCCACCGCTCCCTTCTTGACCCAGTACTTGAACTGTTCAGGAGTACCAGATCCCCTGATGGAACCAATGAACAGGTTGTTGTGGATCGACAACCGCGTACGAGTAGACATATCAACCATTCCATGCAGTTGCGCACGCCACAGAGATAGCTTCTCAGTATCGGTGACCAGATAAGGCGACAGAGCAGCCACCCGCTCCATGGTCTGTTTTCGGGCCTGCTGAAGGTTGCAGTCGTAGTCAGCAGTGACAGACAGTACTGGATCACGTTCAATACTGCTCATGATCTTCTCGACAATCTGGGTCTCTTCTTCTCCACCATTGAGGAAGTTGGTCACATCTCGGACAGTGAATTGAGTCTTACCTCGCTCCTTGGCCATCTCCACAGGAGGATCGGTGAATGTGTTGGTTGTCATTGTCGGTCAATAGTGTGTTATTCCACCTGCTCTCTTTTGTAGGAGCCGTCTATACTTTATAGTCTCGGGAATGTGGGGTAGTAAAGTTCAGAGAGGATCGTCCTGGGTGGGCATTACGAAGAGTTTGGGAGACAAAGATGATACCACTGGGGTCGCAATCACGTGCCCTAAACGACTATATTACTCCCACGTCTGCCCGCTCAACGGATGGCTACGTTTCGTCACTCTCTCCTGGCTAGCGTTAGTACATCTCCGTACTTGCATATTATATGCACCACCCTGTGCCAGGTGCGTAGTGAGTGTGGGGTTGGGCTAAGCCGAAGAACGACTTTCTCATCATCAGACTGTCAAATAGCTAATAAACAAAGCACTAGTGCCAATTTCCCCCACAAATTATTGATTCAGATCAATCTAGAATGCTGGAAATGCACTGTCGGCTCCCTATTTCACCCTACAGACCGACGCACGCCCTGCTTCATGTATAATGTTTTTCCATTGTACGAGTACTCGCACAACTACCTACTTGTACGAAAAAGTATTGCTTGTTGGATGTGTAGAGTATACTACAATGTAGTAGTCCCAGGACAATGGGGATAAGTGTTAAGTCCGTACCGTACAGTAGCATGAATTTCGAAACATCAGCCGAGTGTCTCAGTGTGTGGGGGTGGGCTAACGGCTACAGAACACGAATGTTTCACTTCAGATCTCGGGTATGGAGTGGCGATTACCTATGTGGAAAACACGTCCAATGGTATATTTCGAGTATCGGGTGGCAGCATTTATTTTCCCCTTCAATTTTCTTTGGCATTCTCATAAGTGGTCCTCCTGGTATACCATATACAAGCACTTGTATTTTGTCCCAGCCAGATCACGCAAATGAATCATGATTATTCACCTGACGAGGTTGCACCGAAACCCGTCCAAAGTCCTCCCCTCAAGTGGGAACGGAGACGGATTATACTCACTCTACACATACGAGCACACAACACCAAATTGTGAATATACAGCGACTTCCTTATGAATCTATTCACACATCAGTACGAGTACAAGAATTCACATCCGAGGTAAGGGTTGCATTTGGCATCTTGCTTGCTTGTGAGCAGACGAGTATGGTGTACTATGGTGAGAATCGCACGGACACAATTTTCGTACGAGACGCTATCTTATGGAAATAGCAGATTTTTGCTGCTGTATGACCTGTATATACTCGGAAATTTATAAAAAAAATCTTCTAAAACACCCTCTTTGTAGCGCTTCTGGATCCCCTCGGTACACCAGATAGACCCCTAATTACTGGACTCTGCATTCTACAGTAACAGCTATCTCAACTAAATTACAGACAAAGTTTCATAGTGATTTGGCGGTTAATAGTTAGATCCGACGCAGAACCAGAAGATGCGATGCTCTCAGCGCAAAGACCAAACGAATATTCAAGTTTGTGTCACTCCTCTTCAATTACCCAAGCTACTCCCTCACTGGGTGTTTGAGCTGCGCGTGCCTGGATCTATTAGGCCTGCAACGTATGCATAATTCCAGCAACTCAGATAGTAGCAACCTTTGGTGCGTTGTTACTCAACTCGGTCTTCAACAACATCATCCACCATGTTTCGTTGTTGCTTGAGGACTGTTCCTCTGAGGGCAATGCTACGTCCTCGAGCGATCCACTCCATGAGGCCCTCTTTCACCAACGCTCGTCAAGCCAACTTCCGAGTTGCTGGAATGGCGACTGGTCTGGCGGCAGGCTTCGCAGTGGGCTGCTCCATGGTGCTGAACGACGCGCCGCAAGAGAAAGATGACAAGAAACAGGACCTCACCAGAGAAGAAAAGTTCTACATCGAATCCCAACAACAAACAGAAAGCAGAAAGCTCCCCGACTATGAAGACAGTTCCAACAAGCTGTATGTCTTCTTCAGACGGTTGTTAACCCGCCTGGAGGTCTGGATCTGGGACCCCATTGCCACGACCTTTCGATTCTTCTACCTTTCGATTCTCTTCGCCCCTGTTCTTCTTACTCTGCCCGTCATCCTCATCGGACCCCGGGACAAATCCAAAGACAACGAACGATACACTGCCATCTGGTGGTATGGCTTCCTCACCAAGATGATGGAGCGTGCTGGAGCCTCTTTCATCAAGCTTGGTCAATGGGCTGCCTCTCGAACTGACATCTTCCCTCCTCAGCTCTGTGCCGAGATGAGCGACCTTCATTCGAACAACAAGGCCCATTCTCTCAGAGTGACCAAAAAGACCCTGGAAGGTGCCTTTGGCATGCCTTTTGAGGAAATCTTTGACGAGTTCGTGGACAAGCCTCTTGGAGTGGGTGCAATCGCCCAAGTTTACAAGGGTAAGCTGTCCCAGAAGGCGTTGAATTCCACGAAGCAGAAGAAGGGCGAAAGAAGCCCATCTGGTTGGGTTGCCATCAAAGTCCTTCATCCCCGTGTTTCCCAGATTGTCGAGCGCGACCTCAGTATCATGAGATTCTTTGCTAACATCATCAATGCAGTTCCCACCATGGAGTGGCTCTCGCTGCCCGGAGAGGTTGAACAGTTTGCCGGTATGATGCGTCTGCAGATGGACTTGCAGATTGAAGGTAAGAACTTGGAGGTTTTCAATAAGAACTTTCAAGATAAGGCAGACATCCACTTCCCTCACGCATTCCTGGAATTCACTACCCGAGACGTTCTGGTCGAAGAGTACATTGACGCTATCCCTGTTCACTTGTTCCTTGAGCGAGCCAAGGATGGTGGTGGATTCGACAAGGAGATTGCTAACAAGGGTCTAGATGCGTTCTTACAGATGCTGCTCATTGATAATTTCATCCATGCTGATCTGCACCCCGGTAACATCTTCGTTCGACTCTACAAACCTGAGTCGATGATGCATCATCTTGGTTTCGGCGACCACAACAACGCCAATGAGGACTACATTGAGATGCAGAAGGTGAACGATCACCTCAAGAGTCTCAAGCATGACCCCGCGGCGTGGGACAAGGAGATTGAAAGACTCAAGGCTGATGGATACCATGCCCAGCTTTGTATGATTGATGCTGGTCTCGTTACTGAGCTCAACGAGCTGAACAGACGAAACTTCATTGATCTGTTCAAGGCTCTGGCTGAGTTTGATGGCTACAAGGCTGGTGATCTTATGGTTCAGCGTTCTAGAACTCCTGAGACCGTCATCGACCCTGAAACATATGCCCTTAAGGTCGGAAAGCTTGTTGCTCAGATGAAGAGCCGAACATTCAAGCTTGGAAACTTCAAGATTGGTGATCTCTTGACGCAGGTACTTGCCATGGTGCGGCAACACCACGTGCGAATGGAACCCGATTTTATCACAGTCATTCTCTCCATTCTGCTATTAGAGGGCATCGGCCGACAGCTGAACCCTGACCTGGATCTCTTCAAGAACGCTATTCCCGTTTTGCGAGAGCTCGGAACCCACTCTGGAGACGGACGAGCTCTTTTCAACAACGAAGACATGATGTCTATGCTTAAGGTCTGGCTTGCCCTTGAGACTCGACAGTTCATCTCCGCCTCGGTCGAGGAAGTAAACCAGCAGGTCAAATACGACGGACTATGCCCCAATGTCTAAAAACATGATACACTGAGCACAGTATTTTTATATAGAGTAACTTTAAGCATGAAGTTGATACTGTAGAACTCCTCAAGGCAGGCTTTGAGGTCGAATAATGCGTTACTATAGGTCACTGGGGGGAGGGCTTACAATATGTACCGCAGCGTGCCGGTATGTGCCGGTACCGATACAAAGGAAACGTACATATTGAGTATACAACCGTGTTCTCTATTTATGATCACTCATCAATGCAGGAAATTTGAGAGCTTGAAGTGACAGAGTATGGGGCTGGACACGTCTATCCAAGCTCTCTATCTGCTATTGAATGAGTATACGTCATACTGACATGGGGCGCTGGATCATGACAATACTGGAAAATGTGGAGAGCCGCATCAAAAATACTGTTGGAACCTTACAAGGGCGAACAAGCAAAAATAAGCGGGGGAGCAGAAGAGAGGAATCTTAAAAATTACTCGGACCTATTCTTCACCGCAGGTTGTATGTACAAGGTGAATGATACGTGGATCATATTATCCACGGTCCTTTTAATGGGACCAACTACGAATGACACTTTCAATGTGCCAACTATCTGTCATCAACTGTGACGGCACGGATCAATTGTCTTTTTGGGACAACGGATATATAGAAGTTTAAGCACGAGCTTGGGATGTACATCAGGCACGGTAATCGTTTGTAGCCGAACGTGCCTGTGGGGCGAACCTCTTAGAAATATTGTTATACGTGGGACGTAGGTTATTTTAAAATCTTTGACATTCTGACTGGATACTTTTCCGCGCACTCTTTCCCCAGAATGTGAGATTTGCCCTTCATATTTTTGGGCTCTTCTCTTGGCCACCCAATCAAACCTGCATACTGCAGCACACTCTGCATGGTACCAACTCAAAATAAATTCCGGCCTGTCTGTCTATCAGCACCTCGTCCTGATATACACACGAGGCTCATCGGCTCTTTATCACCAACCCCCGGCCGGTGACTCGCTTTCGTGATGAAATTCGGCAAGAAGTGAGTACCGAAAAAGTTGTGGGATTAGCCGCCACCCATACCGTGACGCAGGAGATGTCACAGCGGAAATCAAGGACCCACCCACCCACAACACTGGACAGATTGTCGTGTGCTAGATCCACGTGACCGAGATACTAACACAGCTTGAGCCGAAACCAGGTCCCCGAGTGGGCGTAAGTACTGATGGATGATCCAGCAGAAACGGACAACGAGACTGGGCTAACAACAGACCCCATTACATTGATTATAAAACGCTCAAGAAGCTCATCAGAGTAGGAACTGAGAGAAGCGAGAACCCCACGGAGTCTGATTTTAAGGGTGAGTAACAGCATTGGATTTTCAGGGTGGATTTGGACTGTGGGTCTGAAGTGTGCGGGCACTTTTCAGGTAAGATCGTGTTTGTGGCTGTTTTGTTCTGCGATAGATAGGGACGACATGGTGGATAAAAAGAAAAGCCCACACGAGTACCTGGTTCTTGTACAGCTGCCTGCGTCAAGATGAACCCCATGAAGTGCTGACACTCGTATCAATGTGGTGGCTGCATTCGTGAACTCACATGGCCGAGACCTTGTGGATTCCATTTCGATGAACCTGCAAGCCCCCTACAATGTGACGATCTGGAAATCGCTAATACAGAATTCCAGGAATGTCTAGACAACAACGCTCTCAAGGTAGAGGACTTTTTCAACAAGCGTTTTGACGTGTATTCCGGTGACCTTGCAGTGCTGGAGAAGAGACACCCTGTCTCCAGCATCGGAGATCTGGACGAGGATGGTTGTGTTGAACTCCGTGACACTCTCATCGAGCTGAAGACCCATCTTCGAAAGCTCGGATGGTACGCCGAGGTCAACAGACGAGGTTTTCGCAAGATTTTAAAGAAACTCGATAAGAAGAGTGGAGCTGACTATGGAGAGAAGTGGGGTGTCAAGATCTTCAAGAAGCACTTTGCTTCCGGTGTTGATATCGATGCTCGACTGGCTGTTGTTGATAACTACCTGAAGCAATTGGGATCTGAGACTCCCGAACAGATCAAGAGCACCGCAGCTTCAGCTGTCAGCTCCTCTTCTGAGCTTGACGAAATGAAACGTATCATCGGAGGGGCTACTATCTCCACCGACGATTTGACAATGTCCAAGGCTGATAGCGATCTTGCAGAGGCAGTATCTTCTGCCATCGACAAGCCCAGAGAATCGCCTCATCTTCACCACCTTCTTGAGAAGGCTAACGAGAAAGGCCAGCTGACCACTCAAACCCTCAACTCGCTCATGTACCGAGCTGTGAGTCGAGCTAACCTTCCTTGTATTAGAGAGCTGATCGAATGGCTTCCTGCGTTCGAAAATGATGTATCCCACAGAAACGTCATTCACCGGTACCTTCTTCATATCGGTACTCATCATGGAGGAAAGACTTCAACTGAAGCCCTTAGGACGCTTTTGGCAGCAATGAAACCTGATCAGCGAGAGGCTCTATCTGCTCCTGACTCCCATGGCCGAACTCCCCTGCATTATGTTTGCCAGTTCGGCCTTCTCGAGTTTCTCAAGGTGATTCTGAGTTGTCTCAAGGAATGGGAGTTCATTACTGCCTCGACTCCCCTTGATGGACTTTCTTTCCAGGACTGCGAGGGTCTTACTCCTGTCCACCTGGCAGTTCTTGGAGGTCATGTAGGATGTGTGCGACTTATTTGCGACACCACACCCAAACTTTCAGATGGGGCTCTTGTTCTTGCAGCCGCTAGACAGAACTACGCTGAGGTTGTCAAGGTTCTGATTGACCATGGCCTTACATGTGGTTTCAAGGATCGCGAAGGTGAGACTCCTCTCTACGTCTGTGCCAAGATGAACCTCATGGATACTTTGAGAGTCCTGTTAGCTCATGATGTGCTTCAGGTCTCTGTAGCTGAATCTTCTCGAGGATGGACTCCGTTGTTTGCTGCTTCTGCCGAGGGCCACACTGACGTCGCCAAGGAGCTGATGAGCCAACCCGAGTGTGATCTGCTTCGGAGAGATAATGATGGCTGGCGTGCACATGAGACTGCAGCATTTAGAGGTCACGTGGATCTCTGCAGAATAATCATGGCCAAACTCCCCTTGGGTGTTGATCCCAACGAGGACCTGGATGATTCACTATCTCAGACCCCCGACAAGCCCAAGGTGAAGTCGGTGGCTGAGATTCCTCAGCCAGATAAGACCCTGGTGCTCGTGACTTTGGGCTCTACTGATGTTCGAGATACGCGTGGCTCTGTCACGGTCGATGCCAAGCCCTTCTCCGATCTCGATACACATCTCACTCTCGTTGTTAGAGCTACAAATGTGGACCAACCAGATGGTCTCCCTACGAGACAGTACGACGAGATTGATGGCGGAGCTGTGGAGCTTCCTGTGGAGGAGCACACCACTGAGCCTATTCGGTTCTACACGTCGGACGCCTCGAAGGTCCAAGTGATCTTCGATCTGGTGCCCTCCCGAGACGATGCTGCCACCAGTGCACGTCACGCCCTTGCTCGAGGTGTTGCTTCGGTTGACTCTCTGGACCCCTTGAAGCAGTCTGGACGACGATGTCTACGAGACGTGCATGAGGTTCCTCTTATTGAGCGAAGCAGCATGACTATTGTTGGCTCTGTCCGTTTCCGTGTGCTCATTGTGACTCCTTTCTCTCACCCCAACATGAAGGTACGATCCCAGGAGTATTGGAATTCTCTTGCCACTCGCGTCATTGGTCACCGAGGTCTAGGTAAAAATACCAACCCCCGAGGACGCGATGAGTTGCAGCAGCAGCTTCAGATGGGTGAAAACACCCTAGAGTCGTTCCTGTTGGCCTCGAAGCTGGGTGCCTCCCATGTCGAGTTTGATGTCCAGCTAACCAAGGACTTCCAGCCAGTTATCTACCACGATTTTTTGGTTTCTGAGGCTGGTATCGATGTCCCAATGCATGCTTTGACGGAGGAGCAGTTCTCGTCTCTTCATGCACCTCCCCCCAAGCATACCGACCGTCGCAAGGGCCATAGAGGTGTCCCCAAACGGTCTGAGTCTCTTGACGTTGGAAGAACTCACCGTCACCGAGCATTTTCTGTCTCTGATGGCCTGGAGCGAGTTTCTGAGGGCGACAAGATACTTGAAGGAACTGCACTTCAGCAAGATGACCCTGACGCAGATGACCACATCACTCATCGAATGAAGTACACTCGTGACTACAAGATGAAGGGTTTCAAGGGTAATTCTCGTGGTATTTCCATTCAGGCCCCTTTCACCACTCTACGAGAGGTTCTACAGTCTCTCCCTCCCAACGTTGGCTGCAACATCGAGTGCAAGTACCCCATGCTTGACGAAGGACAAGCTGAGGAGATGGAAGAGTTTGCCCTTGACCTCAACGTTTGGGCGGACAAGGTCCTCGAGTGTGTCTTTGAGTATGGAGCAAACCGAGAGATTATCTTCTCCTCTTTCCACCCTGACGTGTGCCTCATGCTGAACCACAAGCAAGGAGGTGTCCCTATGATTGGCAAGACTGAAGTCAACCCTGTCGGATACCCCACCCTGTTCCTCACCGAGTCTGGAACTGCCCCCATGTATGACATTCGAGCCTCTTCTCTCCAGGAGGCCATTCGGTTCTGCAAGGATTGGAACCTTTTGGGTCTTGTGTCCGAGTGTAGTCCCTTTGTCATGTGCCCTCGACTTATCCAGGTCGTCAAGCGGGCTGGGCTGGTCTGTGTCTCCTACGGTGTTCTGAATAACAACCCTGTGATTGCCAAGACCCAGATCAAGCATGGCGTTGATGCTGTCATTGTCGACAGTGTCAAGGCTGTTCACAATGGTCTTCTTGAACCCGATGCAAAGGCTATCCAGGAGCTTCCCACAGTGGAAGGATCTCCCCCAGATGAGTTTGCCATTGAGTAAACAGATCTCTACACAATCCCCTCTTCAACAGTATTTATTCCGCTCACTCAACAGAGCTTTTAATAGAATTACATAGATATAATATTCTCTTTTTTTTTTCTTTTTTTTTTTTTTTCTTTCTACATTTGGTTGCCATCAAAAAAATACTCATTAGCTATTTGCCTAACCCAGGCAGTTTTCCTTACTCAATCATTCGGAACTCTGGGGCTCCTTTGCCCTCCTCGGTCCAATCGATGAAATATTCATCCTTGTGCTCGTTGTAGATTCGCTGCAGCTCGGCGATGTATCGGTCGTGGTATTCGGACACTTCTTCGTCGGTGGGGTGTGGGAGATAAGGCAAGTCAATGGGGGAACCAACCACAATGTTGACGGGTCGCCTGTAGGGGACAAGACCGACATCGTAGTTGAAGACGCCTCGGGCATGCATCAAAGGAAGGGTGAATCCAAGGAAGTTCTTGACAAACTGCTGGAATCGGTACAGCTTGGACGACTTGTCGTTGCTAACCTGGTCATAGAGGTCGTTCTCACCAAAGGCCATGATGGGAACAAGGGCGACATTTCCGACCTCCATACCAAGTCGAACAAAACCCTTTCGCTTGAGTAGCACCAGGTCCATGACACCGGGTCTGGCCAGAAGACTTTCCTGTGCTCCACCAACGACAATGCAGATAGACTGGTTTCGCTTGAGGAGGGCCTTGCAGGACTTCTTGGAGACAGAAGCGACTCCCAGACTCATGAGGTACTCTCTGTAGAGAGGCACTCGGAAGTTGTTGGTGAGAGTCATAAGAGAAACAGGGATGCCCGGAAAGAGCTTGGACCATCCAGCTCCCTCGGTGGCAATTCCACCAAAGGCTCCCATGCCGATAATGCCGTGGGGGTGGTAGCCGAAGATGTATTTTCTGCCAGTGGGCTTGAGTTTTGTGGGCGACAGCTGTGGGTCGTTTTCGCCAATGATCTGGTTGGCGTAGGAGTTGAGGGACCCGTTAAGAAGCGTGGAATCAGATGCAGTGGAGCCAGCAGAGGCGGACGACAAAGGTCGTCGGTTAGTGGTGCCATTGTTGCCGTTGCCGTTAAGTTCGGAGCCCGAGGCGTGGCCGTTGGAGCCAGATGATTCTCCACGGCTATATCTGCTGTCGTGGTTAATCCACTTGTCAGGTTGAGAACCCGGAGAGCTGGGAGAAACGGGAGACAGGAGAGGATCTCGCTCGGCAGGCTGCTCCTGCTCGTTGATAGAAAGAGACCGTTTCATGAAGGCGGGCAGAAAGTACTCGATGGTGGAGATGATTGCTCGGAGGTACTTGTTCTGCGGCCAGTATCTCTCAGCAATCAGGTGATACTCCTGGACGTCCAGAGGGTAGTATGTGTGCGTGGGCTCCAGATCCACCGTCTTGTGCAGAGTTATGGGGAAGTAGCGGCCAAAGAGCTTCCAGATGAAGAAGTTTCTTGAAATAGGCGAGTATCGCTTGACCACTCCTCCGTTGGACGGGGAGTCGTCTTTAACAGCGTACACTACATACGCAATCACAAATGGCCAGAGCAGTGGAATTGCGCAGCATAGCATGAAAATTGTGAGGAAAGTGGGAATGCTGAAAATGTGCCAGACCAGAGAGAAGGTCTCACATCGGTTGAGTAATGGTGTCGATAGCGGGGCATATCGGATTCCCGCGATTTTGGGTGCCGTGTCGTTTTTGTCTCGCGACTTGTAGTATTGTGAGTCGATAGTCATAGCTTTTGTTTTGTGTGACTTGTCTGTTGCCTGTTGTTAGAAGAAAAAGTGGGAGCTTATCAGTCACGGTCCACGAACGATTTCGTACTTGTACGTAATTGGTCGTGAGAACTGTTGCAGAGCCGGTGCTTTTTTTTGTGGCCAAGTCGACAGGTCGATTTCGGCGCTGTGCGAGGTTGCTGGGATGTGCTGGTTTGGCTGCCAAATGTGGGGAAGATTTCAACCTCGGATTTGACGTGTGTAGAGGAGTCGGTTTCGAGGAGCAAGGAGGACGAGCAGTGGGTGCGTTTTTTTATCCGCCTATAGATAGATTTCTGTAGCTCAGGTTGCTGTTCCTAAGATGTGTTCACGTCGACGGTCTGAAACGTTCCGTGGTACTGTATGTCGTACAATATGTCGCAGACGAAGATGATTGCGCAAGGATGACGCACGAGAGAGGAACGGTGTGGGAATGGAAAGGGAGTGTTGGTGGTGGTGGGAGAAAGAGTTTCGGGGGCGTGGTCTGCAGAGAGAAGCCCGGTTTGTGTGCGATTCGCTCGGAAACAGTTGGAGACCAAAATTTCAAGCAAGCTGAGATTTGTCCAGTTTTAAATCACAAGCACCAGCCCGTCTTTTAAGCCCCGGTCCTTCGTGCAGCTGAGATGTCATTTTTAGCTTTCACCTTACAGTTTCGCCTCACCAGGTGATGAGGGGGTAACGTAAGGGGATATCAGTTGGCGTGGAAAAAAACTCAGTTCAGGATAGACGAAAAGAGAAAAGCGAACCATGGGGTTGAGCGTGCCACTGGTCGAGGATGGATCGGGGAGGTACCCCTACTTGCACAATACAACGGTCCGAGGACATGCGTGTGAGCAACAGGTGACATACGCCTGATTGGCCGGCTATTTGCGGGGTGATGGCCATATGAAGATGGAGACGGGCATTTATTACGGGCTAATATAACCGTGCTAATTTTCACAACAATCGCAAGCAAAAATGCACCAGGATCCGCCCGCAGCATAAAAGAGGTGTCCGATATTTTCGAATCCCACTTGCAACTGGTGCTACGCAGCTGAACCAAGTGTGCTCTTAATTCCATCCAGGCAGGCCAATGCATTAACCTTGATCACAGCACGTTTTTCTTCTGTGGAGAAGAGAAGCCATCTACATAAAGCTACTATGCCTGTGCAGACTAAGGTCCAACAGAATGCATAAACCAACGCCTGTTTGGGACGGGCTGTTGATACCAGCCTAGTTCGGGGACACTCCTCTGCTATAGTTGCGCGACGCGTTGCGAAGCCCGGATGTTTAGCCGCAAATTTGTAGCTCAGTAAGAGGTTTCTTAGTTCCTCTATCAGTGCCACTGATCTGTATTTTGACTCTCGTTAGCCGAAGCCTATTCTGGTTTAGGGGACAATGTCCAGCTAAATCAACTAAAGTGAAATTCCGTGCTCTCCATCTAGCACGGTGAAACAGATACTGGAATTTCCACTTTTCCCCACACATGATTTGTTTCTCGTCAGATACGATATTATTGTCCTTAGAGTGTATCTCATGTGGGGAAACGGTGATCGTCCCATCCATCTGCTTCTCGTACCTTTCACCGTAATACTGGCACTTCTGCACTTTGGCACTCGTATTTTCTGCTATGGATGTGTCGTCATTGCAGTGTGTGCTTGCAGATGCACATTTGAAGCAATCATAACCAAAGGGTGCGCAAGAAATTATCGGCGGATTGTCCGTGCAATCTGTATAAAGCATATTTTCCGTTAATTGCAACCTCTTGACGCCTCCATCTATAGATTCCCCCTGTGGCCCTGTTATAGATGGGTTAAACTGCAATTGTTCATAGATTTGTGCTTGTATGGGGGTCCATGGAGACACCACACAACTATTCATCTTTGTAGGAGCCACGCCCGATTCAGTCAGTAATAGCGCACTGGAAATCAATTGGCACTATAAACATGTCATCAAATTAATGGTTTGAACTTTTAAAGCTATAATAGATGTGTCAGAGTCATAATTGCGCTTCATATATACGAAGTTGTACGATGTTGTCTCGTGGCTGCCATCAATTGATGGAGGCCCTCTGGTTACTCAGTCCTGCATATCAGCATACTAAGAGATTGATGCTAAAGCATTCTAGCCATGTGTCATTGTGGCGCTATAAATATATCGAGTAATGCAATTCTGTCAGCCGTGATTAATTAATGGCAGCTTGCAGCCATTGGGAGACAGCATGTACTCAGCTCAATTTGCTACTTGTACGGCTATCGGTATGTACACTTGTATGTATTGTAGTTTGTGGGTACCTTAGACGCCGCTGTCCCGTGCCATTTCTCGTTGGACACTTTGAGCTGTGAAACAGCTAGCCCCAAGACCCAGGTCAACATATAAAACCTGGCCCGTAACGAATACGGGCGTACACACTGTACCAGCACAAGTGAGATGCAGTGCTGGTCATGATACGTATCCAGTCAAGGGTGAAGGACAAGTTGTAAGCACGTGAGCCGGGTTATGATTTTTAAAAGAAGGAAATTATTGGGCTCGCGGAAATCAGCTGGCTAATTATGACCCACGAGCTCGCTTCTACCGGCTGGGTGTCATACAGTCGTCTGCTACCCGTGGGGGTTGGTTAGGCATTGGAACAGGAGCTATTGTAGCTGGCCTTTCTACACATAGTGGAAAGAGGACACTCGATTCACCGGATCAACTTGAATATCCGGTTGTTACGAAACCGTTTTGGGTATAGAATCAAAGGCCAGGCAAGCTATATCCACTAGCCACTGCAGTATCTTGTGGCTATTCAGTAACAGTAAATACCTCATTGTGATGAAGAACAGATAAAGGGTGTTGTTTGTCTCTCAGACACACTCTGGACCCATGGTAGAACTAGTTGATCTGCTAAAATAGCTGCCTGGCTTTTGGCGATAGCACATTACTGTAATTATTAGCGTCTATTCTAATTTCCGGTCTAACCACTAAAGTGATGGAGAAATCTCGGGGATTCAGAGTGACCCACTCAACAGAATCGAGCTTTCCATTCTATTAGCCCAAGCGCTTCCACTTACTACTACTACTTGTACAATCTCCAAGCACATACTGTACCCCCCGAACCATGTACTTCGTTTCTGATAACTTGACGACTGGAGAGCTGTCAAAGGGGGATATTATGGGAAGAGCTTGGCTGATGTGACATCGCGATCATCCCCATCTTCAATTTCTGGAACAGAGTCGAGAACAAGAGAAACCAAAAAGAGACGTCAGGTTATAATATTTGTTCGCTCGCGAAGTTATCAAGCGACACACAACCCTCTGGAACACAAAGAGATAGGACATTCTAGCTAGACTAAAGGACGTTTCAGGCTTTCCACAAGCTGTTTACAGCACCCTTGTCAACATATTAACGCAGTCAGTCACACATTTGTCAGAAAAAATTGTACAGTAAAATAAATATCCTATTGTACATACTTGAGTTCCGATAACCAAGAGAGTTGTGCAACTCCCTCCGTGATGTCTTGTCTTAGGACTGATCTGCAGTTCCTGGGTATCCAGGAACGTGGGAAATGAATAGCCCAAATAATAAACCAGGTTGCTCGAATATTACGAGCCTGCGGGAGCCTTTTTCTCCCCCCACTTGTAGAACTCTCTACTGTACCAAATATTCTCAAAAATATTGATCCGTTCTGCACGCAGACCCGTGTGCTGAAGATTCCAACCTTGCCAACCCCGCCGAGTTAAGTGTATGCAAGACATTTCCCCACTCCTAAGCCTAATTTCCAACTTGGAACAAGATTACAATGCCATGATAGTTTAGTACGAGTGTCCATCATTCTGTATGGCAGCCAACGCGAGAGATAACTGTGGTTTCCAGAAACGATTATACGTGGCAGACAGATGTCACGTACAAGTACCAACCTCCCCATAAGTTGAGTACAGTCGTGGTGCTATTATCTGCATCATAAATTCCATAACATCGCTACATTCAACGCGCAAACCAACTGTATTTTGATCAGGGGAAATATTGAAAATAGCTATAGAGTGTAGTTGAGACAAGCACATCTTCCTCTGGCTCCTCACAAAATTCTATCCATCTTGACAGTCAGATGGGGGACTGACCTGCAACTCTGTTCCTATCCGGTAGGGTAACATGGCCCTGGCTTGTAAGCATTGCTCTACATGCTGTTGTCTATATCTAACAATGCTCTCACCATTTTTACTTATGTAAGCATTGTCAGACTGAACCCACCTCCCAACATGCCCTAACCCCGAAAATATCGAAGCTAAAATTGTACGCATTTTTCAAACCTCAAAATCAAATCAACACCTCCGACCTACAAAAATGCTCAGAGTGGTTGCCAAGGCTCAGTACCCCGCCGCTGTGCGATGCTTCAGCACATCTCACGCAGCCTTCGCCAAGGTCTCTTTTGAATCGTCCGAAGACTTCCTCAAGAAGATTGGTCGAGACACCGTCAAGCTGGCTGAAAAGTTTGAGACCTGGGACGAGCTCAAGAACTCCACCTCCAGCGATCTTAAGGAGAAGGGCATCGAGGCCCGGGACCGTCGATACATCATGACACAGCTCTACCGATACAAGAACGGCGAGAAGATTCGAGAGATCCCCCGAGGCAAGAAGACCTGGGGAGGCGAGCGAAAGCGAAACCTGGTCCAGGCTCTGTTCAAGGCTGGTCAGAACTAAAACAAGAGGTGAAGGACTGGAGGACACGTGTACATACTAAAGAGAATGGATTTATGAATTGCATGATGGGCAGAGTGGAAGTCAGATGTAGGTTAAGATGAGGTGAAGGGTGTGATCTACCGTGTGTATCGTAATATGGCGCGGTCAATGACTACTGGTGGATGCATTTACTTTGGCTGGGGATTGAAGTAAGAATACCCAGCTGGGCGGTATTAGCATCTATTCTTGGAGGCTTTTGAGAGTATAAACCCATACTCGTGTACACGAACGCATGGTACTTGATCGTGCTCTAGGAGGGCTCATACGACAATCATTTCGACACATTAATATTCTATTTGTAACAGTAATTCGGCAGATATCGCCAGTCTGGAACCTCTAGGCTCGAGATTTGATACTGTGTCAGTAATAACTCATAGAAATAACATCAACAACAACAAAAATATCAGTCACTCATATCATATTACCTACTCGAAGTTCTTGGCGAGCTTCTGAGCCTCAGCCTCCATGTCCTCGGCGGTTCGAGGAGGAGTACCAGCGTCGATACCACCAGCAAAGGCGTTTCGGTCGTACAGCTTCTTGGCTGCGGCGAAGCCCTCCTCCTGGTCGTACTCCTTGGCGTCCATCTTTCGGTAGATGGCATCGACAGACTCGAGGTCGTTGGCAACACGGGGGATAACGTGGCAGTGGACGTGGGGGATGGTCTGGCCGGCCAGAGGACCGTCCTGGATGGCAATGTTCAGAGACTGAGAGGGGTACTCCTTCTCGATAACAGCAGCGACCTTCTTGACAGTGAGGAAGAAGTCGGAGGCCTCCTCCTCGGTCAAGTCAGAGACTCGGTCAACAACTCGCAGAGGGGAAACAAGCACATGGCCAGGAACAATGGGCATGAGGTTGACAAAAGCGAAGGTGAAGGGGGTTTTCTGTGTTAGCAGACTGTGGGGGAGGGGAGGGGAGTGCGCCGTCGATGAAGCGCTGTAGCGGGATTGTGGTATAGACCAGTCGTATCAACAATTTGAGTACTGTTTCGGTATATACTTAGCCATGGTTATAGCCAAGTGGTTACAGCCAAGTGGTTACAACCAAGTAAGGTCCAGTGGAATGGTCAGAAGTCGTGATGTAGGCGTAATCAGAATGTCGGAAGAAGCTGGTACACATTTGTATGTCTTGCACATGGCAATTTCTCTCATATGGAGAGTGTAGATTCCTTTGTAGACACCACCTGGATAAGGCGGTTGGGTGCTCTCACTGGCACAGGGTGGTACTCACATAGAAAACCTGGGGTTAGTTCAAAAACCGTATTGGGCATGTCAATTCCTCCATCTCTGTCTCATACTCACCTGCTTGGTCACGGGGAAAGTGCCGAACTTGATAACAGAAGCCATTGTTGTGTAATTAGTAGATGTTGAGGTGAAATGATGTGGGGCAACTATTTGAGTTTTAAATAATGGACCTCCGGAAGGAACGTGGGTTCTGGAGCGGCGGGACTACGGGACATTTGTCTCAACAGACTACTTGTAGTTTGAGAGCAGCGTGACGAGAAGTGGTCGGCGTGTGTTCCTTGGCAGTCTTTTTCGTCCTGGTATACGGTCTATGCTTGAATTACAGAAATGCTGATTAAGCAATTATCAATACAAGTAATGTATTATCACGTGATGTTGAAAAAAATATCAATGACAATTCTCGATTTTTGGCAATACTGAGAGGAGAAGATATATATTCAATCGAGTTCAAAATCCATAACCCTGGAAACAGGAGGATGCCACCTTGACACCTATCATCTCCTTCCGCTTACTTGTAGTATCGTCTTACTAAGTATTTTACAATACTTCGAGGTAGCATGCTGCAGACCCGCACAGGAAGTTTCAACATCTCCAACGAATGCTCAGCAAAGACTGCATCATTGGCCAGAGGGCCTTTCTCAACAAAAGCCCCGACGACAAGGATCCTGAGGCACAGTTTGGCGTGTTCCAGTTCCAGGGCAGCACGAATCAAAACGTCTTCTATGGAACGCCTACAGTGATGGTGCCCAGGGACTGGTGTCCTGAGGGAACTGGAGAGGGCTCTCCTTCACCGGCTGTGTGTTTTCACTGCTTTGCTGTCAAGAGCAAGCGGTCTCATCAGGGCGTGGCTCGCTTGCTACGGTGTGGAGGATGTGGTCTGGCGATGTACTGTCGTGCAGAGTGTCAGAAGTCGGACTGGACAGAGCATCACAAGTACGAGTGCAAGATCTTCAGCAACTGGACCACTCCATTGTTGCCTGGCGTGAGTTTGGCGCTTATTGTGCGTACAGCTTTTGCCATGGCTCAAGATACAGATCTTCGAACACGGATATTTCAGATGCACACTGAAGGTAACTACAAGTCCCCTACGCGTGAAGTTTTGAACTCCATGGCGGACGAGATTGCTGGACAGCTGTACAAATGTTTCAGTGACAATATGGAAATTGCTATTCCCGAATCACTTCTGAACAGCGCACCTTGGATCGAGGCAAGTGGACTGAACAAAGACCAGTTGAGACATATGATCATGGCACTGAAGAACCATACACTTTATGTCGGCACTGTTGGAGCTCAACCTCATGTCGCCGTGTTTGACGCAGATCTGGCCTTTATCAACCACTCGTGTGCTCCTACAGCTGTCATGTATCTGCGTGATTCAGACGAGGGTAAACATCTCTGTGTGGAGGTTGAAAGTGACACCAGCGCTTACTCCACAGAAATCACCCTCAACTACACAATGTACTCAGACCCCCTGCATAAGATCAACACCATAGACACGCTTCCGTTCGATTGTGACTGCTACAAGTGCAAGGTATACGACGTTGACGGAAGCTTCTCGTGTCATGCTTGCAGGCTCCCAGTGGGCCCTTTGAAGAGCGACGAGTACGGAGGAGGATGGGAAACACAACAAAAGTGCCAGTACTGTTTCCAGAGATTGCATTTCTCGTACCACGAGTGTCGAAAGTTTGAGTATGAGGCCAGAGAAGTCTTGCAGAAGGTCAGGCGTCATCTCCTCAGCCCGTACGAGGACGTTCCGGGTGACCTGATTCCCAGTGCGGGCGGACTGGCACCTATGCGTAAGGACGAGACGTATGGCGAGGAATGGCTCCCTCTTCGACTGCTTACTTACATCATGTCGATGGACATGGTTTCTACCAACCACAGACTGTTCCAGGACACCATGGCTCTTCTGCTTGTTGCCTTTCAGGGGGCCCCATCTATCTTTCTACCCATCATTGGTTTCTTTCAGAAACGAACCCGCGAAACTATGCCCTTGGGCGCCAATGGGTACGCCCAGAAGCTCTACAATTATTTACATGTCACATGGCCTCTCTTTGAGATGGTATCTGATGCCCTTTCGCGTGCCGTCGTAACTCAGATGTTGACTGAGCCTGCTCCTCGACCTGCTGATGCCCATCCTCCTGGGGCTGCTGGCGTTCCCCTGACATCAACTGCATCCACTTACGCAGCTCTCATGCTGGTGTACGACTATGGCAGCAAGTGTCTGGCTGAAATTGAGGATGCTGTGGACAAGAGAGCTTCTCTGCGAGTTGCATTTGGCCATTTGACAATGCAGAACCAATGTTTCCTGGTTGACTTGAAACGCCAGGCAGCAGCTGGCGGTATCAACTGGTTTGATGCAGACGCGCAGCAAAAGTATGGAGCTCAGTTCAAGTCCATATACCTGCTGTTGGGCCCCCAGAGCTCAGTTAAGATGAAGTTCCCTTCGGCTGTGTGGAATGTGATGAACTTCAACGATGAGATGGAGTTGCTCATCCGTGGAGACGCCTCTTCTTTTGACGCAATGGCTAGAGAGAAATGCAAAGAGGCAATGACGAATGCATAATCTCTGGTGCTGACCAAGTACCCAGATGTATATTAATAAATGATTTATATGAAGCGAGGCTGCATAATGTAGGTGTTATATGCTGCTTTGGATATTGACGTCAACGGTCTCATATTGAGGTACAGTACACACCATTAACTCGTTGTAGTCTATGCCGTTGATAGATCCATTGTAACGTGCCATATATATTGCTATTCCATAAACATGGAAAATAAATTATATATACAAACGATTTTGCCACAGTTATCTTCAATTCTGTACACTACTCTTTTCGAATTTGAACCACAGCACAATGAACATTCCCGTTGGTGAGCCTCCCTTTTGCATCTACAGAAACTTCGTGCTCAGAAAGATCAGCAAGACTCACTTTCATGTGAACTTCAAGAAGACGAAAAAGGGCAAGAAACAGCCAAAATCCACTGGTGGTGAGATCAAAGTGGTACAGAAACATTGCACTCTTCCGCGCTAGGCTCATTGCCCTATAAGTTCACCCCTACGCCGCCTGATACCATACTTTAAGCATTGTCACATACCCAAATTTCATACAATCATTATCATTATCATTATTTATAATATCATAGCTGAGACGCATCTTAAAGCTCATCACGAGCGTCGTACTTTCGAGCCTTGGCATTGCCCCATAACTCGCCTCGGTCCTGCTTAATAAGCTTGACGAGATCATCTCCGATCTCAGCAGCAGCCTTCTTGGGGTGGTCAAGCCACTCGAGGAACTCTTCGCTGACATCAACAGACTCTCGGAAGTTTCGTCGAATAGCTGCCAGAGAAGTATAGACCTTGGACTTCACCTTGGAGGACAGCTTAGAGGGGAGCGATCTCTGGAACACGCCAGACCACTCCTTGAGTTCGTCTTCCCACCAGTTGGCAGAGCGTTTCTTGACAGCGCCTGTGATCGAAGAGAAGTCGTTGTGCAGATCAGGGGTGGCGAGAACATCCTCAATTAGAGTAGACACTCGTCCTTTTACGTCGTCAGAGCCAGTCTCGTACAGCTGTCGAAGAGTGTCACCTCCGTGAAGATCAACGAATCGAGTGACAGTCTCTGGAGTCTTCAGAACCGCAGAGAGGGCGTAAACAAGAGAAGAAGAGAGCTTATCTGCCTTCTCCTTGGAAGACTGGGCAAGATCGTCCAGAAGAGATTTGACCAGATCAACCTTGGAGTTAATCACCTTGTCGAGAGCATGTGGGTTGTTTCTTAGAGAAGCACCAATGGTTCGAGCAGCCATGATCTTAGACTCCACATCGACCTTTGCGTCTTCAAGGATCTGCAGGAGCGCATTGAGGGGGTCAACGTCGCTCAGAGCAATACCGAAATCAATCTCGTGAGACAGTTCCTCGAGTTGGGAAAGAGCAATTGGAAGCATGGCTGCCTGTCCATTGACCTTGTAGTCTCTCAGGGCAGCGACGGCATCAGAGAAGGTCTGGTGGTCACTTTCAGGAATGTTGGGGTTGGGCTTATGGCCCTCCTTGATTCGCTTTTCCTTGATGGCCTTCTCAATGGCCCTCTGGACCTTTTCGTTGGCGCTAATACCCTCATCCCCGTTCTCCTCGGTGAGGTCCTCAATGACAACTTCGCCCTCGGGAACCTCTTCTCCAACTGCAACAGCCACGCCCTCAACCTCTTCGTTAGGGTCGTTGATTTTGGCCTCCTTGACGCCGTTTTCATAGTCCATTCGCACGTGCAGGCCCGCGGGAATCACCTGGTCGGGCCATACCACTTGCCACTCCTCGGTAGGGACAAACACCTTGGGGTAGCAGATTTCCTTGCCGGAGTTCTTCTCAACTCTGCAGATTTCATCCTCGCCCTTGGCCAGGGCACCAGCCACGAGGGCCAGTAGTAGAGTCTTGCTGAACTTCATTGTCGTCGGTGGTGTTGTAGAGGCGGAGAGAAGAAGCCAAACGCCGAGACTTTCTATAGGTTTTCAGGACACCTGGAAGGTTGCCACTTGGACAATATTCAAGGCAGGCCAATGCACCTCGTACATAAAGTTATATCAACATACGTGGCGTGGCGTGGCGTGGTGTGGTGTGGCGGTGGCGTTGGGAAGAAAGCGGATAATCATGTGATCTGCTTCAGGTGGTCATTATGGCTCTGTTGATGATGCTCATATTTGCTTACTCAGCCGGGCTGCCAATTGCTACCGTACGGAGTACTCGTACTTAACACTACATCCCTTAACATTAAGGTGTAACTGCAACCTCTACGCAGCAAAGTCAAACTGCGATCTGGAATTGCATGCATTCTAATCATCGCTAATACAAGTGTGGAGCTAATCACAGCACACTCACTCCGTTCACCACAATACACAATGACCAACGTTCTTTTCGTCTGCCTGGGAAACATTTGCCGATCACCAATGGCCGAGGCCGTCTTCCGAGAGACCGCCAAACGAAACGGCAAGGCGGACCAGTTCAATATCATCGATTCCTGTGGAACCTCAGGTTTCCATATTGGTGACCACCCCGACACCAGAACCCTGGAGGTGTGCAACCGAAACAACGTGCCCATCAAACACGAGGGCCGGGCTCTGTCTGAGAGCGACTTCTACACCTTCGACTACATTTTTGCCATGGACAACTCGAACCTGGCCAACATCAACCGACTCAAGCCCAAGGACTCCAAGGCTGTTGTGTCGCTAATTGGTGCCCACCGAGAGGACATGTCTTTCCCTGAAATTGTGGATGATCCTTACTACGGCGGAAAGTCTGGGTTCCAGCGAGCCTATGAGCAGCTGACCCACTTTTCTGAGGTGTTCCTGAAGCGTCTTGACGAAAAATAGAGGTGCAATTAGGTGGTTGGATATAAAGAAATTAGAATGGAGGTTTGTCTCAGTCTCACTTTCACCCTTATCATCTTACTTACTGTAGCTAGCTGAGGTGGTTCAGCTTGCGGCGTAAATTAGTGTGTAGTCATGTGACCAGAGAAGTAGGGGGGGATGCAGTTGTTGAGTAAATCAAATTCATTTCAGAAGTGAAACCTCTTGTTCATCAGAATTTTTGAACTTGTAATATATAATATATTACCCCTCTTGATTGCATAACAGCCCACTTGTACCACTACAGTAAGTACTACACTCATACTCGTAGTAATTATGACTGCGTTTCTGTTCTCAGATCAAACTTCGCTGCACGCCATTGCATGAAACCAACATCGCGGCTTGGACTAGACACACCAGAACACAATGTCAGAGATACGGCCGTTTATCAACCAGCAAGTCCAAATTCTGTCGACGCCGCTGACTCTCGGGCCAAAGGGCAGAAAGGCTATCGTCAACATCATCGATAATGACCCAGAACTCACCAAGGCGAAGAGAGCAGGCATACTGCGAGGTGTCGAGAAAATGGTGGAGAATGTGAACGCAGCAGTCAGAGAACACAACCAACAGGTACTCAACAAGCAGGGCATTCATTACGTGTCGACAAAGTGCGAAAACATTCTCACCGAGTACATTGCCAGTTTGGATGATGAAGACGTTCTGGATAGATACCCACTTGACCCATACGTGCAACTGGTCAGCGAGAAGCGGTCTAACAACGCAGGGTTGGAAGAGGACAACGAAGACAAAGGCAATCGTGACATTCTCGGAGAAATCCAGTCTCTGCCCGTTGAAAAGCTCTTCGATATAGTGCCTCTTTTACCCACAGAGCGCGACGCGTCGAGCGTGTCGAGATTATCAGACTCGGTCAAAACACGTTACATCGAGACATTCAAACGGCTTAGCCTTGCGTGCGATACTTACAATACCACCCTGCATCGTGCACAAGCTCTTAAGGAGTTGTCATGTACAGCACAGTTCCTGGAGCACCCTCAAGAGTCCATCCACCCCAATCTGCCGGTAAGAAGAAGTGCTCTGTTGGATGAAATGAGTAGATTGAGGTCATTGGTAAGTCATGTTGTGGCATTGGTAGAGCGTGATCCTTCAGGCAAGAGTCTGGATGAGCTGAAACGCATCCTATCCAAGGCGGAACCTGAAAGCGTGGAGCGGCAGCTCAATGCATTACTTGGTCAGACCATATGAGTCTCCATACGGATGTTAATCTCTGTGTATATTTATAATTGCATTAATCTACAAGCAATGGGTTAGTCTGTCTAGTCTAGATTGTCCAAGAAGCTGGGGTTGTTTGCCATCTTTGACTTGAACTTGCTCCACCAGTCGTTGAAATGGTTCATGGACACCATGTTGTTGTTGACGGTGAATCCAGACAAGTAGTTGTATGCGTTTTGAATGATCTTGTTGGCCAGCACCGCAGTCTGTTGAGAATTCTGTACTGTGGGTTTTACTGCCGATGCGCTCACCAGAGCACTGTTGGAGTCTCTGCTAGCCTTTAGCGCTGCCAATTGCTGTTCCACGGTGTTGATTGGCTCTATGCTGATACCTATGCTGATGGGAACCTGTTCCTGTGGCGCTCCCTCATCAACCATCTCATCCGGATCGAGTGTATCATTAACAAGAGATCCTGTGTTTTTCAATTTGAAAATCGCTGAAGGCTTGCTGCTGGATAGTGCTCCTAGAAGCTGGAAATCGGTTCCAGGAAGCTGGAAGTATACTGATGCTGCGACAGTAGGGTCTAGAGTAGCTCCAGGGAGCAGGAAGACCACAATGTGATTCACTGTGCCTCCATTCTGGATCTGGATGCCGTACTTGTTGTTGTCGACTTGCTGGAAATCAGTCTGTGCCTCCCTGCCAGCGCAAATCACTCCGAACATGGACATTTTGGTGTTTTAATGATGGTCCAATGATGGAAACGGTGGTTGGATTTAAGGCGTTTCGTGCAAAAGCAAGGATGTCCAAGTCTTGCATCTCACCTGCATGTGCATCTTTAAAGCAAGCCGTGAGAAGTTTCTGGGAGGTTCTCTTTAGGGTTGGCTGATGTAATCAAGTTCTGAGGGAGAAAAACTGTGCTGGGACTCACCTTCGAAAATTAGAGTTCGTAACCCAGTACATAAACACGCTGAACAGGAAGTTTTCTCCTCATACACACACAACCAGTATCATTGGCGATAACTTCGTCCAGCTAGCTGGGTTACCAGGCTCACAAAGATATTGGTTATTGGCCGGTTTCTTGGTGGTCTTGGCGATCCATCTTGGAGGTGTCAATATATATGGTTGAATGGGACCGTGAGAATCGAACACTGATTTCAACTGATTTGTTCGTGATACTACGGCCCCAGATTAATGTGCCCGGCGATACATATTATTTAGCTTCAAAGGACCTGTTCCTTTCTGTTGTTGTTTAAATAAGAAGATCGGGCTAAATTCCTCACATAGGAGTCCCTTTATAGAATTACACGACCATGGGTGGTGAAAGACATGTTCTTGTCCTGATGAGTGCATCAGACAGCTCGACACCTCCTACTACTTATAGTACTGTATGTAATATTCCAGTGACACGGAGACTCAGAGTACAAGTACAGTACTTGTAAAAGAGTTTGTATTGACTGACACATTACATGGTCCCTATGGTTCTCGTACAGTACAAACCTGGTATGGGGTGCTTTACTGTGAACCGTATAAACCACAAGCAGCTACGTATCCGCTCCTTGGTTACGGCTCCCCGCAAAACTCATTTCCACCCTACTATTCCATTAATAATAATAACCATTAATAAATAAATGTTTTATTAGTGAAGACAGGTTCCAGCGGGAGCTTTTATCAGAAGCCCCAATGTCCGTCGTTTTAAAGGCATCTCATATCTAACAAGAATGCAACCAGGTAGATGCTGTCCCCGCATAAAGAGTCAGACGGGTTCCGGGATCACACTCGAGAATCTCGTTGGGCTCTTCAATGCTCATGTTTTCAGTGGTATGATCAACGATGCCACAGTTGCCGTGTTCGGCCCATCCCCATGCTAGAATTTGTTTCGTGGAGCAGGCCTCCACCTCGACGACAACGTGTTCTGATCCCGGAACCATTTGAAGGATCTTCCGATCTCCCTTCTCGGGTGCAGATTCGCAGTTGAATTCGCGGGGAGCGTGTTGGCAGTTTCTGTTGCTTCCCAACGACAAGATGCGGGCGTTGGGCAACAGAAAGTGTATCGAGGTCCATGTAGTTCCCACCGATAAGTAGCCCATTGACAGGTGCTTTGCGTGCAGTTGATCGTATGTGTCTCGTTCGCACGACAGTGTATGAATTCCGTGCTTGTCGGTCCCCAGAACGGCGAAGTGGCCTGTGTTTCGACTAGACACTACTGTGAACTCCCGGCCACAATGGACGTCTGTGGGGGTAGAAGGAGCACAGGCTCCCAGGTCGAGCTTTCGGGGGATCCACAGGCATCGCACTGGCCCGTTCAGGAGTCCCAGTTGGCCCTTGCGTGCCCCTCCCCATCCCCAGACCTCTCCATCGTCGTACAGTACCACGACATGCTCCAAGCAGCAGCTCATGGCTGAAATAGATTTATCAGGCAGACCTTCGATTCGGCCCAGCTTGCGGCTGGTAGGGGTTGCCTGTCCTCGTCCTAGTCCTCCAAAGTTGGAGTGGCCACATGAGTAAACATGGTCCTGCTCATCTACGAGCAGAGAAAACGTCCACCCTGCGGCAGCCCGTTTCCAGGTGTGGCCTGGCGTGGCCATGCGAATGAACTCCTGGCATCTGCGCGTTTGAGTGTCTCCAAACTGGCCCATGTCGTTAGAACCAGTGACGTAGTATGCTTCGGGGTCGGACTGCATCAGGAGAATGGAGTGAGTCCCGCCAAACTCGAGAGCTATGGGTCGCTCTGTAATCAGCCCCTGTGGTCCGACCACAGTATGTACTTCGGCCGTGTCGTCCATGTGTCCATTTCCTAGCTGGCCATGGCCATTGGAACCCAAGGCGTATAGGCCCTGACGCATTTTTTTGGTGTGAAGGAGTAGAGATGAGAACCCTGCAGATACCAACTTAATGTGTGGCAATACAGTAGGATTATGTCAGCGAGTTTGGAGGCACGTCAGTAGCCTCTTGAGATCGCTCGAGGTAAAAATATTGCTCTACAACCAAGCCCAATTTTCTTTCATTAGATTTCATCACGTCTTTTCCCGTCTACGTCCTTGTCCATCTCGTCAAAGCGCCGTGCCCCATCTTCCTCATTTCTGATGCCTACACTCTGCAAGCTGTTGCAGGTGGAGGAAAAAAAAAGTGGATACCCCATCTTGAATGGACTGAAAGATCGGGGTAATACGACACACAAGTTCCCGGTCTAAATTAAGGACGGTTTAAAGGAGTAATGGATCCTGTCTGCATACTTATTAGATTTCTCCATCGGATATTATCATCATGGAGATAATTTTTGCCCTCCCAAATCACCGTCTCTTGCTTGGTTGTTTTTCATCTTGTCACGGGTTGCAAATTCTATCGGACTGACACTTTGTTCCGTCTCTCTTCGTTCCCTTTTATCTCGCTTACGGATTGGCACAACACCGTAACCTTGACAACGCAAAGGGTATACCGTAGTTAAATTCTTTTACCGGCGGTCTGGACCTGGATAACCCCCCTTGATTTATGGGTTATACGAGCTCGGAAAGAAAAGAAAAAGAGGAAAAAAAGTTTAGACAAGGGAAGATGCGCCAGAGCGACTTGCTCTTTGCCACCATTAGCAGCACTCTATATTCTCCGAGTCTTCGTAGTGGCTAAAGGTGTTTGGTTTGTCCTCTGCCAAGAACATGTGTGGAATGTGCATGATGGTGTTTACAGTACATTTTGGCTGCTCTGCTGTATTATCACACACGAGCATGGGGAACTAAGCAAAGTGCGCCACTGAAAACGGCACAGTATCGGATACGTACGGTACGAGTAAGAGGACGAGTGCAAGTATTCCTGTTCCTACAGTATGTACTATTATCGCCTGGGTACTCGCACAGCAGAAGTTGTTCAACATCATCCAGCCGATTCTTTTCTCGGTCATCGGAAGCCGTTCATTATTGACTGCGGCCCGCTCCCTTTCGTTTATTCAACAGAAATGGAGTGTTCTTTATTTTAGACCCTGTTTGCAAGCCCACTGTGTGAGCTGTCTGGCTCAGCTCAGTTCAGTTCAGTTCAGCCAACATGAAGCATCTAACTCAAACTCGGCAATCTTCGCGAGTCACCATGCAGGCTGTTTGGTGGCTGGCCGAGGACCAGTGCACTGCACACATATAGATAGTGAGTCAGCAACGCGAGAAGTGGGTGGTTGTAATGGATTAAACAAGGGTTTAAGTCACCCGAAAAGCCTCAGAAAGAGCCTATAATTCGGTTGTCGTTTTCACTGCTATCTTTGCTGTTTGGACTCCCCACAAAGAGTGCCATATTCAGCTTGCCACCTCCTACTGCCCAAAGTTAACCTACTCGTACGCTCTCGCCATGTAATCGCTCATGCAGAAACATCACCACAAAATAATTCAGAAGTGAAAATTTGGGAAGACACGACCAAGCAACACACAACCATGAGTCTGTTGGATCTTCCTATCGAGAAGACGAAAAAGAAGGTGGTTGAAGAGGAGCCAAATCCGCCGTTGGACAACACCAAACCCACCAAAGTCGAGGAGGTGGAACAAGAACAGCACGGCGCAAATGTTGAAGATGACGACAGCACCAAGGACACAGCTGACACCACAGATACCAACAAGTCGGTCGAGGTTGAGGTAGTTGAAACCGAGCCTGAAAGTGAGGTTGGATCAACCACCGATGCTGCCCGACCGACTGGGGCTACTCCAGGTAACGAAGAGAAGGCCACTCCAAGCTCGTCTGATGATAACGCCCCTTTCGACTTTCAGCGGTTTCTGGAACTGCTGCGACACAAGAACGCAGACCCCATCGCACGATATCTCAAGTCCTTTCTCAGCGAATTCAACAAGAAGAGATGGACTGTCAATGAGCAGGTCAAGATCATTGGTGATTTCAAGGAGTTCATCAGCAACAAGATCCAACAGATGCAGAGCCCTCCCTTTGCGGATATGACCGACAACGAGCTCGTCAACATGGAGGAAGGTATCGAGAAGCTTATCATGAACCGGCTTTATTCAAAGACATATTCTCCTGAGGTGGTCAAGCTGGACAATGCGGACAGCATAGGTGTTCTTCATGCGAAGAATCCCAGTGCCGCTGCAGACGGAAACGAAGAGGATCTTATCCGAGATCATGTATTGGAAGAGAAACTGCTGCTTTGGGGATGGATCGAAGGCCGTCATTTGGATATTGACGATAAGTTCTGGAAATCGGGTGCATCGTTTGTGACTTTGGCAAGTGAGGAACTTCGAAAGATTAACAACTACAGAGCTCCCCGGGATAAGATGATTTGCGTGCTCAACTGCTGCAAGGTCATCTTTGGACTTCTGAGACAGACCAAGAGTGAGGAATCCGCAGACGGGTTCCTTCCTTTGCTTATTTATGTGGTTCTCAAGGCCCAGCCGCAGCACCTGATTTCTAACCTCAACTATATTCAGCGGTTCAGATCGAGCGAGCGGCTTAGCGGAGAGCCCGGGTACTATCTTTCTTCGCTGCTGGGAGCCGTTGCTTTTGTTGAGCAGCTGGACAAGTCGTCGTTGAGCATCACCGATGAGGACTTTGATACCAACCTGGAACAAACTCTGGCTGAGATTGCTGAGAAGAACGCCAAGAAGGAGCAGGAGGCCGCCGAGGAGGCCAAGCAGAAGGCTCTTGCGCCACCAGACACCCCCGGCAGAGCTGATTCACAATCTCCAGCTCTGTCACCTGAGAGCAGCACTCCTTCTAACATTCTCATGAGCTCTGCAGGACTCATTACTAGCCCCTTCAAGTCGCTCAGTAAGTTCTTTGAGGGCAGCTTTGACGATGCGGGAGCTTCAACGGAGGACGCTACTCCCCAGTCTGAAGCTGAGAGCATCGCTGTTGCCCAGGGTCTGTCTCACCAGGAGGCAGCTGCTCGACAAGCCTCTGCTGAGGAGTACGAGGCTCAAAGAATCCAAAATGAGGAACACGCTTCTGTGGTCAACACTCTGCACCAAATGTTCCCTATCCTCGATCACGAAATCATTGAAGATATCGTGAGAGAGAAGAAATGCAACGTTGGAGCTGCTGTTGACTACTGTCTTATGCTGGTTGGTGAGTCCTGATGTGTACTGCACGACTACCTACAATCAAAAAGGAACGAAATTAATGAATTATGATGGATATAGATGAATAGAGAAAATAATCTCTAATGATGTTACTACAAGTAGCAAAACTTTTGACGGCGCGTTGTGGTATCGTATGTATTAATGATTATGAAAATGGACTGTATAATGCTATCGTCTCCGACCGTAGACGTCCGCGAACTTGGATCCGGGGGCCGGTTTAGGAGGGCTGGGTTGTTTGATGGGACTTGCTGGTCTCATGAGTGCAGGAATGTTGACTCGCGCTTGGGACTGGGGGAGTGAGGGGGCATTAAGGGATAATGAAGAGAGCTTCTTGGTGGGGGAAGCCGATCTGGTTCGGTTTCGACCTTCTAGAGATGTGGGAGATCCTTCGATCGGATCTAAAGGTTTGGCTGTAGCCAGTGCAGAATTGTAGCTAGGTCTAGGTTGTTGCGTTTTGGGTCGACCATTGAGTCTAGGATCTGCTCTTAGATCCAATCGACTTCCTCCTCCACTCATATCTCTTCTTGCAACCTGTGGGCTGGGAGAAGGAGTGCACAGATCTTCAAGAGAAGAAGTTGATCTGGAAGGTGACAAACTGACCACATCGTCTGCTTCACTCAGTTTACGCGTCAGAAGAGCCATACTGGGTGAACTCTTGATAGTAGAAGCTCCCGATACAGCAGAAGCTGAAGATTTGGCACGCTTTGGAGTGGTCGGTTTAGGCAAGGACGATTTGACATGTGCAACACGTGACTCCAGAGACCGCATCTGAGACTGAAGACCATGAATGAACTGCATAGATCTTGATGATGACAGCGGTTTGGCCCCTGTAGAAGTAAGGGGGGTAAGGTAACCCTCTGCCGAGACCTGGGCGGTTCCAGAAACAGCCCGTCGGTGCGTGGTGGCGTTGTGGTTTGTCGCTGGAGGAGGGTTCATGATTCGCTTGTTGGCATCCTCCAGCTCTTGATCCCGGATCGCCAGTTTCTTTCTGGTGTGTTCCAGCTCCTCTGTCAGATCCTTTATCTCTTCCTTGGCCCGGTGGTGCTCTCCAATCAGCACATCCTTGGCTGCTAGTTCAGCTTCCAGGATTGCCACGTTCTCCAATGCTTCATTGTAGCGAGTCTGAATATCTTCCAGGGTGGAGCATGTGATTCGTTCCCGTTGTTCAATGTCGTCGTTGGCGTTCTCCGTTTCTCTCAGCCGTTCCTTCACCAGCTTGTGGGCGTCCCGTAGACTGCTCACTTCTCTTTGTAGAGCCTGTTGTGTAGAGGCTGCCTCCTTATGGGCGTCCAGAGCCTTCTTTCTCCATTCCGTAACCTCGGATTCAAGTGCGCTAATTCTGTCCTCTAGTTTGGCCTGTCGCTTATCACTTTCAGCCAGTTCCTGCTCCAGTTCGAGTTCCAGCTCCTTGGATGACTCCTGAAACTCCGTCAGCTCGTGTTCCAGCTGCTGGATCTGCTCTTTGGCCTGGAGGTACTGGTTGTATGCAATCACCTCGAGGTGTGCCTTGGAGTTGGGCGTCAAAGGCGACGCAGGAGTGTCGATATCGGTCATGGTGTGTTCTGATCTGCTGTGAGTGCGTGTCTGCGCCTATGAAGCGGTTCCTGGGGGTGTGGTGAAGCTTCCGAGTCGGTCCGGACTACGCACGGGCGTGTAGTGTGCTCTTACAGTCTATAGCCAGTGTTAGAATGCTCCCTGTGAGCGTGTTGAGGTTGGCTATTTTCAATGTTTTGTTCTGGAGATGAAATTAAACCCAAGTAAATACATAGAGTTGCAGCGTGCATATGACGTGGAGATATTATTGTTCCAGGGTGTATGGCGCAGATGGGATGGTGGTGGGATGGTGGTGGGATGATAAAAAACAACAGGTGAGGTGAAGCGAGTGGGGTTTTATAGAGGGGTTTCAGTCGCTTTTAAGCCCTATAACACTTCTAGTGGTGTGGCGGTTACTGGGCACCGTATTTGGTTGTCCCTACTATACTGAGTATGTATGTAAGTATTTGTTTTACTTGTCGCTAATCTGAAAGAAATTAAGGACTCGCTCCCTTTAATGAAACAAGCCCATGTGATGAGGGTGCCCCTAAATGGAGAGGGCTGATAGCCGACATATGAAAGGAATCACACTATAAGAAAGCGTGACTCCCGCGCCACAGAACAAAGTGCTGTACCAGTAGCTGTGTAACATGGAGTGGACAGTACGTACGGTGTGATTAACTCGTTCCAGACCACTCTCCACGACACCAGTGTCTAGAGTTAACGGAGAGTTACGACAATCTCAACTTGACGCGTTTACTGGATGACGACTTGGAAATATGGAGTATCAACACTCCAAGAACGCTCAGAATAGATTGTCAAATCCGTTTGTTCGACAAATACGCGTACTGGTGTCATACCTGTGTCCTTCAAATACACTCCTTCTTGTTACGGCAACATTTGCCTGTCACCCTCCCATACTCCCATCGGTACTCCCAGCCGCACAAGTTGAGCTTAAACACGTGACTCCTAACCTCTGTGGGCGAACCCAGTGTTTCTGTCAATATTCCAACCTCGAACTCTAACAAGGACAACACATCAGCACACCAGCACACATCACGATCAAAGGAGGAAAATGGTAAGCAATTGGACGGATCCGAATCGCTCGCGCATATACTAACACAGGTCGTTTTAGCCGCATCCATATGCTCACGTGGCGGCAAAGCCATCATCTCGCGTCAATTCCGAGATCTGCCCAAAGAGAAGGTCGCCGGACTGCTGGCCATCTTCCCCAAGCTCATCCAGGGCTCCAAACAACACACAACCGTGGAGCACGACAATGTTCGATACGTTTACCAGCCACTGGAGGAGCTGTACGTGGTTTTGATCACCAACCGTCAGTCCAACATTCTGCAGGACATTGAGACTCTGAGACTGCTAGTCCAGGTGGTCACTTCGTTGGTACGTGTCGTGGATGAGCGGGAGATTCTGCTGGCCGCATTCGACCTGCTCGGCGCCTTTGACGAGGTGGTGTCCCAGGGCTACCGGGAAAACCTGTCTCTGCAGCAGATCCAGACGTTTTTGGAAATGGAGTCCCACGAGGAGAAGATTCAGGAAATCATTGAGCGAAACAAGGAGCTGGAGGCCACCGAAGATCGAAAGCGAAAGGCCAAGCAGCTGGAGATGCAGCGAAAGGAGGCTGCCAAGCGAGGTCTGCCCGGAAACGCTGGAGGTCATGGATCTTTCCAGGCCCCCGCCTTCCAGGCCCCCGCTCCTTCGTTTGTGCAACCCGCTGCTGCTCCCGCACCTATCCCCGAGACAACCCACAAGCCCCGTGCTCCTCGAGGAAAGGGCATGCAGCTCGGCAAGAAGAAGGGCGGATTCGATGACAGCCCCTCTGCTTCTCTGCTGGCTAACGCTGACATCGCCGTGCCCACCCCCAAGTCAAAGCCGCAGCAGCAGACTGCCCCCGCAGCAGCAGCTCCCTCTGCCTACAATCCCGAGGTCCAGGGCGTTCATCTCACTGTCGCCGAGGTTGTCACCGCGACTCTCGGTCGAGACGGCTCTGTTAAGAGCGCTGAGGTCAAGGGAGACGTACAGCTGAGAATCGGCAACCCCGACCACACAAAGATCCGAATCGCGCTCGAGGCTAACGCCCCCGGCGTCAAGTACCGAACCCATCCCAACGTGGACAAGGCGCTGTTCTCCTCGCGCCAGATCATCGGTCTCAAGGACCCCTCTCGAGGCTTCCCCTCTAACGGCGCTGCTCTCGGCGTCCTGAGATACTCTGCTAACGCACCGGAAGAGGCTGTTCCTCTGACCTTCAACTGCTGGTTTGCGAAGTCGGACCCCGGCTTCTACGACGTGACCCTGGAGTACGAGGTCTCTGAGGGTTTCACCGGCAAGATGACCAACGTGTCTGTCATTGTGCCTCTGGTCTCCTCCAACGCTCACATCTCCGACTCCTCCATCACCTGGGACCAGTTCGACGACCATCTCGAGTGGATCATTCCTGAGATCACTGCTGATGGTGACACCTCTACCGGTGCCTTTGAGTTCACCGCTGAGGCCGACCAGGAGGACGAGTTCTTCCCCATGGAGGTTTCCTTCACTCTCAACGACCCTGAGACCACAGTGGGCAACGTCAAGATTCTCAACGTCTTCTCTGCCACTGCCGAGGACGAAAACATCCCCTACCAAGAGGTGACCCGAGTGACGTCGGACAACTACCAGATTGTTTAAGGAGGAACAACTACTAGGTAGCATGTATAAGTAGGTTGTATGGAGCTGTTATTGGAACAACGAGTACAAGTAGGTTGAGTGTAAATTGGCCGTATTACTGGAGCAATATGTGACAAAGTAGATTTGGTATCATGTGTTTCCTGTGTCTGTGTCACTGTTGGGTATTGTACTCGTACCTGCTGTAGTATTGTACATACTGTAGGTTGGGCAAGTAGGGAAGAAGCTGTCAGGCTATATTAAGACACACTTGTAGCTAAACTGGTGAAGATGTCTTGCTGTGTTTGTTGGAATAGATTACTTGGTATAACCACTATTAGTAGATATTATGAAGCTGTTTGAAGCGTTGAGAGAGACGAGAGAGAAAAAAGTTCCTTTATGTCAATGGTAATCCTGTTATGTCACTACAACTGCAAACTCAGCCCGGGAGTGGCGATTATGAAGTCGCAGCCAATGCTCTCAATCTTGGCCAGGCCGATTATATCCTCCAAAACCACTTTCCGAGGATCGTTTTCGGGATCCTCATTGTAAATATCCTCCTTTACGTGCGTGATAACAACAGGAAGACCCTTCAAGTGCAGATCTGGAGGCGGTTGGTGTGGATGATGTGCGTGTGTCTGAGGGATGCGTTTGGGGACCGGAATCGACACCTCCTCGTCCATGTTTTCCACGTCCAACTCGTTGGTCTCATGAAGTTCTTCCCATCCCACCATAGCATGGAAGTCCTCTTCACTGCCCTCCACCATTGATGCAAAGTACTTAAGTTCGGCAATCAGGTGGCGGGGGGAAAAGTGACCAAAGAGAAGAGCGTCGTCGTGTGGGTTGGCAAACGAGCACTCGATAAATATGCCCGCCAGCAGCCCCTGCTGCATGTATTCAGCTGCCTTTCGCCACACGAGGTAGTTCCGCGGCGTGTACGAGATGGAATCTGGTTCCACGTCGCCCCACATGAGCAGCACCCTGTTTGTGTTGCTGTCGTGGATGAAGAAGGCTGTTGAGTCGTAAGATGCCAGAGACGTTCCCAGAGGAGGTCCTGGGGTTGGATGCGAGGTTGGATTGGATGTAGGGTAGCTGGAGGGGCTTACCGAGCCGACTGAGCTTGCCGAAGACGTACCACCGCTAGATTTGCGATGAGGAACCAACGAGGGAGATGTGGGGGAGTGGAGATGCGAAGAGGCAGAGGCGATTGACGCCCGAAGTTGGCGTTTTTCCATCATCAAGCTCTGACGGCGCATTTCGATGACGGAGTCTGGTGGAATGACACTGGAGGGCATTCTACGAGAGCCTCTGTGGGGTTCAGAGGGTTCCGAGGATCGAATGCTAAAGGACGGTTTGAACGGCTGGTGGTGACCTGAAGAAGTATGTGTCTGGTGCGCTGGACGCAGAATGTGGCCATGGGAGACTGCATAGGGCGTCACTGTGAGCCCCTGGGCCAAATTTGGAGAGCTTAGGTGTTCTGACAAGCGCAGAAGTTGAACCAGATGTACAGCGTCAACTCCTTCATTGGTGAGGTTTGGCCAGATCACACCGTTAAACACGTGATCTTTGAGGGCCTGAATGACCCGTGGCAAGCCTGCCAACCGTTTTGTTTGTTGTGGAGAAAAGGCAGCCGAGTTCATGATCACGCCCGAGATGTGGTCGAGGTGAGGATGAGTGATGCATATTGTCGAGACCAGGGACAATATGTGGGCCGCATTTGCTGTGGGTCCGCCGTAGGGAAGGCTCTGAGCGTCGAATGGGGGGTACGCGATGTTCCAGGAGCGTTGTGAGTGAGGAGGCTGCGGCGCAATGGACTCGGCCAGCAGTTCCTGTTGGTATTCTCGGGGAGTTAGCAGTTGCTGTTTTTCGAGCACGTTGATGATTCCCGACAGAAAGCAGCCCGCGTCGACTGCAATGTAAGTTCCTGTTGCATCATCGGCTTTTGTCGATGTCGTCGTTGCATTGCGTTCCTCATCGCTGCCACGCACCAGATAAGAGCAGGTGCCTCTATCTATCGGTCCTCCTGAGGATCCCTGGGTTAGTCGCTGGACGTATGTTTCGTGCGTGTCCAAAAGGCAATTCCCTCGGTCGTGTACTCACCAGCACTACCACCTGGAACGTCATGGCTCGCGTGCAAAGAATTCCACCTTGTTTCGACAAGATAGCCGTTGATCTGTAGACTTAGACGTGGGTGTGAGTTTGGTGCGAGTCTAAAAAGCCGTGCGTGGTGGTTTACTGTACAAGCGCCTTGGTGTGGAGGTGGAGGAAAGGGAGCGATATGGGACGGCTTCAACTATCTGGGTGTGTCCTGAAAGAGACCCCGTGTTTGTGCGTTAACGTCTGTGTCTCCAGTAGCGTTTTGGGGGCGGCCGCCTTTGCTGCTTTGCGATTTTATACAAAGCTGAAAGATATTATTTGGAGAGTGTGTAGCGTTTGAACCCAGGTTATTTTTGACGTTAGCTTTTGACATGCACTTAAGCTGCTACGGTTAGCAACCAAACCCGGAGGAGGAATGCACTGTTTTCGGGTACACTAGACTAATATTGAATCCCCTGCGAAAGTGGTTCAGGCGTGGAATGTTTTGTTGCCATGAGACATGGGGTGAGGTGTTAGTGGTTGCGTGGTGTATGTGAGACGAGTGACAAGTATATATATAGCTACAAGTACGTACATATATAAGGAAGGTATGTTCCGTTTTACAGGTCTACTGACTGGAGCACTCTACGATACAACACGAAAAGACACCTTGACCGAAGAGTGGCCCTCGAGCTGTGGCTGCTTGACCTCTTCTCGTCACCCGCATCTCACGCCCCAGATCTCGCATGGTGACTGCACACCAGTCTTCTCCCGTGTCATCGGGGCTGCCGAACCTTCACAAAATGTCTCTGGAACGGGCCGTGGCGGTCGCTGCGTGTCCAGGGACCTGCAGTGCGTCTTGGTGCTGACAGGGGTGACATTTCGACCCCTTTTTCCTGTACATTCGGCCTGACTTGTGGGGGCTAGGGGTCCCGTCTGCATCCCCATGTCTCACTAACCTCGCTCTAGCTTGCTTCTCTGCATGGATGTTTCTGCGGATGGGCTGTCACAAGGTTCTGTAGATCTTTACTAGGGTCATCAAAACAGAGGGACGAGGGAGAAGAAAAACCGAGCACAACGACGAGACATCAATCACAATGCTCCTGGTGGACTTAGCCAGGCATAGCTCCCACTCTACTGCCTAGAACACGTCAACAAACACACCCTGGTCGTTGACATGGTCTTTATTTGTCTGTCTGTCTGTCTTGGCTGACCTACAGCTGACCACGTCAGATCTCAAACTCAGGAAACGAAAAACCAAATCTGTACAACATGAGTGTACAGAGACAAGACAGGTGGGCAAAAGACTTAATTGACGATGGAGTATCAGAAGCGATGGATCAGTGGATCAACAAGATTTGCCCGTACTACAAAGCACCAGCACGCTTACCGTACGTACAATGTGGGCTTGCAAAATCCATCAGTCCCACATCTCAAATTACCTGCATTGTCTTGAAAACTGTCTTGGCATGGGGACAGGCTGGTACCGATACATACGGTACGAGTACCGGGTAGGTATCGTATCAGAACAGTTATACGTGGGCCATTGTTGTGATGTGAAATGCACAGGCGGCACTTTTATCGTAAAACGAGCCCAATTTGTCTATGCCGAGGTATGTGTGGTGCTACAAGTAGTACATACGGTCCGTCTGCTACAATAGTACATACAGTAGTATGTACAGTGTATATACGGCGGTCCAAGGACTACTGTAGATACTAGTACGAGTAATACGATACTGTATTACGCTGCAAGTCCAGGTATGGTAGCGCCATTCTCCTCTTTCGCTGGCTGCCAAATTACAGGGTTGCATTTACAAAGAAAAGATACGGAGGAAAGGGTATTGACGTGACAAAGAAACCATTATAACCACTATACGTGCAAGGAGTCGGCCATGGATCGGTCTGGCCTTGGAGAGGGTATGTGGATATCTGTTTACTGTAGTAGTACCGAACGAGTCCTAGCGGGAGCCCTATTGTACAGTGCTCGTACCGGTACTTGTATATGTTTTACTTAGTCACTTAGGGTATTCTTAAAACTCAAGTAACGTACTTCAAGTATCGTACATTCTACAATGGAACCCTCAATGTTTTTTGTTGAACATGGTAAGGAAGATTAAAATGTGGAGGCTTTACTAAGGATGATATAGAGCTGAGAGCTTCAACAAGCTGTTCTATACAGTATCAATAATATCAAATATCAAGCAAACAACAAGCCAGACAAAACCTCTACTTACCTGTATCTAATGAAGATCTTTCCCGGCCTGTAACCCCAATGATAGATCTCTACTCCTGTTGTACGACTCGCTCATACAGGCGACTCCGTTATTGTGGTTCAAATATGGAAAGATGTACTGGGTGATCAAGGTAGAGAAGTACTCAGGTTCATCAGCTGAAACACGTTTTCAAACGACTATCTGCTGCAAATTTTGAGACCCATGGACCATTTACAGGGTACGAGTACACTCCATAGTGAGATCATCGTCAACATTAGAACAAAACACAGTGAAAACAAGTTGACTCTTTTGTACAGTGAAGGGTCACTAAGACATGTACTCTGTGTCAGAAATGCCTTTGGATTCTGAATCGATTAGTGTAGGGATACTCGTACTTCTCATCATGTCCTGTAACAGTTGAGAAGCCACGATCGGACTTCCGTGAAACGGCCCTACACAGTGCAACAGTAACGAGGTGGCTATATATACGACCCCACTTTCAACGGCATCTACCCCGACTCGTCTCGTTCTGCAATCATTACCTATATCCCTAAGAGGTGGTTCGACCGTATCCTCTGATGTCCTCAGCAAACCGCCAGTTCTGATCCTTGCATTTGATATCCTTCTCGATCTTGACATTGCCCTTGGTTATAGTGGCCACGTCGTACTTGTCGATGGACCGGGCATCTCGGTAAAAGAGAACCTTCATGCACTTCTCCACCATGGCTCGAGCGTCAGCCTCCGTCACGTTCTTGTATGAGTCGGGGTAAGGCACCAGCTGTCGCAGCAGAGGCAGGGCCAAGTAGGCACCAAAGCCCGTTGCCAGAGCGGGAGAGCTGAAGGTGACGCCGAGCAGGTCGACGTGGCTCAGAAAGGGCTCGTCCTTGCTGTCAACACCGCCCACAAGGACGGCGTTCCACAGAGGATCCATCTTTGATCTTCGGTTGTAGTAGACCTTGGACAAGTAGTTGAAGATGTTTTCCGAGTGCAGCGACTGGTCGCCGCTGTTGTCGTAGTTCTCCTCGATCTCTAGCTCCTCCAGCAGTCTCTGGACGTACTGCATGTCTGAAACGTCGCCTCCAATGCCAACAATGGTGGAATCGCCGACCTGGGTCAATCGATCCATGTTGTCGAACCGAGCCAGCGAACCGTAGGAGGCCAGGGTGTCAGCAGCCACAATCACGCCTTTATCGAACTTGATTCCAATCACAGAAGAACCGGTAACTGTGGGCTGCTGTGTGTGTTTCTTGGGCAGCGAGTGAGTGTTGGGGGCCTGCGAGATGGCATCCGAGTAGTGGCCGTAAATGTCGTCTCTTGGACGGCCCCAATTGATTGGTGATTGCTCCATTGTAAGTGTGTGTAGGTGTGTACAAGTCTCGGGTGACAGATGGATGTGGACTGTAACTGCGAGGCCATGGTGGCGGCGAAGGTTTAGGTTGGGAGGAGTGCTTATGTAATCTAAAGTGGAGGGGTTTGAAACGGGGCCAATTTTGCTCCGATTGAATAGATATTATGTCCAATATCTGATGTGACTCTCCTGTGTTTTTTTATATAGTCATATTGTGTATATATTGCTTATTAATCCCGTTCCAAGTGTTCTGTTTCGGACTACCATTGGATGTGCTGTTCGCCACCAGCAGACCCTAAAATGATGGGGTTCTCAATCTTGAGTTGACGAGGAGAGATTTTGATGGTCGGATAGAAGTACAATTACAACTATTTGTGCGATATAGCAGCCTTTATATATTATTTTCTTTATATATTATGCCACCCACTTTTACATCACACAATACATGTCATAACCTCTTTGCATGTGACTATGGTGGCAGCAGCAACTGTACACCCCCCTTCTCTATAATATCATCAATTGTCATTGGTTACATCGGTTAAAAGAAAGCACCGCCGGAGTTGACCTCGTTGATCTCGTTCTCGGAGAAGGGTCGGTACTGGAATCGCTTGGACAGCTCTCGTCGAGAAGCAAACTCGCCGTCTCCAGGAGGGGAATAGTTACTGCTGGAGCCCTTGTTGAGAGGGATGGTGGCAGCGGTGAATGATGGTGGTAGAGATCCGGTCGGCGACAAGGGATGGGGTCGTGGGGTGTGGTCCACTTTGACTGTGTTAGTTGGTTCAGATGGTGGTTGTTGGTAGAGTGAATGTAGGGAGGTGAGTTCAGAAGAAGAGAGGAGAGAAGAAAAGAGAAGAGCAAAGAAGAATTCGCGGAAGTTTTTTGGTTGGTGATGGTGTCACAGCCGGAGCAGATTCGCGGTTATGCTCATGTTATGACTATGTCTGTCTCGACAGTCTCAGCACATCCTCACATGCATCATCGCGCCGCAAGGATGATGAAGTACAGCGCAATCTCGATTCGACTGAAATCAATCCAACTGTCACATGAATCTTTCCGTGACTAGGAGTCACGCTCTCAATTCATTGGCCATCTTGTTGATGGCTCCTCCACACCACTCCTGTATGTCACATAGAGATGTCTCTCCATATCCCGGGGCTGGTCGCGGCAATTTCAGGGCGCACAAAACGCTTCTGTGTCGAGGTCCAACTACTCAATCAGGGTCGTACTCACCGTTGGTGGGTCGCTTGCCCAGGAACTTGATCATTGGGGTTCTCAAAAGGACTCTGGTGGCTCTCATTGTGGTTTTGGTGTATTAGTTATCGGGAGAGTCGTGTGAAGTTAGAAAAGTGTACTTACCTGTGCATACAACATTAGGCTCTGGCGTTTGGTTGGGGAGACATGCCCCGAGAGGGAGTGATGGAAGCGTTCTCACTGGTGGTTCTGGACAGAAATTGAGCGCAATTTTTTTTGGAAAAGTAACAGCTGACTCATTTTTTAATTAACCAATCTTCTTCCGAGGACTAAAAGCAACTTCAGTCCCCATTTCTGACTAACACTGGAAGATCCCGGAAAAAGTCGGAACTCAATATTGCCCCGAAATCTTCTTCAACGTCACGGGAATAACAGGAGATGGGTATATTGAGGGTGATGCGGTGACAGGTTGGGTTGAACTATTGATGTCTGTCCCAGATACTCTAGCATCCAGTCTACAACTCTGAAAACACCTTTTGGACGGGTTGATGACCTTTTCCAAACACTGCTCTGAGATCGGAATCTGACTAATGGTAACTAACACAACCGGAAAGTATCATTTAGCAGGTCTATGATTGAACCGATGAAACTGGGAAATTATTGTTAATTTATTGCATTGAGTAGAGAAAGTACGGCAGAAGTGTTAAAAGTTGTATATACCATTCATTGGTTCTGTATAATGTTTCTAATGAGTAAAGTTGGTGTAATTACTTTGTAGTATACATGATACAACCCCTTGGTATGTATGTACAGTAAAACTGCAGAGCTTGGTCAAATAAGTACTGTTTTTACTACAATTCAGTCAGTGGTTTGGTGAGAGCTGCTCATCTTCCTCGCTCTTCTTCCTCATTTCATCTGTCATAATATTCACGCCCTATGTACATTACTGGGGAATGGCGTGGTATCGCTTGCCTCGGAAAGCAAACATTTGCTGGTTAAACTGGTAAACCTCCGTAGAATTGAGATCGTTGAGCTCCCACTTGGTCGAGCCAAAGATGTTCTCTGAGGGCTCCAGCAGCACGTCCAGCTTGGAGCCAAACTTGTCCATCAGCCAGTTCCAGTCTCGCTCAAGGTCATCCTTGTGGAAACCGGTGGAGAAGATGGCACACTTGGACTCCAGCAGACCGGGCAACGACTTGGCCCACTGATCCATGGCCTCGGGGGCTCCCAGACCGGGGTGGAACAGGAAGAATGCATCCAGGTAGGGGTCGTAAGGGAAGAAATCATGAGCCTCGTGGAGCACATGGAAGTAGTCCGAGTAGAACTTGAAGGTCATGGTGTCGTCGATCTTCATCTCCACGGGTCGCGAGTGCTGCACGTACTGGTGCTTGTCTCGGTCGTAGTAGGCCTCAGGACCAATGAAGTACAGCTCCCACTTGGCGGTAGGGATGAGATACGAGAGCTGTTTCCACACGTGGGGGGGCAGCTGGGACTCGGCTCGGGCGCCCAGAATGAACAATCGGATGGGTCGATCGTTCAGAGCACGGGACTTGTCGATGGGGAACAGAGAGTATCGCAGAGCAGCCAGGGATTTGAGACCCTCGAGGGTCAGAGGACCGTTAGGCTTGAGAGCGTAAGGGGACATTGTGTGCAGCACGGAGCCGATTGTGACGGGGTATGACAGCATCTTGGTCACGGCTGCCATCTGGAACTCGGTATCCATGGAGTAAAAGTCTCGGGTGTACAGAAACAGATCCCAGTTCATGAAGTTGACAGTGTCATCCTTGTCCTGAGCTCCGGGGAGATCAAACTCGGGGAAATCTCGACCGGATCGCAGATCATGCTCGTAGATGTTGGCCATGAAAAGCTTTTCGGCCTTGTTTTGCTCTTGGAACGTCGCATCCGACTCGTAGGCCTCTCTGCTGTGATGGGTGGGGATTCCGGACTTGGGACAGACGTATCGCACGTCCTCGCCGGTCACGGGACACTTGGAACGGGCGCGGATCACCGCGGCCCGCTCCCGAATATCCTGGTTGGGTGACTGGTCCCACAGATGGAACCGGTTCTCGGGGGTCGGATCATTTTCATTGCCGCTGTCGTCCAGACCAATTGTCTGTTTGAGAAACTTGAGCATGCCTCTCTGCTGCTGGACGGCGCCGGCGAGTGGGCGAGAAGCGCACACCAGCCCTGCTGCTCGCACAGACACTCGTGGACAGATTCGTGTCGAGAACATGTATGTATGTGGTTTGGTTGTAGGTGAGGAAGGGCCGAAAATATGACCAGATTTGACTCTGAGTTTATTTGAGGAGGGAGAAAATAAGAAGGCGAAAAAGGAGGTACCAATGGCGAAATCTGGGCTGTTTGGAGTTGATGGAGGTGTAAAAACGGTAGTAGAAAAGATTCACTGCTTAAAAACACCGATTTTAACGCTATTGACAAAATCTTCACTCACTTGCTCTGATACTTGTGGCCCTTCCTGCGCCACTATTAGCCACAACTCTAAATTTTCAGACGCCACATTTGGAAAGGAGGAGAGCCGATTTGACATGGCAGTATGTACACTGCTACAGTACGAATCCTCTCCAGTCGACTCATACATCAATGTATGTCTCTGCTAGGCTAGATAGTCTGATTAGTCATGCCGGCCCTGTATGCGTTTACTAATACCTCCTGGATCGTACCATGTTTTATACAAGGGTGGCTACGTAAAACGTGGTCCATCTTCTGGTGCTCAATGACGTACAGTCAATCTTAGGCCAACTTCCACTTCCACTTGATAGAAGGGTTTTGCATTGGACCGAGTGTCGGAGTGGGCAATAAGTCACATGACCTCTCAGCGGCCCGTCGTGAGTGCATTTGCACTTAGTAATACCCCTTCTTGTAGCTTGAGCGCATATATAGGACCATTTTCTTTTTTCCAGTGGAGCCAAATAGCTACGATACTTGAACCAGTACGAGCACGACTACATACTGTAGTGGTGGTGTTTATGTACATAATATGACGGTTTAGGACGTTGTGAGACACTTTAGAGAGCAATATATTACTAATACGTCTGTAAATAGCCCATTTTAAGATCTCACTGTTCCCGTTCAACAAAATCCACCACAGCAGCTGTCATCGGCGTTGATCCAGCTCTCACCTCTATTTGTTGATGTTACACGGCACAGTATACGCCGCTGCAATACTGTAGTTATGGTGGCGTTGAGCCGCCAGTTGATATTTTAGCTGTATTACTGTGTACTACTGAAAAAGAAGCATCCAGATAGTAGTATAAGTGAGTCGTCGTCGTATAGTCGTCCCCGTTCTCATATAACCAGCTAATATAGTACGAGTATCATACTACTATCATATTTTTCATCTGAATATATTGGTGACCCTAAACACAGTTTGCTCACTCCGCCCCAACAACCCTAACCCCAGTTCCAGGTACTTTATCGCGAACCCGGCTTCATCACGTGCCTAAAGTTGCCAACTGCCAGCACATGCCTTCGATCAACATTCTCTGTTCGTCTGCTCTGCCGTTTGTGCCTACCAAGTTCCAGATAGATGCTCATGAGCATGAGACGGTTCTGGTGGTCAAAAAACGGCTTTGCCAGAAACTGGTCGAGTTACAGAGACAGGGAAGTGTCGAAACGTCCACAGAGTCTTACAACCGAGAACAGGAGCATTTGGGCAACCCGGGCAATCTGAAGCTGATTTTCGGAGGAAAGATCTTGCCCGACGCCAATGAACTGCCCAATTTGGCGGCCACAAACCCCACGTTCCATCTTCATTTGCTGCCTGTTTCCCTCGACAAGGAGAAACTGAGCATTATTGAGAGGTTTCGAAGAGGAAGCACTAGTAAGGGCGATGCGAATGGAGGAGCAGAGAGTTCTGGATCGACACCAGCGGAGTCTCAGACCATGTACAACGTCCGACTACTTTCGAATCAAGCAAAGCCCACGATTCACTACAACGTCCAGCAACAGAGTCTGTACAACATGGACGGTGAGGCGTCTCTTGCTGACCTGAAGCATCTGCTCATCAACTCTCTGGGCAATGACACTGCTGTCAAGTCGCTGGATTTGGCTATTCAGCGCAAGTTTGTGGTCTTCAACTCCAAGGGCCAAGATTTCTCGGACGACACCATGAAGGTCAAGGATATCAACAACTTTGGGCGTCCTCCTCACTCGCAAGGCACGAACGTGGTGATATTTTACCGGTTTGTCCTCGGCGAATTCGAGGAGTACCAGATGGAGGGTGAGAACGAGGTGCTTGAGAAGCCTGCTGAGGCTCAATCAACCCCCGTCAAGTCCAATAACCCTTTCAACAAGGAGGTTCAGCAGCAGCAGCAGCAGCAGCAGCAAGTCAAGAGTATGGTTGAACCTGATGGGTCATTGATTCAGTTTGACCGAGAAACTGCTGCTGTTTCTGTCGCTACTTCACCATCTGCTGCGCTCTCTGGCAACCCCCTCGCTGGCGCATTTACAGCCCAGCTGAATCTGGACAATGAGGGAAAGGGCAAGGAGGTTGCTGAGGAAGTTGATGAGGAGGGTGATGTTGAGATGAAGGAAGGGAAGCCTGTTCAAGTTGAGACCGTTGAGACACCGGTCCCTACGCCCACCATCAAGCACCTCTTCATCAAGGACACCAGTCTCGGAGACTTCCATCTCAACCCCACAGATGTCAAGACAGGTAGCTGCACAGAATCCGAGTGGGTGGCTATTTCGCCTCGAGAAATGACCAGGCTCAAGCGAATGTACAGAGAATTTGGTAACTCGGAAACTGAGCCTAAGCGACGGAAGTCAGGCGAGTTTACCAGAGAGACAGGAGAGGCTGTTGCCTCTGGAAGAGATATGGCCGGCAGAGGCCTACCTGGAAGAGGTATGGGTCAGCAAATTGGAACGGGTGCTTCTACACCTTCTTCTGCTTCGGCTGCTTCTAACCCTTCTACCTCTTCGGAATCCAACTCTGGACCCAGTTCGAGCTCTTCTTCCGACTCTCACGCCAACAACCACCCCCATACCAGCAACCATTCCCACACCCACAACCACAACCACAACCACGCACATGTTAACCCAACTCCCAATAGTCACCTGCACAATGATACAGCCAACTCGACAGACACAGAGGCTGAGGTGATACAAACTCCCCCTAGAGGAGCCGCTCACTCGCCTGGAAACACCACTCCTGCATCTGACCAGTACCGTCAATTCCAACAGTTTCTGAGATGGGCTGACACCCAGCATGAGGACCACACAGAGCCTGCGGAGTTTGACTACCGTCAGTTCCAGCAATTCCTCCAGTGGGGTCAGGTCCAGCCTCCCACACAGCAACCCCTTGTTGACTTCTCGTTCCGGCTGAGAATCTCGCCTCCTCCTTGGAATATTCGTCAGCGAATTCGGGAGATGATTCCCCCCCGCGACCAACTTCGTCAGCGTGCGGTTGTGGCTGTTCGCCAGCTTGGCGAAGTGCTTGTCTTCCTACTACAGCTTTTTGTCTTTTACATAATGGTTCTGGGTCGTATTAACAACGACTATATGTTCTATGCGTCGTGTGGTCTCACTGTGATCATCTTTGTGGGTTACCGTTTTCGGCACCATCTGGAGCGGTTTCGTCCTGCGAGCTTCAACGTGGGTTCTGAGGAATTATCTCGAGTTGCCCAGATTTTTCCTGCCGTGAACTACGACCAGGAGGAACCTGCTGCTGGAGGTAACAACGAGGCTGTTCGAGAGGCTCTGGAAAATCCTGACAACCGGCATGCTCGGGGCGTCCGAATTGGCGCTGCCTTCTTTGGCTCCATGATTCCCGCTGTCCATTCTCGATGGCTGGCTGATAACCGACAGCGACGAGTTCAGCTGGATGCATTGATTCGACAGCGAGAGCGTGAAGGAGAAGAGACTCAGACTCAGGAAGGAGAGGATAACGAGGGTGACGAGGGAAACAACCGAGCCGAACAAAATGAGTAAATACTAATGAATTATGTGATATTAAAAGTACAAGTAATAGCTACTTGTACAAGTACAGGTGTTTTGGATGTCGTATGTCACCCCTGTTTTGCATACATAATCGATGCACGATAAAATGAAGGGTAAATCAAGGGGAAGTTCAGTATGGTCAAATGTATTAAGGGCTATATATATAAAATATTTCAGTATTCAAATGTCGTCGCATTGTGTTGAATGTCTTTATTGCAAAAGTTCAGGTGTAATTGTACAGGGGAAAGCATGGAGATACCATAAGGAGAAGACTTATAGGTGCAAGTACTTTCCAGGAGTGAAGAAAAGGGGGTCGCTTAGAATCAAGAGGGTTTAATTAGCACGCGACATGAGGTGAGACCGAGGCCCGTAGAGATACAGAACGTCTGTATCCTTCCGCAAAGGCTTTAATCGGTCCACACCTAAAAGTCGCGCGTTCTTGGACCTTCCAATCTCCTCCACATAATACTCTCGGGTCATTTGTCTGCTTCATGTTCTGCCGCCTCATCGTTTGGCGCTCGAACTCTCACCCTTAGATCCAGTCTTCTCTAGATTGGCCTTGTTTTTGTCGTTTGGAGAGACTGCCCGTCTCAGGAAGAGTTGCATGGAGGCGAGTGTCAGGCCCAGAAACAGAACCAGAACCACCTGAACCATCACCATGCCCACCATGCCAAATAGTATCATGAAGACTATGGCCTGGGCTATCATATCTGAAGCGTAGTAAGGTGCATTCCTGCTCAGTGTAAGGCGGATATGATGTATGTGAGAGAGAATAATTAGTGCCTTTTCCCCACAGTCTCCCTCTCTCTCCGCATTTTCAGAGAGCTTATTTTTTGAGAGCACAAGGAATTTAGGCAGGTGGAGATACCTATATATAAGCGTATGTCTGACATGCTTGAATGGCGTGTATTTCAACATTTGCACCTGTCGATTCTAGTGCAATTCAATCTATCAGACAGACCAAAACCACCTGTTCATCATCTCTGTCAATTACATATCGATTGCAACGCTCAGAAACAGCCCCTAACCCTACCTACCCTATTAAGTAAATAGTCGGCAGTTCAAACCCCAGAAATGTTTATTAAACACTATTTTACACATCACGACTTCGATCCGTTACTGACAGCCACAGCCTTTGACGTCACAACAATGACCAACCTCAACCTGGCACACCCGTCCGGCAGCTTCCAGACGCGAGTGGCCAAGTCGGTTGAGCGTGCCAAGCAAAATACGACTACACACTCGGGTTCTGAGTCTGCCGAAGAGCTGAGAGATCGGGAGGAGCGCGCTCTGGAGGTTTTTGCCAGAGCTGCAGACCTGGAGGCCCAAGGCAAGCTCAACGACGCCCTCCAGGAGTATTCACGGAGTTTCAAGATCCATGACCGGGTCGATTTGCTTTACCGGTCGAGGTTAAAGTACAAGACACCTGCTGGATTGACTACAGGATATGCTGACCAGAACGATGCTGAGGACGCGGAAGAGGAACAGGAGCCTGATGGACCCTGTTTTCTGCTGGAGGCGCCGTCGGAGATTATCATTGACATTTTAGAACATCTGGCGATCCAAAACACGCTGGACTTTGTGCATTTTTCGGCTACTTGTAAGCGGGTGTATGATTTAGCCAAAACCGAACGCATCTGGCAGCAACTGAGCATGCTGAGCTTTCCAGACCAGGTCATGAGTGAGGAATATCGACAGTGGCTCTTGAGTGGTGGTCAAGAGACGGGGGAGGACGACACAGAAGAACAGGAGCTGAGTCGACAACTGGCAATGGTTTCCCTCACAGACCCAGAACAGCACATTTGTGATACCCTCTACGCCTCGTCATGGCATTATATGTATCTCACGCGGCCGCGGTTACGATACGATGGAGTCTATATCGCCAAATGTTCATATATTCGGCCTGGAGGTACCTCAAACATGACTCAAGCATGGAACACACCTATGATTTTGGTGGAGTACTACAGATATATTCGGTTCTTCCCTGGAGGCAAGTGTTTTGTGATGCAAAAGACAACCCACCCAGAAGAAGTGGTCTACACCTTTGGACAGGATATTCCCCAGACTCGCAGATCAAGACGAAAGGGTAATCCAGAAGATACAGGTGCATGGGCCACGTACAAGATCATGCCCGATCCAGGTACGAACCCCAACAACCACTCAGCTATTGCCCTAGTTGAGATTCCAGGATCCACCATTGTCAAGTACTATCTCAGACTGGGTCCAGCCTTGAGCAAGAAGGCGTTTGATGAAGGTACAGATCTGGAACGGTGTGGAACCCAATGGAGAAAGATGAAGTGGGAAAAGCTGTCAAGTACTCGGGTGGTTGAGGATGACGAAGAGGAGCTGGAGGAGCTGCCGCTGTCAACGAAAAACGAAAAGTCGTTTTACTTTTCCCGAGTTACTTTCAGAAACCGTGACGTCCACAAGAAGTAGTGTTTGCCTTCCAGGGCCCCCGGAAGGCTATCTCTACGGGAACTCGTAGAAGATTAGTGAAATTGTACTTGTAGCAAGTTCATTCCATAACATCAATATAGCATTTTTATTTACAGACTCGTACTGTAGCTTGTGGGGAGCTGCTAGCTCGTATGTATCCTGTCGCTCTTGCATCGTCTCTAAAACAAAACATTCAGTCTCATCACCAATGACTGTTAAGCGAAGTTTCAACGACCTGAACATAACTGTACATAGGGTGACGTAACGCAACACCCGTTGGTTTCTACAGTAGCCCGTTTGAGCCCATTTGATACCCAGAACATTCCAAGCAAACCATCGTTCTGAACCGTGCACCCATACTTAACCTTCGGAGTCCCTGCTGCATTCCCCATCTCGTCCACCTGCAGCTGCGCATCTATACAAGAGGTACAAGCCTGGAATTGAGATGTTGTTGCAGCACTACGACCGGCAGCTATGAACCTTTTACGAGGAGGTATGTATGCTGTAGTGGCATTCAGAGCAGGTTTATTGAGCAAATGTGTGTTTGCCTTCAGCCCATTTTTGTGCCTGGATTTTTAATTTTGAACCCATCCATCCATCCAAACCATCCCCAGTGTTCGGCCTGAGCGTTCGGCAAGCGTTCGGCAACTGTCTTACATGTGAAAACGAGCCGAGGACTCCTGGGCGATGGTTCTAAAAGTAGCACTTTCGCTTATGTACATGCGATACGAAACGAGCCAACGGTTCTGTAGTGTGTTACAAAGCCGCCACGTCGCATCACATGACCCCTCCTTTTAGCATTTCAGAGATTCCCGACTCGAACAACTCTTCCGGAAAACTTAATTTTGGTGACCTGTTTACGATTCTAAAGCGGGGTCTCAAAAGAAATTATGCCTTCATGCACCCTAACTTGGTGGGATAAACGGTGAATACGACGGAGCTAAGAGACATGTGGTATAGCTTCCGGCTGACAGAAGATGGCCCCAATTCTACTATTGGCGTCCTCGCCTCCCACCCTAACTTTGCCACCCAACCCCCTGTCCATTTTCAAACAACGGTCAACGGTGGGTACTCACAGGTGTGCAGCAAGGTTTTTTCTACTGTGCCCCGATACTTCGTGCATGGCGGCATATAGGCAAGGCCGCTTATCAGCGGGGTAACAGGGGCATTTGCGGGGCGTGGGGAGGAGGCAATATATAGACAAGTGGTCGTTCAGGAGAATCAGTTATCTGCGTCAATATCAGTACCAGCACTACACAGATGGCATGCTGTGATCGTGTGCATTTCGGAACGCTCAAGAATGGCATAAATAACTGTCTTCGTGCCCCTCAGTTAGTTGCAGAGGAGGTAGTTTAATTATTGTTACTGTAGATCAGACGGCTACCCTGAGTGACAAAAAGTGTGTCGACTTCCGATAATGTCCTTGTCCATTTGGGTTTCTTTGTCTTTGCAGTGCATGAGGTCCTTCTTTTTAGACTTTTCGCTTATACGAAATAAGGTTCACCAATGGGGCGGCAGACAAACGATGCAGTCGGTGGCCAAACCGTCAAACAAGCAAGTTATTTCACGACTGAGAAATGACAGCCATCAGCATAATCTCGAAAGGGGTACTTGTACCGTAGGAAGTCAGGCACTTGCCTCATACGAAAACGATTCGCCGTAATTAGACCGGAGTTCTCCGTACCCACAAAATCTCAATGGGTTGTATAATTGCTGCTTATGACTCCTCCGATTAGGCTGCGAGTAGGTACCGGTACAAGCACTACGTTTGCATCTATAGTTGTGGCACAAGTGTTCATTTATGGGTTAATTTGGCCGTCTCGCTGTCTCGCTGTCAGTGAGTGGGGAGTGGGGGGTATTCAGACAGCAAATGAGTCGAGAGAGACAACAACATTGGAGTTTTTGAGGGGGAAATGACGGAAGTCGCTGCACATCCAGCTCCGGAAACTTCCGCAGTCGTCTGACTGAGACCTCAACGTCTTACTGCAGCAACCGACGAAAAACAGCACAACTTGTGGCCGTGGTGAAACACAACTGTATCGACGTTTCGAGCAAGCATCGTTTATGAGACCTTGGACGCTGTATTCGTCCCAAATTGACCCGCGATGATGGATGTACAGATCGATCACCGATCAGGGCTCAACACGAAGTGAGAGGTCCGAACTTTGACACACCGCAAAAACAACGAGTACCAGTACGATAGCCACAACATCACAGTAAATATGACTTACCTTGTACTTTCGGTTTAACATCGGTACTTCTACAGGCACCGTACTCGTACTTCTGCTGTATTGCGCACGTATCAGCTGTTTCGATAATATCGAGTCTGATATCATCTCAAATTTCTGTTACACTCCCCGCCGTAGAATATTCCTTTCATAGCCACTCTCGAACGTGGGGTGTAACATTACAGCGTCATGGCGGGGTACAGAAATTAGCAAGTTACACAAGGTGGCAGATGGTGGGGCACACCAACTAAGCATAGAGGGATGGCGGGGGGGAAGGTCACAACGAGAGACACAAATGTGGGGGGGGGTCACAAGTGGGAGTCTCAACTGACATTTTCCTGCAATCCCCATAAAGAGTCTGGCTGCGTCCAAACCTGCGCCCGACACAGGCTTCCATGCTTATGTACTTCCCAGTTGTACGATAATTACAAGGATAAGGTCATTTTTCGCCGGTTGTAGATTTCGGCTTCTGCAAACTTGCTTTTGTTAAGACCTTAACCGGAGATATTTGAAAAACTGCAACCAAATTGCGGAGAAGAAAAAGCAAAAAGTGAAAAAAACAAAATAGCGGGGCACAAGACGTCAGAATCAAAGACGCCCCGTACAAGAGTACAAGAGGTTATAGACGTGCATGCGACACAAGTCCAGTTGCAAATACCCCCCAACAGTGTTGTGGGACTGCGCGACGACTAGCCTGGTGCATAGCCGCTGGTTCAGAGCTTTCCCGCCATGGAATGGACTGGGGGCTCAGCGGGAACGCTCCTTTAGGGAGGCTTAAGCTCTGGGATAAGCTTTGAAACGAGTCTAAGTTGAGCGAAATTGACAAGAGAAAAAGGAAGACGGTAAATAAGCTCTCAGTGCAGCAGAACCTTGTGCATGCGTATGCGCATCACGAAGGAGGGCAAGGTGGGCCCTGGTTCTCTCTCTCCATACAACGGACAAGTTCAAGTACAGACAGCTAAGTAGATAGTGTTTCTCCATGGAGGTCCCTGAGACTATAGCGGGGTCATCGATAGCAGGGAGAGAGGGTTTGGGGGGAGGCAGGCGAAATCTCTTGTAGTAGGGTTGTTTTCGAATCCGTTTATATTAACGGTTGACCCCAGGTTTTGGCACTTCTGGTCGAGACAACTACGTCACGGCAAAAAAAGTGAGTGAGCGTGAAAACGAAATGGAAGCGGATACGATAACATACATGTGAAGGAGGCCACGGAGTAATTGAGCAGCAAGCCGATTCGACCTTGATAGCGCGGTCATCACCAGCAGGACCGCTAGACTTGGAAGGTGGAGCATGGGATATACGTTTCACAATGGAGCTCAAGTGGCTAACAGATGAGGCACATTTACGGGTCTTCCAAATGACACCATGTTTGGACAACTGCTGCCACGCGCTCGACCGATCTCCGATCTCCGTTATGTCCGACAAGTCCGAGTCAGCCTCTTCCGCCTGTTCTTTTTAATTTTTTTTACTCATTTTCAACAACTGAGAGCAGAGTCACATGGGCTAGGCAAGCATATACGCACATATCAGGAACAGGCGAATGACCCAGTTGTTCAACTTAGTCTGTGGACGGAAGACAACATTGGCAGTTGTTTGGCCACTCCTCCGCATCTGGCAATTCTAACACAGTTCCCTCATCCGACGGTTCCCCCATCACCCCGCATATCTCAACAATACGGTCAAATACCCGCTTTATTCTTTTCCACCTTTTCACCTCGCTCCCTCCCTCTCCCCCCCCCACTTTGCCACTACTGTAGCTTAGGCAGATTCAGGCCTGTCGCATCCCTTGTCCCAAAAGTAAAACCTTTTGTCATTTATCCTTTTGACTTTGTCTTGGGGTAGTTGCCCTTAACTTGCAAACACGCTCTCACCATGCACCTTTCCCACCCACAGGAGAAACAAGTCTTCATCACCACTCCGTCCCCGTCGTCCTCTGTTTCAACCCAGTCCACCGCCTCGTCGTCACTGTCGCTATTCCACACGGCAGACTCCGATCTCTCCGCCTCCGAAGAAGACGACTTTCCGTACCACGCAACAACCCACACAAATATAAAGCCTGGTGTGTCTTTCTCCGCCACCTCAGGCACAATGATGAGTGCGTTATCCCCTGTCTCGGTGCAGTCTCCGTCGACCGTTTTCATGATGAAGGAACCCGCACAGGCACAGGCCCAGATGTCCCACGACAACAACAACAACAACAACAGTAGCAGCCATGTCACCACCCCTAAACACAACGCCGCCCCTGTAACCAAATCAGACGACCCCTTCGATGTCGACAACTACCCCACCGACTTTGACTCCGCCTTCCTCAACCTGTCGCCCACCATGGGGATGGGCCCCGGCGACGGCATGGATGGTATTCCGCTGTTCAACGCAGAGGAGGAGTCCGCTTTCTCGTCCTTCCTCGACAACGTGGCTCTGGATCCTAACTTCATCTTCGAGCCCAATCTCTCTGATGCCCTGCCCAAGTGGCCCGAATCGAAACCCTGGGGCCCCAACGACTCGCATAAGCCACGAACCGACAAGTTCACCAAGTTTGGCAACTCTCCCGGTCTCGATTTGCTCGCTGCCAATTCCCCCGACGCAGTTAACATCCACGAACGCCTACTGAAACACGAGTCGAAGGAGTATCTCAGCCCCAACCACAACGACTATGCTCAGAGCGACTCGCGGGCCCAGGCGCTCGCCATGGCTGAAACACAGGGCTACGGACAGCTAAAACACAAAGAAAGCCGCTCATCGTTATCACAGCCCTCGTCGCTACACAACAACAGCGTGACGGGGTCGTCAGTCACAACCACACGTCCCTCGCCACAAACGTCGGGACCCTCCCCCGTGTCGTCGGGCACGTCAGCGGCGTCGTCCGCACCCATGGGCCTTCATTTCGGCTCAGACCCTGCATTTGGAGGCTCCAGCTTCCAGCCCAACAGCGGCACCCCAGCCCTCAAAAAGGTGCGGGGCTTCGACGAGCTGCCCCCTGCCGTCCACGAGGGACACGGGCACATGCACATGCAGCCACAACGCATGGTGACCGGTCTGGAGGGTGTAGTCAACCCCAAGCTGGTGGTTGCAGCTGCACAGATGAGCCAGGGCGTGACGGACCAGAACATCTTCATGCTCAAGCGACGAAAGTCGGACAACATGGCTGCAAGCATGAACTCGAACGTGCCACACGATATCTATGCTCCCGTCCCACATGCTGAGCAGATGTATCATATGCAACAACAACAGCAACAGCAGCATCTCCACCAGCAACAGCAGCAACAACATCACCAACAATCACAAAATCAGCATATCCAACAACAGCAGCAACAGCAGCAGCATCAGATGCACCACCCTCACCATACACAGCAGCACTTCCAGGCACGAATGCACTTTGGCGACGGCATGGATGGCGAGGTGTCCATGAGTACCGTCTCTCAGGCGGGTTTGCACATGAACTCCAACCCTAGCATGTTGTTCCCCGACAAGGATGCTCTAGCAGACTCGTACCAGCAGCAGCAGCAGCAAATGCATAGTCAACACAACCCTCCTTCGCATCATCCTCAGCACAACCAGCAGCAGCAGCAGCAACCGCAGGTCAAGACTGAGCAGAATATGTCTGCATCGCCTACTCCGGGATCTCCCAACCTCACGGAGGACCAGAAACGTATGAACCACATCTCTTCCGAAAAGCGACGGCGGGATCTCATCAAGCAGGAGTTTGAGGAAATGTGCGGCCTGGTGCCTCGTCTGGCTGCAAACAGCGATGAGAAGGGCAAGCGACGCCATGGTCATCGAGGACGTATGCCCAAGGACTCGGACAAGGACAAGGATACTGGAACCAAGTCCAAGTCGATTCTACTATCGATTGTGTACGAATACATGTGCGAGCTGGTGGAGCGAAACAAGGCCATGCGGGGCATGATCACCGAAAAGGGCGGATATCACAGCGATATCGCCAATGCTCTTCATCCTCCCAAGATTGATGAGTAAATGCCACAATCACCCGGCAACAAAACCCCAATTTATATATTTAACAGTGCATTTCTTCGGATACAGGAACAGCAGATTGATGTAGACCATGTAGATACCTTGTAGTACGCACTGAACCGTTGTACCAGTAAATAAATAATGAATGGATCTACAAAAAAAAAGAGGTCACAGTAGAGATGATTAGTAAGAGGTGTGGACTCGTGACCAAAAGTTCATCATATCAGATTGGCTTTGAGCTTCGTGCGCATTACAAATGATGAGAGCTCGTATTGTTTTTTTCGGAGTTAAGCGGGTCTCGGTGATCGTGAACCCATCCGGAGAAGGTACACTTGTACATGCCGTGATCACGTCAATGTTTTGTAATTGCAATTTCGGGGATATAGAAAGATCTTGAAGTATGATAGACGCCACTTGAGGCAGTCTTAGATGGACGTATCGTGCTCGTGCTTGTACGGTAGCTATCAGTTGTCCCACACAGTAGGCAGAGCTTCAAGCCTGCCCCTGTTATTACCAGCATCAAGCCGTACAGAGGTTGTGTCTATGGGGTTACTGTAAGGTACAGTACCTGTAGTAACGATAACTAATCAGTTAAAGTCCGTCAGTAGCAGCAGTCATAAAATTGAGATAGCGATAGGAGTGTGTGGCTAAGAAGATCACTGTGCCAAAAGCGAGGTTTGCAAAACTTCCGAAGTGACTAATAAGACATAAAAGAGATGGTTGGGATTTTTTAATCACGGTGAGCCGAGGGTGGCATTCGAAGTACGTTTTTGTATATCCATCTCTCACCATAGTGTACCTGTATTCGCTCAACAGAGGTGTAAGTGCCAAGTAAGTATAATGTTAAGTAAATGTTGTAAAATACTTTGTACGAGTGGATCTTCCACATCACACGTCCCCCTGCCTCCTTGCATACACCACGTGTTATATTAACCCGCTTTGTTTTATTAGTCACTGAATCGACGCTAATTATGTTAATTATATCCCTTTAATCCAGCTACAAGTAACAAGCGGGTTTGGCGCCATTGTCGTGACCCTGGTGTGCTGTGAAGAGGCGGGATATCATCCAATCCAAAACGGCAAATGCGTGCGTACATGGGGAACATTCATGCCTGGAGGGAAGGATTGCTTAATAAGTCAACAGACAGTCGATCACCACTGCCACCACTGCCACCACCTGCCCACATTCCCTTGGCTAGTCTTGTGTGTACTATAACTGCGGATACCGCAGCCAACCTGGGCTCTGGTACATACTGGTAGTTCGTTTAATTACTTGTCTCATTACTTGTAGGTTTGGTACTAAGCTTCGACAACGCCACCATCCAACAACACATGCAACCAGTATCGTACATACGGCATGCTGGTAATACGCGTAATAAATATTATTATTCTGAGGCCACGTGACCGTTTTAATTGACGCGACCGAAAAAAGTTCTTATCGGTCAACAACAGGCCTTGTGATCGTCTCTGCTTATGCTCTTGCTGAGCTCACATCTTCCACTGGCTCGCGTCCCCCTTCGCACTTGCATAGCTTAATATAACGTGGGAAGTGCATATTCGAGGTCACTTCAGGTTTATCACTAAAGCTGACCTTGCAACCACAGGGTGATAGCAAAAGGGAAGCACAAAAATCACAACCCGTTGGTGTCTAGCGATAGCACACAAACACGACTCGGCAAAACGCTTGCACGTCCCCCCGAAGCCACCGCAACGACGTTAGTGCTCAAATCCTAACGTCATAACAAAGAAAACAGACCACTACACCACCCGACACGAGCCGACACGAGCCAACAGGAGGTCATCGTCTCTCACACCAGACGTCAGACGACACAGCCCAGCCACGACAATGTCCGCAGAGAAACACGACGCCACATCGTCGGAAGACGAAACCGAACTCGAACTTGCGCCCATCAAGTCGCCAGTGTCACCGGCTCCCAAATCGCTGCGGTCCCCGCGATCCTCGCTTCTGCCCGTGGTCAACTCCAACCCCAATGAACGCACACAGACACAGACGCCGCCTCTGATCCAAGGCCCGGGCTTCAACCCGGCGACACAAGCGACTGTGGTGCAGTCCAGCACGCCCACCGCACGCACACGGGCGCTTTCGTCCTTCTCGCAGTCGTCGGACGAAAGCTCAGGCCTTGCACCGCCCAGTACCGGCCGAAAACGTATCAGCATGAGCTTCACTCTTCCTGTGGCCCCGTCGCCTGACGTTATCGGCCCCGGAGACTCGCCGCCTACTCGTCCCCAACATCTGGACACGTACACAGGAGCCAATCACTCGCCTACGCCATCAGGCTCGGGTCTTCGGACCTTATCTGCATCCCGAACGACATCGACAAAGTCACCACCTCCCCAGCAGCCACAGGTGACCCAGGTGGCTGTAGCAGAAGACCGCCCGGAACGGGGACGATCCCGAAACGCCGGATCAGGAGGACCCGGATCGGAGGTCATGGAGTACCTGTCCCAGCTGGCCACCAAGGAGTCGCGTGTCTCCAAGCTGAGAGAAAAGCTGCTGGAGGTCAAGAGAGAGTTGGAGAGCGCCGAGGCTGATCTCAAGCAGTTCAAGACCAAGGACGTACTCATGCTGCATATGCCACACCGAGAAGGACAACAACCCCAGGGAACGCAGGAGTCGTCGCTGTTGGACTCCATCCAGACAAAGCTCATGTCTCTGGCCGTGGAAGAGGAGCAAGAAGAGGAGGAGTCCAAGACCAAGAAAGATGTGAAAGAGGACAGTGGTACTGTCACAGGCACCCAGAAACAACAGCACTCACGACGGGACTCAAACGGGACTCTCAAGGCTCACAGAACGTTCAAGGCGGACACCAACAACCACGACAGTGAGATTGAGACCATGAAACGTGACAAACGTGCTTCGCACCAGGATCAACGACCCGCTCTCAGCCATTCTTCTTCCTCGTCAGTCTCTTCTACCCAATCCTCTGGAACCCATGTCCCCATGGAACGACGAAGAGCGTCGATTTCGGCTCCTGGACTTCCCCCTCGAGATGACGTCATGAGCATGGGCAAGAGGGTCATTGGAGAGATTGGCAGCCAGTTCTACGGGCTGGTGGCCGACATTCGAAGTGCCACCTTTGGGGACGATCTGGCCTACCAGAACCCATCGCTCAACTATGGTGGCAACAACAATATGCACCATACTGGTGGTGGTCAGGTGGTGAATGCGCGACGAGTGAGTGGTGCGCAGCTCCGTGGAGAGGCCAGTTCCAGTCCCAGCAGTCGTCGACGAAATGGGCGAGATGTTGTCGATAGCTATTCTTACATTTGAGAAGCTCGATGGGACACAGTCGATCACACAACCAACAAGCATATGAAAGACGAGTCAATGGACGATGTCAATTGAATGGAAGACGTTGAGTCGAAGACCGACGTCAACCAGAAGGAAATAATGAGAATAATGAGTAGACACGGAAGTGCAATGAATGAAATGAACTATATGGAAGAGACTGTAGGGGCTTTAGTGTATGGATGACGTGGAGTGCAAGAATATGGGTGGAAGAAAACTACAAGTAATTACGGCATCTTACAATGTAAATATAGCTCTTGTGTTTTTGTTAGCTCGTCTAGATCAACCTCCTGTCCGTATGTGTAGAGCATACCATAGCTACCGGTTCCCATAGCCTACTACAATATTCTGAGATGTATTTCCACCTTTTTTTGTGATTGAGAACATGAAAAGTAAGTACGTGCTTTGCGGTATTTCAGTAGAGATGACTATCACAAATACATATAACCCACGTGACCATATAATATATCATACAATGGCGACACTCGACCCACAGCCATGCACTATCTCACACTATGCATCTAAATGCAAACCAACTAAAATTCACTTCCAATACACCTGATCAGCCACGTCTTATCACAGCATGGAGAACCTGGACGAGGTGCAATGGCGGTCGCCGGAGTGGATCCAAGCGCACCAGGGTCTGCGAACCGATAATGTGCTCGACTACTTTGCCGAGTCGCCCTTTTACGACCGAGTCAGTAACAACCAGGTGTTGCGGATGCAGACCCAGTTCAACCAGCAGCAGACGGGCCAGCTCACACCCCAGCATTTCGAGCAGGAGTTACAGAAAATGACCGGAATCGAGTTTGTCATCACACACGTGCGAGAGCCCGATCTTTGGGTTATCAAGAAACAGAACCGACTCAACCCACAACAGACAACACCCATCTCCACCTACTTTGTCATCAATGAAAACGTGTATATGGCACCCACGGTGGCAGCAATCATGCAGAGCCGAGTACTTTCTACATCCATGTTTCTGAAACGTGCGCTGGAAGAGGCTATCGAGCTGCCTTCATACTCACCATCGCAAGGATACACATACGAGGACTCTCAGCTGACCACCGCTGGAGATGACGACTCCACACCCCAAGCATCGAAGGCCGAGCTGGGGCTGTTGGAACGGTCATTCCGAGCAGCTATTTCCGGCCAGCAAAAGTATGTCAGTGACATTGCTCCCATCAGCAGCCAGAGTGAATCGGCTGCTAGCAGTGTTCCTGGCACTCCTGTGCTCAAGGGAAGGAAGTTGCCTCTCAAGAAGTAAGCCGGTAAAAGTAACCAGCGAGAAGAATCTACTGTAGGGCGACGAAGTCAGTGTGAAGGGGGAAGCATATGAAGGACAAATGTGCATAGAACGGTACGGAGTATTTAGGATTTCAGTAATGGTATGATTTGGTCATAGCTACCCGATATGGAGCTGTATGGCACTTGAGCTACCCTCGGTGACGTAGTATAAAAGATTCCAATCCAGTTATCATATGGTCTAAATAATTAATCGTGTATTAGTCTAGCTAGATGTATAGTCATGTGTAATGTCACGAAGAAGGACAGGTACCAATTTGGCAAGTGCAGGAAACACACCAATCATACCAAGCACGCTTTCAAAGATATATACATAATGTTGCTGTTATGATGTTGGAGAAGTCGTCGTTTTCAGCGTCTGGCCTACATAGGGGCGTTTCGGAAAAGATAGGAGACAGACTCTCCGTTGTGGAGTCGTCGGATAGCCTCAGCGAGGGTGGGACTGACGTCAATGGTGTCGAGTTTGGGACACTCGGCCTTGAGATGGTCGTGGGGGACAGTGTTTGTGCAGACAACCTTGAGCAGCTCAGAGTCGTTGATTCGCTGAACAGCGGGTCCAGACAGAATGCCGTGGGTAACGATGGCGATCACGTCTCGAGCACCGTTCTCCTTGAGGGTCTGGGCGGCCTTGGCAAGAGTTCCACAGGTGTCAGCCATATCGTCAACCAGAACACAGGTCATTCCCTTGACGTCTCCGACCAGCACCATTCGGGACACCTCGTTGGCTCGCTGTCTCTCCTTGTGGATCAGGGCAAAGTTAAGGTCCAGACGGTCGGCCAATGCAGCAGCTCGCTTGGCTCCTCCAGCGTCGGGGGAAACAATGACGGCGGACGACACGTCAACGTGCTCTCGGATATATCGCAGGGTGGAGGGCTCGGAGTAAAGGTTGTCCACAGGCACGTTGAAAAAGCCCTGGATCTGAGAGGCGTGCAGGTCCATCGTGATGACGTGGTCACAGCCGGCGGTTTGAAGCATGTTGGCCATGAGCTTGGCGGTGATGGGGGCTCGAGATTTGTCTTTCTTGTCCTGTCTTGCGTAAGGGAAGTTGGGGATAACTGCTGTGATTCGTCGTGCCGATGCGGTCTTGCAGGCGTGGATGATAATGAGGAGCTCCATGAGGAAGTCGTTGACCTCGCCGCATCCAGTCTGGAGCACAAACACGTCCTCGTCTCGCACAGACTCTCCAATGGTCACGGAGGTCTCGAGGTTGGAGAACTGGAAGACGCCAATGTTGGACAGCGGCACGCCCAGTCGCTCGGACACGAGCTTGAACAGGGCGGGGTGCGAGTTGCCTGCCAGCAGCTTGATGGAGTTGGAAGACATTTTCAATTCCGCCGGGACTTAGAAAATGGTGTCAGTTTTCGAGTTGGAGCTCTGTGGATACTGACTGTAATCTTGGATACACAATTTTTCTTGCGTAACGCACGTCCATGCAATGTGAGCCAAAAAAATATGTGCCGCGCAGTGGAGAAGACAAGGCACGTGGGACAGAGAGTGGTGGGGGATATGTGCTATAAGTGATGGCTACAAGTACTGCCGGGCTGGATATCCTGGCTGGAAATCACGTTACAGACCAATTATATGTTGCCCCCAAACCCCCATCACGGTTGCTCCCAAACAAACCCTCATTTCACAGAAGTAACGTCTTGCCGTTACACCTTGCTGTTATAGATGTTTGGAAACATGGTTTGAAGGGCTGCTGCACCTCGTGCATGCCTCCAGGTTTTCGAGCAGATGGCTATCGATGGGGAACAGAGGCCGTATCGGGAGATGTAGGAGTGGAGGTGTCGTTGTAGAGTGGGAAAATCAAATCGGGCGTTTGTGTTGGTATGTCATGTGACTTTTAGAGGCCAAAATATGCTCTGGAATGTGACATTGATGGAGATCTTTGAACATCGTCGCCTCACACTTAAGTAAAATTACTTGACATGTGCCAACAAAACACAGTAGAAGGCTTCAACTGGGTATTCCAGAACTCTAAAGATCGGATAAACCCGGAAACGCGGAAAAGAGCCACTTGCTTCCGGAAGTGTGTAAAAGAGACGGACTAAGGGGTTGTAGTGGATAGGGCATGTTACTCTGGTCCGGACGGGCATCTGGGTGGCTCTCGATTTTAAAAAACGTCATGTATTCTTAGGATGAGGGGCTCCAAAATAACCTTGTATTTGCAACGTATTTGTTGAACATATTACTTAACTTTAGTTGATTGCAAGACTGTGGTGTGTCTCAACTGATCTCTAGTCCATGTCCAACCACTACCGCTGCAGTACGTATAGCATACGGCAATCAACTGTGCCACGCGTATCGGAGATGAGGTTTGATTCGAGAGTTGAATTCGTCAATTCAAACATTGTCTTTGCTGAGTTTTGTCAAAAGCGTTTGAAACGATCAATTGTTCAACCCTTACCTTGGAGCTTCATGGTCGATAGAGAGGAGTAACCAGTGACCCAGCGGTTGCTCGAGCGCAACAACCCCTCATCTGATCCACTTTGCCCCTCTCATATCGAGATATAATATGTGTCTGACTACGATATATAGTAGAGCTCCTCGACCCCTCAGATCGTCATCACAGACACAGACGATGTCTCAACGCTTAAAAGTCTCCATTCTGGACAGGCCGGATTTACATTAGTGTACATTCTGATCATAGAAGAGGGGGGCTATATAAGCCACAGATGACTCAGACAGAACGAGGTTACTGTATCAATTGAGGCTACCGTTGCTGTTTACAAGTATAGATGTTGCAACGGTAATCGTACTCGTGTGTACATACTACATCGTACCGACGGAAGTCAGAGCCCAAGCCTTCTCAGTCAAAGCCTCCCCGTGCAACATTCGACTAGTGCGAATCTACGATATCAGTGTCTAGGGTTTAAAGACCTGGTTGTGTCGCCATTTTGGTTGAGAGACTTGTACAGTTTTGCGAGTCGGGGCTTCTAAACCAGTCACTAGCAGAGGTAAGACGCATGGTTGGTTATCGTGCTGAGGGGACCATGTCTCAGAAGATACATACGCGCAGGGACACGAGCAAAGAACAACTGAGGAAGAGCTTACCAGCAGCAGTCTCTGGACACACCTCTCGATGGTGTACGGATTGAAGTGGCGCATTGTCCAATAGACATCTGTACTTCCTCTGTACTACTTGACCTAGACTCTACTGTAATCTTACACCGAGGGATCTATATACGATCTGTGTCTAAAATAGAGGTTGAGCACGTCGTGTGTCTCAGTTGGTCTGGTATCCCCTGCCACCTGCATTGTTACAGTACAAGTACCGTCTCTTTGATTAATTAGCTGCGGATGCTCGCTGAGTCATGGATTAACAAAGGTCTGATAGCAGAGTGGGACAATCGGAGACAATTGTGGAGTTTTGGAAGCTACAAAGGGGACTATGTGAGACTTTGTTGAGGGGTTGCAACTTCAGAACATCAACATCCTCCCACATCATGTACCGAATGTATCGTGCATATAGCTACTGTAGATGGGCAAGGTCGTGTTAAGCAGCCCTTGGAAGCACCCCCGAAGGCAGCCAGGAAGAAAGGTCAGGCCATTGTGGAACTGCCACAAGTCGAAGCCCTGGCTGTACAGAGAAACCTCAAGAGCAACTTTAGCCTTATTCCACACCGATAACCGCAGTTTAGATGAAGCGTAAAGGTCTGTTTAGTTTCGGCTTTTTTCGTATTCGGTACGATAAAGTTGAAGTGGTTGCCCAAGTACATCTTACTAGAATGTACAATTATGAGGGCGAGTACGAGCTGTATTCGGCACAAAGCTACGACGTTTGTGGCTCTCCTGTCGATCCACCACGATCTTGTTTGCTTGTCTTTCTATTAGATTGACAATGTTTGACCTACATTTGAACCCCGCCTTTTCTTTCTCCAATGTGCGACCTGCGCCGAGATCTACAGTCGCATCTTCTGAGACAAGTAAAGGATTCTCAGTTGCATGTATGTGATTGTACAGTATGTATGAGTACGAGCATTTGCAGTGCTGTCAAGTGTATTTAGGTGATCGTGATGTATGTACGAGTATTGTACTCATTATTTACTATTTACTGCGAAGAAACCAGATAGTCCATGTCATTATTGAAGAAGCCATACTCTGAAGCTCGCTGTCGAAGAAGAGGAACAGGCTCCACCAAGGTAGACGCTCCATCATCGCTCTTTGTATCTGACCACGAATCAACTGGGCTCTCAGTGACATTGGTGGGTATCTTCGGGCTGCTCACCGATCTTGGCATCTTCTTTTTGTCTGTCTGTCTCTCCTGTTTGCCATCCTTCTTTGTCTTCTTATCACAATCGGCCTTCATCTTCGGAATCAATGTCTTTGGCGAGACCTTGGAAAATTGTTTGCGTGGATGTGATTCGGGTGAACCCTTGGCGTCTTTCTTGGTCTTTCCTGGAATAGCAATAGGTTCTGTCTCAGTCTTGGTCTTCGGAGTTGTCTTTAAATCTCCGTGTTCAACACATCCTCCACTAGACCTTCTTCTATCTCGTAAGTCCTTCTTGATGCCAGCCACGTCTTTACCCAAGAACTCCAGAAGAACCACAGGCACTCCGAAGATGGGATCTGAGGTGGCTCCGTCCATGAGCCGCAGCTTGAGAGGCGTCCGCTGCTGCTCGTGGCGCTGCTGCAAGATATCCCTGTCATTGAGCATGCGGCCCTTTGTCAACAGAGACCGGTTGTGCATTAGCTCGATTTTGACATTGGCCATGTTCTTGGGCTCAATGGTGGCAGGGTCCAGCCCTAGATCCAACAGAGTAGCATGCACCTCTGAGGAGATGGGATCTAGTGATGGGCAACACCACGAGTTGAGCGAGTAGTTGCTGAGGTCTGCATAGACATCTGGTAAACCAGCGGATTTCTCTAGTTCTGAGGAAAGAGTCCGGGCATAGAGAAAGACGGCAAAGTACACACATCTGAGGTTCACATAGACATCAAAGTCTTCCTTCTTATTCTCCAAGCCTCTCAACTTTTTCCAGATCTCGTCCAGAACCGCAAGAACTTGACGAAGGTAGCGTTTCTGCTTGGATGGGGATTCGCGTAGTCCAGAAAGAGCTCTAGTAGTGTCGCTCTCCAGAGCCGTGAGAAAAGTGGCCTCATTGGCAATCAAGTGCGAATCTAACGGAGAGTGCCATTGGGGCCGTTCCATGAGTCTTTTAGCGCGTTGAGACACGGCTAGTCCGGGGAATGAGCTTCGTTCCCATTCGGAGGTGCAAGTGAGATGGACGATGGAGTGTTCGTTCATGGCCGATCCACAGACTCCGTAATTGCGAAGATACTGGCGAACAGGATGAGGCAATGAGGGCTGGACATAGCTGAAGAAGTCTCGCGAATCTCGATCTGAGGTGGACAGATACTCGTTTCGGTGCTGTTTGAGAATGTAGTAGGCGTCTGAGACGGCACAAAAGTCGGTGTTTTCAAGCAGATAAAAGTCCTGGAATGTGCACCGGGCGAGCGTGCGGTACGCCTGGTCGATTTCTGCCTCAGGAGCTGAGATCTGGAGCTGCAAAATGTCGTATAGGAGCATCTCTGGAGAGCTGTCAAGGGACCAGGGGATTGTTATACTCTCTAGTTCGGTGGCCCTCCCACTATATATACATTGGAACACCTGCGCCCATGTGGAGTGAAGCTGTCATGTATTTGAGACACCACCTGCCTGAGACTGAGTTGCACTACAGTACGTCCGTACTGCTACTACTGAACCATGCTTCGCGTCACTCTCTTCTCTTCCGTCTATCGTTTAGGTCTTGGGCCAACCTAAAAGGCGGGTAGAAATGCGGGGAGACATCTTGTTGACTCTAGCAGTAGTGCACGCGGACAGGGGTCACTTAAGGGTGTGAGTAATTAGTATAACCTGTGTTTGTGTGAGTACAGCTCCTTGTTGCTTTGGGCTGGACTGAGCAAAACACGCCAAACAAGGGGGTAGCAAATTCCAAGACACCCGGTGTGGTTGCCCTTGGCGAACTTGTTTGAATGCTTCTCTGAAATACAGTAACAGGATGCTTGAATCAATGTTTTTGAACGTGCCAGGCACAGCAGTCTTTTGAGTTGACGAAAAACAAAAAAAAGGCTCTGAGCAGGAAAACAAAAAGGTTGGAGAAAGAGAGAACAAGAAGGAAAAGAAATGGGGAGTATGTGCACCCGAGACACACGAGTACAAGCAAAAGTGTCTTTTTTTTTTCCTTTTCTTTTCTTTTCTTTTTTTAGTATGCAACCGCAGTCACCGAGACACACCAACTACTCGTACTGTACGGAACCCTTGGCTCTAGCCCCTCTCGAAACAAGTTCATAATAAATTACTTTAGATAGACATCTTGGGGACGTTGCCCACAGACGCACTAATTAGTTTACATAAGATGAACCCACAATGTAAATCTCTCATGCTCCTCAAACTGAGCATGGGCTGTACGCTGAGGGGGAGCGTTGGCAGGGGCCGCGTCAACACTGACGTCAACGCGGTTAAGACCAGGCGCCAAACGGAGCTCATACCGCCCCTGCAGATCCTTCTGGGATCCCCAAGCACTCGACGGCAGATAGATGGGCTGGATTCGAGCAGAGTTTAGAGTCAATTGTAGGTTGTAGGGACGCTCGTATAGTGAGTTGTCAAGCTCGGCGTCCACACTGATGGTGGAGTGGTACGCAGGCAGAGCAAACGTGTGGTTCTGAAGCGCGTGTGTGGGGGAAGCAGGAATGTTGATCTGGAACGGATCCTGTTGGCTCTCGGGAATCTGCTTGAGCTGCTGTCTGATAGGCAGAGTAGAGTGCACGGTGAGAAGACGCACCAGAGGAGCCCGTCCAGGAGCTCGCAGAGGATTCTCGTTAGGAGGAAGCACCGTCAGAGGCTCCTCTGGCTTCTTCTCCTCAGCTTCTTCTGTCGCCTCAGGCTTGTTCAATGTCAGTTTCAGCTTTTGTTTGGGTTTGAAGAACTTGTGCAGCGTAGCCAGGTTTTCCTCTCCAAACGCCTTTCGTCCCTTCTCCACCTTTTGGGGAATGGCCTTCTCAACCAGAATGGCATCGACGTAAATGGGCGATCCGTCGGCGTTATAATGCTTCGCATTGTCGATCATGATCTGTAATTTGCTCTCAAGATCATCGAAGTTCTTGACTTCTCTGTTGTTGACCATCTTCTCTAAAATGGCAATGGACATGGGCGTCTCAATCACTTCGTAGTAATCGGGATAAAGATCTCTGTCGGGCTCAACCATGAACGGCTCACATGGTAAGGTCCGCTTGGCCTTGTACTTGAAGGTAGCCAGATCATTGAGAATGTCGATGGCTGCGTCTGAGAAGAGTTCCAGAATCTCGTCCTTGAGGTCGTCGTCGTTGACCTCTTCCTGCTCGCCTGTGTACTTTCGAGCGTCGGCCACACCGAGTTTGGCAATCTTAAGCGCATCCTGAGCAATTACACTATCCTTGTCGTTGAAGGCTGCAGCGTTGTTGGCCATCTGTTTGAGGTCCTTCTCAAACTGGTCAATGTTGACGTAACCATTGGTAGCAATTTTGGCATCAATTTCCTTGAATGAAACTGGCTTTTGGATCTCCTCATAATAGTGAGGGTAGTACCGCTTCGATGGCAGCTCCAGAAACTCTCCAGCAAGCAGTCGTGTAGTTCCGTCGTTCTCGTAGCTCTCGGTTTCCTCCTTTTTGATTTTATCTACAACCTCGGCCAGAAACAGCGACAGTTGCGATGGCTTGATCTCGCCCTTGGCCTTCTTGCGGGCGTCTGCTGCCAGAGTCGATGATGCCCTTCGTTTGTCAGACATGATTTCGCGTGGTTGTGACGATGTAATGGTGGTTTTAACGTCGGCAAGGTTAGGTGGTGGATGGAAGTCGCGTTCGTCACGAGTGGTCATGTGTTCGATTCCTGGTTGTGTCGTCCAAAACACACCCCTAATTAACAATAATTACAACCCTGTCATTTAAAGTTGAGATGAGGGATTGGATGAGATGGCGTGTCACTAGGGCGTAAAATAACACGCTTATCGATGTCAATAAAACGTCGTATAAACAACCATGTTGTTTGCCATTGGGTGGATAAACCACATTTATATAAATGCACGTGTAAATACCCCCAACTTCTACCATGAAACCCCCAGAACCCCACATTTCAGCCGCACAACCTCCATAAGCACACGCACGCATCCATCCAGTGGAGCACGCGCAACAAAGCAGGGCCCTCATATTACGGTAGTACAAGTACCCCACGACCATGTGACCCACTGAACCTGAGCAAAACACCCGTCTGATGTTGCCGCCCGAAGTTGTCTGTGAGGTTGCTGAGTACCTAGACTTGGAAGATCTGGTGGCTCTGGGATTGGCTTCCAGTTTCTGGAACGAGGGCATTCCGGACTCCGTCTATCGAGTGGCTCTACACAAACGCTGTCCCTTCTACGACCTCGAAAATTCGCCCAGACAGAGCTGGAGAGAATGCGCCCGAGTCCATGTTCTCCGAATGAGCCCAAACCCGGATCATTGGAGACCCTACATGCAATTTAACCGACACCAGGTATCTCCTGGCATCTTTGATTCGAACGGCGACGGCATTCCTTATGAGTTTTGCCAAGCAAACGATAAGACAATCTCCTCGTGCAAGGATGTGTGTTTACAGGAGGGTTTCGAGTCACTTGTGGACCCGTACGGAATCGTGCAACACAGAGGCACTACTCTATCCCAGTCTACAGGTACCTCTGTGGTGGTCATGAAGGATGACCATAATTTTGAGGGAGTCAAACTGTGCCTTGGACACGAGACACAACAACAATCACAATCAACAGCACCCGAGAAACGAATCAGCTTTATTAAACGAGGAACCATCGTTGAGGATCACGACCATATCGTCACTCCTGACGTAGACGTTGCATGTACCGTTTTCTCGTCGTTTTCGGACAACTCCAAAAAGTACTTTGGGGAGCTCAACTTCAAAAATGCCGTGGTTCCTTTCACCCTCGCATACTCCATGGATCAGGGCCGCATTAAGGTGAAGCTTTTCGAAGCGTCTGGGAAGTTGTACATGACGATCCGCCAGCTCGTATTCCATAAGATCGACATTTATGAGATAAACGAGTCGAAGACCGCCATCACCTACAAGAGCACTTGGTCGCCTGAAGAGGCCCATGACGAAATCATCACCCAGAGATTCATGTGGTATGATGGTTGTGTTATCAAGTGGTCCTTCTGTGGTAAGTCTCTGGGGCAAGCTTCCAAGAGATTGCAATTTAGCACCTATGACATGAGAGAAGAAGAGATTTCCACCTTCTTTAACTGCGGCAGAGACGACATTCATGACCTATTCCCTCATCCTAAGTATCCCAGATATGTCATGATCTTCACCAGAGGCCGCCAGTTGACTGGTGTGTGGGATCTCAAGAGTAGGTCATTTTCTGTGGACCCTTCTTCCGACTCTGACGTTGCTCTTTCATTCCCAGGGCTACTTAACGGCAAACTGGGATTCTGGTCATATAGCGATGCTTACATGGCCAAGCTGACTAAGGAACAGACGGATCTGGATGGCGAGTGGATCGATACCGCGTTATTTCCTTGCTCTGCCATGCCAAGTTTGACCAAAACTCTGCATCACAAGTTCCCCAGTCTAGCTCGAAGATTGTTCGGTTCTTAAGCAGCTGTGAGTCATTTCTCATATCTGCTTCATATTTCCCTTCACTCACTCACTCATAACATTCTCTATAAGTTATATATTGCTCATCTTTCCATCTTCAAGTACAGTCTCGTACAAGTATTCGCTGGTACCGGAACGAGTCGTGCAAGGTCGCGTCGTGCATGAAAAATACATTTTACGGCATTTACGGCAGGGCCCTCGTATCCCGGACATTATGCGCGGAATGTTGTTTTTGCTCTGTCTTTTGGCTCATAAATGAAGGCGGGTGAGAAGCAAACCCACGTGCATCATGGTTTTATAGGAATGAGACACTTTGATCCTCTTCCCATCTGGGAAGTGTCAGAAAGGTAGTGCGAGTGGCTAGAAGTAAACATCAACGACAGTGAGTTGAGAAATGGCTGGATTAAAAAAAAATTGAGACACGGAATCAAAATGCACAGCTAAGGAGAGTATTTTGGTGTTTTTTCCCCCACAAAATCTCCAGCTTGTCATCTCCGTCGAGCCGTCTCAAATTCCGACCGCCACACTCCACTATCTGCACGTCGGCAACTGTATGTGCGATTGGTTTTTCTATATGCGTAAACGGGTTGGTCTATAGACAAACATGGGTATAAATTGTTCGTTTTGGTCTCAGAGTCTAAAGAGACGGCGAGGGCCATGATATATATAGATAATGGGCTGTCGAGGCCGCACCAGTGGGCGACATAATACCTGTCCAGCAACACAAAAATGCACCCCCTCCAGTGGGTAAAGGCGACGATTGCACCCTTATTGCTCAGCTCGTGGGCTTCTTACACTGATAATCATCCGGCCCAGTCAATAGCCCATGATATCTACACCAGTATGGGGGTGGATGAGGTGCTCCATGACCGGATACTCGACAAGGCGCCGTGGTGGTGTGAGGAGGACTCATTCGCCGAGCAGGTGAAACAGCGACTGGCCAAAATGACAGAAGACGACCTGTTGCCGTGGTTTTCCATGGAGTACGAGGAAGATCATGTCATTGATCTTGGAATCGGCATTGTTCGGCACATTTTCTACAAGGAACACATTGACATTGCTCTACAGGCCTCCTTTTCCAAGCTGATACACGTCGCCAAGGAGCGCGGTAGCACACGCGAGCTGCTGACGGTCATTCACATGGTCATCGACCAGGGCTCCAAGACCATTGCGCAGGACGAGAATGTCAAAATGGCCAACTACATATTCCGAATTCTGTGCTTGCCAAATGCGTAACTGGAATCTGAAAAAGTGATCTAGACATGCATGGCTGGTGCTTGTCCATATTACAGAACAAGGGGGAACTGACCAGGGTGGATACCGCGTCGCGTGTGGGCCTTGACGACTTTGTACGTGTGAGGAGCTGTGCACTTGTACGGTACGAGTTTCCCATCATTTGGGCTGTCTCAGGACATGTTTGTAGGACATGTTTGTTTGTCACAGTCCACCCTTGTTCAACCAACTTGTCTAACTTGTCTGAGTCAATCAACTCTGTCCACGGACATAACTGCGCTCTTGTGGCAGATTGGGACAGCTGGTGGGGTTGCTCCAGGGGTAGACACTATTTATATTATATCATTAATTTATTCACGTGATCGAACTACACGTAGTTGTACAAGCATGGTGGTTATCGCTAATTATTCGTGTAATTGCCAAAGTCACATGACTATACACTTCGCATGCACTCTGTACTAATAATAGGAGCATGTCACAATCTACTCGAACTCACTAAATCTCCACCACCACGAACATGCCCAAAAACGTTTCATCGTTAGACAGCGATCTGTCGGAGCTGCGGGCTTCAAAATACGACGGCGCATCGACCGCAGAAGTGTCGGCATGGATCTCAACGGTCATTGGCGAAGAACTCCCCAAGGGGGAAGATCTGATGGACACACTCAGAGACGGAACCATTCTATGCAAGCTGGCAAACACCATCAAGCCTGGCTGTGCGACATCCAAAAAGTCTTCCATGCCCTTTGTTCAAATGGAAAATATTGCCAGCTTTCTCAAGGCTGCTTCTTTTCTGGGAGTCCCTCAACATGAGCTATTTGAAACCGTCGACATGTACGAGCTGAGAGACCCTGCCCAGATTCTTGTGTGTCTCAAGGCGCTGTCTCGACATGCCCATAAGGTCAATCCCGACATTCCTGTCATGGGCCCTAAGCTTGGAACTCCTAGCCCCAACGCTGGAAAGAAGAACTTCAAGGCGGACACGTCAGGGCCCGCTTGGAACACTCATCAGTATGGCTATCTTGGAGGAGCGTCTCAGGGATCGGAGAAGTTGGTTTTTGGCGGTCGAAGAGATATAATGACCGACGAGAAGACCGAAGAGTCCAAGAAGATCAACATCAACTTTGGATCCGGCGGTTCTGGAGGGTCCAATGACACCAGTGGTAGCCCAGCGACCAAGAAGGGACCTCCTCCCATTCCCTCCAAGCCAAAGCACTTGAAGGGTTTCGATCAAGGTGAGCATGAAGAAGATGAAGACGATGAGGTGGAGGATATGAAACTGCACATGCTCAAGAGCAAACAGCAGACGGCACAGGCGGTGGAGGAGTATGATGCGTCGGTATACGCCTACGACGACGTGTACGAAGATATGCACAACACCAAACCGGAACCCAAGACTCAACTAACGCAGTCTAAACACCTGGATGGTTTATTAGAAGCCAAGAGGAAACGAGAGGAGGATCGATTGGTGGCCACAGAGGTGAAATTGAAACGCCAGCGAGCCAACGAGGGCGATCTGTACGATGATAAAGAGAAGTTTGTCACCCCGGCATACAAGAGACAGCAGGAAGCACTCAAGAAGGAGAGAGAAAAGGAGGCCAAGGAAAGTAGAAGTGTTTCATCTTTTTATGATACGGTTGAGGCAATGGCTGGGAAAGGGGCAGGTGAGGAGACTTCACCGGTGCCTACAACAGAAGCACCAACGAATTCGGCACCACAAGCAACATTTACAAATCCAAAGCCCTTACCTGTTTCAGCACCAGCTCACACTGAAAAGATGGACAAGGTGGCTGCTGCTCGAGCTCGGTTTTTGGAGCGCAAGAAGGGTATTAAATAGTTTTTATTATTGCATGATTGTATTTTTTTTTTCCACCGTCGCTCTGGTGCGAGTACGAGTACTGGTAGTCACAATATTATGCTTCCAACCCCATACATCCAACATGCACAACCACTGATATACTTTTGGATAGGCGATATTTTTCTGACGCTCAACGACAAATTCAAATCATATCCAAAATGTCTGAATCGTCTCAAAGCGTCCTCGATCTGTTCAGCTGGGCTTTCGAGAAGACCCTTGCGCTCTCTGATGATGTGCTGACCGAGCGAATGCAGGCCGTCAAGTCCGATCTCTACAACCGAGACTATATGGCAGCGTTTGGTTCTCAGGACAATCTGGATGTCTATGCAGTCAGATGGTCTCCCGCACGAGCACTGGCTTACCATGAACTCTTTAAACAGCACAATGTTCTTCGTCACGATAAACCCAACGTTCTGTGTATTGGCGGAGGAGCTGGGGGCGAACTCGCTGCCTTGTTAGGTCTTATTGCTGAGACCCCTCAGAAAGATGAGATCAAGCTGAATATGGTCGACATTGCGGCATGGGGAGAGTGTGTCAGTAAACTGGAAGGTGCGTTCCCCAACATTTACGACAAGAACACCAACAAGGACGCCGTCACCACTACCTTTGTCCAGGGAGATGTCTTGATTCCTGAGACCATCCCATCGTTCGCGCCCTACACTTGCATCACTCTCATGTTCACCACTAACGAATTGTTTGCCGAGAACAAAGCTCAGACTATCCGTCTACTTAACAGAATGACCGAACAATGTGAGAGTGGGACTCTTCTCTTGGTCTGTGAGAGTGCCGGATCGTACTCTGATATCCAGATCAACGGCAAGACCTTCCCTGTACATTTTCTACTTGACCATACTATGGCCAAGGGCCGAAACTCGACGACAGGACCCTGGGAGATTGTGAATCAGTCCAACAGCGAGTGGTTCCGAATCAACAAGGAGCTGGAGCTGGTGTACCCCTGGAAGTTGGAGGATATGAGATACTTTTTCCGCCTTTACCGGAAGGTGTAGACGATGGCGTAAAAAGGCTTGGGTCGAAAGTATCACCTCAGCTTATATATTTGTATAATACTAATGCATTTTGAAGTTATATACCCACCGACATGCTCTAGAGTAATTTCTTAGCAAATTATACGTTCTTGTATAAAACTGCCAGACTGACAACCAAGAGCGCAGCACTGTCTATTCCATGTTTGCCTACCGATTTTTAAACATTCGATTGCGTGTTTCGGCGCGTCGCTTGCTTCTCTCTCTTTCGTTTCCGCATTATTCGTCATTTCGTGATTATACACCTCCTCCCCGCGATTCGAACACACAACCTTCTACTCAGATAACCCTTTAAGTCACGTGGATATGTGACTCGGTTTTTCCAAATTGGGAATAACTCTAAATTGAAAAAACACCCAAGCACCCTATAACTAAACCAAAAGTTCAGTCATTTTTTTTCTCCAACCACTAATCGACAAAAATGGCTCCCGTTGTAAGTATCACCACAACCGCTTTGCTGGGTAGGATGGGCTAAATGATACTCGCTTGACACACTGTTTCTCAAACAAACAGACAGTCTTGCGAGAATCTCAGCTGTCTCCTATAAATCCAGTAGGCTACGAACCCTCACTAACATACAGAAGACTCAGAAGGCAAACAAGTACACCGTTGACTGCAAGGCTCCCTCCGCCGACGGCATTTTCGACGTTTCTTCTTTCGAGAAGTTCCTGACCGAGCGAATCAAGGTCGAGGGCCGAACCAACCAGCTTGGTGAGGACATCAAGGTCTCCTCCAACGGCGACATTGTTACCGTTGTCTCCACCACCCAGTTCTCCGGCAAGTACCTCAAGTACCTGACCAAGAAGTACCTCAAGAAGCAGCAGCTGCGAGACTGGATCCGAGTTATCTCTACCTCCAAGGGTAACTACACTCTTAAGTTCTACAACGTTGTTGCCAACGAGGAGGACGAGGAGTAAATTTGCTCTTCTACTTCTTCTGAATGAGTGTTTCCAAAAAAGGGTTCAATACGGTTGTACCATAGTAATTTATTTGTAACAGAAAAAAGTTGCCGATATATCATGACTGTAGCGAGAGAGAAGTGTGTAAGAATTGAGTGAGCAGAAAGGTATCTGTGTGCTATGTAAAGTGTGTTTATAGCCATGTTTGTTGGATATCAATCATGTCCCTGGCTAAGCGAGTTAGTATCTCAATATTCAGCCTCCGTGATGGATGGTATAAGTGGTGGGCACGAAGAGCCCAGGATCAACTGCCCTCTCCCTAAGGGTATCGAAGGCGTTCATCTGCAGGGCGTGTTCTGAAGGGTATCTGAATCCTGCGTTTCATACCGGGCATAATGTTGAAAAACACTGGAAGATGTGAGTTGAATGGCCCGTCCGTGTTGACTTGTCGCAACGAAAATGCAGCAACTCCGAAAGTAAAGAAACTCCTCTCGTGAGAAGTCTGTCTGTATGGTCCTTCTGGATCACTTAGTACTTATCTGATCACCTTCGACTACTCGTTGGCGTGTTAGGCACCGTTGACCAACCTGATGTTGCCCGAGATGAAGGCGGGGTGCTACAAGTAGCGTCCGTACTGGCCTCGGTATCGACTCGCTTTCCCTTTTTCTTCTTGCGCCGCTTCTTCTTAGTCTTGACCTCTGTTGTCTTACTCTTGACATCGGTGACTCCAGCAGACACCTCCTTCTGGTGAATCTCACATGGCATTAACATCAGGCTGTTCGGAACGTGACTATAGTCCTGACTGAGTCGTCGAAGTTGCCATAGAATGTACTCCGCTCGAGTCATGATTTTCATCTTTGGGGCCATCTTGCTCAACAGTAGATCAGAGCCCAAAGGATGCGGCCTGTCATAGTGCGGAGGAGGAAGAGTGGCCAGTTTGCGTTCAAGAGCGGCACGAAAAGCGTCTGTCTGAGTCTCATGAGGAATCATGACTATTCGAGGCTCATTGGCAGATCCGATCATGACATCTCCGTTCTCGTAGGGCGTGAAACTGAAGGTGCTGTAGAAGACGGCCAGGCTGTTTTTCATGCCCCGGAGGTCCATGAAGTCCGCCACCTGATCAATCCGAACACCCGTCATGGCTGTAGGCTTTGGTAGTGTGTGTCTGAGGTTGTGTCTTGAGGTTGTGTCTTGAGGTTGTGTTTTGGAGGTTGTGTCTGTTGTGTCAAGCATAAGGTAACTACAGCAGAAAGACTATACTTGACCGTTTGTGCGTCGGTTGGTGGATAGACTGAGACTGTATGCCTTAGAAGAGTACAAGGGTGAAACAGTTGGAGTTTGACTGTACAACATAGCTATACGGGATAGATTAGAGGACGCTGGGCTATTGTTTATCTAGTTTTGGTCTTCGGGTGCAACTTGTAGGCCGTTTTGTACAGCACAATGTTCCACTTGACTCCCGCTTAATTAATTGCATTCTAGTTCACACCAGAACACACTTACTGTAGGGGCACGCCGGGCTGTAACACCCCACGTCGTCATATGATCTGGTTCAAAGACAAATCGGAAACCACCTCACCAAGGCATGGAACCATCCTCCCTTGCCTCTCGCTGCCCAGATCGTCCCGGCTACTGTCTCACTATTGCATGTCTTGTGCGGGCGGTTGAACGTAGATATGGTGCCCCGAAGAAGCCACAATTGTTTATCCGAGCACTCATCCATACAAGTACGTCCAGTATATAATCAGCGAGTTGTCTGAGGAGAATAGAGAGATTGTAAAAACCAAAAAATGCCCACTCTTTTCTCTCCATCTTACACTACTGTCCGTACACACGACCTACACCAACCACCCATCATGACTAAACTACACCCCAACCAAACCACCATGTGCAGCTCGTGCGACATGTTGCTCAAAGTGAAGGACTTGGCGGAACATCTCAAGGTGTGTTCCATTTTTTCCTGATGACCATGGGGCCCATCATCTCTCGTGGTATCTACGCGCCACATGGCGTTATCTCTGCTCCGAATAGATAATGCGTATGAGACGACAATCTCTCCGATTAGGTTCACGTCCGATGCTTGATACGAGCATAGACCTGTATTTAGTAATATTTATGACTATAAAATATATTTTTTATCCATGCGAACTCCGTCTATCTCTCATTTGACCGGTTTCACGCCCCCGTTCTGCAGCCTCTTGGCCTTCTCTCGTCTGTACTCTTCAATCACACACTTGGACTTATGTGCAATGTATTGATCCGCCAGGATCTGCGTGTTGCAGCTTGCACAGTAATGGTATGTTGGAGTCGTCATTGTGTGTGTAAGCCTTACTGTATGTACTGATATAGTAGTGATATGTTCGTCGGGACTCCCCACACCCTTATATGCTACAACCACGGGCCAAATGAGGCCAAACGTCACCTTGTGTGAGAGATGAGGCTCGCTGCAGGAGGGTGCTTCATACAAAGAGAACAGTGCATATTTCGAGAGGTCCTCATTGTGCAAATTCCGTCTCATTATCATCACAGAGGTGAAAGATACTGAAGCCCGTTTTCAATTTGGTTTCTGACTATGCGTACGATAGAAGAGGTGGTGATACCGTTGAACTTAGGAGGTAGTTGACTATAGTTACGGGTATAAGTGAGTATAGCATCAACAGGGGCTATAGAATACATTCGCTAGTTCTCCGTGTGAGGATGTCCAGGAAAGAGGGTCATTATAGTACGAGTAGAGTCTGGTCATTGGTGTGACTCGTGTGTTTTCCACCAGATACAGTTATGTATCGTATGTACTGTGATCTTCACATTGTATGAGCGCATCTACATGTATCAACCTCGCTCTGATCGTAGCTACAGCACTACTGTCTGTACCGAGGTGGATCACTGAACTGAATGAGAGTGACTGAAGCATTATCAGTGTAAGTGCATGTGCCTGCTGACAACTCCCATGGCATGTAAATCTCTGTCTAGTATGTACGATACTCGTATCGAGCTACTATTCACAGTACATACTGAGAGTACTTCGTCTTGTATAGCCAAGTATCGTGCAATTACCGTACAGGTACTTGTAGCACTCTACAGTATTCCTGTACTTGTGGAAGACTGCTACTTGTACTGTCTCCAGAGTCCAACCAACCCCCAGAATGTATAAGCCGGTACAACTCCACTTCCACGTTCATAGATAATCATAATGTCTATATTAGTTGCCATGAGCTACACTTGTAGTACTAGTACTCAGTTTATGGCATGGGGATGCAAGAGTGGCTTTCCTTTGACAGAAAGAGTGACGGTACCTCTCCAGTAGCATTAAAGGACGAGGTTGGCGAGAGATGTCTCTAGTTATGGCGTATCAAAACGAAGATGTACGTAGGCTCTGGTATTGACAAGCCATGGGACACCTCTGATAGCTAGGAAACAACAACGGTGTGTCATACGTTTGGCTCATGGGTTTACTTTCCCTCCTCGGGAGCACCTCCGCCCAGCAACAGCAGCAGCAGAATGGGCACAATATACATCCAGTACTTCTGAATGAAGGTCTTTTCGGGCTCGTCCTTGAGAATCTCGTTGTTGACCAGCTGCACGGGCTCCTTGATGGCTGCTTCGGGAGCTGCCTGGGCTGTGGTAATAGTGACCGTGTCTTCGGCGGCAGGAAGGCCCTTTTTGAAGTTGATTTTGGTGATGACGCCGTCCTTGGCCTCGATTGTGAACTCCTTGCCCTTGTCGGCCTCGATCTGCGCCAGAACGTGGCACACAAAGTCGCCTGCGACGTTCAGGCCGATGCAAGCCTCGCCGGCAAAGTCCGAGGTGGATGTGAAGGAGGGGGTGTCGAGATCAATGGTTCCGAGAGTCACGACGGCTGATCCGTCGGCAGGCCGGGCCAGAATGGATGTGGCGGCAACAATTGAGGGCAGCAGGGCGATTAGAAGCATGTTGGTATAGGAGCTGTCGAGATATCAAAGTGTCGATTGTGTAGCATTGACAGCATGCATGTTGGGACACGTTCATTTTGGATTAGACTTTCACTCAGTGGAAAGCTGTCACCGAAAAAAAATGTGCACTTAAAGATTTGAACACTGTGTGAACTAAAGAGGCATTTGAGAGAAGGAGTCAGTTCGAACCTCGCATGTACACAGGAGATTAATGAAGGCCAGCTGGGGTGGAGGCCATGAAGCAGATATAGGGAGGAAAAAAAACTCTGAAATTGTTGGAAAAACGAATTGGCAACAAAACCACCATCGGAGTTCATCTTTGGTCACCATTCCCCCACTAACTACTTAACCAGCCTCCTTGTTTGATAACAACACGAGGATCAATAGAGTTAGTTACCCTACTTATATTTGTGCTCCCATTGGCCAACGGCGCATTGTCATATTTTACCTCTGCAGTCGGAACACACCACCACCACACATACTGAAGGTCCAATACCTCATACATTACACAACCGAAAAGATGTCTGCCACTCTCAACGTTCTGCGATGGTCCGCCCTCGGTGCCGGTGTCGTCTACGGCTTCGTTCACAACCGAACCCTCTACTCCCAGGCTGAGAAGAAGGTGGCTGATGCCAAGTTCAAGAAGCAGGAGAAGCTCATTGAGCAGGCCAAGGCCGAGTGGGCCCGACTCCACCCCGCCCCCGTCGCCTCCACCGGTGTTGTTACCGATATCTCTGACGACAAGTTCGACATTGAAGCCTACCTCAACCACGCTTTCCCCGAGAAGGCCTAAGCGTATTATTTATGCATCGAAAAGCTCGACGAGCATGTAATTAATTGACCATTTGGACAGGTTATGAGGCGAAGTGGCTTACCAGCGGTTCTTTTCCCTCTTTGGTGGCACGCCTTGCGCAGCTCCCTTCAATTTGATTTATGTATGTGACTTGAATGTGGGTTGTAGTTGAGTGTAGTTGGACACAGTATGACGTACTACAAGTACAAATGGTAGATGGAGCCTTGAATACCAGATACGAAAAAAGTTCTCCATGTTCAATTGATTTAAGCCACCCTTTAGATCTGATCTTTCCATGGTTATCTTACAATATAGACATGTTGATGTAACTCTTCACATTACGAATACAAGCACGAGGTGCTTGTTCTGATTCTGACTATATACACTTATCGGGGAACGTCCTCGCCAGTTCTGGACATTCCAAACACTCGGCCGCTTCCAAGGCCAAACTTCTCCCGCAGGCTCTCGGCAAACATGTCGAACCGGTTTCGCCAGAAGAAAGCGCCCACAGAGGTCAGCTTATGCTTGTCGGCAAAGCCCCGGATGTCGAAGAAGTCGGAATGCGAAAGAGAGTCCTTGACGTCACCGTCCTGTCGGAACACCCACAGAGACATTCGGTGGTCTCCAGAGTTCTTCTCGGGGGTGGAGGGCACATACTTGACCAGAGTGTCTCCGAGCTCGGGCTTCACAAGAGGCTGATCGACGGAAATGGGCACGTTGGACACGGCCCAGTGGACCTTGGTACCAAAGGACTCGGTCTCAGGGACGGGGTAGTCGGGATCAACCAGCAGGACTGTGTACTTGGAGTCCTTGGGGATGTCCTCGAATTCCTGGATCTCGACGATGGGCAGCTCGGAGGTGAGCTCGGTGGATTGCAGTGTTCCGGGAGTGATCCACTTGCCCTTCTCGTTGCCGGGGAAGTTGACTCGAACTCGAGCCTTGGCGTCAATCACGGGCATGGTGTCGGGAATGACATGCATGGTCTCTAGACTCTCGACCAGCAGAATCTGCTCGTACTTCTTGTAGTCGGCCTCGGCAAGATGTCGGTAGACGGGGTGATTCATATCGACATTGCCGTTCACGTGGTTCATCATCACCTGGGGGTTGTGGACCTCGGCCTTGCCCATAAGCTTGATGTACTGGTCCTTGAGAGCCTTGTCTCCAGAAGCCTCGAACTCCTTAGCAATCTCCTCGGCCTGCTTCTTGATGGCAGCGCTCTTCTCCTCGACAATCTTCAGAGCAGCGGGGAAGATTGCATCCAGACCAGGGGGACTCTTGTACAGAGCTCGCTTGTTCAGATCCTTGATGGAGGTGTGTGCTCCGGACGTGGAGCCGCCGGTGAGAATCTGGGCCAGCTTCTCGTCGGCCACCCGCAGAGTCTCGGCAGAGCCACTGTTGTTGGTGATAAATCTTGCTCCTCGTGGCGCCAGCCGAACAGTCGATCTAATCATGGCTGCTGTGTGTGAAGATGTGATATTGACCTGTGGAATTTTTCAGAGTTAAAACATGCACATTGGGAGGAGAGAGTGTAGGGATGGAGTGACAGTGATTCAGGTGGTGCTATAAGTACTAATAATGACAGATCAGCTGAGGTCGTTTCAAAGCAATAGATTTTTTCTGTGTCATTATTCAAAAGTGTGTCCTTGGCCAAGTAGTTTTCTCTATATAAGTACTTGTACCTTCCATATTTTTTCTTGAACATGTTAAGCTTACTAAGCCAATCATATACTTAGAATGAACTCAATTTCGGTACATGAGCGTACATACAGTAATGGAGATGGGGTGAGTGTACGAGGCGGCTTATTGCTGTAATAGTGATTTAAGAGTAAAAAACGAAAATATAAATATAATAATTCGTTCAGACTAACGATTTACTGTGATTTTATTATATTTATTAAAAATTCTCCTATGACACTTATTGAATGCCTAACAGCATCTCCCACTGCGCTTAATTCATGCTGAACTGACATGACGTGTGCTGTTCAAGTACAGCTGTAACTAACATTGAAATCACCACCACCAGCTCACAAGTTCGCCACATGCCATGTTGTTAAAGTCCCTGGCATTGATAGCAAGCTCGTCGCTCGCAGCAACCTTCAACATAGGAGACGATCTCTTTGCCGACCCACAATTCACAGTACAGTTCCACAACCGACCATTGCGACAAGCAGATGTCCAGAACGGCCTGCTACCGCATCGAGATCCGGTATATGGCCATCCCCTGGGGTACGAGATGATGCAATTCAACGGCACAAACCACATCTGCGGTATTCCGGAAGTCACGACCACGAAGAGCTCAAAATCACGAGAGGAGGGAGAACTGTCGCCAACAGAGGCCCGAGACAGAGCTTTGGAGCTCATGTTGCCTCTTCTGGGTGACTGTCTCTTCTACGAACAGGGATTCTTCTCGTATCGTTTCTGTTACGGCTCGGGAGTCGTTCAGTATCGAAGACATGGAGACAATTACTTCCCTCGAATCTATCCTCCTCCTCAGGCAGACGATTCGCCCACGTTCGTGCTCGGTAGCTTCGAGAAGGACGATACGACCAACACGGTCACCAGTGCCGGAGGAATCCCCTTTCTGGCCCATAGACTCCGTTCGGGAACCCATTGTCCTCTGACCGGCGCCAACCGAGAAATCGAGGTTCAGTTTGTATGTGACAAAAACGTCCAGCATGACCATATACTGTGGATCAAGGAGAAGCGAACGTGCAACTACGTCATGCAGGTCGGCACCCCGCGCCTCTGTAAAGACATGAGGTTTCAGCCTCCTCCAGATGAGTCTTTGCCCATCATGTGCTACAGCGTCGAGTCTGAGGCCCCCGAGTTTGAGACCATTGACGGCATGTTTGACGGCGTTGCTCACGTGAAGGAGGAGCAGGAGGCTGTCTCGGCTCGTGCCCACCAGTTTGTCGGATCCAATGTCAACAAGGACAAGATTGACGAGATTGAGGTTGCATGGAGATTCACCAAAGCTCGAGCTCTCAACTACATTGGAGTCTGGCTCGGCGACTGCGTCAATAGACAGACACTGTTCAAGGAGCTTGGCATTGCCACTCCTTCTCATGATGCTCCTTTCATCATCCAGACCAGATCCATGTTTGTTCCTGCTCCCATCAACCGCCACTTTGAGGTGCGTCTCATGATCACTCGTCAGCAGCTGCTGCTCAGCATTAACGATGATGATGTGACTCTCGAAGAGAAGTATGCATGGTGGCAGGAACAGGGCGACATGTCAAACCTGGAGATCCAGGGTCTTACTATGTTAGATGACGCTGGGATCGAGGATGTCCTTGCCAGAGCTACTGATGAAGTTATGAAGCAGCTTAACAAGGAGGCCAAGCAGTCCAAGAAGCTGGCCAAGAAGAAGGAAGCTGCCTCGACTAAGAGGGAAGAGGCCAAAAAGCAAGTGGAGGCCTCGGTGGAGGAAAAAGCTGTGGACTCAGCTGAAGATGATGGAACTGACACTGTCACTTCAACACAGACCTTCTTCCGGACTCAAACACTCTCCACAGCTGAGGCAGAATCTAAACAGATGCCAGATAAGGCCGAGGAGGACGAAGATGAAGATCTGATTGTCACCATGTACTTTGAGGATGGCGAGTTCAAGATTGAGGGTTTCGAGGTTGCCGACTTTGAGGGCGTCAAGTCTGCCATGAAGGATCTCGCAGATAAAGAAGATGACGATGACGATTACGAAGACTATGGTCTGAGCGACTAGAGTTCAAATACTCATATACTAATTCATGCATGATAAGAAATACAATTGGCCGGCTATAGCAGAGTCCTCGTTTATACCACATTTAAAACACGCGCTACGCTCCTACTCCTTACTCCTATCACAATAATCTATCAATACATAATTTACACGCTGACATATTACATACGCCAGACAATTATACATGTTTGCTTCCTAGGCAAACACTTCGTTATCACTGGGCTTTCGCCAGAACATTTTGCTGGCGGGCCGCTTCTTGGGACCAGGGATCTTTCCACTAGGCGGCAGCTTGGATCGCACATTTCGCTGCTTGACAGGCACCTGTTCGCCCTCAGGAATGACGTCGGCAACTTCAAGCTTGCCATGAAGGAAGGGGCGAATCAGACCAATCTGAGAGTCAGCAGATTCTCGGTCGATAGGATCGTATTCGGGGGCCTCCAGCTCCTCCACAGTACCCACACTTTCCACATTGTCTCTATTGAAAGCTCCGTTGAGTCTGCCCTGCAGAAGATGCAGAGGAACGGTGGAAGTAAGAAGACCGAGCTCCTTATCGAGACCGAGTTCCTTGAAACCAAAGAAATCGTCGCCAATCGCCTCGGAAAAGTCTCCATTAACAAATTGCTCGGAGTTGTCCTTGAACTGCTGGTCTGTCATCTCTCCCTGACCACCTCCAGGTCGCAGCAGATCGCCCAAGAAAGACCCCAGGTTGTTCTTGAGATCCACCAACTTATGGCCGTGACGCTCAACGTCATCTCGGATGTACGCAGACAGCCCCTCGATAGACCCCGCGCCCGATTCCTCCAGAGTCTCCTTCAGAATCGTCTCCTTGCTGGTGTTTGTGTTCTTGAAATGCTGAGTGTAGGCCACCATTGAACGTCCCAGGTTGGATAGAAAGTCGCCCGCAATCTCTGTGAGTGCGTTGATGGCAAACGACTCGGTCGACTCAAAACCAGAGTGCATAGCAATTCGAGAAGCCGCTCGTTTCAGAGAAGCCTCACACACCTCTTTATCGTACTCATCTCTATTAGGAAGACGAGACTCGATATCCACATCAAAATCGGTGATCTTAGGCGGATTGTAGGCCTTTATCTGCGACGAATGCAGATACTGCTGCTGCATTTGTCGGATGATAGAAATTTTGGAGCAAATCTTTCGAATCTTTTGCATCTCGTTCAAGTTGTGGTCAATCTTGCTGACTAGACCCTTCGCAGGGGCAACGTATCGAGAAGGAGTGTTCTTGAGGCACTCAATATCAACATGGCTCCAAGTGTCGTCAATTCCTTCGTCGGGGTTGTCGCATGAAATGGCCCAGGGGAGCTCAGGAAGGCCGGCCTGGGGGTCGTACTCAAGTAAAAACGGCCGTCGGGGAATGTTTAATGGAGCATCAGCCTTGGGCTGTGTACTATCATTCACCTCTGCTGCCTCCTCCAGCAAGTCCTCCTGGAATTCCTCAAACTCCATGTGGGGACCGACTCCTCGCACTGCTGCTTCGGCTGAAAGGAAGTCACGGAACCCCTTTGATTTGGAAATGACAGTAGCGTCTGCGTCTGCCTGTATCTTGTTGTCCTTAAACAGCCGCGACCGCTGCACGGAAATGAGCGTCCGTTTGCGGCCAGTGTACTCAGTCCAGAACTGCTCCTCGAGATCATTGTCCGAATCGTCATCGGAATCACCACCAACCCCATAATCATTATTCTCAGCAGAAGCAGTCAGTTCCTTGGCACCAGTATGGCCAGCGGGGACCAAGGCAGACACGTTCGCCGACTCGGGCTCTTCGGTGGCTTCCTTGGTCTCGGTCTTGATATCGTTGTTGTTGGTATCCGGCTTAATATCATCCGAAGTCTTGTTGTTACCATCAACATCGACGTCCATAGACACATCTTCAACCTTGATGTCAGAGTCGTCGGCGTCTTTAGCATCCTCATCCACCTCCTCAATCTTCCGCTTTCGGCCTCCCTTCTGGCCTTTTCCTCCTTTCTGGCCCTTCCCAACAGTTTTGCCAATAGACATTCCTGTTCGAGCCTTGGCACCTCCCTGCTCTTTTTCCTCCTCTTCCTTGGCCTCCTGAGCCTGCGCGGCCTCCTCTGCGTCTGCCTCGGCCCGTGTCTTGATGGTGATGTCGGGGATGAGAGGAATGAGCGTCAACGTCTTCTTCTGCATGGCAATAGCATGGGCTCGCAAAAAGTGCTTGGGATTAGTGTTGTAGGTCAAGCAGTTTTGCCAGATGAGCATTAGGTCGTTGACAAAGTCCTTCTTGCTGTCGTATTGGAGGTTCTTGAGCTTCTTCATGACCGTGTTGAGATCCATGGGCTCCTTGATGACACTGAAGTAGTTGGGCGCGTCCCGCTTGTTGACCTTGTTGAGAAATGCAGTTGAGTGCTCTGTGTAGCCTCGTAGCTCGAGAACCACCTTCTCTGCAGCTTCATAAAGATCCTCCTGGCCTACACGTTCTTCGTTGGCCCACTTGGATCGGTTTTTGCGCACGTCCAGAATCAGCTTACGCAGCTGGGTGTCTGTGAGAGACAACTTGTCTCGCTTGGACTCAATTGTGGCCAAGAGGTTCTGTGTTAGTATAAATAATAGGAAGGTCGTTAGTAATGAAGATGCTCACCTTTAGAGACAGATTTGCGGCTCCAAAATTCGCCTTGGTCGGCTCCTCCTGTGTGTTTGTTTCCCCTGTGTTCTCCGACTCCTGGCTTCCCTCCTCGGCCAGATACGAGTCCATGGCCTCGCTGTCATTTTCAAACAGATGGTACCGTTGCCATATCCGGGCCAACAGAGCCGAGTCTCGTTTTTGGATATCGTCGGAGGTCGCTGGTCGGTCTTCGACCGATACCGAGTCCACTAGTGCTACACTGCTACCGTCCGTATGCTGGTCCTTGTTGTTGTTTCCGTCTGTTTTGGGACCCTCATCTTCGTCATCAAAATCGTAGTCATCTTCCTCCTCTCGTACAGGAGCAGCCTTGATCTGGGCAGGAGTCTCTTCCTTTTTGCGTTCTGCCAGGATGTCTTCAATGTCCACCTCCAGGTCCCCTCCCTTGATGTTGGGGTATAGCAGCGGCACAGACTTGTCGAAAATCATGTGCCGCACCTTGAAGGCCAACGCGACACAGTCCAGCGACACGGTCTTCTGAAAGCCTTCATTCGACGGAGTCGGCGACGGCTGATTCATCTGCAGATGCTTCAGATGCAGATGCGTTGAGGAGGACGATGTGCTCACCACGGGTGTACTTGGAGTCGGGGTTTCGGGACGTGCTCCATCCAGATTGTTGTTGGCGGCGTTTTCCTGTTCCTGCCTGAATCCCAGCGGGGGATCCGGCAACGGATTGTCGACAAATATCGACAGTTTGCCCTCGACCAGGTTGTCCCACATGGCGTCGTTCTCCAGCACTTTTTGCACGACCTGGTGTTCCTGGATGGTGAGAAAGCCGCGCCAGAGATCCTTGGCTTCAATTTCGCGGGCGACGGCAAGCAGATCACGTGATCGCCCGGAGGCCCACACGTTCAGCGACGTCATGTTGTCGTTCAATGTCTAAAAGGCCGAGACGGTGCTGATCGGCTTTTTTCCCAATCGGAGAATGTGATGGTGAGATGTGGTGTTGGAGATGCAGTATAAGTGGAGTGCCAACCTTAAACTCGCGCACCGGAGGGGAGAGATGGATCTGGGTGATGGACGTGAGGGCAAGAAGTTAGTATGCTATTGGGAGGGTATTTGGCGTCGGAGGGGATGACGACAGATTATGAGTTAGTTTGGGGGAAACGACACTAACTCGTAAGTTGTAAGAGCTACTGAGGAGAAGTGTAGCTGACATGAAACAATGATATGAACGATTGTGTGTGCTCGTCCGTCGTAATTGTACTGTACAGTTATTACTCATTGGTGTCTTTCACTTAATTACGAGTCAGGCACCGAAGACAATTCCGCAGACATAATGTGACCTTCCCAATACACGGACAAGGCAAGTACAATATGAGTGTCAGCTTGATATATATAAGGAGGTGTGACGACTCTTGGTGAGCAGCGTCTTTATTAATCCGGCAATGGCCCACAATCGACAATTCAACGTTTCTCAGCAATCAAACAATTCTTCGACTATTCGCAGATCCCCAGACTTGGACATTGCTATAAGCAGTGATCTTGATATTTTCACTGGTACAAGACACGTTCCTGGACCTACCGATAACTACAGAGACTACCAATCAATCCTCGACCCCATGACTTCATCCAGAGCTCCTGTTTCTGCCCGGAGAGCTAGCTTCAAACGGCATTCCCCCATGGATCATTCGGAACGACCCTCCAGCTACTCACACACAAACAGAAGATCCATGTACACGCATTTCGAACATGAAGAGCCGTTCATCAGACAGGTCACCAAGGGTCTGATCGTCATGGGTGGATACCGGGATTTCCAGAGTGAATATACCACTAAGGTGCTGAGACCTACATATGAAAAGGAGCTACTTATGGAGCATCTTGCATCCCACATTGAAACGATAAACGGGCTGATTGCGACCCATTCACGCAACTTGCGAGCGAAAAGGTCGTTTGGAAGAAGATTGGTTTCGATTCTGCTGTTCAAACCGCCTCCCCACAATTCTGCTCGCTTCGAAGATGCCTCTATGCCCTGCACTTCTTCTGATCCGTTTGATCATCTGAAGCTTCCTGGTCCGTTGGTCTCGTACCATCTTCCCTTGTCTCAGCAGTATTACCGACATCTGTTTGACATGGCAGATCATGTTACTTTGCATGATGATGTAAAGAGTATGATCTCCAGGGGTTTTGCTCGGGCTCAGGTGTTAGAGGGGAGCTACGAAGATGACTGACAGCCTATGGACTACTCACTCATGCTTGACTACGAGTACAAGTACGTCATACTAACGAACCGCACCTATCCACTCATCACTGAAAAACTGTAAGAATAATTAACTATAACTTATGTACGTATCTATGGACTGTTGATGGAACGGGCCATAGAAGGTAGTTCTTTTGTTTGAACATTCCAACATTCCATGCTTTTACCCGCTCTTGTGGTTGTCCTTTTGTCTCGATGCCCTCCTTAGATCTTACCCCAAAGAGCGTTTCGAACCATGTTAACGGCCGAGATCTTGACGGTCTTCCACAGAGTCTCGATGTCCATGGTAGAGGACAGAGTGTCGAGGAAGCCGAAGGGAAGCATGGCGGGGATCCATCCCTGAGCAAGCTCAAGAGCCCAGGCACCGCCGGGCATGTGGTACTGCTTAGCAACACCTCGCTTGAGGTGGTGAGAAGAGCCGGGGTAGTACACCTCAGGCTCCAGCTCGCCGGCAGTGTGGGCCATCTGGTACTTGGTGAGCATCATGAAGTGGTCATCGGCGTAATGCACTCCGGTGTGGCCCTCGGTGCCGACAGCAGTGCCAAAGAAGATGAGGTACTCGGTGACAGAGGCATGGAGCACAAACATGGATCCCATGGCTCCTCCGGCGTTGTTGAAGACCCACTCGTCAAAGTTGAGCTCGTTGATGAACTTGCCATATCGGTCGTGCAGAGAGGCGCCCAGATCGGTCAGAATGGCGGTCGAGTTTCCGTCGGGGTTTCGCTCCAGAGTCTGGTTGACCATGGTCATGAGCTCATCCTTGTCGAAGATGTATCTGTGTGGGAGCACGTTGATAAAGAGCCAGTTGGTGACCATGTACAGACCCACCAGCAGCAGGGAAATCAGACCGACGAATTTCATTGTGGCGGTTCGTACTGTCGGTGATAGCTAGTTGTAATGCGTGCCCCCCAGTCGCGTCTATATATACAAACACAATAGGCTTTGCCCAAATCACTTGCATGAAGAACCTTAGACATACGACCTGAGCGAGATGGGATGACATGGCATGGCGTGTGGAGGTGACCGTCCGTGCATCCGCACCACCTTTTGTTGCAACTCGATCCCACCACGAATTCAGACTTGGGTTGTGTGGATTGTGTATGTGTGTGTGTGTGTGTGTGTGTGTGTACACGTGACCAACTCCATTCACTCCACTTCCAAAAGAAAAACACGTCTTAACCCCTTGTCTGGTCTCTCCCAGTTGTCTCCATTGCCTTCATAGTTAGCGCATGTTTTTTCACACCGGCGTTTCGCTTAAAGTTCCACCTTCGTATTCCTCGTTTGAAAAATCATACATGCCTGTTTCTTTCGTGTCGAACGTTACTGCACGATATTGTGCGTGCAGTGTGGGAGATTTGCGTAATACAGTGCAACGGCTCGGCGGGTGGGGGGGAGGTTGGAAACTCCGTGTCACGTGACGTGTTCTGAAGAAGCTCTCGGGTGGGTAGCAGGAAGATTTGCAAACAGTGTGCCAAGTACGAGTACCTGTACTGGCGGTATCGTACATACTGTACATGAGGACGGATCGTGACCACGTGACCGACAAGATCTGGAGTTATCTTGAATGGCGTATTTGTAGACGGCGTTCTATGTGATAGTTGTGTCTTCGTATCGTACTTGTACTTGTACTCGTAATAAATGGGGGAATGTGTGATTTGTAGCTCGTATGACAGCCAAATAGGGGGCAGATGCACTGAATACAAGGAAAAGTGATACTTGTACAAGTACAAATACAGTAGATGGAGAATGCAAGCCAAGAGTTTGACGATACAGTCACAAAAGGTATACTGCCGGCAATACACGAGCCATTGGATCAGTAAATCAATCGTTCAGTTTCTATTATGATCTGGGTTGAGGTGGGGTGGTGAGGGTAAGTAATTTAGGTGGTATTAGTTAGCTTAGGTGAAGTATGGTATATGTAATGTATATGCAGAAAAAAAAAAAAAAAAAGTGGAAGGACCATCAAAAATGGTCACAAATTGGAACTGGGAGTCTTAATAATCCAATAACTGCTCAAAGTGACTGCTCCAAGGCTGTCATTTTGGTCTGACTCCAGATCAATGCCACTAAGAGAGGCTACTCGTACTTCCTCCTCTTACATAACATGGTTCTGGAAAAATTAATTAACGTTTGCAACATGCAAGATTGGAAAAAATTGGTGTGCTGAAATCCAACTGCACGAAACACATCTGCTATACTACCAAAAGACAAGATGGAAACGACGGAAAAGACTGCGTTCGAAGCCGTATCCGTGGAGCCTTTCTACACCGGCGGCAAGACCTCTCTCGCCGACGACGGGTACACCCTGGCCACCTCTTTTGGAGAGGACGTGGTGGTGACCAACATCAAAACTGGAGAGGAAATCTGCCGAATCGAGGGCGATAGTGAGATTCTGACGACTCTGGAAATAAGTCCCGATGCCCAATACCTCGTCACATGCTCCCGATCTCTGACAATGCGCACATACCGAATCCCCAGTGGAGAACTGGTTCGATCAGCCCGGGCCCATGACGCCCCAGTGATTGTCATGGCTATCGACAGCTCATCGAGTCTGGTGGCGACCGGAGGAGCCGAGGGAACCGTCAAGGTGTGGGATCTGGAGCGGGGATTTGTGACTCACAATCTCAAGGGCCATGGAGGAGTGGTTTCTGCATTGAAGTTTTTCGGCGAACAGGGCGGCTCAGTGTGGCGCCTGGCGTCCGGAGCGGACGACTGCAAGATCCGAGTTTGGGATCTCGTGAGCCGAAAGTGTCTCAAGGTGCTGGATTCGCATAACTCGGTCATTCGAGGTCTGTCCTGGAGCTCCGACGGTGGCATTCTTGTGTCTGGAGGCCGAGACAAGATCGTCAACGTGTGGGACGCCAACAAGTTCAAGCTGGTGCGAACCATCCCCGTGGGTGAGAGTATCGAGACAGCCGGTATCCTGAATGGCGAGGGTCTTCGAATCTATACTGGTGGCGAGATGGGAGTTGTGAAGATCTGGAACGGTCAGACTTCTGCTCTGATTGCTGCCCAGGTCCAGCCTGCAGTGCACAACAAGGAAAACGAGCGAGTGGGAGTGGTGGACATTCTGTATAAGACCGACAAGCTTGTGTCTGTGCTGTCAGACCAGACTTTTGTGGAGCTGGACGACGACCTAAAGGAGGTGCGACGTATTGTGGGTTTCCATGATCAGATCATCGATATGACTTATGTTGGCGAAGACGAGTCCAAGCTGGCGGTGGTCACCAACGCGCCCGACATTCGAATCCAGACCGTTGGAGGAATCGAAACCAACGTTCTGACTGGACATAGAGATAACGTCATTGCCGTGGACCGATCGTTTGACGGTACCTGGCTGGCTTCCTCTGGAAAGGATCACGAGGCTAGAATCTGGCACGTGCCCACTCTGACCTGCTTTGCTGTCTGCACCGGTCATGCTGGTTCTGTGGGAGGTGTTGCTCTTCCTAGACTTCCTCTTGAGGGTCGACCTCCTCAGTTCCTCATTACCGGCTCGCAAGATCTGACCATCAAGAAGTGGAACATTGCCAAGGACGGTACTGCGAAGGCCGAGTACACCCGAAAGGCCCACGAGAAGGATATCAATGCTCTGGACGTGTCTCCTAACGATAGACTGTTTGCTACGGCTTCTCAGGACAGAACTGCAAAGGTGTGGGACATGAACTCGGGTGAGGCTGTGGGAGTGCTGCGAGGACACAAGCGAGGCGTCTGGTCTATCAAGTTCAACCCCTACGAGAAACAGATTGTAACTGGATCGGGAGACAAGACCGTCAAGGTGTGGTCTCTGAACGACTTTTCGTGCCTGCGAACATTTGAAGGCCATACCAACTCGGTTCTGCGAACCGTGTGGACTTCTCTGGGCTCCCAGATTGTCTCCTCTGGAGGAGACGGACTCATCAAGGTATGGACTTATGCCTCTGGAGAATGTGCTGTCACTTTGGACAACCATGAAGACAAGGTGTGGTCTCTGGCTGTTCGAGGCTCCGATGACGGTGCCCAGATGGTCTCTGGAGACGGAGAGGGAACCATTACTGTGTGGAAGGATATCTCCGACGAGGAGAAGGCTGCCAAGAAGGCTGCTGCCGAGCTTCAGGTGGAGCAGGAGCAGCAGCTGGCAAACTACGTGCGGTCCAAGGACTGGGAGAATGCTATTCTGCTTGCTCTGACTCTGAACCAGCCCTACAAGCTTTTCTGTCTGTTCCGAGACGTGCTTGCTGATCGCCAGGACGAGGACTCCATCATGGGTCTGACTAAGGTCGACAATGTGATTGCTGGACTCAATGTCGAGCAACTGGAGCTTCTGATCAAGCGAGTCCGAGACTGGAACACGAATGCTCGATCGTCGGTGGTGGCTCAGCGGGTCATGAACTGCATTCTGGTTAACCACTCGGTTGACAAGCTCAGCCAGGTGCCCAAGATTTCCACCATGACAGACGCTCTCATTCCTTACTCGGAGCGACACTTTAACCGGGTCGATGAGATGTACGACGAGAGCTATCTGCTAGACTACGCTCTGAATGAGATGGACTTCCTGGACACTCCTCAGGTTGTGTAGGATGGAAATGGGGGCGTTGTGAGGGACTAGGGACGGGTTATATAGGCATACCAATAGATATTGACATTATTGTGAGAACTGCGAGTGAACAGCACGAATCGTTCTGAACTTCGGAAAAAGATCTCGTGGCAGAGGGCTACATTGTAGTTTCTCGGGACGTATCCTCACACCGTATAGCGATCACGAGTCACGAGTGCCATAGAGCGAGTGCCACAATACGAATCACTGTGACCGTGTCTGTCGGACTCCGTCAATCACCATGACCGCAGAATATGCACTCGGATAGGACTCACAGTACAAGCCTATTGTATGTCGTCTTTGGATTCTGCTACATCTGACTTTTTTCGCATATCTCCGTGTACAAGCAGTAGCTAAAATAACAGGGGGTGTATGGAGCTCTATAACGAGAGATATTTGGAAGATACAAACACTTGTAGTGAATAAGAGGTCAGTTCAGGACCTTGAGCGAGCATTCAGTATCAATTGTACCAGCTAAATAGTATTATACGGCGTCAGGTTATTACAAATACGACAATTGTTATTTCACGCACGCAATGTTTCTATTCTGCACTCCGACATGTGAAGGGTAGAGCCTTCAAAGCATGTCTTCAACACCCTAACCACACGTGTACTTGTACTGTAGTACTTGATGGAGATCACCATGCAAGCAGCAATCTGATAATGTGCACAATATGGACCAATTTCCCGGATATATGTCTCCGATCCCTCCATCCTCCGGCAGTCATCTGTCTACAGCCAAGACGCATCGGTGCGCGATCCCTGCAGCGACTGATGACGTAGAGCAAAACTGATGACAGCTTCAGCCCCGTTGTTTGTTTTCCATGTGAGGTTAAGTGCTGATTAGCTGTGCGAGACTCCTATTTGGAAATGTCCGGAGATGTCAAAGAGCCAACCATAGAATACACCACGCCAGTGACAACTCTCGTTACTTGAGATGAAACCCATGTTTTATCGGCTCAATCACCGCCGCAATACTATCCTCGGCTCTTGTCACATTTTTATCGCCTTCCCTTGCCCTCATCATGCGTCGCATGGACTGTTGACGACTCCCGAAGAAGCAAAGATGGACGTTCTAGAGCGAGGCCTGCTCGTATTTAGACTTAGCCGAGGTGCAAACAGCGGGCATGACAGCGGGTGACGGGGGGTGGTTGTAGAAGAAGTTTGGAGGAGATGAGTAAGCCAAAGTAGGTGAAATTCTCTGGAGATTAGGTTGGCAACAAAATCGATCAAATCGGCACAGAAATCCCCTCAAAACACACACACCAACCCCCGCCCCTCGCTCCTGTTGTAAAACTCGACTGATAAATGTATCGCAACTCTAACACCACATTCTAACGCCGATAAGCTCGGTCTTGCCTATTTCGGGCCCTAAGAGAACCAGCGGACATTAAAGGCTTAATATTGCTACTCATATGTACGTACCCGTACTGTATCGGAGTTCAGATTAACCACTCACCTCACATCACACCCTCTCCTCTGTCAACAAACCACCGACTTATAAAAAGATGCACGTCCCCGTTCTAGGACGTCTCGAGCTGTCACATTGGCCCATGCTGTTTGTGTCGCTCTTCCTCGTCTGCCTCGAGTTTCTCGTGAGCTTCATCACCGCTCTGCTCCCCAACTTCTTCATTGAATGGTGCCACGACAAGGTCGAGATTCTGCAGGTCTACTTCCCCAGCACCGGCGAGGTTGCTCTCAGAAAGTCTCCCGAGCAGCTCGAAACCGTCAACGCTCTGCTCAAGGCCCGAGACTTTGTTGAAATCTGCGATTTCCATGGCTACCAGGCCGAAGAACATGTGGTTCAGACCAAGGATGGATTTCTGCTAGGAGTGCACCGAATCCTGCCCAAGAACCCTGCTGCTCTGCTCACCGACGACCCCGAAGTCCTCAGCACCCCCGCCCCTCCCCCGGCCTTCCTGGCTGGAAACCTCGAAGTCTACTCTTCGCCCCCCAAAAGAGGCTCCAAGCGAAGTGTGTCCTCCAAACTGATCACCCGACCCGTTGTCTACCTTCACCATGGTCTGCTGATGAACTCGGAGGTCTGGGTTGTGAACACGGACGCCAAAAAGTCGATTGCTTTTGCTCTGGCCGACCTGGGATTTGACGTCTGGCTCGGAAACAACAGAGGCAACAAGTACTCGCGAAAACACATGAAATACAACCCCGAGTCGCGCGAGTTCTGGGATTTCTGTCTCGACGACTTTGCGCTGTTTGATATCCCCGATTCCATTGACTATATTCTGTCTGTGACCAAACAGAAGTCTCTGTCTTACATTGGATTCTCCCAGGGTTCAGCCCAGGCATTTGCATCTCTGGCTATCCGACCTCCTCTCAACGATAAGGTCAACCTATTCATTGCCGTTGCCCCCGCCATGTCTCCTCCTGGCCTGAGATCCAAGATTGTCAACTCCCTCATGAGAGCTTCTCCACAGCTGCTGTTCCTCTGCTTTGGTCGAAGAGCTATCTTGTCATCCTCTCCCTTCTGGGAGTCGGTTCTGGACGCAAAACTGTATGCTCGAATCATCGATGCTGCCTGCAGAATGCTGTTTGACTGGTACGGAGAGAACATCACCTGGCCCCAGAAGATTGCAGCCTACCACCACCTGTACTCGTACACCTCTGTCAAGTCCGTCGTGCATTGGTTCCAGATCATCCGAGCAGCCTCCTTCCACATGTTTGAGGATGTCATCAACTCTCCCCTGGACCCTCATCTGTGCAAGTACTCCACTGTCACCCGATACCCCACCGAGAACATTCGGACACCCATTGCTCTGATCTACGGCAAGACCGACTCGCTGGTGGACATTGACCAGATGCTGTCTACTCTACCCTCATCCACTATTGCATTTGGAGTCCCCAAACATGAGCATCTCGATCTTCTGTGGGGAGACGAAGCCGACACTCTGGTTATCCCCAAGATTGTCGCTCTGCTCGATTATTACACACCTGTGCCCAGAAGTAACAAGAGCAGCAGTGACCATATCAGCGAGCGTCTATTTGAGCCTGCTAACTCCAAGGTCTCGGGTCTGGGACTCAGCCAGGACCTCAAGTCGCCATTGTCTTTGAAAAAGAGATCTCTCTCCAACTCCTCATCGATCCAGGACTCTCATAAGGTCGGAGGAGACACAGACTCGGTTCTAAGTCTCCGAAACCTCACTCCCAAGGGGTACGCTCTTGGAAGTGCCAAGCCAGTGAGTGGCACTCTCAACCCTTGAACATTGTAAAAACTAACGGTATTGGTAAGAAATATAGGTAATGGTATTATAGAAGAAAACAGATTGATAGAGGTTGGGGACGGCCTTTTGAGCATCGAAGAAAGAGTTGTGGTAGTTCTATAGGTCATGTACGAACCAAGTATCGTACAGGTGCGACAGTTCGAGTATTATAGCACGTCGCCGCATCATTTGTTTTGAGTGCCAAGGCGCGCTGTATGCGATTCTTTTAGTTAAAGGGGTTATGGAACTGACAGATGAAGAGATTTCGTTGATCCATCCTGACTATATATACGCTGCACATTGATTCATTTACTGTAGGATCGTGTGTGTGCATTTTCATGACTTCTGTTGCCATTTTTCCGTTGAACCCAATCTCCAGCTGTATATATCCTTCTTACATTTCACATAATACGAAGACGTCTTGCATATGTCAAAAACCGCAGCATTTCAACGCGTTGACAGCCTCCTAAGCCGGTCAACTGGGGGTCTGGAGGCTCGATCTAGCCCAGTTATTTTATTTGCTGCGTTTCAGACGTGAGGAAGGGGTTGGTGGTGGTGGTGGTGATAACACCGTGATGCTGATATTAAGATACCTCATGAGATACCTGATCAGGGAAGGAGAAGGAGAGAGTGTGCTTTTGGATGGATGAAGATCTAGATCGCGAAAACGATACTACAGTAGCTACACTACAATATGTACCGTACTCGTGTCTGTCATTAGTCCAACTAAGCCTTCTGACAGCCTTGTGTTATTATGATGCCTATTTGTAGCATTTTTGAGTGACAAGTAATATAAAACACCATGATTCACTCGCTTTTGTCGCTCGCTTCACTGGCTCTGGCCCAGGTCCAGCTTGCCTCTCCTATCTCCTCTTTGACTCTTGACTTCTAGGATGCCGACGTTGTTGAACAAACCGGCTCCGACGTGCTTGAGATCTTGCTCGACTTTGGGCTCGATGTAGCCACTGCAGCATCTACTCATCCGGGCGACTTTTTCGAGTTTGTTCTCGATGGAGACATCGAGACCTCCGCCTACAATTTTGAGGTTGTTGACTCTTCTGGAACTCCAATTTTTGACATTGTCAACGTTGACAATTCTTTGACGTTTAGAGCCACTGCCACCGATTACTTTCTCGAAAACACCCAAGCTCTTGAGGGGCAGATTGTGACGAAGCGTTCTCTCTTAACAACGAAGCTGCTTCGGTGTCTGTGGGGGACCTCTCCGACAGTGTAGCTATGCAGCTTACCAGCATCTCTGACCCCAGCTTTATGTTTGAAAAGGCTTCCGACAGAGAGATGGCGGTCGTCGTTTTGCTCCCGGTTGAGGAGGGCGCCACATTTTCGTTTGGTTACACGCTTGGGGAAGGTCTCGGTTTTCCCAGTGACTCAGAGCCGGTCCAAATCACGTATGTGGACATCACCCGTTCAGACTTAGGCATGCCCAATATTCAAGTGCAAGACCTGTCTTTGGTTTCTCCGTCCTCAATCTCTGTGACCATCGCCAATGTTCCAGGAGCCCTGTCCATTCTGTTCTGGTAGCTTATGTGGTGGACATTATGGACTTGCAGCAGTCCACCTTTTGTGCCACTATAGAACGGGATGGTCAAGAGCCTCAGAGCGCCTGTCGGGGTCTCGGAAGTGGCCCTAACGGTTCACCCAGCGGTTTCAGATCTGCTGTTGCTGTTGCTGAGGAGGTAGAGACTTCTACTACGTCTGCTGCTACGTCTGCTGAAGAGACTTGCACTACGTTTGCTGATGAGACTTCAACTACGTTTGCTGATGAAACCTCGACTACGTTTGCTGAGGAGACCTCGACCACGTTTGTTGAGGAGACCTCCACTACGTCCGCTGAAGAGTCCGCTGATACCTCCGCTGAAACCTCTGCCGAGTCTACTGCAGACACTTCCGCCACATGAGCTACAGACGCTTCCGCCACAGGAGCTGCCACCGGAGCTGACTCCACTTCTGGAACTGTCGAAGAGTCCGCCTCTGTCTCTTCTCAGTCCGCAGCCTCTGCTGAAGCTTCTGCTACAGCTTCTTCAGAGATTGTCCCCATCTCTGGCTTCTCTTCTGCCACTTCCATTGCTGGAAACCTGTCTTCCGCATCGGACCTCGCTGACGTGACTGAAATCGTTTCTACCACCATCACCACCACACAGACTGCCACTTACTGCAAGGACGGAACTTGTGGCAATACTGTCGTTGTTCTGACAACCTGTGTTCCTGTCCACCACACCGTCACCACCTGTCCCACTGTGATCGAGGGCAAGACCTTGACCGTGCTTGTCCCTTGTGAGATTGAGACTGGAGATGCTGTTACCACTACTGAGATTGTTCTCAAGCCCACTGAGACTGTTTCGAAGCCCATTAAGACTGTTGCCAAGGCGACTGAGACCGTTTCTAAGCCTATTAAGGCCGGAACTACTACTGTCGTCACCATCCTTGATAGCTCTTCTATTATGCCTGTGCCCGTCTCCACAGGTCTGATTACTCACTACCACCATTACCGGAACCCTTATAGTTACTGGAACTATTGTTACCTTGACTTCTGCCCGGCCTATCGTGCCTCAAGTCGACTCTGTTCCCTCAGTTGTCCCTCAGGCTAACGCTGGGTCCAAGTTGACTTTTGGACCGCTCGCTCTTCTTCCTTTCCTAATGGTGTAAGGAATGTGAGAGATTTACGATACCCAGCTGTTTGTCAGTATTAACTATTAATTGATTGTTCTAATTCCGTCTCCTGATATATGTTCACTTCGCTACTAGTTTGCACCTGTACAACACCGAGTGCCCCCTGTGGGACTACAGTATATTCTAACCATTACCAACTAAATTAATTAACTAGACGAGCCATATAAGCGGTACACACCACAGAGGTTCGAATTGTACCGCAATCCACTCAAAAAGCTATGGTCACTGTCAGTGCTTCGTACAACCAACTCATACAGCTTGGTAAGTGACTGACAGTTCTACGTTGATCATCTACAGCTGGGTCGGTGACAGTGCTTCGGACAATCGAACCATCACCTCCTCAAGTGCTATTGCACATGTTCATTCTCCTATAATACACTATACGCGCGACCGTTGGAGAAACGGTTATTTTGAATACTCAGACCTCTCGACACCACTTAGATGTTGGAAGGGTAGAGCATGATTCGGACGGAGGAGCCAAAGGTCTTGGCGGGGAGGTTGTGTCGGAATCGAGCTCGGACCACACCGGAGTTACCGTGGGTTCGGGAAATCTTGCCCCACATGACTCGGACCTTGGAGCCTCGGATCTCCTTCTCGGCTCGGTAGACGTAAGCAACTCGCTTTCCGACGTAGAACTTGGCCTCGTCGGGGTTGGAGACGCCCTCAATCTTGACGAGAGAAACGTTGGGGTTCACAACTCGTTTGCTTCGCTGGTAAGAGATATGCTTTCCCTTAACGTAGACTGTGTTAGTATGGATCATAAAAATATGGTGAGACACAGAAACGTAGAAACGCGTCTGTATCTGATTCACGGAGTTCTCCTTCTCTCCGCTTCATTGTACCCGTTTGATGGCTTGACTGTGGGATGACTTTGACATGACTGATTTGAACCTCAATGCACTCTTCCGTATAACGGTCCCCAAAATCAACTCTGAAATATCAAAAGTGACCTCCTGAAAAGCCATTACTTCTCCTCCAGTTCGTAAATCGTCAAATCGCAAAAATCCAGTTGTTCAAAGGTCGTTCAAGAGCCCCCGGAGTCGCTGGAAGCCTTCCACATGTCTCAAAAGTCGTCTGTCAGGTCCGCCGTCAAATCCTCCCCAAATCAAGTACAACGCCGCAAATTTTCCGTCGAAACCAGCGCCCGCAAATCGTCCGGTCAGCAGTTTGTCGTTACTCACGTCGAGTAGAGTTGGCCATTTTGTCGATAATGTGTGGTTCCACTTGTAAAGTTGGTGATGTATTTTGACAGAGTCTGCGTCCCTCCACGTTGGGCAAAAAAGCAGTCACGTCATGTGACCAGCGTTGGGGTTGTGGGTTCGATCTTCATGAATGACAAACGGGAAATATAAATTTGGAGATATAGACTAAATGTGCACGGAATTCAAGATTGGAGGCGCTCATAATTAACAGAAAAATACTAGACGTCGCCAGTGTCCAAATAACACCCAGTATCTCTCCTGAAGTCAGGGTAACAGTAGTCTCTAGAATGCAGCGTATATATGAGTACATTGGACACACATAACATTTCACAAGCATGATTTTTTCAACAAAATGGTAAACTCTAATTTAGTAACCACAGTATATAAACACCCGTTCACCCACACCCATTTTTCTTCTGTAAGTGACGTATTCCATAGGATCATTTCTATAGGACATGTCTCTCATGACTTCTTAAAAGAAGCCACTTATTCAAACTTGGTTGATGAGATAGAACCTGCAAACCCCAGAGTGAGAACACATTTGTTTGATTGTTTGTCCTTGTGACTCAGTCATCTTATTATTCCCGGCGCCCTAGGGCGTTCAAGGAGCGATGATCTTGTCCCTTTGTTTGAGCCTCTCCGGAGGAGTGACTTAGGGTGGGTTTGTATGGCAGTCTGACAAGTCTGTAAAGGGCTTTTTGGTGAAATTTAGGTAGATACAAAAACATTTTTGGAGTAATCAATGGAGCTATTTGTAGACTGATGGTATTGGGAATGATCACGAACGGTTTCAACGGTTTCCGTACGAATGTATGTCAGCACTGTTTATGAACAGACGTCCATATACTGTAGGCTGATTTCTACGCTTTTACTTCAATGAATGTTAGGCATAAATGATGGAGAAGAGCTGTCAAATGGAGAACATTGACACCATTAGTATGAACTCATAGCCCCATCGTGGAGCGGTTCATAACCGATTTATCATATTGGAATTCGTTGGAGCCCCCTATAAGTAACTTCCTGCAAATCAGCATCTGGGCACATGGAAGTTCTCTTCTCAACGGTTTTTGGTCGTATTGTTAGTTTAGGTGCTGTAAGTATGTAGCGACATCGAGAAATGATGAAGTCTTAGAGAGACGCTCTCATTGGACTCCCATAGAGCCGATTTGTTAGTCAGGTCATAAGAGCTGAATACCTGACATCCGATAGCTCTCTTGATGTTTCAAGCGTTGATTTAGCCAGGATTCAGGTATGTGTGAGAGAGGGTTCATTTTGGGTGGTGATTAGGTCACATTGTTCCTGCGATACGATATGGAATTGAAATTGACGGGGTTGATGAAGGCTTCGACGACTTGGTTAATCTTGGAACAATACAAAATATAACCTGCTGACCAGCTCAGACAAACTTGTCTCACCTGTTTTAGAGCAGTTTTATCAGTTTGACATTCCTGGACAACAGTATGTACTGTATTGTAGGTGTGCGAACAGTGTACAGTATGTACTTCCAAACTACACTTCTAACAAATTGTACTTTGATATGTTCTCTAAATCGACGACATGAGAAAATATTACTATGACAAGCAGTATTTTTTATTACAAATTTGTTACAGACTTTCTCATTATCTACCTATCCCCACAAGCTCCCCCACTCCTACTTCTCAGGAACACCAAAGTAGATCCCCCTAGCACTGATGTTTCTTCAACTATTTACCAAGTAGTTTCAGCTAATTGATCCGTGCATGCCAGATGGCATGTCGTAAAAGTAGAGACCAGGAAACATCACACTGACTAAATGGTGTGCTACTATATAAATGGTATAAACGGGTGGTGTTTGGATCATATTACAAACATCACAGCCAGATGTTTCAATTCCACTATACGGTGAGATCCAAACGGCCAATTTCTTCCATTAACGCAATCATTCATATCATGATTCAATATATACAGGTTGTAGAGAATGCAAAGGTTTGTAACAATGCACGGGCTTCGGTCAATGCAACTAGTTTGATTGTACGTGATTACGCACCAAACACGCTTTCAACCGTGACGTTCTTTCGTCGCTTGAGACCAACAAGGTACAACTCCTTGCTCTCCTTTCGGGTGGCCTCGGGCTTTCGTCGCTTCACGTCGTGGAACATGCGCTTGAGCCGCTGCTGTAGAAACTTGTCTTCCTCACCGGTGAAGACCTTGCATGCGAAAGAGCCTCCCACCTTGAGGGTATCGATAGCAAACAGCAGGGCTGCATCACAGAGATCCTGGGTTAGTAAGAAGGGGATGGGGAATAGACCGATGGTCTCCCTGAGGGTATGTGGCGCTTCACTTATGGCTTCCCTTCTGCCACATCGAAGCTGGCTGCACCACACCCAATGCGCTTCCTTCCTTCACTCACAATACTGGCAGCATGGTCCCTCACAGCTATGCCGGAAACATTGGCCATCCTATAGTATGGGTCATTAATAGTTCTTTGAAAAAATCCGTGTTCCTGGGGTAACGTTTCGCACATGTCACTAAGCACTATATCTACCGGGTAGTCGTCGCCAAATTGGGGTTCGTTGCTGTTGCTGTTAATACTGCCAAGCTCGCGTTCAGTGTCCAGATAAGACGGAGGAGCAGTGCCTATGGCGCCACCAGAGTCCTTGTCCTTGGGAACTCCCATCGCCGAGACGGCCAGCACACGTTTGAGCTCGTTTTGTGTTTCTTTGGACAGGAAATTTCCCTGGATGCTGGACACTCCTGGAGGAGGAATGCAAGGAAGGATATCCACTCCAATAACTCTGCCTCCAGGCCGCACTCGCTGAGCAGCCACTTGACTCCATGCGCCGGGCGCAAAGCCCAAATCCACCACCGTCATGCCGGGCTTGAACAGCCGGAACATGGAGTCGAGTTCCTGTAGCTTGTACGCGGCTCGAGACCGGAATCCGTCAGCCTTGGCCATGGCCACATGCTTGTCTTTCATCTGGCGCATTTCCCAGCGGCTGCGCGCATCGTGTTTTTTGCCCCGCACAAAGATTCGCGGGAGAAGCGACTGGAGCGGGTTGAACGGCAGCTTTTGGCGCATTTTTGGCTGTGTTGTGTCGTGTACCGTGCAAGTTGGCGATGTCCACTAATTATCAAGTACGAGCATGAAAGGTGCAGTTCAAATGCGCGGCAGAAGCACACTGTGGGCACCCATGATGGGCACATCTACTATGGTAAGGGGGTATTAAAAGGAGACAGTTAGATTCCAAAGTGTCTACAGACCTTATTGGTGCTATTTTCACCCCTTTCATATTACAAAAAAGTCGAGATGTTTCCCCATAGAGTTGGTTCACTTTTGGGTGCTCATTGCGAAAACATACTGCTTCACAGATACAGATGATGGGTAGGACAAAACAGTTGGTTTTAACTCTAGTTTATATCGATGGAGAGTGTTGATCAATACATTAAGAATCAACTTATTACTTTGGTTATAATCTGCTCTTGAGGTTGTGTATGAGTGCTCACAACCTGTGCAAATATTAATACATGACTCGAAGCTTGAACTAAAAAAGTAACATTATCCTAACTAGCACACTTGACGTAGTAGTTAAGGAAACCTTAATGCGTGGTGGCTCCTCAAAATGACTGATCGGAACTCTACAGTTGCAATACCGCGGCGGCAGCAAATACTGAACGTTAGTAGACATGGGATGAGAGCCACTCCAAGTACGAGTACTCGTACGTGATTCTAGTAGCTTGCCAGGTTTAAACCAGTCAGACTGTAAAATACCACAAACCCGCCTTCTCTAGCGTATTTTACATCACTACTTCCAAGTCCAGGTTCCCTCCCAATAAATAAAGTTCAACACTTCCATTTAGTCACATGATGTGACTGCTTTTCTACCTCTTTTCACTCCTGCAGGAAAAGTTTCACTCCTCACGTTTACACAGACTTTACCAATTTTTTGGGAGACTCAATCGAACATCTACAAAAATGTCCTCTAAGATTACCGTCGCCGGCGTCCGTGGCAACGTCCAGAAGCTGCTCGAGCAGTCCGAGACCAAGAAGCGAAACTTCCTCGAGACCGTTGAGCTCCAGATTGGTCTCAAGAACTACGACTCCCAGCGAGACAAGCGTTTCTCTGGAACCATCAAGCTCCCCAAGGTCCCCCGACCTAACATGACCATCTGTGTCTTTGGTGATGCTCTCGATGTCGACCGAGCCAAGTCCGTTGGTGTTGATGCTATGTCCGTTGAGGATCTCAAGAAGCTCAACAAGAACAAGAAGCTCATCAAGAAGCTCGCCAAGAAGTACAACGCCTTCATTGCCTCCGAGGCTCTGATCAAGCAGGTTCCCCGACTTCTCGGACCCCAGCTCTCCAAGGCTGGTAAGTTCCCCACCCCCGTTTCCCACAACGAGGACCTCCACACCAAGGTCAACGATGTGCGATCCACCGTCAAGTTCCAGCTTAAGAAGGTTCTCTGCATGGCCGTCGCTGTTGGCCACGTCGAGATGACCGAGGACGAGCTCACCACCCAGATCATGATGGCCGCCAACTTCCTTGTCTCTCTTCTTAAGAAGCACTGGCAGAACATTGGCTCTCTGGTCATCAAGTCTACCATGGGCCCCCCCTTCCGACTCTACTAAGTTATTCACTTATCTTGGAAAAGTTCTAAAAGTATGTTAATGCATCAAACAACAAAAACAAGCCGTTAAAGCGTCAGCTGGCATGACGACTGTATTGTACGAGTAGTGATATGTATGTAATCTTTTAGAGTGAGGCACATGAACAATGGAATACAGAGAGTAGTCTCGAACCTGGATCTGGTATCGGTTGAATGTCGAGCTCAAACAAATAATGTCTCGTGAAATGTCGAGATCCAAGTTATGTGCTGTTGTAATTATAGGTTAGACTGGTTCAGAGAATACCTGATGGTCATATACTGTAGCATTGATCTACTGAATCTGTACTTATATCCAAACGAGTCGCAATGTTCCTTCAATGTTCAAGACTTGAAAAGGTGGTAGTACACTCTACCATACCTAGGGAGCCTTGGTGTTGGCAATGCATCGCAAGTGGTGCCGGTGCCAGCACTGTACAAGTAGGAGATGCAAGTATGACAAGCGTGTACAAGTACATTGTACGGCTTACAGGTGCTGGTTCAAATGATGCAGAATCCCCAATTTCAGGAAATTTTGAAGTGCAAACACCAATATATGTTTCTATAGGGCAACTCTGGTATGTACAAGTATGCCATTTCCATATTGATCTCATAATACAAGTACACCACATGTACAGTAAGGCATTTGTTGAAGAACAAATAACACTTGAAATCGCACAAAAACACACTGGTGCGTTTCAACCGTTGGGAACCCATCTTTTTATTCGTACAGACAACCCAGCACACTCTTGGTCCGCTCGATCTGTACCTTCATCTATAAATAGGCACGAATGTCACTCTCACCCCGACAGCTTTCCGGGACAGGACAAGAGATGTAACATGAGACAAGGAAATATGAGAGGCTGAAGCCCAATTTTTCGACACATTCCACATGCCCAGAGTGCTTTTGAAACGTCTGGAGTAGAATTTTGCCTCGGATATATGTTTGTACAGAATGCAACAGAAGATGCAGTTCCATAAATAGATTCCCCAGGCTATGCATCTTGGAATACTTATTGGAGTGTGTAAACGTACACAATGTGATCTTGGAAATCAGTAGATCTGTGTAGGTAGTTTACCGATCTCCATTGCCAAAGCTCGCCAGTTGTACGAATCTCGCGTTTGCTCGTCCCACATTACGAGCGGCTGAGTCCTACGAGTGCGTCTGGCAAGCAAGATTACAGACAGAGCAGTACATACAAGGACACATGCCATAGTCAGCGTAGACATATTAGGCGCTCTCAGGAAGTGGTGCCATCAGAAACATTCAAAGAAACTCGAAACCTCTTGTTTTTACCCTCACACACTTCTATTTTTAATCTTCTGGCTTTGATTCATTGCACATCTCCGAAACATTGCCGGTACCGGTACTAGTACATACGATACTATCACCAGTGCCGTATGAAACTTTCCCCATGCACTGTAGATCGCGACTTTAGAAACACACTTGTTGACGAACAACGACTTAGCCGCATACCACCTGGGGCTGTGTCGACACAGACTTGCCCCCTACCCGAATACCAAATACCAAATACCACTTTTGCTCGTTATATAAAGATCCTGGATGATGTCTGAAAAACACCAACATCATCTTGAGACAATGATCTCCATCGGAACAGTGGGTGGAATCTACGGAACCCGTGAAAAGAGACTACATGCCTATAGAACCCATATGCTGTTGACTGCTGCTATCGCCATTGGACTTTTTTGCCTCTACACTCTGTCCAATGCTCTTTCGTCTCCCGTGATCTCCCACAGCAGAGACCAGCTGGGGGTCAGAGAGTACCCCAAAGTGCCGAACTCCGGTATTTGTGACCCACAGTTTCCCGCTCACCAAATGGACCACGTGACAATTGACGAGCTGGATTCGACATTGAACCTCACCGACCGTCTCGACTCGTTGCTGGCCAAGAGCAGCTACAACAAGGGCAACTACTCGATCTCCATTTTTGGCCGGCAAAACGTGCTGTATGAGCGATACTCCAACAAGACCAACAGCGACAGCATTTACCGAATTGCGTCCATCACCAAAGTGTTCACTGACCTGGCTACCTTGATTCTTCGACAAAACCTCTCGCTCAGTCTTGACGATGATGTGAGAAGATACATTCCTCTGAATCTCTCCGAAGAGTTCTCCAATGAGCGGGTATCATTGCGATCCCTGGGTTCTCATACCTCTGGATTCCCCGGTACCATTGCCAATATTTTCAGCGACATTTACTGGGACGACAAAGAAGGCGTCCTTCAAACCCCTATTGACAACTCCACCTGTGACAGCTTCACGACAATGTGTCGCATGGAAGACATTTTGGCCCAGTTTGAGAACTCGCACATGACTTCCATTCCCAACTCGTTCCCCGAATACTTCAATGAAGCCTTTGGACTTCTAGGAGAGGTTCTGTCTAGAGTCGACCCCAAGGAACGGTCCTACGACGACATTGTCATCCAGGAGATCCTTGAGCCGCTCAGAATGAATTCTTCTTTCTTCGACTTGCCTCACGACCTCGAACAAAGGGGAGTCTACGACCCCGTGGGTATGTTCAATCTGGATATCCAGAGTATGAGAGCCGCTGGGGGTCTCTATTCTACTGCGACAGACATGACCAGGTTCATTCAGGGGACTATGCTTGGAACGGCTCATCTTTTGTCTAAATTTGAGTTAGCAGAATGGTTCCAACCCGTCGTTGCGCTTCCTAATGGCGATGAAATTGGGTTCCCCTGGGAAACGGTGTCTGTCTCTCTAGGACGACGAACTACCAAGGTGTACACCAAGGGAGGATCCCTTGGACATCTTTCTCTGTCGTTTGCAATTCCTGAAGTTGGACTAGGAGGCATCATCATGACTTCTGAGATTCCCGACTACGCCAAAATTGCTGCAGAGATAGCCAACGAGGTAACCCAGGTCGGAATCAAGTACCTGGCTGGACTTTCTGAAAAATACACTGGCACTTACGAGGGTTATAACAGCCACGGTAACAAGATCGTCATCTCAATCGAGGTTAACGCACAGTCCCTATACGTCACCAGGGCATATATTGGCGGTTATGATCTTCTCAAGGAGCAAAACACCTCCAGTGTTGGTCTTCAACCTACAGGACACGACGACCGCTTCCTCATTTCCAAAACCACAAAAGGATGCTTAGCGTGGGAGGCTAGAGAAAGAGCCACTAGTAATTACCAGGGTCTGGATGTGCTTGTATGGAATGACGGAGAGTGGTTATTGCCTGCTTTCAACACAACTCTGAAGAAGACCAATCCTGTCGTCAACTCTGCCTGGGTTGATCTTGGTAAGAAGATTGTTCTACCTAACCCCATCACTGGTTTGTTTGATGAATAGCATATAACAAGACATATGCTTAGAAGAAAGAGAACTGTAGACGTGGTACTGTTGTGGTGCTAAGTTTCTCTAGTTGATGGTTACTAGGGGAGTAGAGTAGCTCTATAGTTAGAGTACATAATAGCTAATATACATTGATTATGAGGGTATGAATTCATCACGTTAGTTAATACTGTCATTATATTAGTTGAGTCGTCTTCCAACCTCAACAAAATACTCCCGGAACTGCGTCTGCAGCTTCTCGGCTTCTTCACGGGCCATCTTCAACTGGGCCTCGTACCTGTCTCGTTCTGTAGCCATATCGTTTTCTAACTCAGCCAGTCGTTTCTGAGCAGTGTTATTCTGCTGAACCACCAGTGCTCGCTCGGCATCCAGAGTGCCAATCTGTCGACGTAGCTCCTCCATACGTCTACTGGTCTGCCGATCACTCTCAGACATGTCCTGCTGGATTCTGGCAATCTTGGACTCTGCAGCCTCGATTTCCTGCTGAAGAACATCTCTTCGGCCTTCCGCTTGCCTCGAATTAATGCCCACATGTTCCAGCAGCTCCTTTTGGGTTGTAATCTTCCTTACAGCCTTGGAATGGGCCTCCTGCTCGTCGCTGAGTTTCTGGAAAGCCGATAGACACGACGAAACGTCCACCTGGAAGTCCTTGAACGAGTCCACCGACAAATCGAGCTTCTGGACACGCTCCCCAAGCATTCGTCGTACAGTTTCTCGTTCCTTTACCCGCTTGGACAGCTCCACCACTTCCTCCTGCAGATTCTTGGGATTGTCCACAACATAGCTGTTCAGACGAGCCACCTCCTCTTGCAGTGACTCCATAAGTTGATGCTTGTGCCTCAGACGGTTCACCACCACCCGCAGCTCGGCCTTGTTTCTCTCTCTCTCGTCGTTGAGTTGCAGGTTCTGATCATGAAGTCGTTTGAGCTCAGACTTCCTACTGTCGTTGATCCGGTGTTGCTCCACCAGATCCTGGTCCGGGGTATCTCCTATGAGCGCAATGAGCTCGACTTTGCGTCTCAGCTTCTCTTCCTGGTTCTTGAGACGCATGGTTCTTGCCTCTTCCTCCTCATTCAGCTCCTCCGACATTTTCTCGTACCATTTTTCTCTGATTTCTCGGAACCGCGCGTAGTTGATGATGGCCGAAAGCTGCACCCGTAGTCGCTCCGGAGAGGGTTTCAAAATGTCCGAAATGTTGTAGTCCGTCACTCCAGAGGCCACGAACAGATCGTAAAGCGGCTTCTGCAGTGCAAACAGCATCCGTGCGTCCTCCTGGGTCTCGGGATGCTCTGTTCCAGCTGCACACGCAGCCAAAGCAGGAGCCATACTTTCTCTGTTGATACCTAGAAGAGAGGTGGCGATCTGGGCGTACATGGACTGTACAAACTTGCTAGTGGGCCGCAAAAGCTCCTCCTCGGTGACCATACAGTCCAGACCGGGCAAGCACTGGACGATTTCGTCTATCGGCAGTGTTGGAAACGCAGCATGGGTGTTTCTCGTCCTCACCTGTTTCTTGGGAGTGTATGCCATGTGTGACATGGCGTGGTTGTCTCTTGTTTGCAGTATTGTGGTAGTGGTAGCGGCGGCGGCAGCGCTGGCGGGACTCGTGATATAGCTTGTGGCAGCTCGTAGTGGCTCGTGGTAGCTTGGTGTTCAGTTTCAGCAGTTATATAGGACGTTGCCTCCTTTTGTCTCGTGGTGTTGTTATGATGCACGCGTGAAATATGCGCGTCCCAATCTGGTGTCGCTAGTCTAAATAAAGCTAAACGGAGAAAGCAGGGCTGTTTCTTGACCAAAGCTTAACCCGAGCGAGCATCTCTACTTAGCCACAATCAACCAACGGTGTAAATAAATGGTAAATACGATCCGCAGGGGCGGAACCTAATAAATCGTCAAGGCCGTGCGACCCTCTTCACGGCTAAAAGTGGATATAAACTGGATATACATGGTCAAAAGTGGTCGAAACCTATCCCCTGATCAAAATACTGTATCATAAACTCCTATAGATCAACCACAACTACACCCACCACGGTTAGGCTCGTGGTTCTACTAGTGGACGACTCGTTTGGCTCGTCATCCATACACATCATCATCGTTCTCTATATATAAATAAGTGTTAGCACAAAACAAAAGCCCGGCTTGGTGTCTTAATGGGGCCGCTGGGCAGACTCCAGGAACGCAATTCGGCTCTCGGTCACGTGGATGCGTTCCTCAAGAGACCAGATTCGCGACTCCAGGGTCTTGACCAGCGCCAGAAGATGCTCTTCGGTCGAGCCAGGCGCGCCAGAGGCCGCGGGGTAGGGCAGCATGGTGCCTCGGCCGTGAGGAGGGGGAGGAGCCTGTGCGGAGTGGTGGCTGGGCACGTACATCTGAGGAGGAGGAAGGTGGGAGACGTGACGAGTGGAAGTAACAGGGGCAGGGACTCCGCCTCCGCCGGGAGCGCCAAACGAAGGTGGGCTCTTGTTCTGATAAGGCGAGATGGATCGCTTCTTAGCAGGGGGAGGAGACGACGAATCAGGAGCAGGATGGCTGTGAGTGTGAGCGTGAGTATTAGATTGCTGCTGTTGAGAAGGCTGCTGAGGAGTGGGAGTAGGGGCAGCAGAGGGAGCCGGAGCTAGAAGAGGACCTCCCTGGGCGGGAGACGGCTGAGTGGACTGCTGGTGTTGCTGCTGCTGGGGCTGCTGAAGGGCCTGAGAGTTAGCCTGGACGGGGGTGTTCAGACCCTTGGGCTGCAATGGCTGGTAGCCCTGGAAGTCTCGCTCATCGACATTAATACCAGTGCAAGTACCAGAGCCCTTCATGTGTCTGACAAGGGCGTCACCACGGGCAAACTTTCGGCCACACTTTTCACAGTTGTAGGGCTTCTCTCCAGTGTGCAGTTTCACGTGACGCTTGAGGTCGTGGAGACGTCGGAACTTGGAGTTGCAGGTTTCACACGTGAACGGCTTTTCGTGCGAGTGTGTCAGCAGATGCGACTTGAGGTTGTGGTGTCGGGTGAAGGTGTGTTCACACAGAGGGCATACAAACTTGCCCTTTTCCTCATCGTCGGCAGCACCGGTGTTGGTGGCATCGTCGGTCGTAATGTTGGCCGCGGTGGAGGGCTCTGTAGAGGCCGCGGGGTTGTTACCAATGGCGGTCTCTGGGTTGGAAGCCGTTTCATTCTCAGACTTGTTGTGGATAGGCTTGACTGTGGCGGGAGGGGCTGAAGGGGCGGAATTTGCGGGAGTAAATCGGTCCTGTTCTCGAGTGACGGGAGAGGTGTTGGTGCCTGTGGAGGACATGGAGGGCGAGCCTTGCGGCGTCAGCGCCGTGGCTATGGACATGGTGGCAGCGCTCATGTTGTGGGTATAGATATTTATTGGTTTGCGAGTGTGAATTGGTGTGGGCAGACCTGTGGGTATATATTTGCACTTTTTTAGTTTGTGGCTTGAGGTGCACAAACGTGGCTAGTGCTTGGGGGAGAGGTTAGGGTAAAAAACCAGATTTGGGCGCAACCGCAATCACGTGAGATGTCGACACAAAGGCGTTGCTAACCCAAACAAGCAAATCCGCAAACTCAAAAGCTTATTTATGCTGCCGCAATGGAGGCTGATATGCATGTGGCGGAGGGCAAAGGGGCGCAAGACTCAGGGAGGTGACAAAGGCTTTTTGTGGACAGCCAATAGTTTGGCAGTATTAGAGGGAGATTTTGGGACGCGATAAAAAAAAAGCCGTGAAAAAACGGGCCTTCCGAGAGCTCGTTCAGGACAGCTTCACCCTCTCTCCGGTCCCCACCTCCAGACAGCCACACCCCAAGAGAAACAACCTAGAATTTTAGCTTTGGCGCCTTTTGCGCCCTTCCATCATTCTGCCGTCTTTGTGTCTCTTCTTCTGTGGCTAAATACCCACCTCGAGTCCCGCACGCCACAATAATCGGAGCACCAAGTGGATAGAGTTTGTGAGGGTCGATGAGTGTACCACTTGTCTGTTAGTTAGGGGACGACGCCACTATTGCGTCAGTGAGCGGCAATCCTCCACATCTCGCAACGTCACATTCTTTGCTTCTCGCCCCCCCGCCAGAGCATGTTATTCACTTTAAAACTGTGGCGACCGTGCTCTATCCACCTTCTCCACTTCCGAAAGCCCTTCTACGGCTAAATCCGATGCCGCCTACAGGTGAGCGAATACCGCCACACTATGGGGCCACTACATTACATGAAAAGCTGAGGGGAGTGCAGTCCTTGCAGATGAGCTGCACACCAATCAGCCCGGTCGCCAGGCCAACTTGCACCAGACAACCCCGGTCTCCAAAGGCAGGCTGTCTTTGCGGACCTGGGATTTCCCCGGCAAGTTTGAGCCGGTCTTGGTGGTCCTTGTCTGCGGCGCAAAAGAGTTGCCAAAATATGCACCTAGTCCTGTGCGAGCATAAAATATGAGCTCTCAGCGTTCCCCCGACCATGGCTTATGTCGTACACTAAGGAGTTTAAGGTGTCGCGTCACGAAGGAGAAAAAAACAGACGGCAAAACAGAGGTAAAAAAGAGGCATAAAAGAGACAGAGAGACGGCAAGAGACGGCGAGACGGCAAAGGAAACGGCAAGAGACGGCAAAATTAGACACTGAAAAAAAAAGACGCGGCGGCGACTACAGTACAAAGATAGTACGTATACAGTTGTAAACGGCTTTACGCAAGGCACTTGATTGATCAAAGTGGCTGAAGAAGAAAAAATTACCAGGCCGATCCGGAAAAGTGCAAAGAACAGGAAGAAAATAAAGAAAAGAAAAAAAACCCCGAAGTCACGTGATGAGGGAATAGATGACGGAGGTTCAAGTAGTGTATGGTACAACAAGTATTTGTACGAGAGTGCACAAGAACAGAAAGGTGTATATGGACCTCGTTTGGATAGGTACTGTAGCAGTGCGAGCACACTCTGGTATCAAGATCGCTTACTAGCTTTCGATTGGTCATTGTTCTACATACGAGTACTCATAGACTTCGACCTCTGGTTGGGTGGATCCCGGTAAAAGTACCGGTTTGTACTAGTAGGAGGACAATACTTGTTTTTTTTGTACGGTATTTGTACCGATCTTGCACTTGTACCTACTATTAATGTACATAAAGTAGCCAGCGTGAGGTCTCCGCAAACTCCCAGCTCAATCTGCACTCAGGCTTATCATGTTCATGCGTGGTGAACCTTGTGATCAAGTTTGATATTGAGATCAGATCAATGCAGGGTTAAGAAGGCTTGGTCATTAACAACAACGTCGGGAACCGCTCGAGACCCATCACCACGCAACAGGGACACGCACAGATCACAGTCTCGTCTCGCACCAAAAAGAAGCACAAAAAAAATAATCCATCCACGACAACCACACACCCTGCGACTATTTATTGAAAGATGCTGTCGAGGCTGGTTCCACAGACTTTGCTGAAACGAGCGTTTGGAGACGAGGGCGACAAGGTGGTGCCCCAGACCAACGGCTCACAGTACAAACGACGCAAACAAGACTCCATTCCGAAAACGGCCTCCGACATCAGCGACTCGATTCTGCAGTGGAACTCGCCGGCCGACTCGGATCGGCCCTCCCTGCATCCCAAAGACGGACTGTTGCTTGCAAGTCTCAACCCCATCACGGCACCCTTGAGCTACCAGGTGTGCAAGCACTGCGAGCGGCCCATCATCGGCGACACCAACGTGCACCTACAGCGATGCGCCGTCTACCAGGTGAGCCGGATTCAAAAGGAGCGGGACACCAGCTCGTCTGCAAACACAACCAAGGTGTCCAAACGATCAGCCAACACCCCAACCTCTAAGGATACAAAGGAAGTCAAGGAGATCAAAACCAAGAAAGAAAAGGCCGAAAAGGCACCCCCAGCTCCCCGACGAAGTAAACCTCGAGAGGCCAAATCCAAAACATCCACAAAGGGCAAAGTTGTGGATGTCGACAAACAGTGCGGAGTGCCCCTGCCAAATGGAGGACTTTGCGCACGCTCACTAACATGCAAAACACACGCCATGGGTGCAAAAAGAGCTGTCCAGGGAAGATCGGCTCCTTACGATGCTCTACTGGCCGACCTCCAACGACGTAATCAGCTTAAACTACAGCAAAAACGAGACGGCTTAGAAGAGGAGGAGGAATCCAGTGAACCCGTGGACCCCGAAACAGAGGTCAAAATGGTGCTTGAAGCCGTACAGAGATCCACACCGGTGCCGCTCGAGAGAAAAGTCCTGATGCCTGCTCGTATTTCTAACGGCTTTTTTCGAATGAGAGAAATGCTGGCAGGTGCCCTTATCAACAACCCAGTCGCTGACCCTACACACCAACGATCGGCTGCTGCCATCGGAGGACTCATTGGTCAAGCTACAGCTTTCTACGCCGGAGACCCTGGGCAGCTGTATCATCTCAAACCACAGTACGAAACCAAGAAAAAATAACACCGTGGCTTCTGCCTTCAAACAAAATCGCATTTCCTGGACACATCCAATAACATCACCAGACTCAACTATCAACTCTCAGCATCGCATCCGAACGAAAATCATCGCACGAACGACTCACACAATCATAAAATATCGTTGTGCAAGGGTACCTGGTGTACATACAGCACATCCGAGTAATTGAACTCGTATACAGCCAAGTATCCTCCCTTCTCTCATAATCACGTACGCATATATATCTTCCTAATTGAACATCGGTACTGGTTGTCTTAATGAATGTACGCTCTTAACTAAATACTGTAACTCCCTCCACTATGTTTATATATGATAATAAGGATATGATCAGGGCCAAATGGCCAGCAGGACAATAGACAAAGTCAAGGTCATAAGTACGCTGTACCACATGCCAAGACGAATGTAGTCCCATCCCACGTTCTCGGTGGGAGCCTTCTTTCGAACCTCCTCCATAGCCTCCTCCAGCTCACTGGCCATGGTGTCCTGCGAAAATCGGTTCACCCAATTGACACACTCTGTCTGAAGCACAGCATAGTCAGATGCATTCATATGAACCACCTTATCAATCACAGGAGCCCATAGTTCGCTCTTGCCCTCAACTGTCCATCCCACATTGTCCTTGACGGTCTCAAGAGGTCCTCCCGAGTTGGTGGCCAACACAGGCGTCTTCCACAGCATACCCTCCAGAGGCACGATGCCAAAGTGCTCATTTTGAGGTGTGTATAGCAGAAGCTTGGAGATGTGAAGAAGAGTGTTTTTGAACGAGTTAGACGCCGAAGGGAAGAAGATGACGTCGTTCTTGAAGATGGACGTCCAGACGGCAGCAGGGGTGTCCTTTTCCAACAGCTTGGCGTACTTATCAGCGGTGATAGAGATGTGTGACAGCTTGAGCTTCTCACAGGCCAGGATGAGTTCCTGGAGATACTCAACGTTCTCATTAACTCTGAAATCATAGCCTCCAGCCACAGCCAGTTTGAGGTTGGACGATTTCTTCTGGGCTTCCCCAAATGCCTCAATAGCCAGCAATATGTTCTTCTTGCGCTCAAACCGGTTGATGGACAGCAAGAAGGTGTACTGGGAGGCAGCTGTGATCATGTCTCTGTCGAGACCCTGCTGCTGCTCCTTGATGTCTGTGTCGACGCAAGGGTAGATCACCAGAGGGTTCTTGGTGGCAGGGAAAGTCTTTTCGAACATGTCCTTTGTGAAATGAGAGTTGACGACCAGTCGGTCGGCCGAGGCGGTGGTGATTTCCTCGAACTTGTCAAAGGGGTATCGGTAGGCCTTCTTGACCAGCGACATTTGGTTTCTGTTCTGCACCAGCAGCTGATCAGGGAAATGGCCGTAGAAAAGGACTCGAGCCTTGGGGAACCACAGCTTGAGCAAGGGAACACATGCACTCAGCTGGTCCACGACAAACACGTCCACCTTGCTTCCCGGGCCCTTCTTCAGCTCGTAGGCCAGGTGCAGTTGCCGAAAAGTGGCGCAAAAGATTGCAAACTTGCCCTTGATGGTGTGGGGGCAGATGGTGTCGCCCAGCACGGTCACCTTGAGCAGGCCGTCACGGACCTCATCAAAGCAGTGGCTCTTGTTGCAGTACGACGTGTAGATGTCGACTTCATGGCCCAGGTTCTGCAGACCCACTGCTGCGTCAACAACCCATCGTTCAGCTCCGCCTCGGTTAGTTCAACTTCAAATCAGACAAGAAAAAACGTCGGTCACGCCCGCAGTATATACTCACCAATTCCCAGATCAGGGTGAATAAATGCTACTCTCATTGCAGTCGTTTTTTGTGGTGTGAGAGAGCCAGTATTTGCGGTTCAGTGGTGTGTTTGTGTGTGTCGTGTTGCATGTACGAGTACCTGAGACTGGGAGATGGGCGTGCACCTCACATGCACTTCAACCTTCGGATATATCGGAGATTATTAGGGTCCTTGTTTGTTAGAAATTAACCGACCTGTTTAGCCGGATACGAAAAGTCGGATATGTGTCTTCCATTTGTCACTCTATCTAAATTAAATATATATTTATATACAACTGGTCATGTGGCTAACCAAAAAGATGACCCCACATGTCCTTGACCCGCCACTTGGGCAGCTCCTTCTCCCGAATCACCTTGCGTTCATACAGCTGTGGCGGCTTCTTTTTCTCTGCTGTCATCTCGCGAATCACCTCCTGCCGAATCGCCTTGTCCACATCGCTGTAGACGCACTTGAGAATGTCCTCGAAGCTAAGATAGCCCCGTCTGGCCGGTTGAGGGGCCTGTAGGTTATAGGACCGGATGCTAGAGTTCAGGCCCTCCAGGGCGGTTTCATGGTACTTTAATGCGTTCTGTTCCCAGCTGGGGTCGCCATTTTCGTAGCTGTGTTTGTCGAGAGACCCTAGAACGTCCTCTAGACGCTTCGACTTGCGCACGACGGAATGTACAACATGTCGAATGAAGGACACACGCATATCGGAGATAAGCCTGTCAGTTTTGACGCCTAACTTAGTCTGGCGCTCGATCCACGGTGGCAAAATGTTTTGTCGTTTGAGCATCGAGTTGAGAAAGTACTCGGTGTCGTCGATCATGGGGTTGGAGCTGTGCTTGAGGTCTAGAGGCACGCCACGCTTGATACCATCAAACTGACCTCGTTTTCGGGCGTCTTCGATACGCTGATCGGCAATGCTCTGGATTCCACTGAGAATAACAGGACCATTGAGCGTGCCCATGGAGTCCAACGCTCGTCTCCTTGTAGCAGACATCTCCTCGTCCTTGACAGGTTTCGTGCCGGTCACCTTGTCCATGGTGTAGTCCAGCGACTGGTCACGTGCTCCAGATAGTCGAGCGGATACGGATACCTTTGGAGCTCGTTTGGGAAGCGGAACACCTTGGCCGCTCCTCACAGCCTGGCCTCCCAGTGGCTTATGTGCGTCTTCTAACATTCGAAGCACTCCTTGTTCAAACCCTTCTTCTCCCGTCCACGGAACGGTTTCGGCATTGAGGCGGTCTTGTTTCGAGGCGTAGGAAGGCATCTTGGAGTAGGCAATGTGGCGAGGGTACTTTTTGTGGAACTCATCTTCGTCTCGTTTGTTCTGTTCCTTGACTTGGTTGAAGTTCAATGCCTGAACAACCTCCTCTCCGTTCTCGTCGAAAATCTTGCCAGCGTGCGGATCTTCCTTCGAGGGCCGGGCGTTTTCGGCTAGAGCGGCCAGCCGGCCCTTCATGGACCTTAGCGAACGTGTTGGTAACATGTAGAAGAGTTCATCAGTCTGGTTGGCCTTCAATATGCACTCTGATTTGAAGCATGCCAGGCGAAAAGTTAATTGGAGATAGCAAGTAGGATGATTCTGACAACGAGAACGCTGAAAATGCAGCTTCGAGGTTAGTTATAAACGTCCATTGCAAATGGGATGGTGTTGCTATACTTGATTGAAAGTCCAGTTTGTCAGGCAACTCTTTCCAAGTTCGTAATTGTGATTTCCATGGGACATTGTATCATTTCAAATTACTTGATCATTAAATATTTTGTTGACTTTATTGTTGACTTTCGAGCATAGTAACAAGCCGTTCTACTGTAGCTGTCCCCATTCCACTCAAAATCCTTAATAACCCGATTAATTATTTATATCCTTTTTTAAATGTCAGCCGGACTCTCTCTGAATCCGACTTTAGTCCGTCTAGATGTATTCTATGATACAATCACCTACTGCTTCTCATCCGTTCACCTCCTTTACACCTCAACCACCTTACCTCGTCGATGTCTGACATCAGCAGGGTTGAAACCAGCCTCCTCAGCGCCGTACTGAGCCCAGTGGGGAGTGGCAGAGGTGTAGTCCTCAGGTCCAAACTCTTGACCGGCCTCCAGCATATCGAAGAACTTGTCATAGTTGATATGGGTGTGCCACTCGCCGTCAATGTAGAACCGCTTCTGGGCAATAAGAACACAGCACGAGTGGGCATGCTCGGCAGCGATGCCATACTCGAGACCCTCGTTGGCTACAGCCTCGTTGAGCTGCTCCACAAAGTCCAGGACCTCGTGGTAGTAAGGCACATTCTTCATAGTCAGAGGGTTGCCCTTGGAAGTTCCGCAGTAGGTCATTCCCTTGACCTCAATGAAGCAGGGCATGGCCTTGGCAACCATCTTGGCGTAGTTCTCAACCTCCTCGGCGTTAAAACCCTTGACCAGGGTGAGTCGGAATACGGTTCGCTGGTTTCGCTTTTCCCGCAGAATCGACAGACACTCCTGCAGACGCTCCCAGAAGTCTCGGTTCAGAGGTCGGTCCACGGCCTTGAGCGACTCCTTGGTGGCAGCGTCGATAGACACGTACAACTGGGTCACCTGGTTCATGGCAGCCAGCTCTTTGGGGTGCTGGGCATTGCAGACCAGGAACGACGAGATTCGCTTCTCATGCAACATGCCAACAAACTCGTTAATGTGAGGGTAGAAGATGGGCTCGCCAACCAGAGATAGAGCACAATGCTTGACTCGGAAAGCCTCGGCGAACCGCTCAGCAGAGACTCCAGGAACTCCTCGAAGCATCTTGATCTTCTGGTAGTGGCCAGCAAGAGCCCCGTCGATGATTTCCTTGGGAGGATCAACCTGCCATCTCCAGGTGGTTCCAACAGGGTTAGTTCCGTGTCTCCAGCAGAAGACACACTTGTTGGAACACGACAGAGAAGGAGTGGTCTCCATACACAGGTGACTTTTGATACCGTAGAAGGCAAACTTGTAACAGGAGCCTCGGCCTCGAAGAGCAGACTTGGTCCATCGACAGATCTTGACGCCGGAATGGGATCCGACAATGGTGTAGCCCTGCTTGGTCAGAGCCTTGTAGGTGGGGGAGTCCTTGGCAACCATTTCCTTGGCAGAACAAGAATCGGCCTCCATGATATCCTTGGCCGACTTTCGCTTGGGCTTGCTGGAGCCAATAATCTTGCCCATATCTTCAACATCAACAATACCGTCCTTGGAGTCTTCCTCCTCTTCCTCGTCATCAGAACAAATATCGTCGGCCTCAGGAACAACTCCATCGGCTAGGGCGTCCACAAAATGCTCTCTCCACTCCACCATGTTGGTCTCAAAATCGGTTTTGACACATCCGTTGCCCAGGGGGTTGAGACGTCGAGCGCCCAGCTTGGCCAAACCTCGATCCACCTCCTTGGCCTGGTAACAGAACTTTTCGGGCCAGCTCTCCTTGTCTCCAACTCCAAAAACAGAGAAACAGACCTTGCTGAGGGGTCTACTGTCGATTCGAAAATCGTTGTAAGTCTCCTTGATGGCGTCCAGGAAGTAGTCCAGAGGACTCTCGGTCTCATAAGAAGGAACAATGAAACAGTAGACAGATCCAGCCTTGGAGCTGACAAAGTACTCGTCAAGATCGTCGATATAGTCCACGTTCAGAAGAATGGGCTCCTTTTTAGTCTGGGTAGAAAGATACTCAAACAACTGCTGAGCATATCGCTCTGTGGATCCAGTCAGAGTGGAGTAAAAGACATAGACCTGAGAAGACAGGGACACAGACAGCTTTTTGGGGCCCTTTCCAAAGGTCTTGGGGACTCGCTTGGGCTTGGAAGAAACCACCGAAGAAGACGTGGTGAAATCCACAGCCATGGGGGGCTTTTCATCCAGAGCTCTGGAGGAGGTGTTCGTAGTCGTAGTTGCAGCAGACTTCTCCACAGTCTCGTTCTCGGCTTCAACGGGCTTCTTCTCGTCAAACAAGACGATGAAGATGACCAGACCGATGATGGGGATCAGCATCAATCTGGAGCCGTGCCACAAGTCCAGAATTTCATCAAACATGTTGTCGTGTGTTGGACCCGCGTGCTGACGAATAGCGGTTTGAATTTTGTCATGAAAAATCTAGACGGTATGCATAATCAGTCACGTGAGAAAAATCAACCCAAAATGGGAATGTTTGTGGGTTAGGGTTGTGTCATTGGGAAGATTGGAATAAAGTAGGTTTGTGTAATCTACCGTGTTAAGTTTGTGTGGGGTAAAATTAATACTGATCTGGTGGCAATAACCCCAGACGGTGGTGAAATAATACTACAAGTACGGTGGTAGTGTGGTAATTTGGTTATCTATCGAGGGGACTTGGTACGACACTCGAAATAGAGAAATAGATGGATTAATAAATATATACTTGGGCAATCAGGTAACCTGGACTACTTAGATGCCACCGCCGCTTCGATCAACGGTAACATGTCGTTCGTTGTCAACAATTTGGGCCTGGGAGTAAAAGGCCTGTCGGCTGACCCAGTAGAAGGAGACAGCAGTGGCAGCGGCAAGGCCGGCGAGAACGGTGGGCTTCCTGATGTTAGTATGGGAGGATGGATGAGAGGTGGATGAGATGGATGAGATGGACGGGAGGTGATTGATGATTGAGAGTGATTGGAGATGACGAAAGATCTCGAGTGATTGGGCCATCCACCATAGTCTGGAATTCCACGTTCATCTCACCGTTGTGTCATTTAGACACTGATTTACCTCCAAGGTCAAATTGTGGAGAATTGCGCGCTTCGGGGTACTCACTGGAATCGGGTAAGCATTTTGTGTGTCGTGTGTTGCGTGTGTAGAGTTGAATCTGGGGTGACTGGAGGCAAGAGCCACAGAGAGCAGGCGCTGAGGCCTTTATATATCACCACTTGCTTCCATATCCTTCACACAGTGTCTATAGCCTTTGGGACAATGAAATTAGGACCCCAACACGATTATGTTGAGCAACAGGGCAAAGCTTAAGCTTATTGGGCCTTGTGCAATAATGCCAGTGGGAGCAACGGGGCAATGTAGGGTAAGGGTGGGAGGGAGTTGTTGAGCCTCGCGAGGGCAAGCCAAGCCATGGTGGCCATGGTGGCGACAAGTTGTTGCAGGAAGCGTAGGTAAGCGCTTGGTCGCATGTTGGTCACATCTCCCCCCCATCAACTAGCACATGCCTCGGTCCCTCTTTAGACCAGCTTGTCAAGTCTTGTTACATGATGTAGTGTGGGGCGATTTGCACCTGATTGTCCGATAAGGTAGGTTTCATGCATAGCCATGGGTGTACGAGCGCCCAAGAACAAGAGCCGGGCAGATAGTACCTCCCCCACCATGAAGCTACAGTAAGGGGGGGGGGGGGGATGGGGGGGAAAAGGCATTTGCGAGACATGTTTGCGGCGGATGGGTCGGAATAAGTCGGCCACCAACAATGGGTGTACGGGATGTCATCTAGTGTTACGCTGTTAAGATTGAATTGTAGCTCAAGGTGCGCTCTGGCGGAGCAGGGGGGATCGACACTCCCATCCCATTGCTGCGACGTTCCCCACCTCCGTAATTTTATCACCTCAAGAGGTGGCAGAGCGACGGCGCGGTGCCGGCCGGGTATCGATCCGGAACTGCTCGGCGGAGCAGCGGAAGAAAACTTGACTCAGAGCAGAGACCGTATTAAGGGGGAAGGTGCATAAATTGGCAGGCAAGGCACAGACAATTGGCACGCGACCAGACTGAGACCCAGACTACCGTTGTAGGCGATAGGCGATATTTTACCCGAGGAAACCGAGGTACAAGTTCCTCCAGGTGCGAGTACAGTACATACAGTAGGACACGAGTACAAGTATGAGCATAGTACCATTTGTGCAGGGATACATGCGATAAGAAGACTGCTTCCCCACAAAAGAACAGTGATCGGCGCGATACATCTATACATATATTAATAATCAGGCCACAAATGTCACACATGCCACACATGCCACAGGTTACGAAGGCCACAAATGCCACAAACGCCACTAGGAAGATCATGTTTCAAAGGTTTCCGATTTGGTCTCTGATTTGGTCTCCGATTTACATGCCTCGGTCTGGTCAACATTCCCGATGAGCTCATGTCTGACAGCAAGACTAGAGGACGTCTAATGACATCAAAGTCTGCTCTCTTCCATAAGTTGGCTCCAAACTCATTCTCAATGGTGCAGGCATCGAGAAAGAGGCATATAATAGTCGCCAGTCGAGTACAAGTACAGCATGGGTACTCGCACGGTACATACCGGCCAATTGCACAGGTCTTTTGCTTTTGGAGACACAACGGAACTTCGGATAAGTGGATGAAGGAATTGGCCAGTAGTGTCTGTGGGATTCAATCGGATCAAAACCGCCTTCTGCACTGATGTGTAGCTACAAGTACACTATAGAGATGTATAGGCACAAGCTCACATCGAGAAAGAGGCCATATTACTACAGTTTGAACGGTAGACACGAAATGTGCGACATTGACCTTCAGTAAGCTGCACTCGGTAGCATTAATAGTGGCTCAGAACGGCCCACGCAGCTGTCTCACCCTGGAATATCCAGTTTTCCCGAAAAGTGCCATTTTCAGGACATGTCGCCAGTTGGTTAATCAAACTGGACAGCGTAGGCGGAGGAGAAGGAGAGATACAGAGGCTTGTCGTCGCAATATAAAAGAACAACACTATTCGAGCTGTCGTCCGTGTGGAATTGAGTCACATGACTGCTTCCATTGGACTCCAGATACTCGTACTCGTACCCGCACCCGCACCCGCACCCGCACCCGCACTCGTACTCGTTCTATTCCTTCCAATCAGACCGGATTCAGGCTGGATCCGACGAAACCAAACCAACCGTTTTTTGGCATACGCTAACATTTACATTTACAGTATATACCCAAACTCCAACCATGGAACGCAGGGAGCTTTTGTTTTATCCGCAGAGGGAACCTACGTTGTGCTTGTACTCGGTCCTCCTTCTGTTCATCTTGTCTCAGATGGGTCATTTCTCGGACCAAAAGAGAATCGGGATTTATATAACAAGACCATCACTGGTGTTACCGAGGCTACTTAGGGCCATATACATTCTTCTCTCTCTGATTTTGTATTTGCCAGCTGTGCGGAGCTGCGATACGGTAACAAAGCTGCGATGCCGGGGGCAGTGCGGGTACAATACATATGCCGTACTGGCAATAAAATACCGTACCGGCACTACTTGTGGTGCCATTTGTTCTGTACTCGTACGTGTCATATTCGTACGGTAATATATGTCGTCTCGTAGTCTTGTCTCGACAACCAACCTGACTTAGTTTCCGCATTGTTGTTAATTATTTCCCCGGCCGTAAATTATCACAATTTAATGTTGCATAATCTCATCTTATCGACATGCTCTCCACATTTCCCCTTGTTTCATGCAACCTACCTCCCCTCTCCCCCAACCTGTGCAAATACGGTACTCATTTCATGTTTCCCCTCCTGGTGATGATCGCCACCTCAACGGATCTGTATAGGTGGCAAACGACGCTTTCAGACGGCCCTCAACAGACAGACATCTAGCAATCGCGGACCCATCTTCAACCATGTTTCTTAGCGAGCAACGACTAGGTGTGCGGTGAAACTATGATACTGGAGGTTGACGACTGCTGTATCTGACAAGACTCTAGGGACGTCAAACTGTCTGTATGGACCGTCCTGGAAGCCCCAACCAGTGCACTGGAAGGTCGCTCTTCCTTTCCCGCATCATCCTGTTGGGTGGCAAACACATGACCGGGTGGCAATACTACACGGCCCGGTGCAGCTGATCATGGGGTGGCGAAGAAGCCAACAATATCAAATGATCTGCAAGTGTTTTTTCTGCACTATCAACTGATCTACAGGTGTTTTGTCTGCACTATCCGCTGATCTACAAGTGTTTTGTCTGCACTATCCGTTGATCTACAAGTGTTTTGTCTGTACTATCAACTAATCTACAAGTATGTTGTCTGCAGTATCGCGTCAATGATAACGACTCCTCCATACTGTCTCTTGTAGGAAGGAACCGGATCGTCCTTCCACTTTTTGGTAGCGACAGCATCGACCTTGGGTCTCGGGCCACCTGGTTGGAAGTGGATTTGATGAGCTCCTTGGGTCGGTCAACAATCAGCCGGGATTGACATTGACAGCCCGGAGCCATCGGTACTGACTCGCTCTTGTATCTCTAACAAAACAAAACGAAACAAAAAGGGCATTGCTCGTACTTACTGTACTCGTACTTGTACTCACCGCTCTTGACAAGCAGTGTCCTTGCCGCATTCGTGACGAACCAGTGACATTGAAAATGAACCGAGATCGTTGAAGCAAACATCTTAGAACCATTTTGACCACTCTTAACATGGCATTTGGATGGAACTTGAAATCAGATCATTCCAGAACCCACGTTTCTGCCTTTAAGTACATGCCATCTATTGCTACAGTACGAGCACTCGTACTCGCACCTCTCACAAGGAGCAAAGACTGTTTACTGTGCTGTACTTCAATGATGTCAATGATGCGATCGCGCCTTCCCATCTAACTATTGACCCCAAGTCCAGTTATACCATCTCAGCAAATAGATTACTGAATGTGCTCTTGCTGAGTCAACAGTGGTGAACCAGACACTGACACCTTAGGACCATTGCAACCAGCCTGAAAGATAAAACAAAGGTGAAAATACGACGACGTGAGGCCTGTTTCCGTCACTTGTTGGCCGTTTCTTTTCTTCCTTGTTCTTCATTGTGTTCCTGCGCCAGTACGTGGCTCTCAAACACTCAATGGATATTGGCTGACAAATGAAGAAGGTCCTGAAACGTGCAGAGTCCCGAATGGCTGCTTTGTGGGATCCCATCCCAGACTCGAACAGCCATGCAAGACGTACAGGGAGCGTGTATGATAAGAGCAGGCTCTGGGATATTCAAAAGAAGCAAAACGACCTTGCAGAAGCAAGGACGTCACATATCAGACAATTGAGTCTGTAAAATCAATCTAATCAGTTGATCTTACTTGATCTTACTTCTCTGGGACCTCCTTGAGTGGTTTGCAAGGCAAGTGCCCATACCTTCTTGGAGTCCTAGTTGGGGTTGTAACTACAAGTAGCAATATAGTTCGCATAGCCCCCCGTTAGAAGAGAACATAGACGTTGTTTATGGTACTCGACAATTGCTCATTCTTCTATTACATCCTCTGTCGCATCAAGCAACCACTGCATTCCATTTTCGGAATCTTGTGCAAAGTAACGGGAAGCAGCATGAGGAGAGCACCAGAAGCGGGTAGAAGCCGTCTCCTGGAAGGTTGACGGTTCTGAAACGCGAAATCGGAGCCTTTGACTTTGATTAGGCCGATTAGCTATATATGTACAGCCCTTGCTCGCTATGTGTGGCACAGGGCTCCCGTATAACTAGCGTACCAAGGGATGGAGCTATAAGAGTTAATAGGACGGGTATTTATGGAGTCATTCCGTTTCCGTAGATGCAGCAGCACTCACCAAGGTGCCAATGCGCCCTCAGCAGCGTTTAATACGGACATTACCACCCTCTACGGGTTATTCATGATTGCAATTCCGGATGCGATTAGTAAACCAAACCGGCACGTGAGACAGATCGTCGGTTGGTCATTAGGTGGGCAGGCAGCATCGGGAAGCGACTACTGCAGTCAGAGGAGGCCTTGTTGGATCGAATGCGGTTTGTGCCGTGAAATGTCACCCCATAACCCGCTGAGCACGTACAGCACTCAGCAGAGAATATCCAAACCATCCCTGTACGCTCACCTGACCACCGGTGTGC